CCCGCTGAGGGTCGATCAGAAGGGAGCAGGGGATGTCTCTGGTCGTCCCTGGTCGCTCCGCTAGGAGCCCAGGGACCATTCCTCTGGAAAGGAGCCATGCCAAAGTCGACACTAAGGAGTGTTTGGCAATGCAACAGTAAGGAGCTCCCTCCTGATCCCTGTGGCTGTCTGGGGCCGATGGGGCCCGCTGTCAAGGGTGTCTGGCGGCGCATCATGATCCCTGATGGCGGGTCATGATGGCTTGATGGCTGACTAAAGCGTGATCCGTGATTATGTCCCTTCTCTGGGATATTAGTGTTGTTGCTCAGTGCTTTGAGCTTGTGAATATATGAGGGCTTGTCAAGCCCTCAGGCTCTAAGGGTGGTGAGGGCCCATTGGGCCGTATAGGGCCCGACAGCCCGACCCGAACCCTGACACCACCTGCTATAATATAGAAAAATAGAAAAATCAACTGTACTGTGAACTTAGAAATAGGTTTTGTCTTAAATTTTTATTTCTGTCAGTCTTTATGTTTTTATGAAATTTAATTGTTTAAGAAGTACAGTCGAACCCCTCTAAAGTCATGCCTCTCAAAAGGCATGACCCCTCTATTTTCATGATGGGGACCTTCCACCGGCTTGGTTCATAAGGGAAAGTCATATGTCTATAGAAACTCATATGTCATACATAAATTAGTCGGTAGAAAGTCATAATCCTATCTAAAAAAGGAAATATCGGGCCAAATCAAGGATTATAAATTGATTGATTTTGTCCGAACACAAAAAAAAGTCATTCATGGCCATGCTCAAGCTCAAAGACTACAAGGAGGGCCTTGCCCGACTCAAGGCACATGTGAAGTCGAAGTCTGATGCCCTCAAGGCACGGCTGAAGGCTGGGAAGGCTCTTACAAGGGAGGAGGAGACCTGGCTTGACGATGAAGCAAATGTCATTGATGAAGAACACGCTCTGGAGGCACTGGAGACAGCTTCTGGGTCTGACATTAGTGCCAAGGCTGCAAAGCTTCCACCCACATTACAGACTGCTGTGAAGAAGTTGAAGGAATTTGCGCAGGGTATGAAAAGTACTGTCGCACCTGCTCCAAGAACGAGTAAAAAGCGTAAAGGTCTGCACACATGTATCATTTATATCATCTCTCAAATTTTACTGCAGAAGCCTGTCATTCCTGCCGACAAGAAGCCAGGAAAGAAGCAAGAAGTGGCGCCTGTGTTTACCCATCGAGAACGCGCGACCCATGCACAACGTGTCGAGATTCTTGACTGGCATCATGCCAATGGCAAGAACCAGACCAAAACGGCACAACATTTCCATCCCATTTATCCCAACCTCTGTCTAAAACAGTTCACAATCTCAAAATGGGTCAAGAATGAGGCAAAGATACGCACCAAGAATGACATGTATGGAGACTCCCACAAAGCCAAACGCGCCCGACAGACAACACACCCTGAGGTTACGGAAATGCTCGACCTTTGGGTTGAGCAGGCGATGGCAAATGATATTCTTATCAGTGGCGAAGTCTTGCGGCAGAAATGGACACAATTTGCAGATGCGGCAGGAGTTCCGGAGGATGACCGGCTAGCATTGAGCAATGGGTGGCTGGCACGGCTTAAGACCCGTCTTGGTCTTCACGAGGTCAAGCGACATGGTGAGGTGGCATCAGCAGACCCTGTGGCCATCGAGCGTGAACGTGAACAAATTGTCAAAGTGATTAAGGAGGGTGGCTACGCACTGCGTGACGTGTACAATATGGATGAGACTGGGCTCTATTATGTGTGTGTGGTCCACTCCAGATATTGAATGAAGACTGATGAGCATTTAGATTTGTGCCCGATCGTGGCTTGTCGAATAAGACGAGCAGTGGTGTAAAAGGCAACAAAGTGCGGCTTACATATGCCTTCACAGTCAATGCCGATGGCTCTGATAAGCGTGAGCCCGTTGTCATTGGTAAGGCAAAGCAGCCACGCTGCTTTGAGTGTCGGACCGCTGCTGCCCTTGGGTTTTATTACCGCAACAACGCGAAGGCATGGATGACAACAGTGCTTTATCAAGAGTGGCTCACGAAATTTGATGCTGATATGCGCCACCAGAAGCGCAAGATTTTACTTCTCCAAGACAATTTCTCGGCACACAAACCACCTTCCGATCTCACCAATATTCAGGTTGAGAATTTCGAGGCTAATCTCACCGCCCATGTCCAGCCTGATGACGCAGGCATCATTCGTTGCTTCAAGGGCTCATTTCCGCTCCAAATACATCCGCTATGCCATCGACCGCTATGACGAGGGAATTACTCCGTCCAAAATCTACGACATTGATCAGCTCTGTGGCATGCGCTGATAAGCCGCAGTCTGGGACAGACCAGGAAACGACTATTTTTGTCGATTTTGTTGCTCAGCGCACGTCTCAGAGTTGACATGAGTCCCGAATGGTCAGCTAGGGAATTACCTGCACAAGAACCAGTTAAACTCCAGTCAAAATCTATCAAATCGCTCTCAGTGATTCCAAAATCTTGACTAGGAAAAGTTCGCAGAGCCCGTTCTATGCTAGAATCTATCCAATTCTATGCAAAATACCCAAAGGGAGTGTATTCTAAAAGGCATATTCGGTTTGGCGCTCAGTGGAGACTCGAGATCGACTTCTCCTAGATAAGGGACACCCCTATCTCTGTTGGTATCGACGACTGACATCATTGGAACGTGGTTTCGGATCATGCTGGAGGATCGAGAGTGCCAAGGGACGGTTAAACGGCGAAAACCTACTCAATTGATTGGGGCCTGGACCTGTGATCAACGGCGACTCTAAAACACTGTCGAGGAACAGATCATCTGAACATTGGAAATGCGCCAGGAGAGTTGGGACAACCACCGCTGAGGCCATATGCACAAGATACGAGTTATGGGTGTCAATCGAAAGCTGGGAAGCAGAGCTATCCACTTATCATACTCAAGATCGAGGGATTCTTCACAGGACAAACTAGATGGTCGCGAACATGGAAGATTTACACAGGTCATTGACTCCAATACACGCGATACCAGTCATCTGGACCTGGATTTTCGACTCTGGGCCGTATGGCGAAACGATACCTATACAATTATGCACATGGATGACTTTCCTTACTCGAGATTTTCCCTGATTCTATCAATTTCTGTTTAGTATTTATATCTCTGTTTTGTATTTGGCAGGTTCACGGATTGCCCCGCTCTACTAGGTGCATCTGGGGATCTAGCTCGTCAATCTATCTTGCTAGCTCTTTCGAAATAGTATCATCGCGTCGGAAGGATTATTGGTTGAGGGTTTCGGTTGCTGAATACAAGAGTTCCGGTTGCTGTTTATATCTACCCTACAACCTTACACATCTGTGCCAAGGCTCTGTTCACAGGGGCCTGTACTCGCACAAGGAGTTGACGATTTTTGGGTTTTTATGACTTTTCCTACTCGACATTATACATCTTTCTCTCTACGACAAGTGGAGTTTTGGTTGTTTTTGTTGGTTTGGTTAGTTAGAGAGCTTATTTGCTGTCCCCACTCCGCACTCATCAGCGCTTAGCTGCACAAGCCTGGGACGAAGTCACGGCTCAGACCATCGCACACTGCTGGATCAAGGCCGGCATTCTCCCCAAATCTCTTCTTCCCCCCCAACTCCTCGACTACCACTGCCAACAACCCTGTTGCTGCTGCCGAGGCTGACCTTGAGCAGCAGCTTGATGGTCTTGAATCACATCGGGTCTTGCAGCGCAACAACCGGCTGCCAATTGAGGCTTTGCTCAATCCAGTTGAAGAGAATATTCTCACTGGCGCTGCCACGGTTGACGAGATCGTCAGGGCAGTTGTTGACGCACAGACATCTCAAGAGATGGCAGATATGGTTGGTGGAGACGATGATGCAGACGACGATGCAGAATTTAGGCCAGCACCAACACGTCGCGAAGCCCTTGAGGCTGTGTCGTTGCTGCAACGCTTTTCCGCCACAATTGGGGATGAGTATGCACGCAAAATGGAGCGTGTTCTTGCTCTGTTTGGTCGTCAAACCCAGCTGGAGGCAATGTCCTCTATGCAGAGCTCGGAAATCACTGATTACTTCTCTAGAACAGTATAGTACACTTCTACTTAGGGTAGCATACCGTAGACAGCTATAGAAATTGATTTTTATTAAATTTTTTACTTGTCCCTCAAAAGGCATGACCCCCCAGAAGTCATAACTCGGTGCTTCCACCAAAAGGTATGACTTTAGAGGGGTTCGACTGTACTATGTAGGTAAATAATTAGGGGAGATATAGTATTGCTTATAAAAGGATTATACAATCAATGGAAAATTTAGTTCTGGCCAAGTAAAGATATGATTTGGCAAATTATATCTTTACCTTCTGGACCATATTATATTATATCTGGCCAATATATTCATATTTTGACCCAGATTTTTCTGTCATTTTGAACCAAGTCAAACATAGACAACCCAGGTGAGCTTTGGTGCACCATTGCTTCTTCAGTAGGTAACCTGTTGTGAATAAAGCTTTTGTCTATAGCTTGGAGCACTTGACTGTTAAGTCTTGGTTACAATCCACTGGGGCTGTATGCACCAGTGGCCTACATTATATACTACATTGGAAACTACTAGAAGATCTACAAGGTAAGAGAAATGCTCAGTCAGCCCTTAGTCAGCCCATCGGGCACTTCGGGCTTACATTCTCAACATAACCTACTTGAAACAAATAAGTCAGGAGTTCATCTTTAAAATTCTTTATGTAAGATCCCATCAGCAATTGTCTTGGTGTACTACTAGTATTTCAAGGGCTGAAATATATTTGTAATATGCATTATAGCATATCATATTATGTATCATATTGTTCAGCAAAATGCATTCCAAAGACCATCTGATGCCAGTGGGTGTGCTAGGACTGGAATATCACTTGAGTTGTTGGTGTTGTCTGCTTGGGTTTCATGGTCGGTGACTATATACTAGACAGTTATGCAAGCTTAAGGACAAAGCCAATGCGGAAGTGGGACTATCTAATCTTCATCTCAGTCAAGTCCTTTTCTATATCATCGTCCTCTTCGTCATCTGTCTCGCCAGTCTGCTTCTCAACATCATCTAGGGTCGGAACTGCTTCGTAAGATGGCTGCTGCGGGTGTGGGCGTATTTGGGCCCATGTGTAGAATATTGTCCCCGCGGTAATGAGGAGGATGCCGGTCGCACGAGACACATCAAGCAGGTCCCCAAAAAACAGGACGCCAATCAGAGTTTGAATGACGGTTTTGGCGGCCTGAAGTGAGTAGATGAGCGGCTTTGCGGGATCAACGAGACGTCAGACATACCGCGGAGAACATGTGCGATGTCGGGTTGGTCACCTTGATCGAGAGAATGTTCGCCAGGCTCAAGAGGAATCCGAAAATGCCGGTGACGCCACACCCGACGACGAAAGTGGTCCACTCTTGCTCGGGGTTGGCTATTCGTTGCTGGAACACAGCGATTTCCCCGTTGCAGATTATGAGCGGCAGGGTCATGGTTGCCATCCCAAGGTTTCCCCAGTAAGAGATGACGAAAACAGAGTGCTTCATTGTGGTGGTCGCGACCTTGCTCATGACAGTGTAGATCGCGAGAACGAGGCATGAGATGAGACCATAGAAGACTGCTCGGAGCGCCTCTGGATCAATGGCATACGAAGAGAATGATTCTGCGGAACCCACGATGAAACCAATGGTGACGACAACGGTTGCAGCGATGACCGTCTTGGCTGGGAAAGATCGGGTGACCAGCGACGATACCAGTATTGTGAACGGGAGGAGAAGTCCACGTGTAATCTGCAGGCCGGTCAGGGCGGAAAGCTGGGCTGTTGGAAACCGACTTGGAAGAATGTGGCGTCAACCTTGGCTAAACAAAGTGTGTTGAACACCAAGCCGATGAATCCGACACACAGAAGGGGTATGAGCTTTGTGGCGGTCGCACGATCTAGCACAGGCAGCTCCAGTCGGAAGCGTATTATTCGGTGCAGCGGGGAGTCGGAGATGAGGACGAGCGCGCGTAATAGAAGGACTGCTATGCAAAATTGGATGCACTGCAACCAAATTGTTGGTGAGCTACCGGACCTAGTGAGAAGAAACAAACCAGGAAGGTAAACGGAAGGTCAGGCGTTTGGTTGAGGACGGCCTTGTTTACCAAGACCATCTATGGAACGAGTTACGAATGAATATACGCCCCATAACACCTGCACTTACAACCAACGCAGCGACAATGTAAAAACATACTACGGCGACCACCTTGGGTGAGAATGCCTCTAGTTGATTGGGCATGGATGCAGAAAGGAAAGAGTCGGGAGTGAGGGCGGGTCTCCTAATTAGCCTTGACAAAATTCGCGGAAGTTTGTTTCACCACGGAAGATGGACTTGACCCTCAGACATTTCGACTCGGAGAGAATTAGGACTATATTAATGGACGTCGGCTCTTGCCACTTGAGAGGATGGTGCATCGACTCGGACTTGAATCACTTGATATCGGCATTATTTGAAGGCTTCCGGATTCTTCTTGAACGACGCAAGTCGATAGCCCAAGGACTCGGACTGAGTATGATACAATCGCGGCATGTTAGATGCCCCGGCAAGAGTTGCAGAACAAAATGCTGCACATTGTCCCAACTTCATATACTTAATGGAGGGGAGGAAAAGGTTGTCAGATAACGTCACTCACGTGTCGAGAATACCAACTTGTCCGACCCGACAATGTCTAACTTGTCCATCTAGTCAACTCTTGCTTATTTACTTTCATGGGCGCTGAAAGCACAGGTTACCACAGGGCGGGGCCGAGATTTGCACGGTTTGTCACGGTTTGCCTCTGACTCACAATGAGTGCAGTCCACCGAATATTTAGCTCGGTGCGGATGTTCCACAACCACCCCACAAGAAACATGCGTGTCGCGGTTGTCGGCTGCTCTCATGGCCACCTCGACCAGATCTACCAGTCGATCCACCGAATCAACAAAGAAGCAAAGAGGGCCGGGGAAAAACCTGTCGAACTTCTCTTATGCTGCGGCGACTTCCAGGTCATTTGGATGAATAATATCCAGCATGCAAAACTAACTTGATTCCAGGCCAATCGATGCAACGCGGATTTGTGCACGATGAAAGCACCCCCTAAATTCCGTCTGATGAACGATTTCCACAATTATTATGCGGGGCGGAAGAGAGCGCCAGTGCTCACCATTGTCATTGGAGGCAACCACGAAGCTATGGGACATATGTGGGAATGGTGCGTTTCTCTGATTAGCGCCACTACCTTGAGACTTACGCGAATGGTCCTACAAGTTATCACGGTGCATGGCTTGCTCCCAGGATATACTACCTCGGCGCAGCGGGTTGTGTCCTGGTCGACGGCTGGCTCCGAGTTGCTGGCGCGAGTGGGATATGGCATGCCAGCGATTGGAAGAAAGGTCAGCTTCATGGTAACTGAGTTAGTATTACGACTGAAGTACTTGCCATAGGACATTTCGAACGAATACCATACATTCCATCAACTCTTGCATCGGCCTACCACGTTCGCCAATATGACATTACTCGGCTTATGAATGTAGGGATCTGTTGACTGAAACAATTCCTTGTACTCATTCCCTCCAGCTACGAGGCCCTTCCGTGGACATTTTCATGTCACACGATTGGCCAAATGGAATAGAGAAACATGGCGATACCCAAACTCTGCTACGTGATAACCCGAGGTTCAAAACTTCGGTTAGTGGAGGTCCAGTGTGAGAGAGGCATCTTCTCATCTCCCTATAGGTTATGAGTAATACCCTTGGCTCTCCCCCATTGGAAACTCTTCTAAAAAAGCTTCGACCTCGGCGTTGGGTATCTGGCCACATGCACATCCGGTTCACTGCCAGCGTTCCGCATGGCAAACAACCAGAAGCCAACGAGTACACCCACTTCCTTGCGCTTGACAAACCAGGTGAAGGAAGGCCATTTATTGAGGTTATCGATGTTCCAACACCAGAAACACACGCCAACTCGGGCTCTGAAGGTCCACAGCTTTTCTTTGATCCTCACTGGCTGGCTGTTGTCCGTGCTTTTGCCTCCTATCTTCCACTGCAAGAGCAAGCGACACAACTCCCGTCGCCGACTTTGGTTCCACAGCTTCTCGAAGACGCATTGCAATGGGTGCGAGCAAATGTGGGAGAGGACGGAGTCAAAATTGTCGATGATGTCCAAGTATTCCAGCACACTGCGCCACCGACAAGGAGCGCGAATGCGAATGAAATTACGAACGAGAGACGTCTGTCATCTCAATCATTGTCTTTCTCGATAACTGAACCACTTCCAGCACGGGCGTATTCGAATCCGCAAACACAGGCTTTCTGTGATATGTTGGGCATTACAAACGTCATCGGTGAAGAAACCAATAGTGTCCTTGATCGTCCCAAGGAGCAGAGTGGCTGAGATATGTGAGCGGCGAATGCGACCATGGTACTAGAATAATCCCAACTCATTGCCATCATACCGAGGCGACTTCTGTCAAAAGCCTGACTGAGTGGGATGATTGTACAGTAAGACTTCACACAGCAGCATTGAAAGCTGATTTTTCGCTGAATTCCTTTAGTGCACGTGCATATAAGTACGCCGTAAGTAAAACTGGGAAGATTGAATGTCCAATCAGAAGAGATGAACAGCAGTTCTGCTGTATCTCACCCAAGTGAATTTGGCTGGGCATATTTAACGCGCAACACATCCACAGAGCTCAATACTTTCGATGTTCCATCTTCGGGTCCTTGCCGCAGCACTCTTGGCCACCAACGTCTTGGGTCTGAGTCCGGTTGGCCATACTCCCACCGGCCAACCAATCTTCCGCGGCCCGCCAGGCTCGACTGTCGTGCAATCTGGCCGAGATATGAAAGTCTTCACACCCAATGGGACCGTCATTCATGTCTTCGAAGATGTCGTGCGCAGTCAATCCAAACAAACCCCGAGGTGGATTCCACGACAGGAGTTGAGCACGACGGAGGCCTTTGTTACACTAACCACATCCGATGCATTGGCATTCCAAACATTCAACGTCTCATTCGTCGTGCCTCCGGAGCCAGCAACATTTGAAAGCCAGATCATCTACTTCAGCACTGGCCTACAGCTCTTAGACGACACGGGAGAACCGCAACAGTCCCTTGTAGTTGCACTCCAGGTCAGTCTTGTCAAATTTTTCAACGCCTTCATCTGTTGAGTCTCATTGCAGTACGGAGCTAGCGTCATCGACGGTGGGCCTTTCTGGACGGCTGTTGTGCTGTTGCAATTCCTTCCAAGCGGAGGGTTCTTTGAGTCCTTCGATCCAAATGCCAACCCCGCCGTAAATGCTGGAGACCGACTTTCAATAACAATCAGGAACTACCCAAACGGTCCACAATTCCCTGATTCCCCCGAGACTTACTATTTTATCGCCGCTCTGAATAACCGCCCTGACATATTGAGCTTCGGCGTTGGCTGGGAGATGTTACCGCAGAAAGTGGCGCTGGGTGTATCGGAGGAGGGAGCATTTCAGCCAAGTGACTACCCAAGAGGTTCCTTGGTTTTCGAAGATGTCAGTGTCAACTTTACCACGGGCTTCCCCGCGGTGACATGGAATATCGAGCAGAATTCTGGGACAGATGTTTCGATGAAGATCGACAAGGACGGGTCAAGGAATGCGCAAGTTAGCATCGTTTTTCCAGACGACCTATGAGTTGCAGTTTGGCATTAGATAAGTAGCCCGAGACTGTGTAGCGCCATTTGGCGAAATTCTGCTCAAACGAGTACTTTTGGCTGTCGTAGACTGATGCTGCCTTCAAAACGGCTCGTGCGACTGGACAAATTATGTAATGAACTCTCAACACGAACCACCACAAGCAACATGTCCTTTCTCATTCACCAACCATGTTCACGATCCCCAATGCCAATGGCCTGCAATATCGGATCTCGCCAAGCGGACTTGTCGCCTCCGATCTTTGTGACACGGTAACCAATTCAACCTAGCTTGCCTTCGTCTCTTCATCATGGGCAACAAAACAAAATCCTCGCCGAAACGGACCGCGGGCGTGTCGTGGCGGGCGCTGTCGCTGGCGGCGCTGGCTGGTGCTGCGCTGTCAACACTAGCGACGCGTCCTACTTTCCAGTCATTCATTGTCAGTCGTCTCCCAGTTCTCAGCCAAAAGCCCACTGTTCTGGACCCCAACACATACGACTACGAGGGCATTATGGCGGACAAGAAGATTTTTGAAGTGGTTGCGTTGCCGGGCAAGGGGAAAGGCGCCATTGCCGTTCGGGATATCAAGGTAACATCCACTCCAAAATAAGCGTGTTCGCTCAAGCTAGGGCAGCGCGGCGAGCTAATACTCCGCGAAAAGCCGCTGGTTATTGCGCCAAACGACGACAGTGTGTGGTTCATTCGTTTCTGTCGAGTCTTTCTAACAACTCGCCAGCCCCACGCGATTGGGTGCAAGAACTCTTCTACAACTGGACTTTCTCCCCTTCCAAGCGCGACACGCTCTTCAACCTCACACATAGCAATCTTTGGCCGGACGATGACCCCGAGACCGGCGAGCCCCTCGACTTCAATCTCGACCCAGCCACACAAAATCCAGACGAGCGTTTCTGGCTCACGCAAGGCATCCTCAATAACAACGTCGCCGCCATGACAGTCGATGGGGAGCCATTCCGGGGTCTGTTCCCGCGCTTCGCAAGAGTCAATCATGTGTGCCCAGGTGCGAATAATGTGCACTATTGGTGGCGGGAGGTCGACCATGAACTACGCATATATGCGGTGAAGGACATCAAGAAAGGCACGGAGTTGGGGCATTCGTATCTGGGCCAGGTGGGGCCCAAGTCGGCTAGAATGTGCGTTTAATATTTTTTTTCTCCTTTCTGTGTCATCTGATCATGTAGACAACATCTCGAGGAGACATATGGCTTCACCTGCACGTGCAAGTTTTGCACCCTCAACGAGGAGGACACAAAGCAGAGGGATGAATGGGCGGGGGAGTGGCATGCGTTAGTGGACGACTTTGACACCAATTTGGCCAACGGTGTGTTGACTGCTTAACCCCAGGTTTCTTCCTCATTCCTTCCAGGCACACTTCCTGGGCAAGACGCTGTCCGAATGGTCCGTGCGATGTGGAAGCTCGCGCTCAAGCTGGAATATACCACTGAGCGGGCACGGTTTTCGGAAGAGGCAGGGCTGGTGGCGCTTGCGCATGGAGAGTGCGTTTCCCCTCGTCTGTTTTTGTTTTCTATGCTAACTTGTTGTCAGCGCGAAATCGGCTGTTCAGTGGCTGAAGTTGGCAGACAAGTACTACACGATCGAAGTCGGCGCTGATTCCGTCGTATGCTTTCGATCCAACTCTGTTTTAGGATGCTGATTTGTGTATTAATAGGATGCGGAGCGTGTGAGGGAACTGCACCACAACCCCACCAAAGCAGATAACTTTGCCTCGAAGGAACGCCTCACGCTAGAGGGGCCGGATAAGGCGTGGTTTGATAGCTAAAGTCGATGATCTCCAGCTATAGTTCTAGATATTTATTCCTCTGCCAAGTTTTCCTTGCTCCCCGAGCAGGGATGAACCTCACTCTATTTGTATTTCATCACGCAGCTTCGGCGCTGGCGCTGTGGTTGCCATGTTCACCCCTGAAGGTTTCACATAACCAACACCACCACGGCATTCTTGACTCTAACCACAAGATGGTGCATCCCAACCAACTTGAACCCATCCTCAACTTGGACGTTTTCTCGAATATTCTTGCTTACATCTCTTGCCGGCGGACGATTCAACTGATTTTGGAAGCGTTTCCGATAACAAATCCGCTTTTTTCGGCCGTGCTTATCCGACGATTCGAGTTGCCCCTGTACGTGGACACCTATAGCAAGGAGGCCACAAAGTCTTCCAGGGAGCTATTGGAGTGCTTCCTCCACAAGAACTCTGACCGGTTTCCCTCTGTTCGCCACCTCTCCATTGCATTCGAGGCGGAGTCGGACAACGTGAATCTCTCAATGGCGGACGACTTTACGGTCGATGCCTGGTCCATTCACGAGACTTTGCCAGGTCTAGTGCGGGCATCTTCTCGTCTTCACACCTTGAATTATTTCAGCTTCCCGGGTCTTGCATTAAACCCGGCCGTCATTCGCAGCCTAACTGATCTAAACTGTCTCCAAACGGTTACCATCGACTGCTCGCTCTCTTCGAGCATGGACAATGGCTCCGGGGGCAGACATTATGCGTGGCAAGGAGAGCTCGCCTCAGAATACGACGGTGAGATATGGGAGTCCGTGCTTGTTTTACGCACTCAGCATAGTTGCTGACTTGGTTGAAGCTTAGGGCCATTCGCCTCGACGGTAGGGCGAAGGCTTACCACGTTAGAGCTGCGTCATGTGAACCTCACCTTCTACAAGACGATGGTCGCACAATACGATACGTTTTCGACATATCATCGGTTAAAACACTTGAAGATGGATATAACGGCTGGCGTATGGGACTGGCGTGGCGGTGGCCCGCCAGTGCAAGGCGCTTCCCCAGACTTCAGGTTTCAGCATCTTGGCTTTCCCGCTGTAACGACGTTGGAGCTAGATGTGGGCGACTTGACTCTCTCCCGAGCCACTTATGGACCGTTGAAGATGGTTTCTTGTGATAAGTTGACGGAACTGAGAATCCTCGTTAGATATAGGTGCCTTTTTGCGTCTGCTGCCAACTCTTATGATTGATACTTATCCAAGTTTGCCCTTTGACGGCCAAACTGCAGTATGGCATGTAATTGGACTCTTCGAAACTTTGACACCACAGATGATCCCAGCTCTCCGCCTCCTCGAGATCAAAGACAACGCTTGGAACGAACGCTACTATTGGAATGACGCATCAACTTCGCGTCGTGGACGGGGTTCCGAGCAAGTGTTTCGCAAGCCCGGTCGCGAATATCCTGGCATTGTCTCGGGTTTCCTTTCGGGCGCTCAAACTGGGGATTTGGCCAACCTCACACATTTATGGGTGGACGAACGAGTCCTGTGTCAGCCTGGACGAACTGTCCCCGACGTTTTCACCTCCACTGCCCCGAACGACATTGCTTGGGTTTCCGCGCTGGAAACGGCTTTTCGTCGACTGAGTAGTGTGCGGGTCGGGTTTGGTCCATTGCAAGACGAGTCCATCAAGCTTGTCACTGGGCTCTGCGACCCCGCGAAGCTCGTCGAATTCGGGTTCGAGTGGAATTGGGAGGCATTTGAGCGAAACGCTAGCCTGTCGCCGAAACTGCTTACTTGCTTGTCAACCTTCCCCCATCTTAAGTCTGTCCACTTCCTCTTCCCCCGACCGATCGTCTACGACAAGAAACGACCCGCGCTCCCATACCCACCAGAAAATCCACACACTCTCGCCGACGTTGCTGCCATATTCGAGACCAACCTCAATGTCGCCCGCGTTGGCGTGGGGAACTCGATACTCTGGGAACGTTACTTGCCAAGCCCACTTCTGGTTAGTGATGGCAAGAATGGTCCAGAGTTTAGTGTGCCGCGATTCTTCAAGGCGGGGTACCAGTTCTGCAAGGAGCAGGCAAATGCAGATAACTACGAGCCACTTCGCCCGGAATACACAGAGGAAATCGGACAGTTGCGAGACATTCTGAAGCGCGTTCTGGTTTGAGGGTGGTACATGTCTAAATGTCTATTGACCTAATGCATACGTGTCGAAGAATGGGATGATGTTGGCCGTAGTTGCGTTGAACGTGGCAACGCCGCCGTCGAGACCTTCCGTCCCCGGCCAAGAATGCCCAAGCCCATCGACAGTGAAACCGTTCACCTGCTAACCTTGAGCTTTAACTCCATTGCTCGATTAACACTAACCTGAGCATTGCATAGGAATGCCTTCAGCGTCGTGTCCGGATGAGGATGGGAGACCGCAGGCTTCTTGTTGAGTTTGACGGCGGCAAGCTTGACCGCTGCCCCGACTTTGGAGGGAGACCCACATCCGTTCCGTTCCGCCCATGCTTCACGAAACTGGGTTATGTTTGGTGTTGCGTCTGGTTATTTGAGGTTATTTCCCAAGATAGAATGAAACAACACACATTCAATCCTCCCTTGTCTATCTGACTCCTGCCCTCCAAATGGAATAATCCGGTCGGAAAGACCATGGAAATTGATGAGTGGGACCGCTCTTCCTGGCGCACAGTCTGCTGGATTCGCACCGGCGTAAAGAGCCGGAGACACTGGTGCAAATGCAGCAAAGAGCCCCGCTGTCTCTGGAGTACACGCCAACAGATTGGTGAATCCACCCCCGTTGCTCTTTCCCGACGCGTAGAACCGATTCGAGTCCAAACACAGGTTTTCCGAAAGATGACTGACGAGCGCTTGAGTAAACGCAACCTGTGAAGCGTGAGCGACTGTTTTGGGCAACGAAATGGAAATCTCACATCGTCAACCCCTGGTGGCGAATACGGCGCTCCTTGCCATGCCCTGATGCTCTCATCGCCATTCTTGCCTGGCCCAAACTGACCCTGAGGGTAAACAGCGACGATTCCCTTCCCGTTGATTCGAATTCCAGATCCTGATAAGCCGGTAATCCGTTCTTGCTTCTTTGCATTGCTCTTGAAGCCATGAAACGATACAACGAGCGCATGGGGCACTGCGAGGTCGTATGCAGCTGGCAGGTGGACGAGGAATGAGCGGTTTCCACCAAGCTCGGGTGAGAGGGCGAGTGTTATGTTGGCATGGTTGGTGGAAGAAAACTGGGCGAGAAAGTCGGCCGCTGTTGACGAAGAGCAGCCTGCGGTCTCGTTTGCTGGTGCAGTCGATGGGATCGGGTTTACAGCGGCCGAATCTGCTCGTGAAAAGCGATATGAGGTGGGAAGGCCGCTAACTGTCGAAAGAAGGGCGAGGAGAATGAATGTGAGCGACATTTTGAATGGCAAATCGTCGGCGCCAGGCAGGACGAGGGCACTAAGGACCAGCCTTGGTGAGTGAAGAGAAGAAGAAAGGTTGGTTCTTACGCTATCTGGTCGCACATGGCGTTGTGTTGGTTGCAACGCCGCCGAAATGCGGGCCATACAATGATCCTCCCCCCGAGTCCCTTGGTGAACTCACGAAGGGACTAAAGCACAAGACCATGGTGGGAGAACGCAGCACTCGGAGTCTCGGAGGGCACGATAGGAAGTTAAAGATGGCTAGGTGTTGATGCCAAGCCCAACTCTGTTTCAGCTCAGCGCGGGGCTCGCAAATATAGTGAAGAAGAAGCTACTTCCATTAAGCAGTGGACAACAAAACAGACAAATGACCCGTATGTAGAACTATTTGATTACCAGCTATCTAACAAGCAGATAGCGCGCTTCCCGACCATGACGGTGCTCCGTTATTTCCCAATTGCTCTGCGTACCGAAGCCAAAATTGGGACCACGAGAAGGTGGTCCGTCGTTCGGGCGTCATCGACGAGAATTCGCCTCGGCGAAAGAAAGTGTTGTATTACTTGTGGTCCACTTGAATTGCCTGTTTTCGCACGCAGCTTGCGCCGGCTACGACAGGCCAGGGCCAAAGATGCAACTTCTGTGCCGGTGCAGGCAAAGTGCTCATCACGGAGATCAGCAGTCGGGAGACGCTATCGCCAGTTGGACCTGTGGCTCATCTAGATGCGGGTCAGGTCGGGGAGCAGTCGAAACAGGCGGGAACAGTACTTACAATATAGGATATGTCAGCACAGTCTCCGTATCCGAGTTCAAGAAGGTGCGGGAAGTTGGATCGTGAGGCAGTGGGCTACTCAGATGTACATCTGGATTGTGATCCTGAGGCCCAGTGAGGGTGAATGAGGAGAAACAAAGTGTAGTGACAGTGTCACTTTTCGGTTGTGATTCCGGCTTGCTTTTTAAGATCGACTCGGATGTTTCGAACCTGCAGAATGTTGCCTGGAGCTATGTGAGTCAAACAAGCCCTATGAAAAGGTAGGTCCACAGGGGTCAATGGTGTGTTTGAGTGAATCAACCAAGGAATCAGCTCATGTTGGTTCAAGGCCATGATGAATGGGTATTAGTAAGCTCCGAGTGGCACGTGCCGTTTGCATGACAAGCATCAACTTCAAGTTCAGCCACACTTCCGTGTCGTGTTGAGACTCGAAGACATCTCGTTGAACGGCTGAGCCAGTACATCACATATTTATAGTATGTGTGTCTTCTGAACGTATTTTTAGACATTGAACCAGCTGACTACATATGTCTATCTCAGTGTTGGAGCTGCAGCTAGCTGCAGGAATCAATCGGATGCATCAAAACCAAGCTCGGCGACGAAGGGAATGCGATATGTACTTGGGCTTGTCACTCAGGTGAAATTTTCCGTTCGAGCCGACGACGACGAAACACTTTTCTCGAAATCAGCAGAAAGCGACTCCAAGTCTCCAACGCCGTAGCACCTTCAAGTTTCTCGTACTCGAACATTCATACCCTTGCCGACTGCATCCAGTCATTTTGCAACAAAAGATCACGCCCGATGACAATTTCCAGTCGATGCTGACCTGAAGTGACTTGTTGGTGACTGGACCTCGAGCCCCCATCTTCAGGCCCATGGAAAATGAAGCATTGAAGCCAATGATGATTTGTGGTGACAAAGTAGGGTTGCGAGCACAAAGGATGACTCATATTGACTCAAATAATCGAACCGTGGCCTGGGTTCCGAGCACAGAAGGGAGTAATTCACTCCAGAAATCTCGGGCTTTGTAGATCATTACTTATATTGATCTAGGAATATGTTTGCTTGTCAATTGGACGCTGAATCGGAACCATCTGGTCCCGAGGCGGGGAATCGGGTTATAAGCACATTCTCCATACCATTCAATCCCACGACGGCTCCTCAATACCGTGCAGCTGCACGCTTATCAGAATCCACGGAGCTGAAGATGCTGGAAAGTGCTGTAACTTGTCGAAGACTCGCGGGCGACTCGGGGCAAGTACATTCGGCAAGTCAAAATGCCCGCCGAAAACACAATTTCTCAAGAGCATTTCAACCAGACTCAGCATGCGCAGTGGACACGATATGTCGCCCCTTCTCCATATCATCATAACTGCCCTCTTCGCGCAAACTGCTCTGGGTCTCGTACCAGCGGGCTACACACCCAATGGCAAACCGATCTTCCAAGCACCTCCCGGGAGCTCTATTCAACAATCTGGGAAAGATTTCGATGTCTTTGCACCAAATGGGACCCTCATACACGTTTTCGAAGGCGCTCACACTGGCAAGACTCGGGCCCAGGGCTCGAATTTAGCCCTTACTCGTCGTGGGGACTATAGTCTGACTGAGGCATTAACCATTGTCAATTCGTCTGACATCATCCAGTCTTTCGATACATCGTTTATCGTTCCTCCGGAGCCTGCGGCGTTCAATAGCCAGCTATTCTTTTTTGGTGCTGGCATTGGCCTATTCAATGAACACGACAGCAATACCTTGTTCCCCCTGCTGCAAGTTGGACTTCAGGTCTGTATTCTTCTGCGTCCAAGCAAGATGTTGACAATGACCCCAGTATGGTGGCACAACACGGCAGGGTGGCTCCTTCTGGACAGCGGTGATTGTGTTGGAACAAAACGACGGTTCATTGCTGCAAATCTCATCCTCCAGCTCTAACCCAGTGGTCCGCGAAGGGGACCGCATCTCTGTCTCGATTGCCAGCGACCCAGGACATCCACAAGGCCCAACGCCATCCTTTTGGTATAGGGCTGGTTTTGGGAACACTGGTCCTGCATTTCCCTTCAATGTTGGAATTATGTGGCAGCAGCTCCCTCAGAAAGCAACGTTTAGGCTGGAGGAGTTTGGTGTTACTCTACCAAACGAATACCCCACTGGCTCCGTCACCTTTGAAGACGTAAATCTCAGTCTCACCACCGGTCACCCGTCTATTTCGTGGACAGCCAATGTCGACCCTGCGACTGATCTGACAATTGAAGTTGAGAGGGACAGTTCAGAGAATGCTCAGATCGCAATCATCTTTCCTGAGAACAGCTGAAAGCTTGACGTCGACCAGTAGTTACAAATGATGTTTCCCTACAAGAACAGAATATCAGCAAGTATCTTCTGAAGATTCGTCTGCCGCCAGTTTCTCCCCCGCCGCAATTTTGCGGAAGATCTGAAGGAAAGTCTCTTCGCCCTGAGCGCCAGAGACTGCATACTGCGGGAATATCAGAGGTTGAGATGCATCACTAGTTATCGCACAGACCTTGTTATTGAGGAGGATGAACGGTACGCCTTCAACTCCCATTCTCTTTGCGTCGGTGATATCCTTTTGAACCCCATCTCTCAACTCGTCCGTTGCCAGGAACGCCACCGCGTCCGGTTTAGAAGCAAATACGCCGGCTTGAACAGCACATTCGGCAAGGAAGTCGTGATCCCCCACGTCCTGTTCCTTCTCAAAATAGCCACCAAATAGCGCATCGATGATCAAGCGCTGCTTCTCATCTCCGCCAACCAAGAATGCTTTCTCAATGAGGCGATGTGAGTCAATAGTTTGACGAATGTTGCCCCCGTCTGCATGGTCTCATCAGTACCCAGACAACACAGCAGACAGGACGCACAAGAGAAGTTGATTCCGACGGTCTTCCCACGGGCGGCCATCTGTTTCTCCATCCTGGCAAAATTGGCAGCCCCGAATTTGGAGTCATAATGTTCGCGTTTGTTGAGTGGTTTATCGGTGGGCAGCGTCGGGTCAAGAAGAAACGGCTTGAAGCGCAATTTGAAGTCCAGCGGCAAGTTTTCTTTCTTCGCTGCGGCCATGGCCAGGTTGAGTTGTTTGTAGCCCATGTAACAGAATCTACGTTCAGCAATCATTGAGCTGGTGACTCCGCAAAGTTGAAAAGGAGGGAATTCACGGGCATATGGAGTCCGAGATTACGTGCAGCGAGAGTGGTTTGAGCGCCATAGGAGCAGCCATACTGGGGTTTGGAACAGTCCTGAAGGATCGCGCTCCATCGTAATCGAGGTTTTAAAGCAAAAATGACTGCTCAGTCAGCAGTCACGTGATAGTGGGCCACACGCCAATTTTGTGGTAAGCAAGCCGCAAGCCTCGGTTCACATACTGCTATGGAAGCTTACGAGCGTGGATAGGAAGAGCCTCTTGACTGTCTTGGTAAGATAACGATCATGATATAGCTTTGAATTTGAGCGACTGTATTACGTCTGAGTGAACCCTGAAATGAAGCGTGAATCGGACCTCAATGATAGCCCATACAGCCTCTTTCTCCACACCGACTAGAAGGAAGACAGTCAGACCACGGGCAAATGGCAGACCAAGAAGAATCGACATGGCGGGTATATAATGGACTCAGTTCGAGTAGCTCTGTCAAGTATTTAGCTAGCACACTTGGACGAAAAAGGAGCGCAAGGCACTACGGTTTTGACCATCACTTGTTGGATCCTCAGTCCACTTCTTCAATATCGAGAGCAGAATCGCTGGATGAAGAAGAGGGAACCAGGTACTTAGGCTCAATGCTCGAGCCACAACAGTACTTGTCACCCGTTCAAGGTTTGCGATCGCGACTTGTTCAAGCATAGGAGCCAGGCAGCTTGTGAGCATATGCGTGATCAGTCGAGATTCAGCGAAGAAAACAAGTGCAAGGCTAGAGCTACAACAGGGAGGTTTACATTTCAATCGGCTTGGCCCATGATATCCGCCATCGACCCACCAAAGCCTTTCGGGGCCTTGATCGTCAGTTCGGCTTGTTGACTGCAAGACCGTCAGACAACAAATGACCCCAAGGAAGATGACTTGCAGTCGCATTCGCAACAAGACCTTGCGATTTGTGGCTTGGATATCCCGACCGGCCTTTATCGCACGTGCGAATAACTCCGCCCTATAATCCGTTTGCTTTGCATAGAGAATCTTGTTCTGGCTGTCGACCCGCCCCTGGATAGAGCCCGCTTGGATCAGCTGGACAACATTCTTTTCGACCTCCTCCAGAGTCCAACCAAACGCAGCACTCATTCGATCGAGTCGAATAGATGCAAACGGGCGGAAGTAGAGGACAACCGCCCAATTGCGAATCAGATTCGTCAAGGCAGCAACATGTGGCGCGAGGTACAAGTCCAGAGAGTGTCTTGCGGAGTATCGGTTGAGAAGATCAAGCACCGTCTTGAAATTACTCGCGAGGTATGCTTCAACCAGTTCGCGGACGTATGGCTCTTGCTCGATATAGACTCCAAAAGTCGAGTTTTCCAAGATCTGGACTTTGAGAGCCGAGCGAGGAAGACTGGAAAGCGCACACAGAACACCGTATATAGCGATGTCGCCAGGCGCCACGAGCTACATCGAGAGTCAGTGTCATCCAGATTACGGAAAGAGTAAGACACGGACTCGACCCATCCAATCGCCAAAATCCTTGGCAGGACCAAGTTTGAGGAACGAATAGGCAGCTTTTTGATAGCTCCCAGAAGCAAGATTGGAGAGGGCAGTTGCGAAGTCGAGTTTTGATTGAACACGCTCTCGCTCCTCTGATATTGGTTTGCGTTTGTTCAATAATGGCGCTGCAGTAGGGGCAGAGGCACCCTCTCCGTCCTTGTTGGCATTCGCGGCAGCAGCGGATGCGGCATCTAGGGCGGCATCGGCTTTGAAAACGTATGTGGGTAGATGGGAGTAGTTCCTCTGTTCAATCAAAAGCTGCAAAAGAAGAATAAGAACCAAAGGTAGTTGAAATAAGATAGACGCGCCTCCAAGACAGAAAGACACATCTCTAGCACATGCTGACTCGTCGTGCAGAATTCGCGAGATTTCGTATAGTGTTTGAGTGCTGTGGGGTACTCGCCCACAGAACGGTAGAAGTCGCCAAGGTCACGATGCCCCATCTAAGCAATAAACAGACTGCAGGTTTATGTGAACGTGGCGAACTCACGCGGATGCTCTCTTTGATCATGTTATTGGCATATGTCTTCAGCTCGACCTCCAACTTTGACCTCTCCGCCTGGTTCTGGGCCAATGTCATTTCCACCCATTTCGTGTCAATTACCGCCAGTTCATTATGTGGTGGTAATGTTATCGAAGGATCGGCGGTCGCAGCTTGCTCATAGGCAGACACAACCTGTTGGTAGAGTGAAGGATCGCGCGACTTCTTGATGTGCGTGACGGCGAGTTGGAATGCCTCTGCTGCAATACTTGGCGCTGAAGAGATGATTTGAATGAGGCGGTCGATTACGGTTCGGCCTGGGTGTGTTTTGGAAAGGCATTGAACGCGTCGACATGAAACTCACCAGTATAATTGGAGATGTAGGACTCGAGGTCAAAGGGATGCTGCTCATCTACAACAACGACCGCTATCTTCTTCGAAGATTGGTCACTCTGCCCTGCCTCCTCTGGAATGTCGACGTCCATGGAATGGAATGAGTCTGTGTGTCACACCGTTATGGATTCAGAGTCACGCCTTTCTGCTTTCACGTTGACCTCAACAGCACCCAACTTGCCCGACACTTAGCAAATTGAATTCGATACCTCAATTAGGGCGGAGATACAATCTATTAGCAATAATACTATCCAATCAAACCAGTTCCCTAGGGAAATTTGTCTCTGTTCACCTCGATGACCATTGGCCATAGCAAATGCACGGCTGAAACCCACAGGTACATCTGAAAAGTTGAATCAGCTCTCAAAAGCCACCGGAGGCAAGAAACTCCACTTACTGGCTATGTCTATGACCTTGAACGGAATATCCCGATGAGCTGCAAGTTACTTCATCAACTTCTGGAAGGGCTCAAGACGCTCACGTACCTTTGACCGGCATACTGCTGACCTGAATACTGGCCCTGATAAGGGTTGGCCCTATACTGTGCGGGTGCTTGTGGTTCCCCACGACCGCTGCTCTGTGAATAGCCATACGGAGTTTGCTGTGTTGCACCACCCTGGTTATGGGTGGGAAAGTGCTGTCCACCGAACTGGCTGTATGGATTGCCATATTGACTGGAGCTCTGCTGGCCAGTGTAAGGCTCAGCCTGTGAGGGTCCTAACGCAACGAGTTCAATGAGCCCCGATTCTTGCCCGTACAATCCATGCTTACCTTGCGACGAATTTCTAGCTTCTTGTTCTTCTACGTCAATATATTCGCACTGAAGCCCATTGCGTATGCATCTCAGGCAGCTAATGTCGTCGCCATCTGGGGAAATCTGGACTTGGCACTGGAAAGCGAACCGAAAAATTAGTGAACTTCATAATCCTAGTTTGAAAGTATCACTTACTCGTACGTGTCTTTTGCGACAATGGACGCAGGCAATACGCGCCTTGCCAGCCGTATCTCTCGATGTCATATCTCTTTCTTGCTTGAGATGCTCACGACTTCCTAAAGCTCGTGGTCTTATAAGCGGACATCGGTGACTCCCTCTCCGCAGCCTTCCATAGCGCTGAGAGTAGAAAGAGAAACACAGCGGGTTCGATGCGTCTCAAGTCTCCTCATACACAATTGCCCTTCCGATGAGTTAATGCAATTGTGGTGACTCGTGGAGGAGAGCTCTTCACCAACCTGAGCCTGAGCTGGCAACTCGCATCGGTACGCCAAAACTGAAAGCGACGGGATACACAAACGAGGAACTATCCTCTTAATTCATTGATGTGTTCCCGCTACTCACTGGCACCAGCGCTGGGCGCTCGACGACGGAGTATCTGGACACAGTTCAAGTTGTCTGTTGGTGCGATGTAATAGAGTCTTGAAATTTGACTCACTTTCGAGTCAGATGAATGGACCCACAAATTTACTCAGTTTTTCGACGCGAAGGGGAGGATCCGCACAGGTGGGTCGTAGAATCATTAGCAAGGTTCGCGTAGCGTAGAAAGCTTGAGGTTCCAGCTCTACCGATGTTAATATGTCATTTCAGAGCAGTGCATCGGGTTACCCGCACAAACAGTGCCTAGAATGCGCGGTTTCCCTGTGGCCTTTGTCTTCGAAAAGTTCGTGTGCACAGTGCAAATTGCGAATGATTAGATTGCTCGAGTTGTCAATGCCGGCCGGGTTCAATTGCCAGTGACGGCATCTTTCCCTGCTCATCCGACTGTTCTTCTTAACTTCGACAAGGATACATTTGTTGACCACCATCGCGCAAAATGACTCTATCGAATCGATTGGTTGATTAACCGGTAGCCCTGGAGAAAAACGCGTCGGGGAACGGAAATGAAGTTGGTTGATGGATGGAAAGGAAGGAAGGGTCTGGCGACGTCGAACAAGGGTGTTGACCTTCGCAACTAGACTTTACAGGCGCGCTTCAGTGGCCAAAGACTGCCATTTCTGTCCAAGGGCTAGGGATAAAGATGGGCCGAATCCGAAACCGAGTCAGATGGTCTTTTGCCAAATCCCTTCTCGTAAGGCAGGACGACTCTTTCTCTCTCCCCTCAACCACCACCATTCATGTCGCCTCCGGACAACGAGGATGAGACCCAGCCGCTCCTTGCTGCCCGCCACGACTCTTACGACTCTCATGACACTCCCCCAAAACGCACTCCCCTTCCTACGACTCAACTGGGCATAGTCCTCTTTCTCCAACTAGCGGAACCGCTCACCAGTCAGGTTATATATCCATTTGCACCACAGGTGAGATCCGCTCGCATGCAAATTCACGGTCTGACTCTCCTGCAGCTGATACGAGATGTCGGAATCACCAATGGGGACGAAACGAAGGTTGGATATTATGTGGGCATAATGGTGAGTTTGCATGACCCCTTCTTTTCTCCAGCTAATGTCCGACATCAGCAATCGCTCTTTTTTCTGACGCAGGCGATGACTGTGCTTTACTGGTCCCGTTTGTCTGACCAGATTGGTCGTAAACCCGTCATTCTCTCTGGCCTCATCGGCCTGAGTATTTCTATGTACTGCTTTGGGCTTTCCCGGACATTCTGGGGACTAGTGTTAAGGTTCGTCGACTTTTTTTTACTCGCCTAAAGTCTGCACTAATACTTGGGATCCAGCCGGAGTCTAAACGGTGCTCTCAGTAGGCTTCCTATCTTCATCGTAACCCTTTTACTTATGTCTTTTTCTTCAGACGGAAACATAGGCGTTATCAAGAGGTCTGCTTCTTCGATTGCGAGTACCCATTCAAGGCCTGATAACTATGTTTAGCATGATCGCAGAAATGACTGACACAACCAACATCGCACAAGCATATGCTTACATGCCAAGTAGGTTGATGTCTATGCCAGCCCAACGTATTACTCACTGCTTTCGACAGTTGCCTGGTCAGGCGGCGGAGTACTCGGTCCCATAATTGGCGGATTTCTCGCGCATCCTGTTGAGCGGTTCCCGGCTTTGTTTGGAGACAGTGATTTCCTCCGAAAATACCCTTACTTCCTTCCCTGTGCTGTCCCTGCAACATACTCGATCATTGCATGGCTTGTCACCCTGTTCTTCCTACGAGAAACTGCGACTGGTCCGTCCATAATCACAATACCGAGTGTGCTAGATGGACGAGATGGAAAAGCGGGGAAGCGGGAATCGTTGGAGGATGCGCGAGATCCAGAACCCGAAAGCGAGCCAGCAGTTCCTCTCCGCCAACTGCTAACACGACGAGTGTTTATAGCCGGCGGCAACTACGCTTTCCTCTCTCTCGTAGACATCGCGTTCCGTGCCGTCCACCCAGTATTCCTTGCCACCCCAATCGACCTGGGTGGCCTTGGCCTCTCAACAGTCCGCATTGGCCGACTGTTGTCCGTCTTTGGCGTCCTGAACGGCATCTTCCAGATATTCTTTTTTGCCCCACTCCACGATTACCTCGGGAGCAAGCTCATGTATAACATCGGCATCTTCACCGCCCTCCCGAGTCTCGCCATGTTCCCCTTGCTGAGCTACCTCGCAAGGCAAGAGCAAACGGTCACCACATTCATCTGGTTCCTTGCCGTAGTCCAAATTGCCATCTCAATCGGACTGTCACTCTCCTATGGCGCCGTCTTCATCTACATCTCCTCGGCCTCTCCCAACCGTGCTTCGCTTGGCGCAACAAACGGACTGTGCCAGCTTTCAGTGTCGCTCATGCGCACAATAGGGCCCGCAATATCCAACTCGCTCTTCTCGCTGTCAATTGAGAAACAGTACGCGCACGGGTGGATGGTGTACTACATCCTGATGGGCATAACCGTGTTTGCTCTATGGACAGGGTCGTTGTTGCCCAAAAAGCCTTGGACAATGGGCAAGTAAAAAGACATTTACTCAACGAATAGATATCAAAATCTCACGTGGTTTCTTGACGAATGCCTCATTTCTTTCGGGATATAGTTAATGTGTGTATATTAGTCGTAGAACTGAACTTGAAGAGACTTGAAGGTGCTGGGTCGCGATAGGTTGCTATCTGCCTCAGCCAAGTCACGTGTGAGGCACAGTCATCGTTGACCAGCTATATTGTCCAAGTTGGAACAAAGCAAAAAAAGAACTAGACATGGGCCAATACTTCCTTCAACCTCATACATCCGAAGCTGTCGCATGACGTTATTCTTCCCTTCTTCGGCTTGGTGGGCTCTCTTCACAACAAGCCAGAAACAAAACTTGAACAATACTCTGGAAACCTCATGGTGTTAAGCCCATTAATCCCGAGACGCGAAACGAGGCAGAACGCTAAGCTCCGCTGGTGCGTGGCCCTGGGCAAAAACCCAAACAGCCGATCGAGGATTTGAGAGGCCAAGTAAGTTTGCTTATTGTTTTCGGCGTTCGCCATCAACTTAATCTGCCAATGTGCGCCTGCAAAGCAATGCTTGATTCACCCATCCGGGCCCCGGAATGACTCCGACGTCTTGTTTCTCGATTGCTGGAACCTCTCACAAATTTTCCTGGGACTACGTCGACGTCAGACTGTTAAAATTTCAATGTCAAGCCACCCATCCTCCGATGAAAGCCCCCGCTACGACTTGCCGCGTTTTTCTGCATGTTCCAGGCTCCCTTAAGTCCCGCCCGCAAACCGGAAGATCCCACGATAATATTACTTTGTCCTCCTAATCCGGCGTCTCGATCTATGGGTGTTTTGTCCGCTTATTGTCTGTTGTGTGTGCTCGATCGCCAAAGCGGCTGGCCAGCCTCGATCTCTCTGACGCACTGACCGCGCAGCATGGCACTGGTCGATCTGTAGGACCGAGCGCCGGGAGTGGGTGAGTATAAAAGGCGGTTGGTTTCGACGGTGGTCTTCACCCCCCAACCAGCTCTCTTCTCTCTAAAGCCCTTCTACCGCTACCAAACCCACCCAACAACCTACTCCAAATGGACGCTTTCACCACCACCACCATTGCCGCCACCGTCCCCGCCAAGACGACCGACGTCGTTCTCCCCCCGGTTAACGAGGACGGCGGCAACGGCTCCAGCGGCAGCTGTGTCGTGTGCAAGGAAGACACTACCCTCCCCCCTGTCGACAAGGACGGCGGAAACGGTTCCAGCGGCGGCTGCATCATTGCCTAAAGCTGTAGTTACTAGAACTCGGTAACAACCATGGTAAAGCTCTTCTTTTTTCTTTGCATCGCTGACCATCTCCCAGACACGAATCACAATGACCCACAACCACCATTTTTGCGCGCCCCGAGCAGCGCTTATATTATTGTCTTCGCCTTCAATGCTATTACTTAGCTACTTTTGTTTTCATTTTGGGATTAAATTCGAATTGTAATTCTTCGGTGACTGTTGAGGCATTGGCTCGAACCACCTGCTCAGTTTCCGAATTAGGCAGGTAACCTACCAAATTGGGAACCATCCCAAGTCAAACATTTTTACGCGTCTCAAGCAGCACCAGCTATGATATTGTATTGGCCTTTAATGTTGTTACTTAGTACATCTCTCTGGGGCGGCTTAGCTCGACTCCCGATTAAAGCAGGTAATCTACCAAATTATCCCAAGTCAATACCCACTTCCAGCCCGGAACCTTGCAAGGTCTATCTTTGTTTCCTCCTTCGTGCAAATTACATCATTGTAGCTAGGTATAAGCAGGATCATATGTGATTGTGTAAACTTCGATATCTTGTGCGACAGCGCAGGCGTCAGGTATCATCGTTGGTCGTGAAGCGGGAGGTTAGTCCAAGCTAATGGAGAAGACGGGAAACAAAACAAAACAAATGGGAAATATGTCTCTCAAGAGTCCGTAGGAATCCATCCAGAATATCAGAATAGAACGCCACAGTCCGTCACCCGCTCACTGCCCGTTGTACCCGCCATACTGCTGTTGTGGCGGGGCTGCTCCTGGCGGGAGACTCCAGCCGGCACTAGCACCAGGGCCCACCGAGTTACGTGAATATCGATTCTGTGGAGACTGTTGCTGTTGTTGTTGTTGTTGTTGGGGTGCTGGCCCCTGTCCACCAGCGCCAACTGGGGCTTGCGATGTCGGTCGACGTGAATTCCTCGCAACACGACGAACTCCGCCGTCAGCAGACGGCACTGGCCCGCTGTCGGTGAGTTGTACCCCACGCATTCCCTGTGGAATGCCATATGCGCTAACGGGAGATCGCACAAGGCTTTCAGGTTCGTCATAAGTCGCCGGGCTGGCCGGGCTCCCACCACGAATGAACGGATTGGCACTTGAAGGCGGGCTTGAGACATCCAAGCTTCTCCTGTAATTTTCCCTTGGTGGTCTGGGCGGTGGCGAGCGGGAATTTGACGGAGCAGCAGGCGGATCAAAGGAGTCGACCCACATATCGACACTTGCGTTTTGTGGACTAGAAACAAGTCGCTGGGCACTAGAATTGCCGTCGAATGCTTCTTCGCTTGATCGTGCGATGGCGACAGAAGAGCTAGACGAGGTTGGACCGCTACTTCCGCTATGTGTTGTGTTGCGGGATACAGCCAGAGGTGTGGGGAGCATAAGAACAGTATTGTTTTCGGTTCGTGCACGAGGGGCTGCAAGGTAGTTGTTCGTGCTCTCCACCGTGGAAGAATCGACACCAGAGGGAGGATGATAGCCGTCAGAGTTGGATGCCATCGAGTAACGATTGCTTTCAGCCCTACGGTAATTAGTATCTTCAAGTCAAGTCTGTCTAAGCAGGCAATACGCACTTCCAGCGATAGTCGTCATCCTCACGACTTGTTGTGCCACTTCTCCATCTGCGTTCCCTTTCGAACTCAGCCCAACGTTTCATGACAATATGGCTCGAGTCGAATTCGCCCTCCTTGTCTCCAGTATGGTCCTTAGCACCACCATCAACTTTCCGTGTTTGACCCCAGGAGAAGTCGTCGAAATGCCAAAATGCGTAGGCGGGCAAGATACCGTTCCAGATCGGGAGCGAGATTAGGTAGATTAACATCCAACCAATGTAGGCGATCTTGCGTGAGGTAATGACGATGAGGATAAGGGGAATACCAAGCACAAAGGCAAGGAGAACGAGCGGAACGGTGGTGTTAGTGTGACCAGGAATAATGGAGGCGACGATCAGGTATATTGTGAACGAAATGGCTGCAGGTAGCACAAGGGTCCCAGCCAATTCCATTCCAACGACAAATTGCATTGAGAAGCAGAAGGTCCCACAAAGATCGCGGACCAGGATAAGCTCAGAAAGGTTGTGAATTGTCGAATTGATCCATCGCCGACGTTGACTTAGCAGGATACGGAAAGTGTCTGGTACTGTCGTCTTGCAAACAGCCTGGGGACAAAACATGTTTTTCCGCTTCGGGAAAGTCTTGAGCATTAGCGTCGTAAGATATCGATCCTCTCCCAAAAGAAGAAGATTCTTCTTGTGCAAGGTGTCCACAACATTTTCCGAGTAATGCTCAACAATGTCGGGGTTTGCTAGAATGGGCACCCAGAACCCGGATTCGCCCTTCGGAGCCTTGATTCGGTACATGCTGAAGCAGCCGGGGAGACAAGTAACACCGCCAAACATAGACTCGAAAGACTTCGTCATATGGTGAGAGATGTAGTACTCGAAGACTAGGACATGGTTCAGACATGAAAACAAAAGTCGAGAACCAACATACCCTGCATCATCGTTACGAAAGTTTCAGCCTTGTTTGCAACCTTGGTCTCGCCACACAAGCCCATGATCTCCGTATCGCAAACCATACAGCTGACCATGCGTGACATGGCATCTGGGAAAACTTTGGTGTCTGCATCGACACAAAGCACCAATTCGTATCGTTCTGGGCTGACACCGGCGACTCTCCAAACCGCGTTGAAGAACTCGTATTCAAACGTTGTCATCCGTTCATCGAACATGACCTTTTGGAGGAAGGCCATAAGCACGATTTGCGAATCACGTTTGCCACGATTGCCAGGTTTGGCGTCTGAAGCCTCGAGCGGATTCCCCACTTTGGCCACAAGAACAACAGGGACACGTTGTTGCTTGGATCGCTCTATGGTTGCATCATCGTAGCTATAGAAACCTGCATAAACCTTGGCCATGTTATGTCTCCGATGGCCGTCAGCAATGGCGACATAGGAATGCGCCTCCACATCCTCGGGAGAGACAATGAACTCCTTCATCATGGTCAAACAGATGTCCGGTGTTGTCAAAGTGTTCCCAGCTCCCTTGACCATTCCATCGGCGATGATGACAATAAGTTTGTGGGAGTTGGGATAATCGGTTGTCGCTAAGGAATCGAGGGTTGTTCGTAGACCTTCGACAGACTCAGAATATGCTGTTACGAGACAAATCGTGTGGGCCAGGGGGAAGTTGAAGGGCTCGTAGTCGGGAGGTGGTTGTGGCACAACATTGCCAAGCGGGAAGGGACATGGGTTATCGGCAAATGCGCCGCGGGGATGGGCGGCAGGAGATTCGGGTGTGCTCCAAGACATAAGACTTTTGGAACGTCTATCTGGCGGTGTGGAGTTCCCGCCCTTCCCGCTCCCAGCAATCGATCCGGCATACATTGTCCCACGTTTGTTGCCAGAAGTAGACCCAGAGTCACTTCCAAGATGCCCGTAGGCCGTAGTTGGACGACCTTTCCCAGCAACGGCAATTCCACCGACAGCGTCCGATGGTGTGAATCGTGACGTGCTAGGCAAGAAGGTTTTGCGTTTCTCGTTCTTCGCAGGGGTTGCGGCAACGTTGGGCCTCATTCCGCTTGGGGCAGGCTTGTAGATATCTGCAGACCAGTTTTCAATCTCTTCCGCCCGCTTCATCCGCTCTTCGTAAGTTTCTCGCGGGAAGTTACCCAGCTTGTGACTGAAGAACCACTGGAACATGACGGCCATGGCGAATCGGATAAGGACGACTCCGACGATAAAAATGAGAGAAAGGTAAAGCAGAACTTGCGAGGCAACGCAGCCGATAGAATTGGTGTCGATGAAGCCAACGGTGATCATGTCTTGCAAGCAATGCCCTAGATGCATTTGGTTCCTTCTTCTGAGCTGCATCGTTATGTCCTGATGGGTCCATGCGGCATTGGACTTGAGATCATTGAAGAGAGGAGGAACAGTAATTTGGGACGGGTCCAGCCAATTGAGAAGTGATAGGTCAAGCACAGAACTGTTATAAAGACTGAGTTTTGTGGTAGAAAAAAAAGGGAGGATGACACACCTTTCGAAAACTGCCAGAGAGCGATTTGCAGTCTTGACATCATCCCAAGTAAAATAAACTTGACCTTGGGGGCGCATACTCGCAAGTTGACCCTTTGAGCTGACATGGCAGTTGGTCTTCGCGCCGTAGGCTGTCGTGTTCGGAGTCTTTTGTCCATATTGGCTGAACACGTTGCAAGGGAAGTACCAGTCCATGACTGCGCCAGTACCCGTTATTTGGCTTGAGTTCGGTCTTGAGACGACTCCGAGGCAGTTCTGATTTGTCTTTTGGAACAAAAAACTCGCGTCGTTCCCTGCAACACCCCAATCACCAACAAAGAGTGGATTGGTTGTGCCATCGAACGTGCTGCCGGCTCTGGGGTGATGAAAGCTCCCAAAATCGTAGTCGTAACCATTGATGACAATTGAGCCTTTGCCGATGAACGCGTCCCCAATTGCGCCACCATGGAATCGGTTGGGCGGAGTGCCACAAACGGCTTGAGTGAATCCGAAGGTGACGAAGCCGACGGTGGCCATAAGCGATAGTACGATGCTGACGAGACCCATCTTCTCGCGCCATGCTCGTTGTTGTTCAGGCGAGCGGAGACCGCATGTTCGCATAAGTGGGGTGGGAATGCAGGCGGTAATTAAATAGCAATAAAGCATCCAAGGACCTTTAGGACCCGGTGCATAATCGCCTAGACAGCTGCGTTGCTTTGGGGGTGGGGTGGCGGGATTGAGGGGAGCAGCTGCGGAGGAGCGTTTCCGCCGGAGAGTAGCCCCGCGTTTGAACAAAGCTAGTCCCGACTCATGTACGTCTTCCTCTCTAGCCAGCAGTGACCTTCCGCGACGAAGGGCTTGCCGTTGTGGGTAGTTACCGGTTGCTGCTAAATGTCAAAGGGTGTTAGACGTGAAGGAATGGAAAACGCACTTGACGGCAAAACTCCTACTCGGCCTGGTGCCTCCTCCTCAAGCTGAGCAACATGCGTTCGATAGTGCCATTGCCTGTGACCTGGCTCAATCTTCTCTCTGTCCGGTCTGACCAGACTCTTCTTTCGCATGACCCCAGCCTCCGCATCCACACCAAGGAAACTATTATTCCCTACCGCACCTACAGCAGGTCGCGCTAACGGTGCCGAACGATCTCCAGATTCGAGGTTGCGGAAAGTTACACCACCAGCTGGAGGTGGAGAAGCTATTGGGGATCGTTGCTGGTATGATTGTGGAGTTTGGGGGTCGGGATATGTCGGCGCCGGCGACTGAGAGGTCGACTGACGAGGTCGAGCTTGTCGTGGCGGGCGTTCGCCACGATGTTGGGGCTCCATGTGGCCGGCCGTCGAACTGACGGAGTGGTGGCGGGAGGAAGAGAAGGGAAGGTGTGTATGTAATCACGATCACCACCCCCTTCCTCAAACTTGCAAGTAGAAATCTTCGGAGCAGACATCTCTTACTACACCATCGCGGCTACTTTCTACTTTTGCACCTTCAGACTACCTCTCTGGCGACCACTTGGCTGTCTCGCCGACATAACACGGCTATGACGTGCCTATGATCTATGATGAAATCATGAATAAGCCCTGACAACAACGATTTCAAGTGCTGCGAAACGAGCGTCGATTCCGACAGCTTTGTTGAGGGAAGGCGTTATTGTCGTGGAACAACAGCAACGAAATACCAACGCTTGACCAAGGCTCGTCTTAAATGAGTACTAGTAGCGGCCACCGACAGTCATATGAACGTTAACGTCCAACTCAGTGAACATGGCCTCCAATGCCCGTCCAGCGAGCTGCACAAAATTGGATCCGTTGATCTTCAATTTCAACGGTCTTGCCGCTTTCAATCCCCAAACTTTCAGCTACTTATATCACCACGTTCCCTTCCAGCCGTCTAGAACGGCTAGTAAAATAACAGCCAGCTCGACCGCGTAACGCCGACGCGATGCCTACCGCACAAGGACACTTGTGGAGAAGCACTCAAGTACTGAACGCTGTTGGTCTAATTTTGAGGGAGAGAGTTGGCTGAAGACTCTGACCCATGACTCTGATGGCTCCAATCTCACCCCCAAGTCGCGATTCTGATTTGTGAATCCCAGTGAATACAGCAAGTACAGCCGAATTGAATCTGTGCTTCCGAGCATGCTCAAGCAGCCTGGGGGGCTTTCAATTGTGCTTGAGGCCTGAGGAGGGAGGCTGGTAAATGGACACCACTCCAAAAACTCGATTCATATCGGATCTGCACTCCAATTTTGCAACAACTGCGGCTGCTACTTCTGTTCGTTGACGCAACTATTCCGAACGCAAGTCTCAACTCAAGTTGACAACAGAACGTTGACGCTCATACTCGTATGACATCATCTGATGGGCAAGTGTTTCGGCGTTGCGCATGACGACGACCGTTGAACAAAATAGTCTGCCAGTGACGTCGACCGCGTCAAACTACCAGGTGAGAACCTTGGAGCAAAACACACCATATACCTGTTGCCTGGATTCTCTACTACTGTCATGTCCCCAGTACCGGTTCCCCAAACATTCCGCTACCAGCAGTAAGCTCTCAAGTAGACCGTGTTATCTGGAGGTTCATGCCTGTTTTTAGTGTGCTCTATTCTCCGAAAAGCTGGCTCTGGGGTGTCTGGCTATCGCTTCCATCCAGTTGGCGGGGACGCGTCTATGGCACCATTCTACGCGTTTTTGGAGAGCAAATACCATTTACCAACGCATATCGCGTCCGTGGCTACTTCTTCAAACTCTGCCCAACGACAGACGAGGCTCTCACGACAGAATACGTTCGGGCCCACACCTCCATCCCAGTTGCCAAAGTTCTCGATGTTGTCCGACTGCCGAAACACCTTGTAACACCCAAGACTTCTTGGGTCATGATTTCCACTGCAGTAGCAGGGACGCCGCTATTCGTGAATGGGTCTGGCCATAGGCTACGAGACGCGCCAGCAGAAAAGGCAGCCCTTGTCAGCCAATCTCTCAAAAACTGGCTGGACCAGCTTCGACAGCTGGAGAGCCCTTGCGAGCAGCGCGTGTGTGGTTTTACCGGAGGGAACTTTCGCAACTTCCGCATAGGTGAAGAGCCCGTGGGGCCATTCGCTTCCATTGAGGAGCTCAACTCCCATCCATCGCTCGCAGTCCCTGAAGCCGAGATTGAATTAAATGAAGATCTAAGCAGACTCGTTGATGCAACGAAGAACAAAGCTTACCGTTTTCACCTTGTTCACGGAGACCTAGTATTACACAACGTCATGGCCGACGACGACCTGCGTCCCACGGGAATCATTGACTGGGAATGCGCAGCGTGGATGCCAGAGTATTGGGAGGCGCTTTCTTCGTCGCGTGGCGCTTTCAGAGAGATGCAGTATTGGAAAGATGTCCGAAGAAGCGTGTTCCAGGAGTACAAAGATGAAATGGACCTAGACACACGTATTCAGAAGCTTCATGGAGGAGAATAGAGATGTGTACTTATAATGGCGAGGAACATTAGGCTGACAGACTTACGGTACTAGTACTAGTACTGTCGATTGGATCGGTTCTCGAAAACTTGTCCATGAAGTAGTCTCTACGACAATATATACCCTTGTTGGGTCGTCTACCTTCCATTCCGGCTCCTCGTGATACATAACGATAACTCGTCGTCGCTTGCGTCGTCGAAAGAGTTGGAACCGGAACTTGTTGCTGGATTGATGGCCATACTAGTAGATTGTGTGCACGTGCTTAACCGTGTTCCTTCAGCCTAGGGTCTGTCATGGACAGCCCGGGTCATGCCCGGGTCATGCCCACGGGCAATCTAGCAAAAAATTCATGCCCACACCCGCCCGGGCTTGGCAAGGCGGGCAACGGGCAGTGCCTGCGGGTCACCCGTGGGCACGACGGGTGTCCATGGGCACCTAGATATTGTAGCAAAAAATGATTATCTATGTACTTGAACTACTAGTAATAACTTGAAATCGACTTGTTCTTGCTCGCTGCGAGCAGCAGCCTTCTGACGTCTCTCGCGAGCCTCAAGAATCTTCTCCGCTGAACCAGGGGGAAGAATGGTGCATCATCCCATCCTCGGCCCGTTGTCCAGCACTGCGCATGCATGTTGGTGTGGAGGGCGGAGTCCGATGGTCATGGGCCAAACCAAGTTTTTTTTTTGATTTCTGTGGGCACTTCATTCTATCCTCTATCTGAATCCTCTTCAAAATTAAAGTTGGATCAGACAATTTGCGAGTACATTTTACTTAAAAGTTCATTGTACATGATGAGATATTGGGTGGGCCGCCCGTGGGCACCTCGATGTCGCAAGCTTCCCGCCCACACCCGTGTGGGCACTTTTGCGTGGGCTGCCCACTGCCCACTATACGTGCCCGGGCAGTGCCCACGGGTCAAATCCGCGGGTGACCCGGGCAACGACTGTCCATGACAGACCCTACTTCAGCCTCCTTCGTACAAACCTTGTTCGTCAACTGGAACCCATCATCCACGACTGCGGCGCAGCCAGGACTCCATCCGCTAGTCTCTATGCCTGTCACACGCATATAGGTCCCGCCTAGAACAAATTTGAAGGCACAACCTGATAGTAAATACTTCCAAGTCCCGTTGACCGTGGTCGACAAAAGGTTCATCGTGCTACTCGAAGACAATACTCTGCGCCTTCAAATATGCAACCAAAACTGTACCCAAGCTTTGCTTTCTGACCGACTGGTGTCCTACAAGTAGATTCATTCAAGTTTCCCTTTCCGCCTTGAGTCTTGACACCTGTTCCGGCAGACCTTCTCAACAAGAACTGTCCATGAGTCACGACGACAGATAGTCCCCATCCACCCACCCGCCCAACCGCTTAAATCCGAGTCTTCATCCACAGCGGCCATTTCAGTCCGGGTGCAAGTGACCATAAAGCTGCTCCAAGTTTCGACGGTATGGTATGATGCTTTTGAATCTTTCCTGTGTCCTTGCAACTTTGCTCGCTGCCAACGCGGCTCTCGCTTTGGCGTCGGTGGGATACACTTCAGCCGGCAAACCAATCCTGCACGCACCCTCTGGATCGTTGATTCGTCAATCAGGCCAGAACCTCAACGTATTCGCGCCGGATGGCTCACTTCTCCACGTTCTCAAGGGCGGGAACGAGCCAGCTACTACCCTTTCCCGCCGGTTTGCGGACTCGGACTTTCGCTCGGTGGAGGCGCTTGCAGTCGTCGATGGGCCAGCCACTATGGAATCGCTGACCACCACCTTTACCATTCCTCCCGTGCCCAAGACCTTCAATAGCCAGCTCTTCTTCTTTGGCGCAGGCATTGGGATAGACAGTAACGACAGCTCTATTACGGCACTAGTGCAAGCTGGACTGCAGGTTAGTGTTCCCCAGGCTTTTGCGAATTTCCCCCTAGTTCACCTCATCTCTAGTACGGCGGGACCCCAAGACAAGGTGGCTCGTTCTGGTCGGCCGCTATCGTCATTCAAGCTGGAGATGGCACCCTTCTCTCATACGGCATTCCCTTTGGCACCGCCATTGTCCACCCAGGAGACCGCCTTACCGTCTCCATTGCAAGAGACACGGACCCTACCCGTGTACCTCCAGGCGACGGCTACTGGTATCTCGTGACATTCGACCACTTGGACCTCGCTATTCCCTACACAGCGGAAATGTTCTGGGAGATCCCGCCGTCGAGAGCGATGATCAGATTGGAAGAGTTGATCATCGACGACGCGAGCGAATACCCTGTCGGCGCGGTCGTATTCGAGAACGTGAAAGTAAACACGACCGCGGGCTTTCCAGCCATATCATGGCACGCCAACAACAATCCCGCGTTGAATGTGCAGGTCAATGTGGAACAGGATGGGTCTGAAAATGCTCGGATTGCAATTGCATTCCCTGAAAGTAATTAAGTACTTAAGCTCCTGTGTCACGCTACTAGCCAAGGTGATAAACCTGAATAAATTGACAAGTACAAGTCCTACAAATGTCTATTTGTTGACATACATTTTGGTAAATAGAGAAAGCGGAGAGATCAGCACTACAAATAATACATTGTCTCTTTCAATTGCACGCCAGCGACACCTCCATGCCAAGCAGCGGCGGCCTCCTGCATCACTGCCTCGTCCTGTGTGCTGTTCGAGGTGGTCGTCGACGCGGAAGAGGTGATGCCATTGAGCAGTTTGTGCAAGTAGCACCGTCCGCGCTCACACGCAAGGTCAGCGTAGTAAGCAGGCGAAACAAGCGACACGGCCTTGGTCGCACGAGCTACGACATGGTCAGAATCGAGTCACTTGAGAAAGCAAGAGACGCACCAAACATATAGCTCACAGAGTTAGTCAGGCCTTGCAGCAGGTCAGCGGTGAACCCTATCTCGTCGTGGACGACATAGTAGTGCGTCGGTCGAGTCGTCCCTTGCAAGCCACCGTGAGCTTGCAAGAAAAAGTCAAACTCGTAGACCGCAGTAACACCCCGGTCAACGACAGTGCCGGCTTTGGGATTTCCATCTCCTGCCGCATCGTTCTGTTCTGCAGGATAGAACCGCGTGTGGTGCCGCTTCCCGCAGATGACGATCGTCAACTTGGGGTTGTAATTCGCCACCGGGGTTTCGCGGAAAGCAGCTTTGATCTCCGGCAACTCCTCTTCGATGACAGTTCGGAATTGGCCCTCCGAAACACCGTCCCGATAGACCAAGACACGACTCGGAAGGCGATTGCCGTTCATCGACGCGAATCGTCGCAGTCTTTGAAGCATCATGCCCTTCAGGTTGGTGACCATCTAAAAACTTGTCAATTAGGGAACAAACCGGACGACAACACTAACCTCCTTCCGAGACTCTTGGATCTCCATGCTCGCCGGGTATTGTGCATAATGCTGGTCGACACTAGCAACCACAGCAGCGATGGATGGCGTGCCATGAACGGAACCAGGACCAGGATGCGTCACGTCGATACCAACCAGCATCGTTGGTTCTTGTTTCAGCCAGGCCATGTTCTGGGGATCCAACCCGTGGCTGACAAGGCGTGAGACAGGGCAAAGAGCAAGCAAAACAACCCACTTGACACCACCCATCTTCATGTTGACCTTCAAAGCAACATTTGCAAAGTATTGGAGTTGGCCTGAACACGAAATCAAGAGGGAGTCATATCTGGAAAAGATATCTTACCTTTGTCTTTGCGAATTTTAGCAGCATGGACACAAATAGACCCGATGTCCATGTAGCTATCGCAAAGATGCTTGAGGCCCGAGTAAACATGCTTATCGCCGTTGGAAAGTATGACAAAAACCAGTTTTGGTTTGCTGGCGACCGTGTTGATAGCAGTACGGATGACCGGAATCGCTTGTGCTCGCGTTGGATCGGCGCTGTTTTTCTGAGGAAGGATAGCCTCCTTGAATGCCGAAGGCGGGGAAGCCTTCATCCCAGAAGTGTTACACATCTTCACAAAGCCCTGCATGGTTCGAATCAATTCGGGGTCATTCGGCCCTTGGAACTCATCACGGCCGCCGTCACGGATGAGCAAGACAATCCACTTGTCTAAAGTAGCGCCGACTTTGAATTTGACATCACGCAGATTCCAGCTCGCACGGTCGTCGACGCTGGGAGTGCCTTGACCATAAACCACGCGAGGAGGAGTAAGAATTCGACCTGGAACAACGGCCATCTCTTGACCGATACTGACGCCGAATTGTTGCAACGCTCCTCCGCCTTGTCGGAAACCAAGTTGGTCGAGACCCGGTCCAGTGATAGCTGCCGCATTGACAGCTGGGGGTTGAGCAGCAACCCTGATCATTGCGGCGGTATGGTCGTCGGTCAGTTTGCCTTTGAAAGCTTGACCTGGAAGGATCTCGCAAACTTCGGCAGGGAGGAGGTTCTGCTTGGCGCCTCCCACATCGACGAGAGGCATATTGGGTTCGCGTAGAGTGATGTTATAGCCTTAACATTATGTTAGGAGACGAGCAACTCACAACACGAAGAGGCACTTACGACGCTTGAAATATGTCTCAACGGAAACCTTCTCATTGTTGAACTCGGCACAGGCAAAGATGTGGCTCTTGGCAGTCTTGTTGCTCAGCTTCTTAACGGTTTTTTTGTATCCCAGGTGAGTTGTTTTGACGCGGACCCCCCTCACAAAAGCCTCAGGTCGAGCGCCAAAAGTGGAATCTCTGAACTCGATCATAGCTCTGGCAAGATTTCCCGGTTTGTAGAATGCCGTGGTGCACACTATTGAGATCAGTTACTAAAACCAAACGGCGCTTGTCCAATGCTCACCGTTGAGGTTCACCATGAGTTGATTATGGGCAGGGCGAACAGAAGAATAGAAGCCTCTGAATGCTTCCAAACCACCTCCCAGATCCGATGCTCGCCCAGGAGATGGAACGAAGAAACGATTACGACCCACTTGAACCCCGGTACGATTGGCGTGCGAGGCAAGCAGAAGATTCATCGCAGAAATTAGAGGCATAATGTCGTAGTCGCGATACTGGAAGTTGCCTGAAACGTATCTGCACTAAAATAAGCTCGTATCAAGACAGAAATTTCAAGCACATACTGCTGAAGGGCTTGCATATCCAGTGATTGTGTGAACGTGATCTTGAGGGTGTATTCTTTGTACTTCTTGTCGGTTGGGGCAGGTGGCGTCTCATCAGCATCGTAGTACGGGACGCGAATTTGAAGAGGTTGAGGCAGCTGGTTGACCGCGATGATTTTGGCGGAGGAATCATGGACGACTCTGTCTGAGCAGCATCAGTGGTGTGAAACAGGATTCCAAAAATTCTCACTTGTGAGCGGGGCCCATTGCTGGGACTGCTCCGCCAGTTGGAAGATACGTTTCTTCACACGACGCACAGCAGTTCCAGCAACGGGAGTGATTGCAACATCGTATTCGTACAGAGGTCCGCTAGGAAGACGGACAGGGAAGAAATTGGCCCGGAGTTTGATTGCCCGTCCCGCAGTTCCGAAATCAGGGCGTAGAGGAAGGTCATTGGGCGCGACTGTGATGCCGGCGCGACTGGCCACAAGTTGTTTATCAGAGTCGTTGGCCACACGGGCGTCTATGTTGGCTGGCCCCGGGTTGAACACACTGCGAGAACAATAAGCGTGGGAAATGGAACATTAAAAAGAAATACCCTCCACCTCGCCCTCCGCCCTGGAAACCGCCACTTCCCCCTCGCCCTCCACGAAACCCGCCTCTGTCCCCACCTCGGAAACCCCCTCTATCTCCACCGCCACCGCCACCACCACCACCACGGTATCCGCCACCGCGTCCTCGGTCACCACCACCACCACCTCTGGGTTGGCCTCCACGGTAGCTCATGGGAGTTGAGAGTCAAGTGTGCGTGTTGTGTGACTGAATGAACTATTGCCTTTCTGGGCAATTCGTCACGTGAGAATCAATGACTCGAAACTATCCTCCGGTTCCGTCGGTTCAAGTTCAAGTGAGTGCTTTTATTTCCGATTCTACGCTATTAACGAGATACAAGGGACGCAAAAGGTCATAAAGACGTATAAGTCAGTAAAGAGCGTCAGTAAGATATGCTATAGGTCGTGCCTTGCGAAAGGGTATGGGGTGCTATAGATACAGTGGGTAAACGAGACTAGGGGGGAGGGGTGAATTAAACGATATCATTGGCGGGAATGGGAACATCGGGTTTTGCGGAGTGTGTGGGTGCGGAAGCGGTTGTTTGAGGGAGGAAGACCGAAGCGCGATGCAGAGAAGACACTTCAATCTCCTCCGCGTCAGAGTCCCCTGCCAGAGAGGCTGAGCCCGACCCAGAAGGCTCATCGATGGCTCCAAAGGATTTGTCCAATGCACCAGCAAACGATTCGGTACCGGCAAAGGACTTTTCCTTGTCGATGTAGGAGAGCGAATCGAGGCCAGCGGAAGAGAAGGAGTCCAGAGAGTCGCGCTTGCGCGATGTCTCTTTACGAATGAAGACGGGAAGAGTGGGTCCATTGCCACGTGACTTGGACGCGGTGCTGGCCAAGAAGTCAGTAACGAATAGAGTGAACAACGTAAAAAGGACCAACCCATTGGAGGATAACACACCGCTGCTTCCGCCAAGCGTCGTGCTTCCCGCAGTCGATAAACCAACTTTGCGGGCAACACTGTTGACGACGGTCTTGTAGTTCTTCATCGCCTCGTCGGCGAAACCAAAGAATCCGAAGAACACAAATGCACAAAAGATGGTCGCCCAGCGAAGAGTCTCCAGACTGGCAGCAGTCAATGGATCACTGCGCCAGAAGATGCCGGGGACTTGGACAACGCGCGAGAAGTTGGAGTGGGTATCTTCCCAGGAGATCCACGGACTGAGACCAACGACAGCGACGTTATTGTAGAGCACCCAGATTCCGAGCGGAATGGTGAAGATAAGGTCCACCGAGGCGAGGGCCATGAGCCGGAAGTAACGGTTAATGTTAAGATTCGTGTTGGAAGAAGAAAGGAGTTCCTTAAATTGGAGATGGGAGGCATAGAAGGCACGGATGGACAGCACACAGTACACCGCTGAGATGGAGCCGATAATAATCGGGGGCATGTGGAAGAGAACAACAGCAACGGGAGTTTCGTAGGTCGTCCCAAGGCAACCAATGTCTTCGAAAATGTTATATCGGTGACCTTGGACGATATATTCTACAGCAAGATCAGTTTTGTGCATGAGGAATGCGAAACAAGCGTACGAAGGGGAATCTGTAAGATGGGCAAGCCAAGCCCGATGAGCAAGTCGATAATAATTGCTCGGCGTTTCTCTGCGTGCGTTCTGGTAACGCTGCGGACAGAGGCGATTTGATACAGGCGACGATTAATGCAAAGGGAAGTAGCGGGGATGGCGAGGTTGAAGCCATTCATGAAGTGGGTCGAGATGTCGCACCATGTCGGGGACCAATCAATGACGTTGTTGTGCCAGACGATAGAGTTGATGAAGAGAACGAGACACGCCAATCCCGTCCAGATCATGTAGAGGCAGGTCCCGACATTCCAAGCTGACGCGATGTTCAATACCAAATCGTGAAACGACCGTGATGCTAACCTTCCAGGTGCCAGGGGAGCGGAATAAAGCTCAACACGAAACCGATGAAGGCCATCGCGGAGAAGAACCAGTCGGGGGCGCCATGGTAGAAGTACATCTTGGGGAAAGAGTGGAGGCGCAAGAACAAGCAGAGGATACCTCAAAACAGCGCAGGTTATGAAGGGACATGGCCCTTGTTTATTCTGGGACGTTTGCTTGTTCGGCAAATTTCGTCCCTAGCTGATGAAGAAAGTGCAAAGTTCCGCGTATGGAAGTGCCATTGACGCCCCCAAATAAGGAAGTCTTGGCCTCGTCACAAGCGAATCAATATGTGACTGATGGCGCCGAGTGATGGCCCTCGGCCCTCGGCGCTCAACCAGCGGCCAGGAGGTTGCGTTGGGGCAGGTAGTAGATGAACGGCATTATTACCTTGCTGTGGTGACGGAAGGGTTCTTCGTATGCACAATAAGTGGAAACTCGAAATATCCAGAACGGGGCGTAGTTGATGGTGTTCTTGTACTTTCCTTGTCTGAATCGCCCTTGTCTATATCGTGAGGTGTTTGAAGCAATCCCGCGCACGCCCGATCCTTTGGGCTTCAAAGAAGACCTTGCCATGGTGGTAAGAGGAAGAGTTTAGGCAAGCGAAGAGACAATCGTGACGGTCCCGACGGACAATGGCAGTTGTGTTTGGCGAGCTCGTTGATAGTAAACATAAGCAAACAACTTCCTCGTCGACGGTGACGTCAAGCATGCAGGTCAAGCGGTGCTCGCTATGTTCCGCAAACGCGCAGCTTCCAGCTTGCTTCCCTCGTGGCAAGGCTCCATGAAAACACGCGGCCTGGGCTACATCTACCCCGAGCCAAGTCCTGTTCTAACGCCAATGTCAACATCTCGGTTGCGCAAGACCAAATCTCAGTCCCGCACGCAGTCGACACCGGTCCAGTGGCTATTTAGGAGCAATATACCACGTAGAAGGACGTCGTTTATGCCCACTGATGTCCAGAAGCGCAACTTTTTCGGACTGGGAGATATCTTTGGCGTTCTGGCCAATGTATGTGTTCAACTTTTCACTCATAACAGTCCACCGACTATCGATAGCCAGCAGAGACTCTCCGCTCTCTAACTGAGTCCAAACGACTTTTGGAGGAAGCGCGAAGAGAGATCGAGGAGAACAAGGAACGTGCCCAACTTCGCGTCAAGCATACCTTCTCTCGATACCCGGGATTCTTTCCGCGGCCAGCCGAAGTCAACATCCTCGAACAAGTACTCCATGGGGAGCCGTCTTTTACTGTACTATTTGGGTCAAGCTCGGCTGGCAAAACTGCACTACTTCGTGAGGTTTTGTGTAACGACGCTTACCATGTCCTCCACTTCGACCTTCGTATCGCAGGTTTTGCCGACCTCCCAAGCTTGTATACTAGTCTCAGCCAACAGATGGAGCAGTATTTTGACGAAATCGGGAAACAACCTGGATTCGAGGAGTTTGAGAAGGAAGCTTGGGCATTCAAACACGACCGGTTGAATGTTGAACGCAGGATTATCGATATGCCCCAAGGCTCTGACCTCCTCAGTGTCAGGACCAGCGATGTCGCGAGGTTAATGGAGCTATTTCAAGTACGCCAACTTCCTATCGTTCAAACGGCAACTAAGCAACCTGTAGAGCTCGTTACTGAAGTATCGTGAATTCGAACCGCTTAAATCACAGCCCAAGGCGGATAACAGCCAGCACAACTCTTCCTCACCCCGTCGTTTCCCGTTCTTCCGCAAGGGAAAAGGGAAGGACGTGTCAGAGGAGAAGATGCAACACAAAGAAAGTCTGCCGTCCCCGAAAAAGATCCCAGTCATTCTCTTCGACGAGGCGCACCGACTGTAATATCCCTATTCCTCTTCCAAAGCTCAATTAACAACACCACAGACCCGCCCTCATCCACTCCATCGAAACGATGAAATGTCTGCTCGACTCGATGTTGGTACTGACGAAGCAAGATCGACTGTGTCATGTTATTCATGCCACCAGCGATCCATTCTATCAAACATGGCTTCGACAACTGAATGTGATGCAGCATTGCAAGGTTTGCTCCCTTGTTCCTATTTCGAAGCCGTGCTAAGAATGCTGCAGATAATCACTATTGGAGACTGTTCCAAGGCTGAAACCCGGGCCTACTTTTCAACGAATATTCTAGATCGCGTTCCACGTAAACTGCACTCGCGTTTAGATTTCGAGAGGCTGTATGAGGCGTTTGGCGGAAAACTGGCGCATTGGCATGACTACATCACGGATTTCGGTAACATCTAGCACATACCCTGAAACACGAGGCTGACTTCATACTCAGTCAACTCAGGCGGGACTTTGGAAAGTAGGTTGCTTATTCAGCTCGAACGATATCTAGCTGATTTTGTTCAGTCAAACAGAGCTCGCACTTCCTCCAAGCTCATGCCCTTCTCAATCTCCACCTTGTCCACACCTCACAATCGCCTTCAAGCAATGCAATGGTACCCTCTTCAAATCGAAATTCTCAAGTCGACAGTAACAAGGGGCGAGTTCGGGTCTCCAGTAACACACCTACTGCGCTGCACCCCAGGCTGGGACCTGCAGGATTCCGTATCTATTCCCCAATCACCAATCCCAATCCCCAATTCGCTAGTGCCGGTGGCGGGCCGGGTTCTGGCGCCGATTACTTTTCTGGCGCCGAATTTTCTGCGATGGACTTGCTAAAGGTCATGGGTCGGCTGACTTCGCCGCCTCCTGCATACACCAGTGTCAATACCAACGCAACTTTGGACCCTCGCAGGAGAAACACCAACCAGAGCTCCATTCCAGGACACGATCGACAATATCTTGCCTACTTCCCTCTGTGTCGCGAGCTCGGGGTGCGAGCCGTTGATGGGCTGGTGAAAGGCCGTGTCCTTGACCTGCGATGGACGGAATGCGTCACCAATGAATGGGCCGAGGAGCGATTAACCAATGGCCACAACTTTCACGGCCACCCAGAAAGCATCAATCTCCGTGCCGCCGCAAGCAGTCCAACTGCTGTCGAAAGCATTCGAACTGCTCCTTCTCAGCAGGGTGTTCACGCACCTGATGTCGATGCCCGAACTCCCAGCGAAGCAACAAGTGAACATGACATGATACCCGTCTCAGAAGGGGAGGCGCTGTACACCGACCGCGAGCCATACTTCCAGTATCCCGAACACGACGATATAGTTGTTGGCTGCAAACTGGTGCCATCACCGATAATGCGCTTCGCAATGCGCGAGGTCGTTGCGGAGTACGAAGACCAGCGGTCTGTGAGCGACTATATGTCACTGTCTGATGTGGATGTCGACGAGTACTAGTACTTTATCTTGCGTATTTATATTTATATCGTCTTTCGCTTTTCTTGCGTACCACCACGATCATACTTACAGGCTAACTTCCCGATATGGCAAGTGACCTTCTATAATAGGAAGGAATACAGAAACATGAAAATGTTAAATCATGACTGGAACCTCGCCCAGACGTATCTTGGCCGCTCCAAAAGGCACCAATTTGACACTGAACCGATCATCGCTGAGACACGCAACGGGGCTCTGTGGCGGGGGCGACGCCGTTGAGTGTGTCAGCCCCCATTCGATATCGCACGCGGCAGCGGTCATGGTAATTGGCGAGTTTCCAGGGGCCCATGCGTAGAATGGGATCGCGTTCGTGCTGGAAGAGAGATCGTGGACCTGGATGGTAGACGGATCGATGGCCAGGGCCCATTTACCAGTCGGCAGGAGTGTGTTGTCGTGAGTGTGATTATCAAACTAGAAAGTAAGATAGATATATTTAAGTGACGATGGCACCGACCTGAGTGACGTATTGCGGGGGAGCGTTTGGGTACAAACGGAGCACATCGCCAACTGCCTGAGCTGACCGGAGGCCCGGGGTCACGGTGGTATTATACGCGATTTCAACCGCAAAGTTGAGCGGTCCACGCGTGATGGCCACAGCCCCGTTGAAGCGTGTTTCGATCTCTGTTGGCGCATTGAGGCTGACATGCAAAACCGTCTGGCCAGCCGCAATCTGAATTCACAGCCGGTTACCCCCAGCCATCAAAATCGTAAGCAGATATACGCACCGCGATACTGTGCAGCGATGTTGCGTCAGGTTGAAGACGAGTTGGCTTGCCCTTGTTGATGGCAATGGTGCTCTGTGCGCTGTTCTTGGCCCATTCTGGCACACGCAGCTTGAACGTGAATGGCTTGGTCGCGGTGAGAGTATATGTCAGGGCGGTGCCAAACGGATAGAGTGTATCGACATTGACTGGAATGCACGTCATGATGATGGCAATCGCTAGAATCATGACTGACTGTGAACGTTGTTATGACCGGGCAAAGCAGTCGCGACAGAAAATGGCCCAAGGAAGACATGTACGATGGAATTGGAGGAGGGCTGAGTGAAGAAGGCATGCGACCAAAACTTCGGGAATCCTTGAGGGTGGTTGACAGTGCAGCAAGGATAATTACTACGTAGGTTTAGGAGGCCTCAAGCTGGGAAATAATACTGACGGTTCAAAACCAAAGACGTTCGACGTCGGTCCATTGTCCCCCCACGGCGCTGGGTCCATTACTTTGGCCCAAATTTGGTTAACTGGGAAAGTGAGAAGGACAAATTATTCTGAGGTGAGACGAGCCTTGTTGAGAGCATTGTAAGCTATTTTCTCTGCGCGATCAGCTAGAATACACACTAAGAAATCTTAAATCAATGGAATATTAGCCACATACCAATGGTGTTGTTGCCAAACATCTGGTAAATCAATGCAAGAGAGAATATCTGCTCCCTTCATTCCGCTTTTAGAAGTAGTCGGAGACATGTCGAGATACTTACACAACCGCGCAAAGTTCAGTTCTATGGAGTAGGTAAACTTTGAAGTTTGGGTATGGGCATAACCGTGCACAAACCCTCGTGAGGGATCGAGGCCGGTATAGTGCTCATCCGCACCGAATGTGCCTGAAGCGCGACCATGATATTTATACAGCATATCAATGCGATCGAAAGTGTTCTGCTTGTCGGTGGGGTCCCCGGTGAAGCGAAAAGCCAATGCTTCGGATTTCAGAGCTAGAAAATGCAGATTGCTAAACGATTGTTGGGTGGAAAGAGGTACTCAGTGAGACCTTCGCCCGTATTGACCCCGTGACTTTGCATGCCTGGTAGAAAATGAGGTTGCTGTTTCGAAAGCAATGCCTTGATCGCGTACTAAATTTTGTGTCTGAAACCTGGAAGTGGACTCAGCCGTGCAGGTTGCCACATATGACGGAGTGCAACTTGCCTGGGGAAAGATGCCAGGCTGAAACCAGTTGTCCTTCTGTGAGCCCGCCGTTAAAACAGAGGAAGACTTGTGCCCAACGAAATCGTACCCAAGAAAAACCAGTGTCTCGAACAAGTTTCATCGTTTCGATAAGCTCATCCGCCTTGTCTAAGATAATTCGTTAGCTTTCTGCAGCTATCTATTGCAAGTAACATGCCTCGAGGATCCTTGTCGACGAGCCACTGGAGGGAATATACCATCTAAACACACAAGGGATTAACGGTGAGGTCGTCTTGGAGCGGAGCACATACCTCTTCCCATCGAACATATTGATAGTTGAATTGAAAGCCAAGAGAGGGAGCTCCAAATTGATTCGTTTTCCAGATTGTGTTGGCCAGATGAAGAAATTTATGCATCGCGTCTAATATGCGCGGAGCTTGGGTTGGATCGGCCTCGGCGTATTGCTAATGAGCGTGGCTCAGTATCCAGGTTACCGAGCTTTAAAAGAATGGGGGCATACGATGAGGCCCATAAGAACAAGATAACGCGGCCAAACCAGACGCGGAACGGTTGCATTAGCAACGAAGGGTTCAGGCCCAATCCAACCATCGTCGCCTTGGTGGTCTAGCGTCCAGTCTAGAAACTCTCGCACTTGATTCAAAAGACGTTGGTCCTCTAGCTGGAAAGCGAGTGAAACCATGCCGTTGCTGAGCGGACATGAAGCGACATTTTGAAGGTCGAGACGATGTACTCACAACCAGTACGGAGCAGACTCGTGCATCTCGGAATATTCAATGGAGCCTCCTGGGACCCAGATAGAACCATTGACGCTGGAAATCGAAATCAGTGGTTGTTGGGTCAAACAAAATATAACACACTAAGCATCGAAATCCCGAAGGTGCCCCGCAAGACCATCCGCTTGGATCTCAAAGAAGAGTATCATTGAGACATGCATGCTTTTGAGAGTTAATTTATGTCGTACCTTGGCCTGGTTAAGCTGCCAACCAGTTGGTTTGATGGAGCCAGTGTTAATTCTTTGAAACAATGGTGGTAACACTGAACGAAGGTTGAGAAGCGCCTTCGAGGGAAGAGCAGACAAACTGACGAGACGCTGGCACGGCCGAAGCTACCAAGGCCAGCACATGGAGAATCGATAGGATTTTCTGTAGAATGTGAGCTGAATTGCGAGAGTTGACCTGCCTACCCACCATTGACAGGAACAGAGAAATTACTAGGACGAAAGGCTACCGTCCATATTTATAGCAAGCAACGGTACCGAACGCTGAGGGCGGACCGCTGGAAACAAGGGAGAGGATCACGAGAGCACGATTCTGACCTCACTATCTGTCGCAAGACCACAACAGAAGATCATGGTGGGTGTGCGTGGGTACGTGGAAGTTATCTGCATTGGGTGAAAGTTAACATTCTTGCTTGCTGGGCTTGGTTGTTGCAGAGCAAATGTGTGGCAGGGACAGCACGATTCCAAGCATGGACTGCCCGGGATGCAAAATTGAACGTAGTAAAGCGAGTTCAAGTTGACGTCACGCTTGCGTCACGCTGTTTCTCTCTTTCTGTATCCAACTCGGAGACCGAGTCAAAGAAGCCTTGAGCTTCAAGCTGGTTACGAACTTGGAAGAGGCGGAAATCCGCTTGGTCATTTCATCTCTAACTAACACATACGATTCTCGACTGCACAACTTCCTAACACCTCTTCGATCTCGCCGGACAACACCCCATGCAATTCGTACTTCGCAAGTGCTTTATGTGACCGCGACTCCGTCTTCGTTGGCCTCAAACTTGTGTCTTGCAAACAAGGGTGGTCATACTATGGCACTAGCCCAACTGAACAACGACATTCTGCTACTAGTATGCCTTGAACTTCCAGTGGATACTATCCAAACCCTACGTCAAGTAAGTGCTCCTACAGTAACCGCCTGGACTTGTACTGACATGCATTGTAGGTTTCTCGCGTCTTCAGCGTCGTCACTCGAGTCCGTTCTCTCTGGATCACTCTTATACGCCGGGTTTTAACCACAAATGGCCTTATGCCCAGTTACTTGGGTCATTATGAAGAGCTTGAAACATCTGTCCTGGAACTTCTAGTGCGAAGGCTGGAACACTTTACCGAAAAATGGGAGCGTGATCCAACACCGATATCTCCTGCCACCCTATTTAACTATAACACTTCGTTGTCGGTGACTTGGCTTAAGTTGGTCGCCGGTAACTGGCTTTTTGTCGCATCGTCGGATGAGACGGAGAGCAAAATTTCATGCTACGACCTCTCTACCGCTACGCCAGATTCGATGAATGGTATTGTGCACGCATATCTTCCCGGTCGAGTCAGAACCGGTCGGGTCGAGGTTCAGGATGGTAGTATGGTGTTAGCTCTCGGTTTGGGGCCAGAGTACGTGTTTAGTGTTGCGCATATATTTTCCGATGCTGAAGCCATTCTAGATCTGCTGCCGTCCATATTCTGACGCTTTGCAAAGTATCTGGGCAAAATGTTTTCTGTGAACTTGCGCGATGTGAGGGCTCCACCTACGTGTTGATGCTCTCTGGCTCTCTGGTTGGATGTGCTCTACGAAATGGGAGCAACGTACCCCATATCTACGACTGGAAATCCCGCACAATATATGACATAATCCCTCAGCCGGATGGTCTAGATGTTCCATCTCGTCGAGTGCGTCACTGTTATCCAAACAATCCAGTATTTGACTTTTTTTCAGACTGTTCCTCATCTAATGACTAAATGGCAAGGAAAATTAATCATCATTCGTTCAAGCGCGATTGAATTGTACGACACAGTCTATGCCCAGACGACCACTTTCGTATTCAACACCAATTTCGACACCCCTTCCATTTCGGAGGTTGAGCGATGCGCTCCTCCCGGGCGATCACCCGACACACTTCACTTTCTCGCTCTCTCTTCCCGCGGTTTGGAGCTCATAACGCTGGAGCCTGGCGCCGGTCAAGTCGACTATCACCAGAGTCTTATTCTGGAGGCGCCATTTCATCGTATCCTCAACCCTGGTGATCCTGTACCGGTGGGAGAAGACTATCCCATGTTTTATGGTCTCCGTGTCGGCGACAGTGGCCAACGAGCTCTGTGGATCTCTGCAGCTGAAGCGACTATCTATTGCAAGAACCCACACTTACGCCTCTGCCAAGGAGCGCTTCCTCCCACATTTTCCGGTGATACGACAATGCAACAAATTTCCACCACGTTCGCGGGCATGGAAGATCCTGCCATATGGGGCGTTGCTTCAATCGACTTCGACGATGCACTTGGCGTAGTGGCCATTGGAAACTGTTTCGGTGAACTGTGGGTCTATGACTTCGGGTCTGAGCGCCCCATTCGGCCTCCGCGTTTATCGATCGACTTGACTGAGCGGGCGGGGCCTCCAATAACAACAACATTTCCCCTCGTAAGTTTTTCAAAACAACTTACATAGTGGAGTAGGGGATTGACGCGACGAATCGTAGGAGCCTTTGCCACTCAATAAGCTCCCAGCACCACACTACAGAATGTCGGATATTGAACTTGCTTCTTCTCGTGTCTCGCGATGGGGTAAAGACAATATCAACACGTTTGGTCAATGGAAACCAGCGAAATATGCCCGCCGTTATGGTTTTTCATCCCAGGACTTTTGGGAGGGTGTTCCTTGTGACTTTGGCTGGGCATTGGACCACGTTTATGGCTTTCCAGGCGAGGTCTTACTTCAGTCCACCATCTACACGTGGGATGGCATCGGTGAAGAGATAATATTCCGCATTGGCGATCGGTACCTGCTTCTGACAACGGAGAAAGAGGAGCACTTTCTTTCTTGGTCTCTCAACCCTGGCGATTTTCTCTACCAACCAAATCATCCACAATCATGTGTGCTTCAATTGCCGACGTGCGAAACAGCACGTACTATCCAGATGCTGTATCAGCGGTTTCTTGCTCATGAACGTGGCGGTAAAGGGCGACCTGAGCGCGATAGATGGGCGGAGCTTAATTCGAGAGGAGGAAAGCCGCCCGGGATCGTTATGTACTAACTTGATAGTTGAACGGCAAGGATTGGGCTCTTTTTCGACCTCGTACATGAACTTGGTACTGAGAACATTCAAGTTGTGTTGTTGCCTTGGTGGTCAAGCTCCGTGGACGATCGAGCAATCTTTGCATGTGGGGATTTAAGAGCGGCTAGTAGGATTGTTGTTCGCTAGCGCTGTTGCTAGTTTCAAGTTTATCGCATTGGAGTTGCATTGGAGTCGATGGCGGGTGACATTTTCCTAAGCGCAATTGGCAACAGACGCTTGAGGTTGACGGTGCTGTATCCGAGCTTGAAATTTTGAGACCGTAAGTCACCTAGAAGGTGTCCGAAGAAGCAATCATGATGGTGTGAGCGACCACCGAGTGCTAATGCGAGGTCCCGAGAGCAGTAGAAATAGTTCTTGGTGGATATTAAGCTGGAAACACACCAAGGTAGTTGAAGTATTGTTCAATGAATCGGCTTGAGCAAAAATAACCCCTGTCAGTGAGGGGACATCATTGTCGAAGACAATCTAGAACAAGCGTGTGAAGGAGTCTAGCAGCTTTGGATGCAACGGCGACCGACAAAAGGGCTAGCCCATATAGCTCCCCCTTCCCTCCTCGACGCTGGAATGGGGCTGGAAGGCGAGAAAGGCTCTCGCCTGAACCAACGCATTTTTGGCGTCACGAATCGAATTTGGCTGATACTTGGCCTTTTCGTCTTTCTCCTGGGCTTCACTCATTTCATCGTCCCTACCACCCCGACGCCTGTTTATACCTTTTCCAACCTCAACCTCACTCCCAAGAACTACTTCAACGCGTCCGAAGCTGGGCCCAACCCATTTGACTTTTGTCCGGTCTATGGCCCTGGTGACGAGATTGGACAGAAGCATGGCGCAGTCACCCTTGGTCAAACGCGACTACATCTCGGCAGTGGGGCAAGGGTTCAACGGGTACTAAACAGGGCGCTGGCTGGCCAGCCTGTAACAATAAGCATCATAGGAGGTTCTGGTGCGTGAATTAACGTCTACACATTGAGCAGTCTCTCATTTTTATGTATCAGTTTCTTCATGTCATGGAGCTGGAGACGACCATATTGCGCCTCGTTGTTATCCCTCCCGCTTCTTCCAATGGTGGAACTCTGTTTTTCCGCATCCCGCTTCCGAACTCACAAACGGCGCAATGAGGCGCTCAACCTCCGAATATTTTGCGTTTTGCAGCACTCATCACATTCCTGACGCCACCGACCTCGTTATAATTGAACTCGACTCAGACGATCGTGCCGACCAGGAATCACTCGAGAATTTCGAGGTGCTGGTCCGATCCATCCTCATTCGACCAGACGAGCCTGCCGTTCTCCTCCTTGGTCATTTCAGTCCACAAGTTCATACTGCACATGGGTTTGCTGGGCCAGACCATTACCACAACATCGTCTCCCAGTTTTATGATGTTCCACACATCAGCGTCCGCCCACTCTTGTATACCGACTACATGCGCGACCCCGATTCTATTAAAAAGTTCTTTGCGGACGCTGTTCTGGCCAATCCCCACGGCCACGAGGTCATTTCTGAGGTTCTCATCTCATACATCCAGTCGCAAATCTGCACGGCTTGGGCAGTTGCTAGTGGTGCTTCCTTCGACGCAATACCTGGCCGAACAGTATTCGAACCGCCAACAGGAGACACCCATGGGCTTTTCGGCGGCGTTGGCCAGCGCAAGGGTGTTCCAGAGCCAGGCAAAGAAGACACTGGGAGTGACGCGGAAAACGCCAAAGTTGCTCTCCCTGCATCATCCAATCTCTTCCACCCTTCGCTCCATGTTCCTCGTGCGCGAATATCAACTCGGCCAACCGATTCCCGTCCTTTCCAAGAAATCGCACCGTTCTGCGTGTCAGCCAACGATCTTATCAACCCACTCCCCCCATCGCTGTTCTATGGTTCTGGCTGGCACGCTTACCATCCAGGAGGCGGGGCCGGGGCGATGAACCCAATAGCCCATTACTGGTACTCTTCTCTTCCTACCAGCAAGATGCGTGTGCCCATCGTAGTTGGCGCCGGCGATATCGGGATCTACTTCCTCAAGGAGCCGATTAGTATTGTGGGCGAAGGAAGCGCGGTTGAATGCTGGGTCGACGACAATTACGCCGGTGCAAAGACGATTGAAAACGCGGCAGACGTGACAGAGTCCACCGCATCGCTCTACTACATCGACCACTATGTCTCGCGTGGGTCGCACTTTGTCGAGTGTCAGTTGATGGGCGAGGAGGGTCAAGGCGTCACCATCTTCAAAATCATTGGCATTTTCGCAACGTAAACGGACAGTTGATAGACTATCGTATAGCCTTACTAGTTGCGTATTTATAATTGTACAAGAGAACCAAGCACCAGGCAGATACAAAAGAAAGCATCGAGCACGTGACTTCTGTTGTCATGTCCGCTTCTTTCTCTGACGATTATTACCTGTCCTGGTTTCAAGGAACATTGTTTGCGGTGCACACAAGAGAGTCGTCGACCCAGTGAAGGCTGTTACTCTTCGCGTACTGCTTGGATGATAAGTACTGTTCATTCATTCATTCAATGCACTTCAATGGATGAACCATTTGGCTGCTGGCTTGGCATGTCTGCAGGGTGCTCGGGCCATAATGGTAGCCTACTGGCTCCCGATGGCCAAACTAACAGCGTTCGCAATTTGCTACTGTTGGTTGACTTCGTTGATATTTTGTGGTATCAAACGGAGTAGATCCAATCCACACACTGCCTACATGCATTAAGTTCAATGAAAGTTACAGGTGCTGTTATCAAACCTTGAACGGCCATTCATCCGGCAGTCGATGCACGCCTCACCAAGAGTCAGAAACTTAGCGACGCGGGGAATGTAGAATGGGATGGGATAGTCCTCATGGTAAGTAACATGGTTGAACATCGACTTTGATGTTAGATGCAAATTTTGCGGCTGATCAGATCCGAATCCGGAAAGAAAATGTCCCCATTTCCAGATTGGGGCGTACATGATCAGGGGTCCTGCGTCAACGAGTAAATGCTCTCGCTCACTGTCTCGTCAAACCCAAGTGAGGTGAAACTTCAACTTGGTCAACCTCTCGGACATGGCTCTTATGTATGTGGGCTTCAAGTTGGATATCGAAGCTCCACGAACATTGACTCCGAGGTAGTCCTCCGTGTTCAAAGGTTATCGGCTTTCTGCTCGTGGAGTCGTAGCTGTAAAAAAATCCCGAGTCTCGCTCAGAGTCAAGCGCCCATTTCTCCTGCATGAAGCTCGAATTCTTCAAATGCTTCAAGGTCATCGAGGCATTGCGCATATGATGGGCTACTACCGTGGACCGCACTTCGAGTACATCGCCATGGAGCTACTGGGATGCACAATCAAGGCCAAGGTGCAAGAGGACTTGTATGGGTTGACTCCTCAAACAGTAGCCAGGATCGCTATCCAACTTGTGTGTCCTCTTCATCCTCGTTGCCGACTTCTCTGGACCGATAGCCCAACAGTTTTCTGCTCTCGAATACATTCACTCCAAAGGCTTTGTGCATCGCGATATCAAGCCAGCAAACATCTTACTCTCCCTCACGGACCCCGCCACCATCTGTCTCGTCGACTTTGGCATCTCCCTCCCCACAGACGCCCCTATCTTGCCGAAGAGGAGTTCACCTAGCGCGTCCACGCCCGAATATCCCATTGGTACACTAGACTGGTGCAGCTTGAATGCTCATGACGGCCATGGTGCTTTTGCGTGTCTTTTAGTTTGACCTGTAATGACTAACCAACTGCTTAGTGCTTGGTCCGTCCGACGACCTCGAGTCGACGATTTATGCGCTCCTTTTCCTTCTCGGTGGCTCGGTTCCCTGGCGCATACCAGAGTATTACCAGCCGCCATCTGTTTCAATCGTCAGGGTGCATGACTCCAAGCGCCAATTCGTTGGCAGTAGCCTGGAAGCGGCAGACTCCGTCCTCGCTCGTCAGTTGGGAAAGATACTCGACGATGTCCGCAGACTCGAAGTGCCTTCCCATGCCCAACTGGTCAACCTACTCATCGCTGCCTCTGAATGCACCCTCGAGCTCGATAAGCAGCTCCCCTTAGACTGGACGCCATGCTCTCCGCCGCCTATCTTGAAACAGCTTTTAGAGCACCCACCGAAACCGAAAATGGTTGTTGAAGATGAGGAGGACTCCGAGGAAATACCGGAGTCTCCCCAGGAAAACACTGGATTGAGCGACTCTAGTTGTCGCTCAAGTTCGGACAGCGACCATACAGGCAGCGCCATCGTCTATTCATCTCTTTTTACTCGCCGGTCGACAGCAAGTTTGGATGTGGACTCTGAAGGCGGTCCTCGATATCCAGACAGCAACCACTCCGACTTGGAGTACACTTGGTTCCCCCTCTACAACCGCGACCTGAGCCTCACCTTGCCGGAGATCCAGGCAAAGATATGTGATGCCGCTCTCCCGACATGTTATGTGGCGCCCGGCCATCTCAAGTTTGGATATGAGCCAGTTTATTCAGAAACTGACCAGATGTGGCCCTTTGAACGCATAGAAAATCGTTGAAATGTGTTGATTAGGTCGCTCTATACGTATTCTTCAGATTTGTACTTAGTATCATGAACGGTTTGTGAACGGTCAAGATCTACCCTTGATCGCCGTCGTTGATCCAATCAATGATTCACGGACGCAACCCAACAGCCTTCCTCAGCCTTGTGTAGTTGGGCGAGCCAAGACCGGTCACAGGATCCCACCCAGTCCCAGCACTGAATCCACTGTCGGCACCATCAACAACAGAAACAAAAAAAAAAAGAATTTTGACGCACGAGGTCCCACAACCCGGATTTCTGCCTACGGTGATGTCATTGAGGGCCGCCCGCCCAATTGGACTGTACAAAAACGGGTTCAGGAAACCGAGGGGTCGTCTTCCTGCCGTAATAAGCTCATCATTCAAGAACGAAATGACCGAGGCAAAGACGGGCACCGCCGCCGAGGTCCCGCTGACAAGGTACGCCTGGTCGTTGACGATAATCTCAAAGTTGACCGACTGAGCAGAAACGTCTGGGAAACTGAGAAAGCATCAGTTTAGCCAGATTTGCGTGGAAAAAGTGCGCACCCTCGACCACTTGGATTGTAGAGGCCGTCATAGGTGCCATTCAGGTTAGCAATATATTGTTCGACGTCGCGTCTTTGATACCGAGGAGTCTTGAAGTGGTTGGAGAAGCCTGTTGACGCATCAGATAAGATTTAGACCGCCAAGTCCAGGAACAGACCGCCGGACGAAAAGCTGGCCCCAATTTCGGACATATTATCCTTGGTGAAATTTTCAAGAATTATCTGTGAGCCCCCGACTGATGTGACCCATGGACAGTTTGATGGCGCGGTAGGCTTGAACGTTGTACAATCGAAACTTCTCCCAGCGACCCCACCGTCACCGGAGGCCAGCAGAACTGAGGTTCCCATAGCGCCAAGCTGCGCATTAGCTTTGCACAATCCTTCTGCGACAGGTAACGTGAGGTCGTCCTCGCCAAAACCATACGACGTGCTAAGTACGGTTGGTCGAGAGGTCGAGTTGATCAAGGCGTTGATTTGATCAAGGAAACCACCCGCATCGTCATTATTGAGCAGGCCAACGGAAATGAATCGTACTGGGACACCAGCAGCCAGACCAACGGTGTATTGAATGTCGAGACTCTAGAGGAAAGATGAGCAGTGGATGCAATACTGTGGCAAGATTTGCTGACCGCTTCAGTTCCAGCAAACTGACGGACTGAGAGCATTGAGCGGCTGTCCTCAATAATGTCGGGCAAATTTAAACAGACCTTGCGTGTTGGCACCGCCATCAAGTAGCTGAACGTCAAATTTGGTCGTTGGGGAAATATCTGGACGGAATTGCGTCAAAAAGTCCTGGATTTCGTTTGAACGGAAACACTGAGAGAGAGACAAGCAGTACTTACACGAAGGTCAAGGAAATTCGCGAATTGGTTGATGAACCCTGAAACGCCCAACACATTCGATGATTGTGTTGCAGGCGTCGTTGGAATCCCGTATTCCGCTAAAACACAAGAGATAGTGGTTAGATCTGCACAGCTCGGGTCGATACCATCACGCTTAGTGGGGGCGGGACGGGACTTGGGCATCGCAAAGGGGGTGGAGAAACTTGTTGCAGGGTGAATGTATGATATGTGCGGCGACAAATTGGCGGGGAGGGAGTATTGGAGCGTCCGGGTCGTAGTCCCATTGATGTCGGGGTGGGAGAAAGACGAGAATTGTGCATTAAAGAGCGAGTTGGCTTGAGAAACAGTTATTTGAATTTGCAAAATATCACCCGCAGGCGAAATGGGCACTGCAGATATTTCATGTTGTCGAAGCCAGCTCGTCACTGCCGCAAGAGAGTCGTCGGAAGGCTTGATATATCGGGCGACCTATTTGACGCAGTTGGAATGGTTCAAATAATGAGATCACAGCAGGCTCACCTGCTTTTGCGTCAAATGCTGACCATAACGAGGGCTACTTGGATCAGAGACAGCGTATAACTCGTCTTCTAGCCCGGCAAAGTCATTGGAATGGAGTGCGATGCGAAGATGAAGTTGCTCTCCATCAGGTGCCGGGCCAATATTGACAAAACCGCGCGCTGGACGAGCCCGTTGTTCGTGGACGACCATTGCAACCGAATCCCCGGGTGAAGCCGCCGCGCATCCGATGAAGGCAGCGAGGAGCGAAAAGCTCAAAATCATCGCTCCCGGTGGAAAGGAATAGTTATCCAAGATGACCTTAGGACTCTTATAGCCTTTTTCCGGGGCGTTCCTTCTGGGTGACCTCAGAACTTGGCACTGAGCAGTATATTCGTCAGCTAAGATCGCTGATGATGATGAGAAATTGTCGGGACCAGTGTCGGCGCTGGAGGTTGGAGGGCCATGTGGATGTTGCGGCGACCGTCCAAGGCTCAGGTTACCAAGGGGATAGTTTGGCGAGTGTAGTACTCAGATGCATCGTCGACCCCAACAACTCGAAGAGGAAATAAATCACATGAACTCCTTCGAGAAAGAATCAGATTCAGACCCACCTGGCGGTTGCGCGGATCTCCTACTTTTATGTCACTATATGGAAGCGTCGGAGACGCATAGCGACCAGGAACAGCCAATGCCGTTGTGGACGAGGTTGGATTTGATTTTGAGCGCAAGGAAAAGAACGTCAAATTCACGTGATGTGACTGTCACAATATGCTGGTCATTCCCATTGAACGCGACAGATCCAGAATTACGACGATGGAGGAAAAACTAAAGAAACTTGAGAGTCGCGCGACCCATCTTTATCGATAGTAATTGACACGTCCCCGGCTCCCTCTTCGGTCCATGACCCTGTCGAAAAGCCTGTGGTAGTTTCGACGTTTATGTTCTCGAATGCGAGAGAGCCTTTTGGGTAGTCGCTGGTCTGGGATATGCCCTGTTGCTCAATACTGACGGCAGCTCGCCAGGGACTCCCGCTGAATCCGACGGACAAAGCGAGGATATCGCGTCGATTGGTGAAGAAAGCATGGTACCAATGACCCGGGAATGGTGGAGGGTCTGCGTCAATGCCAGCCCATAACTCCAGCCTATCCCCCACGTTGACTTGAGGGTTTGCTTCATTGTCGTAAACCTGGATATACCCGCCTTCGAGAGGAAGCTCCAAGAGGATGGCTGCCGTCCAAAACGATCCACCTTGGATGTTGCTCGCGCCGTACTACATTGAATGGGTCAGATGTCTCCGGTTACTGACCTGACATTACGAACCTGAAGCGCTGGCTGGAGGTATGCAGTCAGCGAACCACTGTCGTCAAGCACCTGAAGACCGGCCCCAAAGAATATTATCTGGCTCTCGAATGTCTTGGGAGGCGGGGGTACGACAATAGAGGCGTTGATAGAGCTGAGGATTTCAGTGGAGTCGACCGTAAGTGAAGCTTGGGTTGCCGTCGTTTCTTGTCGGCGACTGGGAGACGATACAACGTTTTTGAAGACATGAATGACGGTGCCGTTTTTTGCAATGACTTTCATATCTTTGCCCGACTGTTGCACCCGCGATCCTGGTGGCGCGGGGAAGATGGGTCCAGATGGACCATGGCCAACAGGGGGTATGAGAGCCAACGTATTCTGAGCCCAAAGAGCGGCTGTGAAAATTAGAGAGAGGAACATCGCAACCGTGAGGTGAATTGAACATTGTAGTATGATATACCGTCGAGGGTTCCGTGAAAGTTAATTTGTAACCCTTATGACAATTTGCTTCGTGAGTAGATTAACGAGATTCAGATGGGACCTGATTGACGATCTTCGTCAGGTTCGCTTTGCCGCGGCCCAGAAGAGAGAATGAGCAAGTATCCATCCTTGGCAGTTAACCACGCGCACGTTTTTCAGTTCGGGAAACAAGAGACGGAGTTCAAAGTGACTTCTTGCGGTCCATTCCTTCGGACAGTCAATCAGCTTCTGTGGCATAAATATGATCTTCTGGCCACCAATCTCTTGATATTTCCATGGGTTCAAGTCGACGATAGGAATTTGCAGGATAACTTTGAGGCCCCACTGCAACTTGAATTAGTGAAGCTATTAGTATTGTCACCGAATCGTTAGGATGGAAAGCCTCATCGTACTAAGGAACTGCTTTCCTCGGACCAGACCCTGCCAATGCTGTAGTAGTATTCCCATACCACTGACATGACTTCATCTATTGCGTAAGTTTAATCCAAAAGACCCTCAATCCTTCTTGACTCCTGTACGTGCAGTATCGTAGTTTTCGACAAACCATTTGACACTGAGATCCAATGCTACGGGGCGGAATAAATAAATATTCGGACCAAACCAGACGACAGTATACCTTCTTGGAAGGGGGTGAATTGGAACCCTCCAATACGGTCGATGAGCTTCTTGTTCGTTGCGGGCTTGCGGAACTGGCCATCAGCACGGGTAGTATCGAACTACATAAAAAGTCAGCGGAATCCGTAGACGGCAACAAGAGGCTGGCGTACGGAATATTCGCCCTCGAAGCCAACAGCCTTGACGATGGCATCCGCAACCTCTTTGATACTCACTTCCTCGTCTTCCCCGACTGCAATCGTTAAGTGAGGATATGATCAGAGCGAGACCCAAAGAACAAACCGGAGAGTATGATTGGCTCAATTTCGTCGTATTCCCGAAGCATCCACACGAAAAGTTTGGCGAGATCGTAGGAGAAAATGAACTGACGGAGAGGTTTTCCTGTGCCAGCGACGATGAAGGGTGTGCCGTTCTCTAATTTAGAGTTAGATTATGGAGATGAAAAGGAATGAAGTTACTCTTGGCGAGATAGCATCGGTGGACGAGAGCAGGTATAACATGTGCGCCTTCCAAATCGCTATAGCGGGTATTGAGATAATCGTAAAACAAGAAAGGGACACAACGGACTAGTTGTCGTGAGGGCCAAAGATGTTGGTGGGGATGGCGGATGTGAACTTGCAACCGAATTGCTCGTTATATGCACTAGGTCGTTATCTTGGATTCTGGCCTCTAATGTGGGAGTAGAGCATACTGGTTTTGTACATCAACCATCCGCTTTGCATGGGCATAACCAAAGTTACTGTCGTGGGGTGGACCTAGATGGATCTTGTTCTCATCCAAAGGGTATTCAACTTTGTCGGGGAAGACGCAAGTTGATAAACATGAGATAAGCTTGGTCGTTTGATGTGTGTGAGACGCGTGAAGAATGTTGTCGTTCATCAGCATGTTGTCGCGGAGGAATGTCAGCTACGAAGCCTCAGTTTTCGAGGACGGGAAGCTGGAGGTACAAACAAACTTTGTATTTCATGTTCTTGAAGAGACCTCCGACTGATTTGGAGGATGAGCACCAGAAACAATGGAGGGGGGATAACGCACCAAGGGCAGCAAGGTGAATTACATGGGTTGGCTTATATTTTTCGTACAGCTTCAATGTCGCTGTGGGGTCCCTGATCAGGTACTTTAATGCAAGAATGCGACGTAGATGAAGGAAAAATAACCTCAGATCGGCCTCCGATGAGCCAACAAATATCCAATTTTCATTGGGAAGCTTTCCGAACCGCGATCCAACAGGCTCAGTCTCGATTATATGTTGCAGGGCCTTTCCGATGAGCCCAGAGCCTCCAGTGACGAGAACAACGTTGGCCATGAGTTAAGAGATGAAGGTGATTGAAGGAAGAGAAAGCTTAAAAAGCGTTACATACCGAACTTTCCAGCGCCGAACCAGCGCCGGAGTTCTATTACTCATATGATCGCAACATTTCTTCGCTCCCTCCGCCATGACTAGGACTAATGACTCGATGGACTTTGGCAGGATCTCTCGACAAGTATACGATCTCGCAGCTTCAAAGGATGACCCTCTGGGACCTCTGGTGAAAGAGGCACTGACTGTGATCGACGAAGCGCTCGATTCTTATGGGTAGGTGGGGACTCGCGTCTACCATCTGGGCCTTTGCCAATCTCTACAGCCCGGACCACGTATCACTGAGTTTCAACGGTGGCAAAGACTGTGAGTGGATAACCTCATCGTTGACTTGTTTCTCAACTCCAAGTAGGCACCGTCTTGCTTCACCTCTATGCTGGAGCACTCGCAAGACGGCTAGGCCCCTCTGAAGCTCTCAAGTCTATCCCGGCCATCTACATCGCCGTCCCCTCGCCATTTCCAATGCTGGAAACGTTCATTGAAGACGCAGCCAGGCAATACCACTTGGACCTATTCCACTGTCGCCCTCCCTCTGAGCCAGTGGAGAGTGTCGTGACCCCCGCTGCAGCAAACGGTAGCAATACAAACTATTTGGATAATGCTCCCAAAGCAGTTGGAAAGGCTAAGGGGACCGAGGGAATGAAACAAGCCTTGGAGATATATAAAAACAAGTTCCCAAATATTGAGGCTATCCTCATAGGAACACGTCGGACTGACCCACACGGCGGTATGTCTCTGAATCCCCGCTAAATAAGATCTCTGACGTCCTCAACAGCCGCCTTGTCGCACCGCAATATGACTGACCCTGGATGGCCGCGTTTCGAGCGCGTTAATCCAATTATAAACTGGGACTATGCCGATATCTGGTCTTTCCTACGCAAACTCGATGTCCCATACTGTGGTCTCTACGACATGGGGTCAGTTATTCTAACTACTTGCTGGCCTTGGCTCTAAAGTCATAGCAGGTACACTTCTCTCGGCTCCACGTACAACACCTTCCCAAACCCAGCGCTCTTAATCAACATACCCAATGGCGCACCGGCTTCAGCTTCCCCCACGATCCTGACTCCTGGTACTGCTCTGTCCAGTCTCCTCTCTTCCACCCACGCCACCCCCCAGCCTGAGACGCCCGCACCGTCACCGATTACGGTCCTCTCGTCTTATATATCGAAGACACATACCAGAGTAGAGGGTGTACTTCCCAGTCCGCTGGAGCCCATCTACCGCCCGGCTTATGAGCTAACCGAGGGTTCTCTGGAACGCGCAGGAAGGGGCAAATCGTTACCCGTCTCATGATACATCCGTAGAAACAGAGAACTGTACTCTTTTTGTTTCCAAGCTAAATATAGATTTCGCTAAAGCATTGACGAGTCGCTTGCTTTATCCGACCCCTGGCAAAGCAAAAAGGAGGTTAGCGGAACAACGAACCGATAAACCCGAGATGAGTTGTCACTCCCACTATGGACAAACCTCAACGTACGCTCGCGAGGTTCTTCACGACATCCACCAAAAATGCCCAAAGGCTCGACAAATTCCAGCTCTAGAGCTCGCGGACCATATGCATCGCAGGCGTGTACTGTCTGTCGTTCCAAGTAAGTGAAACAAATCGTCCACAACGAGCTGACAAACCCCGCCAGGAAGTCCAAATGCGACGGCGTGAAGCCAGTGTAGGTCTAGATGTGCTCTTCGTCGGCTTGAGACTGAGTTTGGACAGCTGCTCATCGTGCGCTGCATCTGGAAGGCATCAAGAAGTGAGTGTTGTCAGTTCGTGGACCTTGAATTCTGACTTTGCCACCAGTGCTCTTGGGGTCGGGATACATCGGCCAGAAAACCTCGCACCGAGGCGCATTTCGAAGCGCTTCAGAAACGAGCGGATGCTCTCCAAACATACGCCGATGGGCTGGAAAAGATTCTCGCCAACTGTGTCTGCCAGGACGTCAACTCACATCTGCAATCGAAGCCGACTGTGGAAGATAAACCAGCGGTTCAAGAGGAGTCGGATACGGATTGGAACGATTCGGACGAGTCGATAACACAGGAATTGACGGTTCCCCTTCAACGACTCAAGGTGTGTGGTTTGTTTCTTTGTTTCAATTTCTTATGGGCTCAGTTGGACGGGAAATTTGGCGGGCAGCTACTCCATAACGGAATTACCACACCACTGCGCTATACCCCGTCGGACGAACTACCCCCTGTCAAGTTATCAGCGCCAAATCTTCCCACTCAGTCCTATGTACTGCTCGTCGACCGTGTCAACGAGAAGAACGCCCACCCAGAGATCGATTGGTCACGCTACTTGCCTCCAGAAGTCTCTCTAGATCGCAGGGAACACGATAAGTAAGTAAAACGTTGTAGCTTGTTACCTACTTTTCTGACGAGCACAAGAATCATCGACCTTTCCTTTAAGTTCTGGACAGGGTGGTGCCACCGTCTTGCCCCATCTCTTTTCTTTCGGGACATGTACCGCGCACTGAGTGTCCCTCGTGGACAACCGCCGCCTCGAACGCCATGGTATTCCCCGATGCTCCACAACTCCATGCTTGCGATCTGCTCAATATTCTCGGACGATCCGTATATCAGAGACCCCGGCACCCGGGTCCGCTTTGCAGATTTCGCCAAAAGCTATTTGGAGAAGGAGTGCCAGAAGCCAGAGGTCAGCCTCATCCATGCCCTGGCATTTCTCGGCACCTTCTATGCTAATCTCGGTGACCGAATTATGGGTGACTTATACGCTGGTATGAGCAGCAGAATGTGCATGTCGCGTACGTTAAGAGTACCACGTCAAACCCTCATTTTCATACCTTGCTAGTGGGAGTAGGCTCCGATTCGGCGGAGTGGGTCAGTTCCGGTCTCATCACGCATGATGAGATGGTCGGTCGAAACTGGGCACATTGGACAATATTCTGTGTGGTAAACTGACCTTTATTTCACTGTCTTGCGCTGAGCGTTATGGTAGGAAGTGTGCTGGGCTCTGTTCTTTGGTCGCGACTTCAGCGGCCCTCCTTCAGACGGACGGCGGCAGGTTACGATGCCAGTTGTCGACCCTGAAGCCGATCAAGCTCCCTGGTTCCATGCACCTTCTGGAATCCCTCCCCAGCCAAATCTATGGACGCTCACATTCCATCAAGCCTCTGCACTGTTTGTGATTGACCGCAAAATTATCGATGTTGTGTAAGGCCTTCGTTGGTTTTGGGGGCTAGTTTACGAGTCCTACTCCAGGAATGGGTTAGAGCGCGCACAAGATGTTGTCCGGATCGACCAGCTTGTAACCCGAATTGAGTATGTTTATTTTTCCCTCTTTTGCTTGTACTTACTCTATCAGCCTCGAATTGAATAACTGGAAGAGTCAACTACCCGCGGAACTTGATATAACACTTGCGAATAAGAACAAATCGACTCCTCATCGACTCATGCTGCATTGCGAATACTGGTGGAGTTTTGTCGTCCTCCATAGACCGTTTTTCAGTCGCAAAGCATCCCCGATCCAGCAATCCGATCGAGAAATTGACCATGTCAAGGTGGATCGTGTGCATCCACTTTTTGTTTCGCACTAAAAAAGCGTCTCCAGCTCTGCAAACGTGCCGCGGAGAACATCCTGGACCTAACCGAAGTCTGGTCCAACCTCTACACTCTACGATACACAAACGTCACGATGCTCCAAGTGCTTTATGGAGCGGGGACCATTTTCGTTCTCCTTGCCCTCCAGGCGACCGCCTCGGCACGAATTGCCCATACACAACTACAAACTGCTCTTACGCAGGCGGAACAATGCATATTCTACCTGCGGGACATGGGTCAGACGTGGGCGACTGCATTGCAGACTGGGGACGCTCTTGGCAAGATTTTGCACGACAAGGCCTACCCGATTATCTCGCGGCGTCTGGCTCACAAAGGCGTCAGACTGTCTGCGTTGATGCCAAACCCATCTCCCGTCAACCAACCACTACGACCCCAACAAGACAATGTGGTCTCGGAGCCTCGAATTGCTGACTGGACAACGACATCCGGGTTTTATTATCCGCAGCGACCCATGCAACCCATTCCCGTTGCTACCGCTTTTTTACAAGACCTACCGGATGTCGATATCGAGGCATTCATGCCTAATTTTGAACTGGGGGCGGGACCAACGCTGTGGTATAACCAGAACATGTAGTTTTCCCCTGTGGTTCTGGGTTTCCTTTTCTTTCCGTCGCTGTAGCATAATTCAAGCAGTACAACATACGATACAGTCTAGAGAGCTGTCCATTTGCAAAGCGAATTAAAGTCGATATAAGTAGTGTCAAGACGGTAAACTCCGGACGTGCTTGACAAGCACCGCGTCTGTGATGGTCGATTTGTTTGGCATCCGCTCCCAGATCGGGTCAACATCTGGCCCTTCCAAATCGCCCGCACCGTCCCATCCCCAACACCAAACTAGACAGAGTTGATGTAGATAGCGAAAGGGAGAGGAGCAACACACCATGAGAAGGTCCTGATTTGAAATCCAGTGGCTCTGTCTCCTCCTCCGTAAACAGCCTGTCATGAGGGCCAAACCACGAGCGATCTTGTGGATCCGTTCGTGGATCATCGGGAAGGCCGCCCATTCGGACATAGCCCCGAATCGCCGTCAAATTTCGCCGTGACGGATGGATGATGTCAAAGACTCGCTGCAGAAAACTTGGTTAGCCAAGGGGGAAACTAACCAGACAACAACATACGTGGTCGTAGGCCAATTTTACACGTGGAACCATCATTATACGACCATAGCCAGCCTCCCAGTAGTCGTTGCAGATGAGCGAGCACTCGCTAGCACTGCACTCGTTCTCCGTTATGCGGGCCATCCGGAAGCGAACGTGGGGCGGAAGGTAGAATGGCTCTGGGTCCAGGATCGCAATACCATTCCAACAGCTCTGAACTTGGATTGGAAGGTGTTTTTGGAAGCGATCATTTGAAGGTGGATGATGGAAGATGGATTCGAAGGGAGCGTTCTCGAGAGCTGTACCGTTAATGTCTCTAGCCACCCAGTTATCGTAGAAAACGGGGGCGCCGATTTCTTCATGGTACATGTAGTCGGCGGCACAGGTGATGCCTGCGTTGTTCTTTCTTGACTGCCAGATGAGCTCGAGAAGGTCGTCAACACAGGGAAGGATGTCATTCATGAAGACAATTGTGTCGAAAAACTCGTTTTCTGTGTCGCGCAGTTCATGGAGGGGGACAAAGGCAGCATTCCGGACTTCGGCGAGATATTCGATTCGGTGGTTGAACGCGCCTCGAGTCCGGCTGGATGTACGAATGGTTATTCGCATTCCCACACTCCTCGTCAAAGCGTCGAAAATGCGGAGAAGAGCCTTGGTTTGATCTGTCGAGCCATTTTCGTAGATTGACACGTAGACGTTGTGGTAGCCAAGGATGCTTCCGACGCGAAATAGGGTAGCAAAGAGGTCGGGGATAACGTCGAACGAGTTGTAAAGGTTTATGGCGAAGAAGTATTTGTGCTCTGCGCCGTCTCTATCTCGGGTCCGGGTGTATTCCTCATAGTCGGGCTCAACACTGCCTCCCATCCCAAGTCCACCTAGCCAAGAGCTTCGCGAGGGAGACTGGTGTCCAATGAGTGGCGCATACCGGTCTCGAGCTTGACGTTCATAAAGGGGCTGAGTACTGCGTGTGCATTCCTTCGTGTAATGCGGGGAAAGCGTAGAGAGTAGGTGGAGTATCCGCTGGCGCTGCTCGAGGGTCGGCAGCTGGATGGGCTGACGGCTTTGCTGGCGGGATTTCGCGACAACATTGTGACCCCTCCAAGTTGTGCTTGACGAAGACGGAAGCAAACGGGAAACGATAAGTCCAAAGAGAATGCCAACGAGAAGGGTAACGGGCGTCGGTATTCTCCTCAACTGGCCGGCGACGCCAGCGTTCCGACCCTTCGAGTTCATGGTGGTGGGCAGAAGGGGAGAAAGTTGACAGGGGACCTTGAACGGAACTTTTTTGGACGCCGTGTCACACTCGTGTCACGCGCTAATTTCAAGTCCTCAAGCCAGCCACCCCGACAGCCTGCATTAAAAAACTCCAAGTGCTTACATAGCAAATAAGTGATCGTCATGGTCCTGGACCAGCCCACGATTTCCTCAGATCCCATTTGTCAAACCGCACTCTTCCATATCGCAACGTCCTTCACAATGGACACTTGCACTTGGTAATCTAACCTTCAGAGCATGACATTGACCATATGTCTACTCCGACGCCAACTGATGAATCCTAACGAAGCCTTGCGTATTATCTGAATCGTGTCCAAAGTATTCTACATCCGGGTGCATAAACCCCAAGTTTTGTCGGTTGAACGAAATACAAGCCAGACTTAATTCTGGTCTTCTACCATGCCCTTGGACGCCTTGACATCGGCTTCCACCATTTCCTTCACCAGGGATGGGAAATCCACCTTGCGCTTCCAGCCCAAAAGACGTTCTGCCTTTGCCGGCGTCCCAAGGAGAAGACTGACACACGGAGTAAGCAGAGTATAGTAGCAAGACAACAGATAACGCACTCGACTTCAGCTGGACGGAAATACTGGGGGTCAACTTTTACCACAACTTTTCCGGTCTGCTTGTTGGTGCCTTGCTCATCGACGCCAGATCCAGACCACCTGCCGCGGGGTAAGCACGAGATTCAGGAGACCATAGACGATGTACTCGATCTCTATTCCAACAGTAGCAAAAGCGCGCTCGACATACTCGCGAACAGGGTGGGTTTCACCAGTTGCGAGAACAAAGTCTTCGGCCCTGGGTTGTTGGAGCATGAGCCACATCCCCTCGACGTAATCACGAGCTGTAGATGGTTAGGTTTCTGACGACACGAAGAACAAAAAAAAAGCTGACCGTGACCCCAATCACGTTTGGCGTCCAAGTTTCCGAGGTAGAGACACGCCTGCTTTCCAAGTGAAATATCTGCTACTGCACGCGAGATCTTCCGTGTCACGAATGTGCGACCTCGCCGAGGACTTTCGTGATTGAAGAGGATGCCGTTGCAGGCATACAAACCGTAAGCTTCGCGGTAGTTGACGACAATCCAATATGCGTAAAGTTTGGCGCAACCGTAGGGCGAGCGAGGATAGAATGGAGTGGTTTCGCTTTGGGGCGTCTCGACAACCTTTCCGTAGAGCTCCGATGTGGATGCTTGATAGAAACGGACATGCTTTTCGAGGCCACACGTGCGGACGGCGTCAAGAAGCCGAAGGGTACCCAGTCCATCGACATCGCCGGTGTATTCGGCCATCTCGAATGACACCTTGACATGCGATTGCGCCCCGAGGTTGTAAATTTCCGATGGCTGGACTTGAGCGATGATGTAGACCAGATTCGTGCTGTCGCTCAGATCGCCATAGTGCAACTTGAACTTGTTTGGCCCTGAAAGTAAGTTAGCCTTTGTAGGGACTCAAGAAAGATGGCGCACTTTCATGCTGATCTTCATAGAGATGGTGCAAACGACCAGTATTGAAGCTTGAGGAACGACGAATAATTCCGTGGACTTGGTAACCTTTTGATAGTAGAAGTTCCGTGCTAAGAGACGATGAATACGATGATCATGGGCAGCGAGGTGAGGGACCCACAGATAAGAGCCGTCTTGACCAGTAATCCCTACGCGTCCAAGTCAACCACAGTCAAGATTGAAACAGCACAGACAAACCAGAGATGAGCGCGACTTTACGCTTGTTGTATTCCTCAGGGGTTGGGAGGTCTTTTAGGGCAAAAGCATGGGCAGACATTGTGGGGGAGGAAAGAAAGCGGGAAGCTGTCTCGGCGGGCCTTCCTAATTTGGACATCGCATTTATTGCTGCTGTCGCCGCCGACTCCGTTTGCTTCGTCTACAATTGACCGCAGCTCCCAATTGAATCTAACGTGGATGGTAAAGATAAAAATAAAATATCCGACGACAGAAACGAAAGCCACCATGGACCAACTAAGTAAGTACTTTCTCTTTTTTTTTGACCACACAAATGACTACAAGCAAACGGTAGCGTTGAACACTGTTGAATGCAATTCGTTAGTCTCGTCCACGTTGCCTACCGCGTGCAGGAACGAATGTGCTCGGCTAAGGTCGCTTGAACGATCGTGATACCTGTAACTGATGTGGCTTCGACTTTGCTTCATCCCAACTTCGACCATCGTGCGTCAGAGCCACAAGAATCCACTTCCAAGGAAAAAAAAATGGGTGGATCGTCGCAGGTTCCCCCTGTGATGGTCTGGAAGATTCGAGGGTGTCCCTCCTCAGCCTTGGTCTGAGATGAGAACAAAACTCGAGGTTGTTGACAGCGGTAGAGTTCAGAGTTGTTGCGAAAAGAGAAGCCCATCCTGCTGGCAAAACAGCATCATCTCTCGGGGAGGTCGGAAGATCGACGTATGGCGCAAAGAGTAGCCGACAAAGAATGACTCTGATGTCACAATCTCAAATTCGGACCACAACCACCGGTGTAAGTCAGCAAAATTTCTATCGCCCCTGGCTGCTTTCTTGTTGCTCACTTTCATGCCCACAGACGGAGAGGGCCATTTTTTCGCGGTCGACACCTCTCCCAGTGACGCCGAGCGAGTGGTGAAGGTAGAACAAGCCCAGGCGGCTCACCCGACCCGTTCTGGCTTGAATCTTCAGCAACCACAAGCCTTGTCATTCCCATTCGCCTCTGTCTCGCGCGACAGTGCTCAATTTCGGTTCGGTTTACCTGCGACAGCGTCTAGGACGGCCAGTCAACACAGCGGCCACTCTACACCAGCAATGTCGGCGTCAGTCAGTGCAGGGCTCAACTGGCCTGCTGGGACACCTTCTTACACAATTTCTGCCCAAGACTACGACGAGGAAGACGACGAAGGGCTCGATGACACACCTTTCAATGCCAAGGGTGGAAAAGACAAGGCCGTTAGGCGTCGAAGTAGTAAGGGTGCGTCGGTTATCATCTGCTGTTTGTTGCTCGTGTTTTAACTCGTGTCAGCCTGCGACCAATGTCGCAAAAGTAAATGCAAATGCGAGCGGTCAACACCGGAGGGTCCTTGTCGCAACTGTACTGCACTCAAAACAGGCAAGTAACTTTAGCAAGCTCATAGTCTCCCTCTCTAAGAACCGTAGATTGTACGTTTCTTGGTCCATCACGCAAACGTGGTCCACCAAAAGGCTACATTGATGCGATAGAGGCCCGTCTCCATCAAACCGAGGCTCTTGTTGGCATTCTCCTTGCGGCTGGTGGTGTTCGTATTCTCAACGAAAATATCGACGCACGCGGAAGACAGGTGACCAGGCATGGGATCGATGAACGAGCCAAGGAACTCATGGCAGATATGGCAGAGGTGAGATTTCTATAAGCCGGATCGCTTACAGCTTGACAACATTGTATAGGATCCCGTTGCAAGGGCAATTCTTGTGAGAATCGATCAGAGTGCCTATGGACCTTCAGGACGAAGCGGTATGGTCTCTACTGGTTCTGCAAGTGGAAGAGGCAGTCCAGTTGGCAAGATACGAGGCAATGGAGCAAGTTCTGAAGTTGGTGATCTCGGGAGCATGCAGTGAGTTATTCTGCCCTTCCCTTTTCTCTCGTAAGACATTGATGTTTTAAAAGCCCGTCGCATGAATGGATGGATCGGGTCACCGAATCATTGCTTCGGCGGGCTCAAACACGACGCGAAAAGCAAGAGCAACAATCTACTACTTCACCCCACTCGCCGACTCGTCACCCAGATGGGTTGTCTCCATATGGGTATTCTTATCAGCAAATGCCCCATTCTCAGCCCCCGCAACGGCCTGCCATTATAACTGCTCTCAACGAGACCAATAGGCATCCCTACCCCCATTCCGCTGGCCCGCTTGGTGACAAACGAGTGCATTCTGCCGGTGCAGACGCTCCTTCATATTATTCAAAGCATTTGCCTTTGTCGGCCGCTGTGGATGGTCGTCCCATGCCATTCGATGCTGGTGGAAACGCAAGACGAGTGAGGAGGAGAGTGGGTGGTGGAGTGGAAACAGGGGCATATTACAGTGCCCGACCGACCTCTCCCGAAGCATCGGACAGCGACTCTGATCTTGATTTGGATATTCCAGAACAGGAACATCGAAGTCGAGAACGCGAGGCCTCGAGCTCCCGTCTCCGAAGACAAGATTCAATGGCGACAGGCTTGGCTGGAGCTGTTGGACAACTGAGTCTGAACGAAGACAAAGAAGTGCGTTATCATGGCAAGGCAAGCGGATTACATCTGCTTGCGCGACATCCTGTGCCTTCGTTGTCTCAGGAGCAAGAGGTCACTGTCAAGCGAGAGGAAGACGGCCAGAATGCGGGCGGTATTTGGTGTGTATTCAAGTATCTCTGGTTTCCCCACCAACTATCTTTGAAGGCGGTTTCCGAAAGCCAGAGTATGGCCTGCGGCTCCACCACCAGAAGAATGGGATGCTGATGGTGTTATCAATGGGGACAAAGACGGACTACCTCCTCGAGATGTTCAAGGATCATTGCTTGAGCGTTACTTTGCTCATGTTCACCCAAGCTTCCCTGTGATCCACAAACAATCGATCATGGAGGCCTTCTCGCGAGGCGAAGGGTATGAACAACCGATGTTTTCCATTCTCTGAGCTAATGGAATAATACCAGTCCACCACTCCTGTTACTTGCAATGTATGCTCTAGCGGCGCGACACGCTCCACAACCAGCTCACGAGGAAATCGAAGCTCGTCAATGCATGTGGCCTGCTGGTGACACTTTCCTGTTCCGCGCTAAGACGCTACTCGACTCCTCCTATGCCTCGTCTCGAGCGAGTACATGCGCTGCATTACTCCTCTTGGGTTTTCGTGAGATCGGCATTGGTGCTATGGCTCAGGCATGGACATATATCGGGATGGCTGTGAGAATGGCACAGGATTTGGGGCTGCATCGTGATGCTGATGGGTGGGTCAGGGCGGGAGTCAAGGTCGGGAGAACCGCTGCAATGGGTGGGGCCGTTGAAGGTGGTACTCCACTCTCATCACATGATGATGACCGGGAACCTTCTCTTGAACAAGACGATGGACGCCACCCGAAGGACGGCAAACTGTTTGCTGCCTGGGAGATTGCCGAACGCAGGAGGATCTGGTACGCTTGCGTTATCATGGACAAATATGTCAGCACATATATCGGTGCGCTTTATAACCCTTGCTTCATTTCTTGAAACTGACGTTGTCAAGGTCGTCCACTGTCGATTTGCGAGCGTGATTACGATACATCACTACCCAGCGAGTCTGATGTGAGTGACAATTTCTCTAGTTCTCTCTCATGGGGTTTCACTCACGTGATTTTTTTACTTTGCAGTGCGAGGAAACAGAGCAATGGTATACTTCATCAGAAGCACCTGTACAAATGCCCCCACGACCTGGTCATGTTATTTCTTGCTTCAATGCGTCCGCTCGTCTTTGTGCGTTATTTTTGCCATTGCTTTCGGTTCGCGGTTTAATATTCCGCAGCCACGATCCTCAGCCAAATGCTCCAGTCCATTTATGCCCTTCGACCTCAAGGGAGTCGACACGCGGAACTTGTGGTGCTCGATGGCGATCTAGAAAAGTGGCGTCTTGCACTCCCTCCGCATCTGCAGTACGATCCAGCTGTCCGAATGAGTGCTGCCGAAGTGCCTCTTCCACCAGTTCTAACCCTACACATGCAATATTGGTGTGCTGTCTTGCTGCTTTACCGACCATTGTGGGTTTTTATTCCCTTTTTTTGCGACTTGAATACTCAAATTCTGTAGTATTCGTCACAACAAGACCAAGTGCGTTGGACGATTTCTTATCAGATACGCATTCTGACCAGAGATTCAGAAGCCCACTTCTGGACGATAGCGATTCACGTGGCCACGCAGAAAAAAGCTACGAGCTTTGCGCAAGCGCTGCGAATCACATCACCACCATCGCAACGTTGTATTCCGAAACCTACACGCTCAAACACTGTGCCGTCTTCTTGTGCTACTACACCTTCACTGCCAGCATCATGCATGTCACTTCTCGTAAGACGATTTTGGTCCTTTTCTATGTTTTTCTCACATTTCCCTCCTAGTTTTTCTATATTCGAAAGATCCGCAGGCGAGGATGGGGCTCACCAAGTGCATGGAGGCTTTGCGAGAAATGGAGATCATCTGGCCGGCTGCTGCGCGGGCTCTCGTGTTACTTCGTGGCGCCCAAACTTCTCTGGTTGATGTTGCTTCCGAGATGGACGTCAGCGCGCATCAAGTTGGGCGAAAACGCTCTGCCACGCAAACGTTGGATGATTCCTTTGCTGGAAGAAGCGATTCATTTGTTGCCAGTCGACCGTATGACGAAGTCTACGACAACAACAATCATTATACGATCCCATCTCGAGAGTCGTTCTATGCGCCACCCTCAAACTCGAGTTTTCAGCGGTGGCAGCCTTCTGAAGAATTGACGTTTCAAGGTGGTGATGCTGGGCTTTCGACTGCCGTTATGGGACCAACTTACAGTACCGGCTTGGTTGACGAACGATCCCGTCAGCCGAGATATCCTCACCAACCGCCAACACAACAATATTGGGCGTATTCGGAGCCGACCTATGCGACTTCGTTGCACCATTCCGCTACCGAAGACCCACAAATGTACCAACCTTACATGTACCGGCAATAAGTCCGGTGCTTATCGACCATTCCTTTGACTTGGTATTCTTATTCTTCAATTGCTTTCCTCGCACTTTATCGTAGTAATCTGTTTGTGTGTTTGTCACTGTATCCATCACCTATCTCTTTAGTTATTCGGGCATATACGGACTTTTTACTCCATAAATTCCGTATTTTGTTGTATCCCTAGGCCTTAGCTCCCACTTTTTGCAGAAAATCGAGACCATTAATATCACACCGGGGATTCGGGCAAAAACGGCGGCCTGAAGCAAGGTTTTTCCGGTGTCAAATCTATACGGATTTCTTTGCACGTGATCCTTAAATTACCCCGGATTTATGGGAAGATCGGGTCTACTGTATTCATTGGGTCCGTATTTGCTGCAAAAAAAAGTCCTGCTTCGGGCCGTCTTTTTTGCCCAAATCCCCAATGGTTATTTTTTCGGCCGCATCAAACCTGATTGTCCCGGCGGATCAAGCTTCGTCAGCTCTTTCCGACGGCGACTAGGGTAATTAAGTCGACGCCATGAAGCGCGCAGGAGCCCCGAACGCCAGCGAAAACCCCCCACAAAAACGCACCAAAGCGAGTCAGGCCTGCGCCTCGTGTCGAAAACAGAAAAGTCGATGCGAAATTCTGGATGTCCGCCCAGTCGCTGGAGCCCCGGTGGTTATCCGTTGTCACCGCTGCAAAGTGCTTGGAGTCGAATGCTCGTTTGAGACCTCCGACCTCATCCACTTTGCGCCAAAGGCAGTCTCGGCTTCCACACCATCGTCTGACGCGTCGTCGCCTGGGACATCGACTACTCTTGTTGAGCCAACAAGTAGCTATAGCGGGTTGGGGGCGCTTGCTGCTGCTGCTGCAGCATCCTCTCTCCCCACTCCCATACCACCACCACTAAATACTCCCACCACAATCCCTGCCCGTTTTGGAATAGCGCCTGAAGATCTCGTTCCGAATGCCTCAACACCGGTGTGGGGGCCCGGCTACAAAGCTAGCAGGGTCAGCAGAGTGGACTGGACTGCAGCACCCATGCTAGCAATCCAGGAAATGGTCCGTTGTCCCAAAATCGACCAGCCAATCGACATTCCAAGTGCCGCAAGGCTGTCTGATATCCTCAGTGGTGCAGAGATCACTTCCCTCCTTGATATGTTCGTGTGTGTGTGCTTAATTTCGTTCTCCGTCGCTCAACATTGGCTTTCTAGCTTTGAAACTCGATACAGCCCATGGCTTGGCTTACCGCCGGCCCGGCTGAACAACACCAACTCGTTATTCGACATCGTCCGCTGCACTATTGCTTCCCGACAGCTACCCCTTTCCCGCAGATCGTCAGCGGCCCCGCGACTCCAGAAATTGACCGAAGATGTTTTTGTCAGCGAGCTCTTCAACCCTCAACCATCGCTTGATTCAATTCGGGCACTCCTCATTCTTTCTGTGTGGACCCCAATAAGCGGCACCGGCGCAGAAGCCCGAGATGGGCGTCTTCTCATTGCATCTGCCGTCAGTATGGCCATGAATCTTCAACTCCAGAATGAATCAAAGCGAGTAATTGGGCTACGAGCAGAAAAGCCTCAGAAAATGACTGAAATCGACGAATCGACCCACAAATGGCGTCTGGTCAGCATCCTCATTTGGGAACTAATCTAATGCTCACGCAAATTCTAGTGGATGTCGCTTGCCGTGGTCGAGTCTGCATTGTGTGTTGGCACTGGCAGGACACCAGTTTCACATTTGTCGCCCCTCGACCACGATATGACTGCGTTATCGTCTTTTCCAGAGTTCACACTGCTTTCTGTTCGAGACATTCGTTTGGGTCTCGCAGCCAAGGTTCTCCACGTCTGCGAAAGTGCGTTACAGCTTCGCCTCCAGCGCGTCGACAATCTCGAGACCTTTTTCAACAAGATGAATGATTTGACTTACACCATGGAAGGCATGAGTCGACTCATCAAACCTTTATACGGTGTGTTATGAAACCACGGTCTGATTACCTCTCATCCCTATTTTTCGTAGTGCTCACCCCATTGGACACTTTTTACAGTCAAATGCTCCTACTCGAGTATCATGCATGTCTTGTTTTAATTTACCACCACGCCCTCCGCGAAGTCAGGACTACTTACGAGCGCGATGCACCCGACACACCTTGGTACTCGGTGGAGACGAAAGCAGGACATTGCATATCCTTATTTTGGGGTCGCGAAGCGCTTATTAATGCCGAGGGAGTCCTAACGACGTTCCTATCAGTAACAGACCCAACCCTCTTCTCCTCCGCACCGGATATTATCTTTATTATGGTTCGCCGCTCTTCAAGTTGTTTTATCTGCGCACTTTGACTGACTAAAGTGATAAGATCGGATTCGCGGCCACCTGGATATTCGTGTCCAACTTCACGCTCTACCAAATGGCGGGCAGCAACCTCGGTGGCCCGAGCGAGATGCTTCAAACTCTGACTATCGAGCGCCTTCACCAAATCGCGCTCTCGCCGGACCACGCAGCAACCCGATGCGGTCACGTTCTCGCAGCGCTCATGACCGCCTGGGAAAAGCGCAAACCCGCGCCACGCGACCCTGAAATGTCCGAATGCTTTATACATGTGCCTTATACGCGAACGAATCACCCGCAAGTTCAGCGAGGGCCATATATCGGCACCCAGGCAACAGAAGCCACGATGGTCCCTGACCTCGGCGTGGCTATCGACCCGTTGGGCCCCTTTCCCGACCTCGGTGGGGCGGAAATCAACTGGGACCTCTTCATGGACGACGTCTTTTGGTCGACGTTCATGGAAAACCTTAATTCGGATGCTGGTTCTGTGCCTGTTGTGCCGCTTGGCTAAGCTACACTAGCCTTTTTTCCGAGTTAAAGCCATCCTATATCTGTACTCTGTACTAATAGTGTTCACAATCTCTCTCTGTACTGTTTTTTTTGCCTTTAGATCAATTTTCGATTTTTTTACAAAAAATTACTGAGTTATTTTGTCATTTGTTCTTTTCCCACACTCACTTCTTGCCGTTTGCTTTCATGGTTCCGGTTCATCCTTTCGCCAACGCTCTTGACAGATTTCATTTGCTAGCGCAGAAAGTATGCACACGTCAAATGACGCCGATGGCTTCCCAAAGAGTCTAACCCTACAGAAGAAGGGAATACCCTTTCTCCAGGGTTCTCTCAAATCTCAACGCACGACATTCATGTGTCGCTGGATCAGGCTGTAAAACGTGGTTTTGGGACTGTTACCGCACGCCACAACATTCCTGACGCGCAAGAGATGTTCATTCCTAGCTTTCGACGAGCATTTTTCTCGCACTGTGAAACATAGTAGGACGACCAAGTGCCTGCCTGGCTGCATGTGGTAAGTTGGCCAACTTCTTCCTGAAATTCCTCTCAAACAAAGATCCAAGTGCCGGATTTGCTTTTTATGCTGTTGGATGGGGAGGAATCTGGTTGCCTGGTTTTGGCTCGGACGGAGGGGAAACGGAACCAGTGTCCTAATCGCCGGCCAATTTCTCGCAAACCTTGCGCAAACTCGAATGCTTCCTTGTGATCGGGTGTCTACCATGGTCTGGGACCACGCCCCCCATATAAGAAGGTTACTTATAAGCTCAAATTGGTCGAAGCTGCCTGACTTGTACTGGACGACCCCATCAAATATTTAACCTATCCGCGAAAGCTCAACGACGACGGACATCATCATCATGGAGGTGAGCTTAACGCGCTTAACGGGCTATCATAGACACTGACTAGCTCGAGCAGCCTCCGATCCGCCTCTTTGCACTCATTATCGGCGTCGACAAATACGAGTCCGGCGCTGTTCGTTTCTTCTCTCTGCCTGCATCCTGGCTCTTGCTAATTAGACTTCAATTTCTTGCTAGGTTTGGAATCTGGAGTCTTGTGCTGACGATGCCCATCGTATGCGCCAATGGCTTCGCAACGATCTCAAAGTACCCAAAGATCACATCTGCATGCTCCTCGACAAACATGCGACCAAGGACAATATCGAGAAGGCTTTCCTTCGCCATCTCGTCAACAATGTGGCGATTCAACACGGTGACGCCATCATCATCTATTTTGCTGGCCACGGAAGCACTGTTGCCGCTCCCGAAGGCTGGTTCTACCCTGGCTCGCGCGGCGGGACTGCAGAAGTTCTGTGTTCGTATGACTTTGGTCAGCGAAATGTTGTCGGGCTGTCCGATAGGTCCTTGCAGTCGATGATTGAAGAGCTATCCAAGGTCAAGGGCGACAACATTGCGGTTATCTTGGACTCGTGCTTTGCGCCTGTCCAGTCACCAACGAATGTCCGCGCTCGAAGCCAGACACGGTGGACCCCATCTGGCAAACTGACCGCCAAAGATCTTGTTACGGGACTCTGGGAGGGTGCACAAAAGAAACCCTACCCTCGTGGCGTAGGTTTCTACAACGCGAAAAGTGCCGCATACACGCTTCTTTCTGCGTGTAGCAAAGGCGAGAAGGCGATGGAGAGCAAGGACGGCGGGAAATTCACCTCTGCTTTCCTTGAAACGGTCCGGGAGACCCCGCTCCATAGCGCATCGTATTCCAGCCTACTGCAGCACATCCTGGCCAAAATCAAGGAATACCAGCGGCCGTTCTTCTCTGGCGCGACCAAGCGGCCCCTCTTCAACGCGGTACCCTTCCGCCCTGACGAAAAGTACTTTCAGATAGACGCTGTCCACGACCCGAAAATGCTGCGCATCGAGCTTGGGTCCATCCATGGGGTCGTCGCTGGCACCAAGTTCTCTGTCCACGCCCACAACTACTCCGCCTGCAACCCCGCGATTGCTCATGTCTCTGTCACTGACGTTCACCCAACGTGGTCATTCGGCTATACGACGCGGTCCGTGCCGTCGGGCTCGTGGGCACAGATACGCCGCTGGAATAACCAGGGCTTATTCCGCTCGCGGTCCAAACGGTCGCTTTACACGCTTTTACGGCCTCCAAGAGAGATGTTCTCGATTTTCTTCCGGGCCAAGGCATGAGTTATGAGGGTATCTTTATTTATTTAAGGACTTAATATGGTTGGATATGTATGTAATTGTATACTTTCTGGGTTATGGCCATAACTAGTAGTTTAAGTTCAAATTGATATCCAGGCATTTAATAACTCTGAATGAGCTCCAGAAGCAACGCTGAAGAGAGGTAAAGGACTTGCTTAAAGCGGCAAGCCGGTATTCCCATGATGTTGATATTATTGAATCCAAAATCGAGTCGCTTTCGCTCACCACTTGTTTGAATATTTCAATGAGCAAGTCTCAGGTAGGATTCGAATCGGGGCCTTCAGAGCCACAACTCGGGATCGTTGGAGGTCACAAGCAGTCGATAGCGCCTTCAATTCCGTTCTCATCCTGGTAAGAGTCCAGGTTGTTTAGCAAGCAAAAAGGTGGCCTGTTTTCCAAAGCCGAGTAGCAGATTCGGCGAGTAGGTTATGAAAATGTCCATTCGGGTCTATGATATGTCGTACGCTGGAAGGTGGGCAATGGAAGAGGCAACTCAGGCAGGAAAACTGATACCAAGTTGACCAGCAACACGAGCTGTCACGCTCACGTGAGTCCATTCAATCAGCAATCCTTGATTTCATTCAGTGATTATGAGTCGAGATTACACAATCCTGGTCTCAGCGCGCACCATTGCGGCTGCAGCGCAATAGCCTTCACTCCCCTCTGCACCATTCTGAACCTCACATCGTGTAGTCTCGCTTGCGCTTCAGTTCCATCAAGGGCTTTCCCATTCGGCTGTTTCGCACTCCAGAACACCTCCGCCGAAATGGCTGCGCGCGGCCAAACAATTGAATCGAGGTTACTCGAGTCCGATTGCTCAGCCCAGAGCAGTTGTTGGCCACCCAAGACAAGATGTGCTTGAGAACTGCTGATATTGGCAAGAGGGTTGAACGTGTATGCCTGAAGAGGATAAGCATTGGTGTAGGGAAAGGAGATGAAACTCACATGCTGCCATGTCTTGAATGGATCACACCAGCTGTTGCTACACAATTTTTTCAGAACAAAAGGGGTCACGTAGAAAAGCGCATACCCAGTGGGGTTTTTCCCGATCCATTCACCGGCACCACAGTCCTAGAGCAATTTAGTTGAGACCAACCGACATCAAGAGCCGCACGAGATAAAAGTAATCTGAAGGGGCGTGTACAATGCGGAAGTTCTTTGACGCGACAGAGGCTGCGTTCATCGACGATATCCACACCCTGGAGGTTTGATTACATAAGTCAGATTGCAATTTGAAGGATAGAACGCAAAGGAAAACGCACATAACCACAGTATTATTGGATAACATCAAGGTATGCTCCAAAACCATCTCTGCATCTATAATCAGACCAGCCAACAAATCGGAGGTCACCAAACCTTCCCAAACAACAGGATTCTTGCCAAGTTTTGCCAGTGCACCATGAGTCGCCTGCGTGAACGAATTCAATGCCTTCTCCAAAGTCTGCCCACTGCTCTTTAAATCAGCTTGTGTTTTTGCGTCTTGAGTATAGCAGCTATGAGAGTTGAAAACATGTATCGTGATCGATTAACCCAGACTCACGCAGTATTGAGCTCGTCGCCACCAGTACTAAAGTACTTTCCGGGTAGAACCTTTGCAGCGGCCGTGATGAGCCCGGTAGTAAAGTTGACGGTTGCGGGAGTCGCGAGACGGAGTTGGCCGGCGGGGGGCTCGTTGGCGAATGTCGTCCAGGGAGATGACTGACTACATGCGATGTGTTCTGGATGTGAAGCAGCAATAATGGCGGTATGTCCGGGAGTGTCGATTTCCTATTCAGGTAATAAGCAGCTGCTCTACTTGGCTGTTTAGAAGTAGAAACTGACCATGAGAACGTCAATACCGCGCTGCAACGCGCATGAGCAAATGGGGAAGGCTGTCGAAGATAATTCACAGACTCACTGCTGCAGCATATGAAACAATATCTTGTACGTCCGACGGTGAATAGACTTGAGTAACAGAATAAGCCCCCTTTTGGGCGAGTTCCGGAAAATCGGGAAGGCTTAATGGGAATGACTGCGAGTCTGTTATGTGCCAATGGAATTGGTTCAGCTGTGGAAGAGAGTCAAGAAAAAGGAGTTGTGCTTGCGAAACATGTTACCTTAACCCAGCTCATTGCATCCAAGGTGCGCTTGATGTCGGTAACAGGGAAGCTAACACAAGTTTTGAGAAATGGGGCAGTAATCAAAGCGAAAACCCAAACAAATTGCGCGACGTGTCCAGCATGAATCCTCTATAGGGCTTTATTTGGAGACGTCAGCAAGATAAGGTAAAAATAAAATATAGAACACACGTAAGCCGGCGAATCCTTGACGATGTTGACTGGAGCAACGTTGGAATAAACGGTCCCATTCCACGTATACCACAGTTGCGCGAACGTCGTCAGCCCTCTGAATAGACCCAAAGTCGAGTTTGCTGAGAGGACCGCGGGAGCACCAGTATTGGGAATAGCGAGCGTGTAGCCTTCGATGCGACTGCTGAAGTCCTTCACAGCTTCGGTGGCGATTGGCAACACGCTTGTCGTGTTTTGTAGGGTGATTGTTAGACTAGCGAGTGCAGGAGATGCTTTGAAAGATGCAGCATCGGACGCGCCACGGTCGACAACAAGACGCTGCAAGTGGATCAGTTCCACGAAGACTGAGGAAACCTGGGCAAACCTGTAGATTGTCGGTGGCGAGATAAGTTTTGGTTCGAGAGACAGCATCGAGCAAGTCTTGTGGCGCATTGGGTACGTTGACGGTGATAGTGAAAGTTGACGAGAGAACAAGGATGCTTGTTCCAGTTGTAAGAGTTGTGGGGATAGGCCACAAAGCGAGCACACCAGGAAGGACCGCGAAAAATGCAAGTCGCATGGTGGTTCAGAAGAAGGAAGACCAAGTCAGGAGGTCACTCCACCCGACGCAAACACTTTTGAAGCATTCGACATCATGGCAGAAGAAGAGAAGCAGGAGGGATACTAAATTTGGAAATCAAGACCCTATTCGAGTTACTGACGTGCTATTATTGCAAGTACGTCCCTCAGTAGTCTCGCTCACAATCCTTTCTTCTGACCCGTGAAGACGGTCGTTCACGAGAGAGAAGAAGAAAGTCCCTCGGAGGCTTCAACTTGAACTTGCGTCACGCCATCTTGACCAATGGCTCAGCAGGACACCAAAGTTTCAGAGGGTGCTGAAATCATTCGATTAGGGAAGCACATTGGAACGGGGTTTTATGTACGCTCGCTGGTGCCCCCATTTGAGTACTGACTGACCTGTTGCAGGCGTTCGTATTTGAAGGCTACCCTGCTTCAGGGGGAATAGTTGCTGTGAAGAAATCGCGGGTTTCTCTACGAACCAAACGCCCTTGCCTTCAGCACGAGGTCCGAATCCTCCATCTCGTGCAAGGGCATCGAAATATTCCCCAACTCGTGGGCTATTATCGCGGACCGCACTTTGAAATTTGAATACATCGTGATGGAGTTGCTTGGACACTCAATCAGAACTATCGCGTCTTCTGGGCTACTTCCAAGCACCGTCTCGCGTGTTGGCATCCAGTTGGTCAGTGGCACTAGCCCTGGATTTTTGTTGACGGAAGATAGATCTCAGCTCTCGAGCATATTAAGGCATCGTCCATCGCGATATCAAGCCAGAAAACATTCTTCTCTGTGTCAAGGACCCGTCTAGAATCTGTCTTGGCGATTTCGGAATCTCCCAGTTGCTCAATACTCCGAATTCTTCTCAAGCGATCCAACTTTCGCAGCAAAGCAAAAAGAACTCGGGTACAGCTCCAATCGGCACGTTGAGCTGGTGTAGCCTCAACGCGTATACCAGTAATGGTACCTAATCACACACACTCATCTTGACGTTGTCCTAACGCGAAAACTTCCAGCTCTCGGTGCAGCAGACGACCTCGAGTCTGTTGTCTACGTGCTTCTTTTCCTCCTCGCTGGCTCCCTCCCGTGGCGCATACCCGACCATCCGTTCGAAAGTTTGGCAGAAGCAATCACCCGCACTCACGAAGCCAAGCGTGCTTTCACCGGCAGCGTTTTGGAAACGACGGACAGCATGCTGGCTCAGCGGTTGGGACCGGTGCTCGACGCTGGGCGTGCAATGATTCAACTGCTTCCCTATTCGCAGTTGATCGGCCAGCTCGTCGCTGCACTTGATTGCGACGACACTCAACTGCCATTAGATTGGACTCCATGTTCCCCCCCACCCGCATTGGAGCAGTGTCTAGCTCATCCTCCAGTACCCGAAGAAGAGGAAGAAGTCTTCGATGATGAGACAGATATGCATGAGGATGCAGATGATCAGAATCCGAGCTCAGCACCTCACTCCTCGACCAGGCATGACTCGGCGCAAGGTTCCACATCTACGGAGTCCGACGACAGCAACTGCTATGACTGGGATCACAGCTGGCTTCGTTTTGCTGATCGCGACACCAGTCTGACACTGCCCGAGTCGCAAGCCCAAATGTGCGACGCAGCGATCCCAACGTGCTATGTGGCCCCAGTTCGTGGGCCATTTGGAGTTCCCTGAGTTGAGCGCTAGCATGCTATGTAGTCACTATTTATTGAGAGTTTATACTCTTGAAAGACTTTTCTGCACTCTGTGTACCTTTGACGGACTATCCCGATACTTGAGTAATCGTTGTCATGCAATGAGTTTTTCAAGTTGTTTGCTGAAGATCTTTCATTGCCGAACCTCCGGTTTGGCTCCAGACGAGATGTTGGCTGTAGACAATTCCTTTTTGGGACTCTTACATAATCAACTTCGTCAGGCCGTAGACAATGCCTTTTTGGGTCACTTACATAATCAACTTTGTTAGGCTGCACCTATTGCTCACCCATAAGTATCTCTGCCTTTAATTAGAGGAATCAAGCTTGGCACAGACACCCTATCAAGGCCTTTCTTCATCGTGCTGAACACAGCTGGGGGCACTGCTACCCTGGCACTACTGCCTTCCCAGCACCCTCACCACCGCTGTTGCCATTGTAACCTGGGACCATTATGTGAGTCTTGTTATAGACAATTGCCGCAGGCCCCTGGTGTATTCACGAAGATGTTCAATAGTTATGCAGACAAAAGTCGTCTCCAAAAAAGGCTCAAACATACAATATTTAGGCACCAAAAAATAGGTCATTTTGTCCTGTATGGCTGAGGTCAAATTATGCTGCTGGCACTCAAGTGATATTGCAATGCAGATGTCCAAGGGCCTCGAAAGCAGTATGCAGTCCCTGGATTCTTATAATTTAGCTGTAATTCTTCATGTTCTCTTACAGTATTCAAATTTCAGCCAAAATCATACTCATATTTCCTGAAAACTATACTTCAATCAGTCCATAGTATCAAGGTAGTAGCTTGGTTTTCTATGTTTGATCCATTGTGCAGACAATATGACCAAAATAATGCTGCCAGTGGTGCTGAAGAACTCTAATATTTGTGTGGATATTGACATAGAATAAATAGGCAAGCAGATCCTTATGTAGACATTCTGCCAGTGAACTTCAATCTGAAGCCAAACTGCTGTGTCAAAATTTGACCAATTCATGGGATTTTGGATCAAACATCTTCATGCATGTGCCAGGGGCCTATTGCCACCTACTGTCATCAAGTTGGGGACATCTTTCTGCTGGTCCTGCTAAGTAGTTCCCTGCCACTGTCAGTAACCTCACGACATTGTCCTTGATAACAACCACAACAGTAAGCTCAAATCTTCATTGAATTACCAATTTTTTTTAAAAAAAAAACAGAAATCAAGTACTTGAAAAGTATGTAACCATTAGAGAGTTAATGAATTTCATAGCTTGACTTTCTTATGTTGATTACTTATGTGGGCCCAAAGTGTGATTAATCAAAAGTCAACCAACCCCCCCTCCTAAAAAAAAATCATGCCCAGTTTTCAAAAAAAAAATGAGTATGACTACAATATGCTGAATTGATCAAAATAGTACAGTAGTGTTGCTGTTAAATGGAACAGAAGACAAACAAGATTTTAAAGTTCAGACTTATTCACATTAGAGTTTTGCAGTGCAAATAACTTGATATTTGATGGTCTGGCTTGGCCCTTATCTATATTATCCCACACCATGTCACAGATGGCAACAAGAATAATATTTCTGTTCAGGACAGAAATACAATTACTTATGTTATATATATACTCACTAGAGTAGATAGCAAATGGCACTGTGCTGAGAGAACAAAAGAAAATTCTTGACCCCAATCTGGTAAGAGACACTTGGTCTAGTATCCTTGAGCTAAATACCGAGGAGGAAAACTGGCTAAAGTTGCCCAGGGTTTTGGTGGGTCCCGCCAAGAGTCAGCCTAGAGCTGCGGACGGCGTGTAGAAGTATATTTCCCTGGGCGGTGGCCTAGCTCTTTACCCTCCCTAGGTGAGCCCGTATCGGCTCGCCACACTTTACATGGATATAGTAGGATAACATTGTTAATGTCAGGGGAACCTCCCTTTCGGCCCCTCGGAGACGCCTCCGATTCCGGTCCGACTCCGGTTCTGTCTCCGGTCCGGCCCTCCATCTCGCCCGCACAATCACCGATCCGTCAACGCCCTCCCAACGGTCGCCTTGGGACCTCGCCTGCGATGCCGCCCAAGCCTTCTGTGCCCGACAGCGGCAGCTACGGACAAGCAGTATATAGTCAGCTACCTAGCAGGCGGACCCTTAGAGTTTCTTCTCTTTGGATCCTCCCCTGCTAGGTCAGCTTCATTTGTATTCGCTTACCAATGTTCACGCTTTGGATCCTCCCCTGCTAGGACCTTGATCTCAGGCCTCCGGGGTTGCCCTTACAGTTAACTGTACTACGTCTGATATGTACCACCAAAAAAAAAAAAAAAAAAAAAAAACAAAAAGAAAATTTCTTCCCTTTTTTAAAAATAAAGTATTTTCCACTACCTATTTCCCATCTGCAAGTTGAAGGGTTGTCATGCTGCTTATCATGGAGATAGGGTAGGGGGGTCCATACAGAGTCATAGTTTATTATATATTCTGGAAAAGTGCTAGTCAAGACTCAAATGAGTCTGCATGCATGCTGCATGTTCTGCCAGAGGTTCGGCAATCGCCGCTTGCGGCCTTATCCCCCATCATTTCTCAAGCAAGTATTTTCTAGCCACATCTATCCCTTCTTAGCTAGCCTCGTATAGATCATGTCCAAGGCCTTTCCTTTCCAAATGGGAGATGTATTCAAACACAGGCAACGCAGATGTACAAGTTCTGTATGTAAGTGCATGCAATGCAACGACAGCCACAAAAAGAAAATTTCGATAGCAAGAGAGTGTGTCCAAATGCAGGATGGGATGCCAAAAAAAAAGAGATGCCAAAAAGACGGTCATGAGTGGGTCGTGAACGCACAAAAGTAAAAGGAAAAAAAAACCCGCTTCAGAAGCTGCTGCTGCTGCTGCTCCGCGACATCGACATCTCCGCCTCTGCCTCCAATGCAGCCCTGGCTCGCATCAGTGTCCGTCTGGTCACGTTCCACCCGCGCCAGTCCTCCAGCCACACGCCCTCCTCCCGACAGCGCTGCAGCACACCCTCCCAAAACCGCACAATCCTCTGGCGGGCGCGGGGCGATGACAGCGGGTTAGCGTGACTGTGTTGATGTGGGTGTTGTTGTTGGCCGACAAGGGAAAGCAGCGACGAGTTGCTGCTCATCTCAGAGCAGCTAGAACACATCGGCTCAGTCCATAGCCCCCGCCGCAGCCAGTCGCTCCCCTCGCTCATGTCGCGTACGTATTTCAATCGCGGGAAAGCTTCGCGACGCAACAGAGTCTCCATCTGTTCGCGAAGACCAAACAGCGCAGCGTGGTGGTTGGTGCCTGGTACTCAAATCAGTCAATGAATAACAAAAAAGTAAGGACCAACAAACCTAAACCACCATCACCGCCAACGCGGCCCTCGATCCCGCGGATACCGATGAAGCTCACATTAGGGTGGGCAGGAAGCAACAAGTGCGGCGCAATCCAGTCTGGGTGTTCCCAATTCCACTCCGCATCAGCACTGCAGATGAACTCGTCCAAATGCGGGCAAAGCGACGCGAGCGAAAGCGCTTGCCAGCCTGAGGTCGTCTGTGGGTTATGAGGCGGCAAATGCGGGGTCGTCAGCCACGCTTCTTCGATACAAGCACTCGAGTGTCCAAGCTCGAGCTGACGTACACTCCCGCCATGGACTTCGAAGAAGCGTCTGAACCCGTCTGCGGCATAGGAAAAGTCGGCGCTAACAACACTCAAGTTGCGCAACGCGGGCAGCACCCAACTCGATAACACCAAAAAAGTCCCGTTGTCGAGCGTGACCTTGAGGGTGCGGAGGGTGGGTAGAATCAGTCCAGCGCTGCAGGCAGGCAGACATTTCGTGGTGACCTTCGGAGAGAAAGCGGAGGATGAGACAAAGTTGAGCTCCAGATACTCTAGTCGTTCGCCCATATAACCGCCACGCAGCCCAAGCCCAATCCCTAGACTCACCAGAGTAGGGTCGTCGTAACTTGTCCATGTTAAGCGTTTGAGCGCACCGCCACCCTCGGCTAATTTAGCAAACAAGTTGCAAGGTCCGTTGTCAGTCTCTCGATTACTGGGAGGGGTAGAGGACGAGAGAATGCTGCCTCGCACTCGACGGACACTGCGGTAGTCCGAGTACACCTCCAGCCCAGGGGCATACTCTAATATCGTGCGGAGATCCGCAGGATGACACCGCTCCAACGCTGGCGTCTCGATATGAAGTCGTCGAATAAATCGGCCAGCACTTGCTTCAGTGGCTGGGACACTTTGCGGAGATAAACAGCACGCTTGGCAAAGAAGGGTCAACGCAAGAGCCTTCGCCTGCTTGGCCCGCGCTATCCAGACAAAAGAGTAGAGCACAGGTTGGGCATACGAATGCCATTTGCGACAAACAAGAGTGAGGTTGCGCTTGTGGGCCATCAGCGCTCGGTGATATGTCAATCGTGGCGCCAGGGACGCAGGTGTCGGCGCGGGAGAAAGAAATGATGAGGGTAGCTCAAGTGACGGGGGCGGCGACGAGTCAAACTCAATGGTATCCGTTGTTGAGAATGAGGGGTAGGTTGAATATTCCAGTATGAGCATCCATAGCTCCGCTGGGAGTTCTGGGGAGTGGCAGTTTGGGGGATGAAATCTGGTAGTTTGGTTAGACAGTGGAAAAAGACGGGCAGAAAATCATATGATGAGTGATGAGGGCGAAAACAGCGGAGACTTCGGTATCAAGGCCGAGACCCTCTGATGCCCGTTTGACGGAAACAGCTTGACACCAAGGAATAGCCGGTGCAAGCGAGGACGCAGACAGTAGAATATGCTCGTCCCGAGAAAGTTCGCGGAGCAGCCAGAGGTAGAAGCGGGGGAGAGGGAAAAGCAGAGGGAGAGCGCTCACTTGTTTTTGGCACCATTCCTGGCAGGAACAAAGGAAAACGTCAGCTCTCGATTACACAGCCCACATAGACGGAGACACTAGGAGAATGGCCCTCGAAAGGGTGGGCTGGAGTGCTCTTCCCGCAGCCTCCGACAAGCCCAGACAACGGCGAGCAAGAATAGGACAAGGGCCCAATTGCCAATGTTGTGATCGCCAGGGGCGTCAGTCATAAGAGCATCACAGTTCCGAACAACCGTCCGCTGCAGCAGCAAGCGGCTGCGGGAATGTGGAGATGGGAAGCGCGCCCTGACGGCCCCACCAGCAGCCCGTCATTTGCCCCACTCTAAAAGCGAGCTCCACGACAAGTGTGAGAGAGAGAAGGTATTGACTCACCGTTTGTTGCGCGACAGTGGAAAGACGCGAGACAGCTGGCGCCGCAGAGTTTTCTTCACGCTCGTTCCGGAGGTAGAGCCAGAAACGAGGCTTGAATTGTGGGATATGGGTGATGTCTGTTGAGAGGATGTTGACGCGCGCATATCTGGCGGGATGCTTGTGATGACGGTGGGCGGAGGTGAGGTGTGTGGGGAATGAGTGGGGAGCGGGAGACGCTTGTGTGTTGACCGTGGTGGAAGGAAGGAAGGAGAGGTGTTTGGGCGGTCACACACACTTTCGGCCTTCGAATTTGGTCCACACCCTTTTATTTCGAAATTCTGTGCCCTCGTGGCTCGCCACACGGAGTCAACACGAACCCTTCCTTGGAAGTTCCTTCACCGAAGACTCGGTCCCGTTTCTGTTGGACCACAGAGAGCTTTCTATGGAAATACGTGCGGTATTGCTGTAAACCCTGCGCGACTGTCACAATTGGCTACTACTTATTATATGACGCTACGAGTTGTAGGGTAGCCGATGGCCCCCACGGACAATATAACCCCCGCGATTCTCGCAGGGCAGGCGAGCTTCGGCAGTCTAAATGGCGGTGCACTCAGGCTCGCTCTCGTGAGTATGAACGAGCCTCATCTAGTACACGACTCGCTGTAGTCGTCTTGAATCTGTCTCCTTGAACACGAAGAGGTTGTTTGCTCCATAGATAGAGCAGACACTCAACAAATTGAGGAAGAAGATAAATGAAAGAGGCCAACGACGCTGATAGCGCTTTCTTGAACTCTTATAATGGTCCATAGCCAGAGAGAGTGCATGTTTTTTTGGGTTCGGCATAGCGGAAATACAAGCAGGGCATGCGAGTGTGTGTAAAGTGGGAGGGACGGAACAGTGAGAGATGATCACTAGGGACACAAAGTTAGTCTCAAGAGAACTAGCCAGACGCAAAAGACGTACGAAGGTAAGCGCGGCACCCTTCGTCTTCTTCTCACCACCGAGCTCGAAGCTGGGCAGCTCGTCAGTCCTGATCGTAAACTCTAGCAACAAGTCGACGCACTGTTTGCAACGCTTCAGAGCCATTTGCATCTTGTACTTGCAGACCGTGCACTCCAGCCGCAACACAACTTTCTTCGTCGTTTTAGCCTAACCAACAGATCAGCATTCGTCGCCAGCAGTCCAAACCCAGCAACGCACCTTCTTGTGGAAGACAGGCTTGGTCTGTCCACCATAACCGCTCTGCTTTCGGTCATAACGCCGCTTGCCCTGGGCGAAGAGGGAAGCCTTGCCGGTCTTGTATTGCGTTACTTTATGAGGGCTAGAAAACTCCCCAGTAAGATCGCTGAAATCAAGGTAGAGAGCACGGCGCCATACGTGTGCTTTTTGCACGTCTTGCCCTTGCAGTCTAGGAAGAGGAAAATCGGATCGTTAATATTGTCCGTCCTTCGATCGGTAGCAGGAAGGACACACAGGTTCGGCGGGTCCTATGAAGGGAAAGACGGCAGTTGAGCACACATCCAGGTATCACACAGGTAGAAAGACGTACTTGGGGATGTTGACCATGGCGGCGACGGGTCTTGAGGATGGAGAGAGAAATGTGTCCACGTGACGTGACGCACGTCACAAGAAACTAGTCAGCTTCCTGATTCGGCATCCGATTATCTTTATCGAGGCCCGAATTGACGTGTATGCTATGGATGCAAGTGTACTGGCTTCTATAAGTACAGTGGGTAGAAATACAGCTCAAGAGTTGTTACCGAAACTGTCCGTGTGCTCTAATCTAAAATCTTGGTAGTGAAAAGTCGTGAACTGCTGGTGATAAAGCGGCCCATCGTCTAGTGCCTGGCTCTCACCCCACCACTGATTCTTCTCAGATCCTTCTCCATCAGCTCTATCCAAGTATACCATGCGCCACCGACCAACGTCAGGCCAATTCCCAGCGCGTTCAGGTGCGTTATCGTCAGGTCAAAGATAAACACGGCAAAAACAATCGTAAGGACCTGCTTCACGTTGGCTGCCAGAAATACGTCAATCATAGCCAAAAACCTCGAAGATAGGGATACGAACCAGCAACAGTCATGCCTAAGGCACCAACTCGTCGATTTGCGCTGAAGCTGACCACATTTAGACCAAACGCAATGCACCCATTCAATACAAGAGCGATGAGCTTAAGCATTGACAGATGGCCGGTCTCGGTATATGCTCGCACTCGCTGGAGCTCGCCCGTAGTATGTGCAAGAAACAAGCATTCCACACAGGCGAGAGGAGAAAGATAGTAGAGCAGGTCGAATGGGTTGTGAAAGTAAGCAGGTCTCGAGGTCGTTGGTGACTGGAGGATGTTGGTAAAAATGGTTTTGAATGCAGCGAGAAGGGTTCCAAGCAACGTGAGCAAGAAACCTGTGTAGGTAAAATAATAGTCCCCGAAAGTCCTAATCGGAGGGTCAAGTTTTGAATGTTTTTCGTACAATTGAAGCTCACGCTAGTCCAACACCTGCAACAACAGGAATAAGAGATATCTTCGTCGGGTAACTACTTTGGACACCAAAAAAGACGGTCGAGAACAAAACGGTGAAAATGGGCGTGGCGGCTCGAACAACTTGGTGAAACTACTTTCCGATAAGCGATATGATCGAGGTTCCGCAGCATACTTGCCGGAATGGTGACCAAATGCAGAGATATATTGCTGACTGCGATGTTGACTGCATAGAGCATGCTGAAGGCAGCGAGAACGATTGTTTCACGAGTATTCAAGCGCGACGGAACAAAGTAGCCGTGTTTCGCAAGGATGGAGGCGCCTATCGTTCCAAACAGCGCGTGGAGGGCGGAGAGAGTATAGGGGAAAGGAAAGCCAACGAGAACTCGTTTGTTGAAGAGTGTCAGTCCCAGATTGAAACAAAAGTACATCGAAAGCCAGAATGCAGATGAGTCTAGTGGCAGTAGAACCGATGGTGGTGGCGGATACTTGAGCTTTGGCGATGTTTGAACGGTAAAGGGCGGCAGTAAGAGCTCGGTTGGGGATGACGCCAAATCTTCATGAGAATGGGAATGGTCTGGATATGGTTCTCGGTGATATGCACGCTGGTAGAGTGAGCCTGAGGACAATCGCAACGAGCGATTTCGGGCGTGAGCCGGTCTGAGAGCGATACGCGGTGTTGACGGCTGGAAGGTGTGGGGCATGTCATTTCGGGGTTTGGCCGGTGGGGCTTCGAGGTCGATGCAATGGAGTAAAGGTCCAGTGGGGAGCTTGAACGACTGCATTGGATGTTCAGCAACGTTGGACGCAAAGTGAGAGTCTGTGAAAGGAGGATTGACGCCGAGTGGAAGCAGCGGTCTTGCAGTTCTTGGAATTCGACGTGATGATGAAGAAGCCATATTGATGCAGTGGAGAAAGGGCGGGAGACGAAATCGAAACGAGTCCAATATTAGCTCAGTGCTGTTTGGCGAGGATTTCGGCGAAAGACGGTCGAAGGATTCAGGGAAACAAATTTGTCACGTGTCACGCGTCGAGTCACGGATAATTGTCTGACCTTGACCACATTCATGCCGCGTCAGACAACCCCAGGAGCAGTCCTTACGCAGGCAAACTCTAAGAAACGCGCACTTTCCGAGGACGAAGACTCAGATGCAAGTCCAGAAATTAAAAGGCCTCGACGGTCGGTAGACAACACCCCCACTGGGCGCGACAAGAAGAAGCGGCAGAAGAAGAAAAGAAAGAAAAGCTCTGTAGTGGCCCCGATATCCACCGTCAGTGTCAATAGCTCGACGACGCGTGACCCTCCGTCTTCACGGCCGGTATGTGTGCCACCCACCGCCTGATTCATTCACAAGACATTGCACAGAGTTCGGCCAAGGGAAAGTACAAGGCTTCCTCTGAACCACCGGACGATGATGTCGGTGGAAATACTGAGTCAGGGGACCGTGAGGAAGAGGCCGACCCTTCTTCTGCGACGATTGCCCGACTGAATCAAGAGTTCAAGGCTCAAAGTGCCGTGCGTGATCTCCTTTTACATTTCTTCCAACGCGCTTATATCATATCGCAGGTGTTGAAGAAACACGAGTTACTATTAGCACAGCTCGTCCAGTCTCTGACGTGTCAAATCTGCCTCGATGCCTTGTACAAGCCATACTCGCTGTCTCCTTGCGGTCATGTTGTCTGTTACAACTGCCTTGTTCAATGGTTCACTACCGAGCCCGACGAGGAGCATGCCCATGAATACCCCCTACCTCGCAAGAAGACTTGTCCTCATTGTCGTGCCAGAATCCGCGACCGGCCGGCCGAAGCCTGGAGCATTAAAGATATGGTCGTTGGACTGGTGAAGAGTGATCTGGTCCCAACTTTCTCTGGACTTCCCCCTCCGCCACCTCAACTACCTGGTCAAGGTTTGAACAACGAGGACGTTCCCAAAGACCCATGGCACAATATTTTCCACTATCCCCATCAACACCCTGGCTTCCACCCTCTAATGCACAATGGAGAGCAGCCCTCAGTCGAGGATATGGGCATGCTTGATCTGGAAGATGGTGGAATATATCGCTGTCTTGACTGCATGAATGAGATTTGGGATGGCGTCTGCACTTCGTGTCATCGCGTCTACCCCGGACATCAAGCAGGGCCAGACTTTGCCAACATGTTTGACGATGGCGAAAGTCTAGACGATGGAGATGGAGATGAGGATGAGCAGTTGTTTTTCCCACACTGGTTTCCTATGCACGTCAATCTCGAGGATGAAGACGAAAGCCATCGAGACCTCAGTGAAGACGAAGAAGGTGGATACGACAGCTTCATTGATGATGACGAAGACGATGTCAATGGCTCTCAACATGCTGCCGAAATAATCGAAATTGCCGATTCAGACGACGACGATGATGTCCATTATTTGCCTCCTCGTCGACGTGTCCCAAGATTTGTCGAAATCAACTCCTCTGATTATGAAGTTGAGGGTGAAAATTAGTGCGTGGAATTTTACAGTTTTTGCTCGCTTCTTATTCTTATTCAAGCCGATCTCCGTCTGGGTCTCCCCCGTATGTAAAGCTACGAACTACAGCTTCTTACTGAATGAATATCTTGCAGACCAATTCGAGCTGGCAGCCGCAGAGCTCCCAACCATCCTAACTCCTCGTTTGTGGTCCTCTTGTCGTAGACTGCATCTATCTAACCTTTCTCTCCAGTAATAGGCGGTTGGAGCGTAACGTCGTTGTCATCAGTGACGATTCTGAGGGCGAAGACTCGGATGAGCCAGAGCCTGTTCAGTCATCTGGGAACCGCAGAACCCATCTCGACGAGGAGGATTCCGAAGATGAACCGGACCCAAACCATGGCGGGGGCGGTTGGGATGATTTCGATGAAGTACGACATCACGCGTAAGCCTTCAAGATTTCATCCAGTGCAACGTCTGAACGGTCTTGCAGTGAATATGAGGGGGAATATAGCGAAAACGACGATTATAGCGACTGACCTGGAGACACTAAATCTATAAACTGTAGTATAAGTCCTCATATTTCTACTATACACACGTCCAAGTGAATTCTACTTTTCACCACCACAAGTCCGAAATGTGACGCAAAATGTGACACACGGGTAAACACGGCTCACCATCCACGACGACGTTGAGGGCAGCGTCGCCCATTTGGGATGTATCGCACACTGCCCACTCGCCAGCTAGTGGTCTCTAGAGGTGCCGTCCGTGTCATAAGACGGGTAAGCAGTCAGTTCACCACGGTATTCAGTTGACTTAAATTTTACAAGCGTTTGGCCACCGAATCAACTCCCCCTGCTCCCGCTCCCAAGAAAAAGCGACACGTCGTCCGCACCCTCTTTCTGACCACAACCGCGCTTGCTGGGACTTTCTATGTCGGAAGCACCTTTGCCGCATTCCAGAATGAGGCATACTACGAAATCTTCTCGGAGCAGGTGCCGCTGGGCTATGCCATGCTCGAATTCGCGGAGTCGCGGAATTGGGACAAGATGACTACTGCCTCTGTCATAGAGTCCTCCAAAAAGTCATTGGAATCCGCTCAGCGCTACGTGACAGACAAAATCAACGGCACACCTACGCCCACGCCAGAGCCAAAGCCTTCCACAAGGAACACGAAGGAGGCTGCCGCAAAGGTCGTCCAGGAGTCGAAGGAAAGGGCGAATGCTGCTGTTGCGCGGATAAAGACCACCGTCAAGAAGGATGCGAATGCTGTTTCCGGTGTTGCAAAGCATCAAGTCGAGCAGCTTACTCGTGGCATTTCGGAGCTTGTTGCGGAAGCAGAGGCTGCCCTCGCCAAACCCATCGACTTCAATGCTCTTGCAACAACTTCTGAAGTCGCTGCGCCACCTTCTACAGACACTGCTGGACCCAGTGCCTACCACGCTCCCTTGCCTATTGGCCACGAGCTTCCTTATGGCTACGCCAAACCCGCCCCACCACCCAAACCCAGTCCTCCACCGCCCAAGCTTCCGCGCCTTTCTCCCGACCTCTCGTCCATCACCTCCTCTGAACCCATCATTGCCCACCTTGCTAGCACCATCGACAGTCTGACCACTTATGTGGAGGATAACCCGAAAGCCGCCTCCAAAGCAGGCTCGGTCGTTGAAAGTGCTAAAGAGGATCTGACGGCACTTGTTACACGGATAACCAGGGTCCGCGAAGACGAACGGGCCGAATTAGAGGCCAAACTCGAGGCGCAAGCTCGCGACTACACTACAAAGCTGATGGAGCAAGAGATGGAGGCGCAGGACCGGTTGGATGGACAAGAACAGGAGTTTCGACAACTTTTCGACCAGCATCAGGCAGAGTTAACTGCGGCTTACCGCCAGAAACTGGAGAATGAGTTACGGACGCAGACTGATCTCATCAACGAGAGGTTGAAGGAGGAAGTTATTGCTCAAGGCATTGAGCTGCAGCGACGGTGGATTCGCGAGGTCAAAGTTCATGTCGAACAAGAACGAGGTGGCCGACTTGCCAAATTGGAAGAGCTTTCAGCCAATTTAAAACGATTAGAACGCGTTGCTGTCGACAACTCGATATATCTCGACGAAAACATCCGCATCCACGCCCTTTGGGCAGCTCTCCGTGCTCTCTCTTCCTCTGCTCTTACTTCTCCTGTTCGTAAACCATTCCGCGATGAACTACGCACGGTTCGTCACATTGCGGCAGCAAGAGAAGACCCCGTTGCAATCACCGTCCTCGAGTCGTTGGAAAGCACTGATGTCCCTGACATCGGTGTCGAGCCTTTCGCCGATCTCGCGACTTGGTTTTCTCAGGAGGTGTCCCCCAAGGTGGCCCACGTTGCGCTTGTCCCCGACGAAAACGCCGGTCTCCTTGCGCATCTGGCAAGCCGCGCCTTTGCCAGTCTGCAGTTCCGTCGCCATGGGCTAGTCAGCGGGGATGATGTCATGAGTGTTTTGGCGAGAGCGGAGCATTATCTGAACGAGAAAGACCTGGACAGCGCGGCGCGCGAGCTGAACCAGCTCAAGGGCACTGCGAAGCTGCTGTTGCGCGACTGGCTGGAGGCTGCGAGGAGGCGGTTGGAGGTGCAGCAGGCTCTTGAGGTGCGCGGGATCTTGCCGTCTTGTTGCTAATTCTGTGCTGAAACTTTTGTCAGGTTGTGCAGACCCAGGCGACACTCGCTGCACTGTTGGTAGTAGCAGACACAGACACGCCCTCTGAATCGTCATAGAATAAATCTTGTGCAACTTCCGGCGATACTTTAGTTTGGCCAGTGTCGATTTTTTTTGGTACTGCCCGGTTAGAAGAGCTCTATGCGAGCAGCGGTAACTTAAAAGCATGTTCAAACAACTTGAAATTTGTGGGTGCTATGTGCATTAAAATCGTCGATGATGTAGGAGTCCAATTGGTACAGTGTTCTACAAGGATTCGTGGCAAAAAAACAGTGACTGCTCATCAAAATATCAAGTACTAGCAAACGAAGAACACTAGACTGGCCAGTTTAATTCCCTGAAATAGCTTGTCCATTCGCCTCGACCCCGTAACGTGGTTGCCAATGCTTCCTTGAGCAGGGGATTGAAAGGGCAGTTTTGCGCACTTGGATGCTGCCCACCCAGAGCTTCCAGGTCGAACATGCACTGGACACCATATATATCTCTTGGCAGCCACTCGCCGTCACGTAACGCCATCCGTTTGTGCCACATGAACAAGAAATTTGGATTTGTTCTTGATGTACGTTGGAGTCTAATTCCTCAGCTCTAACTTCATTTACTCAGATCGAGGGTGCGGTGAGAAGACTCCACACAACCTTTACCCTCCCCGAAGATCTCGACCCTGAGGAAGGGGACCGGCTGGACATTCGTTATGGATGGCGCTTGAACGCCCAGCAGCAGGACGACCTGTTTGACTGGATCGCCGCGCGCGTTCACACCGACAGTCTCTATTCTGTGTACGATGACCCAGCCAAACCGAACAAGATGCGCAATTTATTCGAGTATGGGCACATGTTTGCAGAGGCGCATGGCAAGCTCGTCGGCGGGGTGTTCGGCTGCTGGATTGTCCGGGAAGACAACAAGTTTGGAGGCGGTGTTATGTTCTGGATTGACAACAACAACACCTTCCCCGAAGATCGTTACAGAGAGGACGAATATAAAGATTTGGCGGAAGCGTTGGGCGTCACAGAGGCGCCTCGGTGGTACTGCGCAATCAGCTAGGTACATAGCCTGGTATGTTCCATCTCGTCTTTCTCATGCTTGAATTTACCCTCGTACAGCAACGTGGACGTTTGTTACTGTAATAATGTACTTGTGTTTCCTCTTCGCCAGCTCGACGTTCGTACTTCCGAATTGTATGCTATGGGTACCAGACTTGATTCTCGCTCTTGGGCCGTTTAATGCAATGCCAATCACCTCGAATGTTCATTCCCGACTCTTCTGCCCAGGTCAGAAACATGTACATGGCTTCCACTTTCCCAAAATATCCAAACCCAAACGGAGCACTGTCTCGATACCCGTCTTGGCAGTGCGGACCGTCTGCGAAGACCGTCTGCAACTCGAACAAATGCACTCCATCTTCAAGTTTGGACACCTGTGAATATAAGGAATTGGCAGAACCGCTGGTTTGAACGGTCGGGGTATAAGCGTGGTTTGTATCTTTTTCTTGCCGCTGCGTCGGGAACTCACCATTCTATCCAGAAAAAGCAGGATTTCTCAGACAAATGCACGAAAGTACACCTTAACTTGCAGTGTTGCGCCAGACGCTAGTACTTTAGCCCGACTTTCATGCTCGCTGTCGATGCAGTCGATAGTGTCCATTTGTGGCTTTACCTGATCGATTGGCAAGCTGCTGCAACCAAATCAGTCCCCATCGGAAACATGTGGTGAGGGTGTGGCTATCTCTTACTTTCGACCACAACACAATACTCCACTCTCGACCCTCCAAACATGTCTGATTCGCCGATGAGCCCTCAGCAGATGTACATTTACGGTGTGTCCAACATCAGTCCTTGATCAGAGCTGTTCTCACGTGTCTAGGCGGGACGGGCGGCGCGGGTGGCGGTGGAGGCGGACAAGGCGGAAATGGCGGCGCAGGACAGGGCCCACGCGTCTACGTGACCGGGGATAACAACACGTATGCTGCCCATATGCGATTCTCTAGCCGTATCTCTAACCCGATGTAGCATCTACAGCGCTGGCGAGACGGAAGGTGAGCCGACCAAGTCCACGCGTGCCTCAGAGAGATGACATAAGGTATAGAACAAGAGCGGATGAAGGTCCTCGAGTGGATCTCTCCGCTTAATTTCCTCGTTCGACACCAAGAAATCACTGCGACGCGGGAGAAGACGACGGGCGAATGGCTTCTGCAACAGCCCGATTTTGTCAAGTGGAAATCAGGATCGGGCAATATGCTTTGGTGCTCGGGCATTCGTAGGGCTCTCCATCTGTTCTTGAATGATATTGACTAGTCTATAGCTGGCATGGGCAAGACAGTGCTTGTGTAAATACTCCAAACACAATCCAAGAAGGCTCTTGACTTATTCTTTTGTCAGGTCCAAGGTCATTGACCACTTTCAGCAAGCTCAATTCAAAGATAGTTCCATTGGCATTGCAGGTGTCTATCTGAACTACAAAGAAATGAGTGTACAGACAATTGAGAACCTGCTTGGTGCCATCTGGAAACAGCTTGTCAAAAGCCAAGATATTGAGGCTGCAAAAGCATTGTATGATGCCCATAGGGACCAGAAGACTAGAGCAAGCATAGCCGAGATCCAGATGCTTCTTTCACCTCTTATCGAGAAGTTCAAGACCCTGTACATTATTGTTGATGCCCTTGATGAATACCCAGCTGATAAACGAGATGTGCTTGTGGATCATCTCATGCAACTGGGAAAGAATGTTAATGTCTTGATCACCTGCAGACCCAATGTGTCTCCTCCCCCAGGCATTAAAAGTCTGTCAACACTAGAACTTCAAGCAAGTGAGCAAGATATTAGAAACTATATTATCACTTCACTTCAAGGCCACAAACGACTCTCTGGATTCATGAGCAAAGATGCATCTCTACAGAAGCAGATTCTGACCAAGATCATTGCAAAGGCCCATGGAATGTAAGTATTTCAATACATTTGAAAAGGACTAAACAAATATATTCTCATTATTCTCTTCTTCTTCTTCTGTTTTTTATTATTTCTGTCAATGCTCATTATCTGATATCCAATTACAGGTTTCTCCTTGTCAAACTTCAGATGGAGCTTCTTCATAATACAGCATTCACAGTGAAAACTGTTATAGCCACCATTGATAGTCTCCCCAAGACTCTGGATGCTAGTTACCAGCAGACAATGGAGCACATCAAAGAGTCACAAAGTCCAGAACTGACACAAGTTGCTCTCTCAGCTCTTGCTTGGATTGCATATACCAAACGGCCATTGACTATTCTTGAGTTACAGACTGCTCTTGCAATGAAAGAAAATAGTACTATGCTTCCAGATGACAATGATTTTATGCAGATCGATGAAATCATTGAAGCATGTGGTGGTCTTATAATCCAAGAAGAACAAACAAATTTAGTGCGACTTGTCCACTATACTGCACAGGCCTTTCTTGAAACTATTCAGCCTCAAGAATTTCCAGATATTCAAGTAGAGATCACCAGTGTTCTTATTGACTATCTCAAGCTTGCCAAGGAGCAGTTTGATAGTGGAGGACTCCCTCTTAGAAACTACTGTCAATACTTTCTCTTACATGCAGCAGGAAAACCAGAGAAAGAATTGAGGACCAACTTGGTAGAATGCTTGAAAAAGATTGAATATCCATATGCAGATTTCACAATTTCTCCCTGGAATCTTACCAATTGGCCTCAGCGGCCACATAGCACTACACTGTGGATTGCAGCAGCTGGAAACTTACAGGAGGTAGTCAGATATATGCTATCTCACAAGATTTGCCAGCACAATATGGAGATTGTGATAGCTGCCTTTTGTGGACATCTCTCAGTGGTTGAATTGTTTCTCAAGGAAAAGTATCATATTTCAATTGATACTATCCACCCATACTATGGAACTGCTCTCCAGGCTGCCTCATACAAAGGCCACAAAGAAGTTGTAAAATTCCTTCTTCACAAACATGCTCAAGTAAATCTTGTCAGTGGGACACATGGTACTGCCTTGCAAGCTGCATGTGAAACAGGAGATAAAGAAATTATAAATCTTCTTCTCCAAGCAGGTGCTGACATCAAGGCAATTGGTGGAGAATGTGGAAGTGCCCTGCATGCTGCTGCTGCTTATAGCCACATAGAGATTATTCAGCTTCTTCTACAGCCTCATAGGGGAGCCAATATCAATATTGTTGCAAATCAATATGGAACTCCACTTCAGGTTGCAGCTTGGGCAGGACAAACAGAGTCTGTGAAATTTCTTCTCAAGAAAGGAAGTGATGTAAATCTGGTAGCTGGATCTTCTGGGACTGCCTTGCAGGCTGCTGCTATCAAAGGACGTGAAGAAATTATGCAGATTCTTTTGAAGGCAGGAGCTCAAGTAAATGCTGTCGGTGGACACAATGGATCTGCACTCCATGCAGCTTGCTTTTATGGACACAAAGACATTGTAGAAGTCCTCCTTCATGCAGGTGCCAATGTTAATCAAGTTGCTGGCCAGTATGGGACAGTTCTTCAGGCTGCATCTGCTCGCAATCACAAGGATATTGAGAAGTTACTTCTCAAGGCTGGTGCTAAAGCAATCAAAATTGGTGGAAATCAGGGAGCTATGAGAACTCAGAAGCTTGCAAGCCATGGCTCAGCCCATCATCAGCAACAGGGAGAAGTTATTATTACCAGAAAAGTTATATGATTAGTGATTACCAGTAGAGGATGTTATTTCTTTACATGTGATGCAGTATATAGCTCAGAAAAATGAAACAAAGTCTCTGTTTCTGTCTCAGGTTCTGCTAAGTAATATCAAGTAGTAGAGATTGAGTAGAGATACCAATACTGAAGTTATATTGTTGACTCGCAAATGAAGCATTGACATAAGCTACAGGATGTAGATTGCTATCCACTAAGAGCACATTCACAAATCACTTGTGCTCGTCTCACAACTACCTAGATCAGGAATTGAGCATCCATACAGCTATAATAGACATGAATACTAACATTTGCACCATCCAATCCAACCTTGACAATTCCCGGAAACATTGCACACCCCACGCGGTCTGTCTCACCGTTCTCATTCCTCAAACACCTTTTCACCAATTCGATCTGGCTTGCATACATGGCACTGCCAACCTCGGGAACAAACGCCCTGTAAAACGCGTCGCCGGAGCCGCCGCCGCCATGGAGGGTACGCGAGAGATTGAAAGCAGAGTCCACCACTGACGATGCAGGCAAACCAAGCAAGTCTGTGATTTTGGGGATGTGCTCAGAGAAGATGCCCAATGATATGTCTGGAGAGCACGTCTCGACGGCGGCGGAGAATGTCTGACGACGCCACACCGCGGCAACGGTCGGGTCTCCTGTCAAATACACATGTCAATCAATACCTATACTGCAAAGTAGTAGAGCATGCCTACGCGCGAAAATGTGCTCGTGGATTCGCGAAAGTTGGATATTGGCCTCCTTGGAGTTGGTGACGATAAGACAGTTGATGAATCCCTCGGCGATGCATTCTGCGATAGCATGGCGAAGTAGCGATTGCACTTGCATAGGTGTGCCAGAGAATGGTGTGGGCCCACTCACGACATCACTCAGACAAGCATCATATATCTTGGACAGCGACACGAGGGGCCGCTGGATTATATCCGATACCCAGCGGTTGACGAGTTTGTCAAGCTGAGATGCCGCGATCTGCTCAAAGTCAGCAATAAAGAACACCAACTTGGATTAGCGGCACTTTGATGGAAAAGTCGTCGATGGAATTGCCGCCAGCGGTGAACTGAAGCTCCGAGTTTCCTTCAAGTCGCAGAACATGGGCCCGGAGTTGTATTATCTGCTGCTCTTGCTCCTCTAGTTGTCGACGTTGTTCTTCAACTTTCTCGTGTGCGATACGCTAGAGGTGGGCAAATATTAAACTAATGCTTGAACGTTGAACTTGAGACTCATCGTACAAAGTTGGCAAAGACAAACTGATATTCTTCGGTGTCCTCGACTTGAACGACGGGTTTGAAACGGCGGGATATCATCGAATCGGTGTGGAGGTCCACAAGCAAGCGATGATGACATCGCAATAAATAGAACCGGCCCGAAATTCCTTGACATCGAACCTTCCTGAGTGCTCTCAACATCGAGCGCTACGATATGATTTCTAACTCTCGTAAAACAGCATCTTCGATATCCATAACCCGCACATTGTTCCAACCCGGGGGTGGTTCTATGAAATATTGAGAGCGAGGCAGGCAGAGAGTGAGTGGCGGATATTCGTTGTCTGAAACGTATCGAGCCTCATGAAGGCGCCGAAGAGAAACAAGCGGGTCATCATATGGCACGCCAGAATCTTCGGTAAGCGGAGGCCATGCGGAGATGCCAAACTTATCAGCGAGCCTGTAATCCAGCCACATAGTGCGCAAGGCTGGTAATCCCCCAAGACGCGTCTGCAGTCGACCTGGTGTGGTCAACAGTAGGTCCTCGACAAGGCGCGGCATGAAGCAGACATTGAAGAGGAAAAGGGTCGATAATCGACTGAAGCGGGTCAGTACTTCCCGAGGTATCACAGCAGGCCGCCGATCACAACCGTTGCAGTACGAGGAGCTACATGCGAAAGTGACCGCAGACAAGACAGGATATTGCGACACAGGACACAGGTGGAAGAACGCTGCAACTTGTCTGCCGTGGACTTGGGTGAACTCCATTGTTTCGAGTGTCGGAGCATCAACAGCCACCAGAAGTGTCCTGGAGAAGAGGACATTTTGAAGCCACGAAATGACACGGAGGATGCGAAACGTGCGAAGGTTGGGTAGCTTTATGCTTCCTCTCGGCGCATCAGAGACGAAACTGGACCCATCCACCGTCAGATGCACGAGTCGTGATGAGTCGGAGAGCATGCTATCCCAAATGCCTGGGTAGACGAATGACATGAATTGCAGGCAAACATTTTCAAGGCTGGCAAACCAAACTTGATCGTCCTCCAGATAAAAGTCCCCCAAAGTCAACGTTTTCAGACGGGGTGCTCCATCAACGAAGAGTTGCCATAGGGCCAGTTCCTGCTCGTTGTCAAGCTCTGACTCGGAAGCACCATCTGGTGGAGCGACGATTTCAAGATATTCGAGGTGTGGGGCCTCGCACGACTTCAAACCGAGGAAGAGGTCAGAAAGCTCTATCTGGCACCCTCGTGCATCGATGACAAGCCGGCTAACCCGCGTAAAGTTTATCCAGAGGGTGGGCAGCGCGGGAGCAATGTAGTCTGTGTCTTCGTCTGTGGTATTCCAGAACAAAAGGCTGACGGACAGCAAACAGCGACCTGACTGACTGAGATACATGTCGAGCTGTTGCTGCGTTGTTTCGGAGTCACAGGAGAGGGATAATGCGGTCCAGAGTGTTGCAGTGCTGCTCACAACCGAACGGAAACGTCGCGAAATCTGTGATGCAAGGACGGGAACGAGCTCCTGTGGCCTGGCAACCTCTTGCCACGCGGTGACAATGAGCGCGAGCATCTCGTCGGGTAGAGACAACATTGGAACGGTGGCATTTTTGTGTCGGGCGAGCGCATTTTCGAGTTCCGTTTTCTTCGTCACGGTTTCCGCGAGTTGAAGGACGAGGCGGGATGCTTGGCTATTCAAGGCAGAGACTTCAGCCTCTAGATTTGCTATTATCGTCGCTGTATCTAATTCGGTGTCGAGCGACATTTCAGCATTGAGCAAGCTTAGGGAAATCTGAAAGTTGACTTTGACACAGCCACAACATGTCAATGACAATCAAACCCGAAAAAAAGACAGTGGCCAAACATGGCGAACGGACAGACTCCGACAGACTCGGAGAGCGAACGAAGAAGCTTATAGTGGTTCTACAGACATCCGTTCGCTTTCCTGCGCTTCCCTCCAAAGGCGGCGTTTCTCTACAACATCCCTCCTTCGGGCCTCTTTCCAAGGTTTCGACTCCAAAACTGTGTCGAGCCAAACAACGCCCCATGCCCCATTCCCCACTTTGGTCCCGCCCAAAATCGATTTTTCCTGCCAGTCTGGCGCCTTTTCGAGCCGACTTTGTTTAGGTTGTGTATCGTCTCGATCTGCGAAAGTGTGGTCAAACCGAGATGCCAACTGAGCAGAAAGGAGGGCTCACAAAGAACCTGATTAGTTTGAGGCTCGTAACATCCCAACGGCAACGTGTCTGCAATAGCCACCAATGGGTCTGGTGGATCTCCATTGAGTCTGACAACATTCCCAGAAGGTTCGATGGGTTGCACACTCTGCTTTCGATTTTTTGACCATTCATCTTCTGCTTGTAACGTTCGCATCGCTGCCATCCACATCCAGTTCTCCTCTGTCACCCCATCTCGCGACAGCAAACTCTTTCTAACAGCGTTCAAGGGGCCATCGCTGAATGGACCTAACCCGCTTGAGCCGAAGAGGGTTGTGGGCCCTCCAGCACGATATATACCGGTCGTGCCAGCCCCAAGTCGATCATTCTTGGCCGCATTGGCTGCATTTGCACCAGATTGTTCGGTTGCATGGTGGGCGTTCGGATCAGGCAACTCGCCGACGGGGTCGCCAGCTTTCAAGCCTCGCTCCGTGATATCTGCGAGCACTTTGTCTTCGTAGTAGTCGTCCACGACCCATCTTCCCTCTGAGAGTAACGTAAAAGGAGAAGAATATGAGGCATTCTACACACCGAATATTGTTTTGCTTCCATGAAGTTTGAAAGCGCTTCGAGCGGTTACAAGGGTGACGCTGCGAGTGCGAAGATGAGGACCGAGCTTTCCTTGCGATATCAAATAGTCTTTTTCGTTCTGAGTCGCGTTGTGTTTTAATGCTAACGGATTGCGGCGGAAGTAGTACAATGAATCGCGGAAGCCAGAGGTGCGAGCTGCGTCAATTGCAAGCATATATCGTCGTTCTGGGTGTCGACCAGGCAGAATAAAGGTCCCCGCTTTGAATCTTCGTCCTATAAGTTGATGTTAGATATCACTGACGCTGAGACAGAAGCAGACGCGCCGCCAAGAAGGTTTCCCCATTTATCAATCTTCGTGTCCCCCTTCGGATCGTCCTCTGTAACGAACTCGTCGCCGTCGATGACATAGACTTGACCATTCACCCTCCGGAACGGTTTCCCACCACCTGTAGGCTTTTCATCGTCTTTTGCTGGTGGAACGTCTGGCTCCGGCTCTGTCGCTCCTTCACTACCGTAGTTATCGTCGTCATCGTCGCGTTTAGGAAGTCGTATTGTTAAGCCACCGTTTATTTGACGACCCGTATTGGAACCTCTCGGGCGACCTGGTCCTACTCCTCGACTGGTAGAGCCTCTAGGCCTTCCTCGTGGGCGGGAAACTGGTATGGGCGCCTCAATAGCCCTCCCCCGATTGGTGGAGCCTCTAGGTCTGCCTCTGCCGCGTTTAACAGAGGCAACTGGTTCTTGCTCATCGTCTGACCCTTCTTCATCGACATCCATATGGGTTGGTGCGTCAGCAGATTCATCGTCAGCCTCTTCGGGTGGTGACGCAGCAGAAGAGAGTGGCTTTATGACGATTTTAGGGAGGGTGGACATGAAAGCGGGAAACAAGAAGATCCGAGTCGAACACTGATCAACGCGTCAAGTGTAAGTCGCGCTTCTACAGTATCTAGTCACGCAACCGTGCCAAAAACGTGGATACAGCTGTGGATACTTTCTTTCGCTTCGTCATGTTCACAGCTTCAGACAGTAGACTCGAAGGTTGTTCCTACATTTTTCAAGACTTTCTTGAACGTGAACAAATTTAAATTGACAACAATTGGAGTCGAAGGAAGTAGTCCAGAGGTAAGCAGTGCCATAACCGTCCACGCCATAACCGTCCACGGGCAGCTAGCACTGGCTGCAAACTGACATTTGAGCACTGGGACAAGGCTTGACAACAAGGTTCGACGCTTCACGCTCGCTGAATACCGATATCTGTGCAATTTAGTCGTTGACATCCGTAGCTTACATTGGTACTCTATGTAAGTAGTTACGGGAGCTGCCGTTCCAGGTTGGGACCTTGCAGTAATTTATTTGGTATTTGGTATTTAGTCTGTCACGTCGGAACTCGGCTGTGCGGAAGGCTGTGCAAGTGCTTATAAACCGACTTGAGTCAAGTCGACTTCTTGCCTTTCCCCCTCACTCACACAACTGAAGCAACATCGTATTGCCTCAGTTGACCCAGCCCGACTGCATCGCGGCCTCCGTAAGTGCTTTTACCACTGTACGATGTCGATTACTTGGGATCTGACCATCTCTTGTCGCAGACGTAGCTCGGTGTCGTCCCCAGCCATCACAGCTGTAACCCCACCCCACTTCGCCATTTCCCCTTTGACCAACAACACTTCAACTCCATCTAGTGAAGATGTTCGGCCAATAAACGCCTCGCCCGTATTCAGACCACCGTCACCGACCCCTCGATTCAATGGCTTCTTTACATCAACCGAAAGCTCGCTTTCACAACTATCTAACAATGTCCCGATAAACAATACCACGTCTAACCCAACACGGGTCTCTGTTCAATATGGCCTTCCTCGCAATCTGCCTCCAGCACCTCGACCAGTAGCAACTCGCTCTGTAAAATCAACTCCCACATCCACACCTTCACCAGACTTTGCAGCGATGCGCAACAACTACTTGACCATGCTTGCAAACAAGTCAACCCCCGATACCCCGGCCTCCACGGTCGCACCCTCGGCGCTGATCAGCGCTGAGGATGCCCAGGCGAAGGCCTTCAAGGCCATCGCTGAGCTCACAGGTATTCCTCCCTCGCTTTCCCCGACGGAGATCATCTGGTATTAACACGTGCTCCACAGCGTCGCCTGAATTCCAGAGCCTCGGCGACCACTTCCCCAACGACTTTGGCGGTGGTGACGAACCGTTGATCCCGTTCACTGCTACGTTTGATGAGTCGCCACTCTTTGGCGATGCCTCGCCTTTCCTCACTTCTCCCCACGACTCGATACTCGATGACTTTGGCACCAGCCCGATGGACACCCCCTTCAGCGAGTTCCTGTCCACCCCATTGATGGGCATGGAGGACAACTTCATGGAGAGCCCGCTTATTCGATCCAACGACACACTGTTCGGGTTTGAAGAGGCGCCAGTTGTAGAACCTCCCCCCAACAAGCTGTCGACATTCAGCCCCAGTACTCCCATGATGGACTCTATGGATTCTCCCCGTCCTACCGTCCGTCGTCGAAATGTCACGGGTACCCGCAAAAACCTGACACCCGACTCGCTCATCTCGATGGACGCGCCAACTCAGAAGCGCAGCTACACTGCTCCGAGTGTAACTTCTCGCAAGGCCCTCCCAGCTGGCTTCATTCGCAAACGCGGGTTCAATGCAGCGTTTGGCGTTGATGAGACCGACGAAGTGCTTCCCGAGCTGTCCCCCACGGCCACTGAGCAGGAGCAAATCGAGTGGAAGCGGCGCCAGAACACACTCGCTGCCCGCAAAAGCCGGAAACGCAAGCTGGAGCACCAGCAGGGTCTCGAGGGGCAAATCGACGACCTGAAGAGTCAAGTGACCATGTGGCGCGAGCGCGCGCTGATGGCGCAGGAAATGCTTCGTGCCGCTGGGATCAAGTTCAATGTGGAGGCCATGGGGACGTAAATGGTCTGGCCACTCCAAGTCTTCGGTGTCTCTTCGGTTGTACCACCATTGATTCCCTGATGAAGAGCACTGTCGTATTCCTTTTCCTCATCTTTTTCCCAACTATCTCCATCGTTCCTCTAGTCTACGAGTATACCTACTTGCGTCCATGTACCGAATATGCAATGCACAACGCGTATGATTCGCAAAGCCATGCATTGACTACTACTATGAGGCTGTTGACTCCATAATATTTTCAACTCTACTATTTGTCTAGTCTAGTAGTTACCGCGCCCTGATGATAGACGTCGCGGGTTATTATATAAGCTTCCCTTTTAGGAATCCACGTGAGCAGCGACGCGCTACGATTAAAGCGCGAACGACACCGTATCGACGCGTCAAATGAGTGTAAATCAGTAGGAATAGCTATACATGGTCTCAAAATGTACATTTTGTAGCCTCTATCACTATAAGCTGAATATTTTGAGCATTGTCACACGTTACCCAACAATCACCGCACTCCCACCACTCTCGCCTTGCCATGGCGCCTTCTCGAGGGCAGCGCTGGAACACCCTAGATGGGCATTCCATAATCCAGTGCACACCCAGCGACGCGTCGAAACTCGCTCGATTGGCTCCCAACGCGTTGATAGCATGTGGCTTGTTGTGTCAGGTGACTGATATTATCTAACAACTTTTGACAGCCTCACATCAACGCGGTAACCAACAGACCCTATTTTTTCGCAGGGAGTTTACGACCGGTTTGCGACCGGTTAACGGAACATTCGGGTCTGTAAAAGAGACAACTATTTGTCTTGAAGCGTTCAAGGAATTCTGCTCCAACAGCAATAGGTGGGGTTCGGCCCGCATGCAAGGAATCTTACAAGTTCTTGTGTTGGCTCTGAATCTTGTTGCTGTCGGTTTGTCTTGTAAAAGGAGGAGAGAGCGTATTCGCCCAAGACGGCAATCGCGGCTGGGAGTCTTTGAGCGCAATCCAAGTGCTATCCTTAGTCAAATTGGTCAGTTGACGACGTTGACGCCTTTCACGTGGCATCGTTTCTGTCCTCCCCCACCATACCCACCCACTGTTTGTGGCTGGGTCGAGGACATCGTAAACTCGTCGTAAACGGTAAACTAAGGTAAACCAATCCAGATCCAAAGACAAATGTCAAAACCGTGACTCAAGTAGCTCTGAAGTCTGACAATAAACGGCGGCAACCCCCCCATCCAGTTTCAATCAGAGCAGATTTGCCTATCCTCAAAGAACACGAAAAGAGATGCCGACATGACTCCGCGGTGGTTTTCAAACCGGAGCTAGAGGCTACTAAAGAATTAGTTGGCTCAGACCAACAGAAACTGGAAGGTCCCGAAGGAAACACCGCATCATGTGTACCATATAACCTCAAATCGCCTCCGTCTTTCTTGGCCACGGCTGTATTGCTTCGTTTACGCCACCTTCAATTGCTGTCTCGGTCTTGCGTGTCAAGACAGAGTTTATGATGCAAGCTGAATCTCCCGGAAATGGTCCACCATACAAAAACTGAGGTTGTGCCGGAGTAAGGGCAAATGCTCGGTAACATGTCTACATATAAGACCCCAATGGTCAATAAAGCATCGGCGCTTCCAACTCACAATGATGCGCTCTGTTTATCTTGCAAGTGTTGCTTTTGCGGTGTCGATTTTCGGTGTATCGGCCCAGACGGCACCGCAGTGGGGCCAAGTGAGCGCTCTTTTGCGCAGGTGGCTTGGTTGCTGATTTGTTTCGTCTGCTTGTAGTGCGGAGGAATTGGCTGGGCGGGACCCACTATATGCCCTTCCGAATGGACCTGTGTTTATTTGAACCCCTATCACTCACAGGTTTGCTCAACTTTACGAATTCGGGGACTCTTTGATTGACTACCCGTCATTCAAGTGTCTGCTCACAACCAGCTCAACAACAACAGCAACAGCAGCAACAACAACCAGCTCAACAACAACAAGCTACAAACCGTGGTAGCTAGGACCGGTCAATCCAACCCAATCATTGGAACTACTTTATAAGAAGGGATGGTTTTTAAAGAAATATATCTGTTTTTCGAAAGTTGGTAGTACCCGTAACAACCTTAGCAGTACTGTGCGAGATGCTTGAAACTGTTTGGGTCCCCGATTGTCTGCTGGGTAATGAGCCAATCCACAGTGTTAACAGGATGCCCTTACACCCATCACAAGGAATTTGAGCAGCAACTCCAGATCATCAATATTCTTGACGGAAAGGTTATGCGTCACAGAAACTGTGAACGGCCAAATTTTTTCGTCAAACCGTCGTCTCTTCGCCGGCGAAGGCTCTGTCGTTGCCGGTGTCGTTTTTTGGATGAAATACAGGTGCCAATCTATGCCATTGCTCAGCGCGTTGAGGACGGAATCGCGTTCCCTGGGACGTAATGATCAAGTCGGTGAAACCCATCAAATTTTGTATGCTCACGCAAACATGCACACAGTTGCCGCTTGGCTTAACACCTGGTCTTTCGAAGCTTCGGTGAGCCTCTCAGAGGCTTTTGCCTCTGTTATTATGGAGAGATTTTGACGGTCGGAGGGAAATCTTAAACGCTGCCCAGCATTGATATCGATTACAGCTGGACACGATGAGCCCCAATTGACCCGGTGCATAAATTCACTGACCGTCTTCGGCTCCGATAACGACCAGGCTATGGTCAAGTTTTCCGTGGAAACTGACTCCCGGCACCACCTCTTGAGGTGGAATCGTAATCTCCTGGTCTAAGACGATCCAACAAGTTACGGAATTGTCATTGTCCGAAAGGCGGGCTGGACCACTCGTGATATTGTAGCGTTGGGCCAGGTCGTTGTCGATGGCTGAATAACGGCCCAGAATGTTTTGGCATATCGACGCCACTGTCGCCAAGATTGGGTCGATAGAGGACCTGCCTGACGCTTCCCGCTAGGCTAGAGTAAGAGGAAGAATAGCCAATATGACTGCGACTCACGTTCATCTGGAAATGATTTTGGGCCTTGCTCCACAAACGGCATTCCCCGCATGTCATCAATGCTTTAGCCTCTGCAGCGAATATTGGGTCGGTGGAGAGAACATTTCGCATGGCTTGCGTAGCTTCCGACTCAAAGGTTGGGAGCGGGTGGCCTGCAGGCAGCGTCTTCCGCGTAGCAATCTTTTTCCACCAGTTAGGTTTGAATACCTCCTTCAAAAAGGGAGAGGCGTTGGTAAACGCATGCGAGCCCTGTTAATCAGGAACAGTAGTGAGCCTTTGCTCACGATGAAAGCAATCACGCACTTGTGCAACTTGAAGAAAGCTGTAAACCTCCTGGCTCACTGTTTCTTGGACGGCGGAAAGCTCCGACTTGTCCACTTGCTCAAGGACTCCAAGTTGGGCATATACCCTATGGACCTCTCCGAGCAGCTGCTCTATATCCACACTGACCTTCTTTTGGGAGAGGTCAGTAGATTCAGACGACGTGAGACTCATAGTTGCAGGTAGTTGCAGTCCCAGCGATAGGAGTATATGCGGTCACAGTTTCACATCAACGGCAGCGTCGCCTTTCAAAGCCGGGGAGGAGTGGGAGTTGTTGCTGCGATCAAGTCCAGAACGCTCATGTTTGTTTCGTTTTAAACCGAACAGGTATATTTGCGTCTCGCTAAGGTACTGCAGTCGTGCCTGTGTACGCGTTCAGTGTCTCGTCTGCGCAACCCGCTGGCGTCATATATCCATAGGCTCCCAGATTTATATCTAGATGCCCTCCGTTAGACAGCGCCTTGAAAAGATATTACCAGTCTGGTGTTCACTCACAAACGAACAAGGTGTTATTGCTCGGACAGACCAGCCAGGCGTTGTTCTGTTGCCGCTTCACAGAAGGGCTGCTCCATCTACAAATCATCAGTCCTGCAACAGAATGACAAAGATTAACTCACTCCAAACTATCTCCAGAGAAAACGAACGTGCCAAGCGTGTCGGGCTTAGTTGACCATGAGACGGCGAGGTATGCCACGCTCGAGTTTGCTGGCGGGGTAACGACAGCATATAGGTTGGTCCCACCCGCATTCTGGATAAGTTGTCCGTTGACAATTTGGAACTGAGCAGCCTTGGTGTAGTCTCCAAGGACCGCAGTAGAGGCCGTGTTGACGACCTGCGACATCAGGTATTTGTGGAAATTGGGGTCCTCCTGCGAGCAACAGTTTAGGACATGTTGTAGGTTGGGATATGACTAACAACTGCGCGAACGAAAGAGTACCCAGGGGCGAGAGTGGTGGACGGACCGCTCGGGCCGGTCGGTGTTGAGCTGAGTGTTGAGCTTGAGCTCTTGCTTGTTGAGCCACTCGTCGGAGGTATAACGGTTGTTGTGCGACTTGTAGTAGTGCTGGCAGTACCCATAAGACACTTAACATGGCGGTTAGTCATTGTCCTAAATACTGCTTAAACGAACCTGTGAGTAATATGCGTTTGAATAAACACAGGTCCAGCCGGAAGGACAGGTAGTAGCTCCTGTCCAACCCATTCCTCCGCACTATAAACAGACACATCAGCAATGGAATTGTGATCAGAAAGTAGTTTACCTGGCCATATTGAGGTGCCGTCTGACCTGACACACTAAGAATAGACACTGCAAAACTTGCAAGATAAAGTGAGCGCATCGTTATTCGCAGAATGCGATCCTTGAGATCGTATGTCATGTTGAGGCTTATATGCGGACGCGTTACCGAGCATTTGCCCTTACCTCGGCTTGACCTTAGTTTTTGCATGGCGGACCATTCCCGGGAGATTCAGCTTGGATCATAAGCTCTATCATTGACACGCAAGACGGAGACAGCAATTGGGGGTGGCGTAAACGAAGGAATACAGCCGTGGCCAAGAAGGACGGAGGCGATTTGAGTTATATAGTACACATGACGATGGGCGAGCGGTGTTTCATTCAGGACCTTGCACTTCCGGCTTGATGGTGACGTCCGAATCGAATGTTTCTGGCTCTGCTTTAGTGGTCTCCGGGTCCGACTCGACCACCACCGCAGAGTCAGATCCGTCGCTTGCTTCCCTCAACACTTCCTTTCGCCTTCTTTGGCGAGGATAGGCGAATCTGCTCTTGGTCTCCGCCGCCCATGTCGATACGCCTTCGCGCCCATCAGCACGAACGAGAATTAGTAGTCGGTAAGTGACGTATGTCGACAAGAGGGTGAGGGTGATGCATCCAGCAAAGAAGAAGGTAACGCATAAGCTCAAGAGCAAGATGGAGACTGGGGTCAGGATATAAGAGAGCGGATCGGAAGACAAAGCATGACGCACGGAAAAAGAGCACCACTGTTGATGTGAGTAGCAACGCTGAAGACAGCGCGACGACGGCGATGGAGAGAACGAAGAACAGCGAAAACACACTGAGGGGCGAATTAGCACACAGGTGAATGAGACATGATGAACTCACAGAAAAGTTACGACAGGAACGAAGGAGAGCGACGCAAATACGGCGACGAAAGTCTGCATCCACACTCGTCAATCGGGCAGCAACTTCAGGCAGCCACAATGCTGACCGAAGTAATGGGAAACTCTTCGAAATATGTCGTGGCAGAATGCAGGGCTGGCCGAGCATAGTCTTTCTCGAATCTGTTCCGGTTGAGCGGAAACAAGAGAAGCTATTGACAACGCAACTGGTCGGTATACGCGCGGACTGCACTGGCACTCTTGTCGAATGAGGTTGCAAGGTGCTCCTTGACGGTTGGGGTAGCCGCCGCTTCGCTCATGGTGGGGAAAGGCGGGGTCGTGTGATGTCGCGTGAAAAGCGAGTCTGATGACTAAGCTCCACAGACCAAGTTTCTTACATTCATGGATTCAAATCGTTCGGTACTACTTGGCCTTAATCAAACCCGCCATAAGGTCAAAGCTATTCCCATCGGGCTGCAAGTCGATAAACCCCGCTTGTGACGACCAGCCAGTCTCCGGAACCGTCCTCAACAGACCATGCTCCGGCGTTATACCCAAAATACGGACTTGTTGGTGAGGTTTCGTGGTCGTAAGTGTAACCAGTTGGTCGCTGTAGAGGTTATTAAGGTGGGCTTTTTGGATGAATGACTAGATCACTCACGAATGCAGCCATCGGTCCACATACAAGTCCATGAATGGCTCAAAGGAGCCTTTGCCTTGCACAAAGGCAGACCACATGCGCTCAAATTTGACGAGAATAGCTGCGGCGGTGCGCTCCATGCTTAGCGCTCTCTCGTCCTCTGACAGTTGCGAAAGGGACATAATTGGCGGTGGATTGAGCACGTTGAGTCCAGAACCTGGTTGGGTCAACGAAATCGTCGAAATGAGAAATGATGGGTACCAATGATTATGTCCACTTTCCCAGATGAGAAATTTGTCCCAATGAGAATACCACCAATCTTCTTTGGCTCTCCGTCTCTACCAACCGCGTAGATGTCGTTCGGCCACTTCAGTCGGACCGCTGAACCATCACTGCCTAAAACAGCCTCGTCCCGACATGCTTCAACCACGGCAAGTGCAAACAGATATTGCACGAATACGAGCTTGGCTGCCGGGAAAGTCGCCAGGGACAGTCTCAGCAGTAGCGAAAATTGGAGGCACCCAGCGGGTGAAAGCCAGACATTTGCGCCGCGCCCTCGACCGGCAAGCTGCTGTGAGGCCAGGGAAAGCAGCGGTGTTGGCAGCAAGCCCATAAATCTCGGATTCCTTGGACTGTGGTAAGAAAAGTACTTCATAGCCAATCAAACACACTTGTCGAGCATGGTTTGTGTGCTGGTCACGACTTCGCCATAGAGGATGACGTCTCCAAAGCCGCATTGGTCATCCGCGACGCCCAGTCTTTTTCGCGCTGCCGACAACGCGTTGAAGAAAAGCGTCAAGTCGAACAACGGCGTCTGCTCCTGTGGAGGAATTTGTCCGTCGGCACACACAATTATGTGCTTTGGTTGCGGAGGAATAGCGGTGGTTCGTGCTGTCTTGAGCAAAGCCTCGCTGTCCCCAAAACTATGGAACTGAAATTGATCGTTCACATCGTCAAAGGCGCCAGACTTATGGCTGACAGAAAGAGCATCTGTAACAAGGGAGACGAGTTGTGGTTTCATAAAATGGGAGACCAAGAATTGGGGTAGTGGTTGTGGAATCGTGGTCGTAGACTCGGGTAGTTGTAGGCCTAAGAGTACGAGCGTATCGCGCACCATTGCTAGACGTTTTGTTTCCGCAATATCGATTTCTGCGGGAGAAAGGCTCGATATCGACGCCAAAGGCTCCTCGGTCAACGAATACTCTGGTGATGGGCCCCATAAAATTGTTTTGCCATTCCCGAGTTTATAAAGGGCACCAGCGACTCGACTTCCCTCGTCGTAGTGCGCGAGAACATGCACGTTTCCCTGGTCAGAGTCCGTGCCGACAAACTCGCATGGCGCATGTTGCCAAAGCCCATCAACTCGGTCGGCGATTGCGGTGGGTTTAATGGAGACAGCGCGAGCAGCGGCACTATTTGAACCCTGTTGGAAGCTCGGGTAAAGCGTATTGCCCGAGCCTTTATCGAAAAATCGGAGCAGCATGTCTTTTGAGAGACTGCCTGACGCGACATTGAGGATGCCTTGATCCAGACCCCGTGAAGAGTAATGCGAGCCCGTGCCAAATGCGAGAAAAGAGCCGCCGTTCTGGACATATCGTTCAATTTCTGGTGAGGCTTTGGACAGAAACATGTCGCGACATCCAGGAAAAGCAAGCAGAGCGCATCCTTTTTGCCAGGGCTGAGAAATTAAAGCCTTTTGTGAGATGGACTGCACAGAGTAGAAGGGGAGCAGAATGGAACGCAAGGTTTTAAGGGTGTTATCAAGCGAGGTCTGGACAACTTCGGGTCCCGCATACACAAGGACGTTCATGTCAACTAGCGGTTCTTCGGGCCGGGGCAAACAAGACCAAACAAAAATTGGCCAAATTGATCAAATTTATGTGGTATCTAGACGAGAGGCCCTGATAACGAGGCCTGTTTCCTCAACCTTTGCACAAATGCTACTCATATCAACCTCTCTTGGAGGAAATCCGATCTCCCACTCGTAATGGCCTACCGATAGTTGGTCAGTAAACAGAAATAAAGGGCAAGATAACACACAATCAGACTCGAGATGCCATGCATCCGCAACGACGCGTAGCTTGTCTCCTTTGAGCGTGCATATGGTGACCATCTCTGCTGCAATGGTGGTTGGTAGACAAATCTTTATCGTATATGAGGTCTGGGACGAGTTGACCAGGAGAGGAGGATATTGCGAGAGCGACGGGGTGCGGCGAGAGCGGGCGGTAATCGAATTTCGGCGCGTTTTTGGTCGGGGCAGCATCGAGACTATAGGCCAGGCGACAGCGGAAGGTTGAGGGGTCAAATAATCATCAGAATGTGTTGGCGTAGGCGTAGACGTTGAAGTGTCTCTTGCGAGTGGCGAGGGTTTAGCGTGAGGTTTAGAAAGTGAAGAACGAATTCGCGACGATATACGCCTAGTAGAGTCTGCCCGAGCCGGTTGGTTTTGGTGAGAATCTGGCGGAAAGGTAACACTCAGATAAGTTGAACCGCAAGGGAAGAATGGACCAGATAGTGGTGGTCGATTTTCACAGACTGACAGTGCGCGAAACGAAGCAGCTTTCTTGGGTGGTTTGGGAGATAAGTCTGAGGTAGTATTGCGGGAGTTGTGAGAACGAAGAGGATTGAGAAGGGATTGCATATCGCGACCAGCGCGAGAGGATGAAGGGAGAAGGCGAGATTGCATGCGTGACCTCGGCGCTCGTTGATTAGCTAAGTGCAGTGAAGCGAAAAAAAAAAACAATTACAGTACATGTTTTGAATATAACCCTATGGGTACCATAGTACAACTTTTGAATACAGACGAGAGCAAGTAAGACTAGAGCAGCACAGATCGTACATCTTCCACGACCAAATGAAGCACCTAAACCTCGATTCCCCGCTGCCTTGCTATGAATTGGGCGAGATGAGCAAGAATTTCGCCAGTCTCTTCCCCCACCGGTCGAATCCACGTTGCGAAACCATACTAGCAGCTTAGTAAGTAATCGAGACCTGAACGAATCGTTCCAGTGTCTCTCAGAAACGCGGCATACTGTAGGTATACTTGATAATTCCCGTGCTGTCGTCAGCCTGCGACCTCCGCCTCGACGTTAACATCGCCTCAACGCCCACAGCTGTCGACCTATATGATTATCTTTGACTCCAAGATGATCATGAATATGAGCAGTACCTTTTGTTACTCAAGACTTGCGACAGTACTTGACGAGTTCGACAAAATCATTTGCATTGCCGATTGTCTGGTCAGTTATGTCAGAATGAATAATGGTGCAGGGCATGATAGCTTACTGCGAGCACAAGAAGTTTGAGGATAAGTTCGAGGTTGTCTATGACGCTGAGATTGAAGGTTTCAGAGTAGGTGAATGGTTTCTTTGCTGAATTTGTTTCTGACTGTGGATCTGAACGTCGTGGCTTCTTTGTTGGTGATGGGGTCATATCGTCAGCTTTTGGTGTCTCGGATTGCGATTGGGGGGTTTTTCGTATCAAATAAAAGCGCCACTGTAGTCCATTTGTAAGCGCATTGACGACTGCATTGCGGCGACTGGAGTCAATCGTGAGTATGACTGCTTATCGAGTGGACAGGCTTACGTAAATACACAAACCGCTGCTCCTTCACTCAGGACTTGATCTTTTGTCGCTTTGCCGTTCATACTGTCCATCGCCTTTGCTTCGGTGACATTCAACGCCATATTGGTTGGCAAATAACTTGAATCCATTGAGAGACGTTGGCCAGCATTGATACATGCCAAAGCTGATAATGAATCAGTATGTATGCACTCTCTAGACAAATACCCACCATCCTCTGCATTGACGATTGTCATGACATGGTCGAGAGTGCCATGGAAGTTGATGCCTGTGGCAACACATTGAGACGGGATGGCGACCTCTTGGTCTAATACGACCCAAGCAGATATATCGGTTGGTTCACTTGATGAGCCTGAGGAATACTTGGTTGTCGGTCCCTGGAGTGCGTAACGTTCCTTCAAGTCCTCGTCAATGACTTGATTTTCGGCGATGATCTCTTGGCAAATCGCTGCCGCGGTTGTCAAAACTGGATCAGTGAGAGATCGATGCCTCTCGCTAAGCTGGGATAAGAAGAAGAACAAAGAATCTGTATAGACTCACTTCTATACGGGCATGCTTCCTGAGTTTGTCCCAAAGATGACATTCTGTGCAATTTTGGAAGGCTGCTGCCCGTTCCTTGAAGATGGAACTGGTAAGAAGGATGTCGGCCAGGACTCGTGAAGGGTATGACAATGTTGATGAAGGGGTTATAGTCTCTGTTCCAGTCGAAATGGTTATGAATTGTGAACCTGTTCCTTCTTGGAAAACATCCTTCAAGAAACGCGAAGAGTCCGTAAACGGGTGGGAGTTCTGAGGAAGAAATAATCATTGTGAAGAAGCCTTGCATTAGTACTCACGCTGCTGAATTGTACCCGGGCGGCTTCAATAGCCTTGTTTTGTAGGGTGGCAAGCTTTTCGGTTATGTTGGGGATGTCGGGGATGTGCGTGACGAGCCATTGTTCGTGAATTTCAGTTATGAGCGTAGCAACTGCTTCTATGTTTAGCTCTTTTGCAATGCCTGAGCCTTCAAATGAGGAGGAACGAAGAGACATGGTGTGACATCACCTCCTGATTGCGTTCGCAGTTAGCAGGCAGTGAAGCGACAATCACAGTACGTGTTTTGAATACAGCCCTACATATGGGTATCATAGTACAATTTTGAATACAGACGAGAGTGAGACCAGAGCAGCACCTATCGTACATCTTCCACGACCAAATAAAGCACCTAAACCTCGATTCCCCGCTGCCTTGCTATGAATTTGGCGAGATAAGCAAGAATTTCGCCCGTCTCTTCCCCCACCGGTCGAATCCACGTTGCGGGCAATGCGAAACCATACTGAAGCGTAGTAAGCAAGCAGGTACAATATGGAACCTAAACGAACCGTTCCAGTGTCTCTCAGAAACGCGGCATAGGTATACTTGATGCTTCCCGTGCTATAGACATAGTCGAGGATATTTCCAGGAGCCCTGATGTCGTCAAACCGCTGAAAAAATAGATGGGAAAGGCGAAGACTAACGTATAAAGCAATTCACACAGGCTCCCAGCGCTAAAGCCCATTCCATGGACAGCTCTCCCGGCTTGCGCTGCTCCATGAAGTGCCTCCATCTGATCCTCTGCATCTTTGGGTAGTTTATTGCATTTATAGGAGTATGGGGCCGCCACTATAGACACCTTAATTAGGGCTCGACAGGAATAAGACATCAATACGCACGCATCTGACCATAGCTCCTCAAGTCAACGAAGGCAACAACCCCGCCTTTACCCGCACCCTTCCCAGCCCCGTTGATCTTCGTAAGATAATTGGCGACATTATTGACTTCGGCCGCTTCGAATGCCCGATGGCCCGGGTACCAATGCGAGCAGGGGTCAGCGGGGGTCTTGTCCTTTCTCTTCTTCTTCTTAGCGTCAAAGAGTGGGCTGTCGGAATGCGCCTTCCATTTGAAGCCCTTGAGACGATGGTCATTTGATGGGAAAGCAAAGTTAGTGGAGGCTTACCCAGTTTCTGAAACAACGTTTAGCAGGGTAATAGGCTTAAAAAAACAAAGTTGCACCTGTTCATATCGATCCCAATACATTTTGCACCTGGGCCAACGATCTGACGATTCTTGTACCTTGAGAGAGAGAGAGAAATAGTATTTGGATGTGGTTGGGTAATAAGCCGTTCGCGTACCAGAAACGATCCGATTCCCAGGTATAAACGTAGCCATCAGGATTAGGAGAAGGGATAATGTGAAAGTCCTAGAGAGAAGCATGAACGCAAGAGAATAGAGGATACGCAAATAACCGACGTAAGTATCAAGGAGATAGCTGAGAGAGCCGGATTCTGAGCTGTTGACTAGCAAGGAATGGGCAAAATGAAGCGCAGTAGAGGTTGCGACCCACTATTGGTGGTTAATGCCCAGTAGTTTCACATCACATCTAGAAAAAGCATACCTCCCGTGCATGTTGTGGACCCATCACGACGAAGCCCAACTTGGCCATGGTCGTGTTCGCCACCTTCGAGATCTTGAGTCCCAGCATTTCTCTCCCCTCGGCCGTGTGCCCCAACTCTACCAGTGACACGGTTTGTGGATGAAGTTCGACAAGCTTGCGCAAAAACAAGTCAACCTCTGACTGCGAGTGATATTCGTTATGAAAGGTGGTGTTTTGAAGTGTCGAAAGATCCCACTCTTGCTGTGTTCTTGCAAACGGCGGGGTTGGATATGTGATATTGGTTGTTGTGTGTGGAACGGTTAAAAGTGTTACTGGGAGGTTGGGAATCGAATGAGGGGTGAATACGTCGACGTAGGGATCATTTCCAGTGTGTATTTGCCAGATGTCGAGGTTGTGTGTCTGGTCGTGTGAGCATAAATATCCTAACAAGGAGGAGTAATGGTACACACCTCAGCTGTCTTTATCACTTCCTCGAGTGCATCCCAACGTTGTGGCTTGAATCGCCGCAGAATACCAGCCCTTTCGAGTTGGGCTTGTGGATTTGCGGTGATATCAAAAACTTGTTGCTGCTCAAAGGCCGCTGCGAGGCACGGCAGAGACAGAAGCGCGATGCGAAGCGCGCTGTAAGTCATGGGAGCGTTTATTTATCGGTTCCAGGTACCGGTATAGAAAACAACCAGATGGAGGGTGGGGAGGAAAAGGACCCGTGCGAGTCCCTCTTGAGGTAGGATACCGAAATCCGGACAAATTTTTGGAATCTTTGATGGAGGTGTGACCAAAATCCGGACAGAATTTCAGCCAAAACCGGACATCTTTGATCTAAAATCCGGACAAGACCATCGACAACGTCTGAGGTCTGAGCGCAAATCCGGACAAAAGCACGATTTGGACTCTTGACTACGAGACTTGAGGTCATTTACTACTTTAAGTACTTAGTTTCTAATATACCCATGACAACCAACAATTAGGCTGAGAATATCCGGCAAAGACTGTTTTACTGTTTTACTCCGCATTTTCTACCTACTTTTAGTGTGATAGGAAAAAAATTGAGGTTGAAGCGGAATCCGGACAAATTTTTTGGATTTTCGGTATGCCTGATCCAAATCCGGACAAGAGAGGCCCAGGCCGATGTCCCAAAAATCCGGACAAATTTTGGCCAGGATGATTTTCAGAATCCTACCTCAATAGGGATTCGCACGGGTCCTGGAGGAAATTGCGAAAAGTCACGTTACTACTCACAGGCTTACATGTAATTTACATGTGTGAAGATAGGCAACTAGTACTGCTAAGTAGACACGAGCAGACTCCCGTCAGTCTACGGTCGCAATCCAACCAGTCATCTCTTACCACCCCACTCCAGTTGAAAGTTCGCCGCCCCACCAGGAGGCGAAAAGACTATCTGGATCGACGATCCTGGCGATCCGAGTTGTGAGATGAGTTAACACCACAATAGCCATAAAGTCGCTGGGCTCCTGACGGTGGTTGCAGTGAGGCGGACATTGCTGTACTAGTACACGTGACATCAAACTACTCTGTCGTTGACGTTGACCTGCACCGAGAGCGACAGTGCTAGTGGCAAACACAATAATCCAATCCCATGAAACTACCTCGCTGGCACAAGGTCATTTAGTGTCTATTTGACTTCATAGCTCTCTGAACCGGTCATCATGCGCAAGTCGTTCCTCAGTGTCTATGCTCACAGCAAGAAAAACCACATTCATACAGCTCAAGAGCGGAATTTCGCTTGTTCAATTCATCGAGAGTGTAACACTCTGGGCCTTGGCCGCCGCGGCTCTTCTTACTGTCAGCATACGAATTGCTTCGAAAATTCGTACAATATTACATATATGGTCTTGTAGGTAAGTATCGGACTGGGTTCAGAACATCAATACTTGATGACTCAGTTCTTTGGCATCGGCTATGCCACTACTTATCTCTCCTGGTGCATCAAGTTCTTCATATTCGACTGCCAAATATCAATTAATTAACAGTGTCGCTAACCATCCAAGTTGCGAGCTCACTCCCAAAGGCTAAAGTGAATACCCGCAAACTGGCTCCGACCAAGATTAAACTACGCTTCCGCGAGCCAGAGCTTACCCAGGCCAAAGAGGAGGAGGATACTGTCATTTAAAGTGTCGTGCATGGGCCAAATGCACAAAGTGGGCGTCAAGGGCTCGTCACAAAGGCCAAGGTGAACACACGCAAACTGATTCTGATCAAGACCAAGCTTCACTTCCGCGAGCCCGAAGCCACTCACGCCGATGACACAACCTCGATTGAGTCGGCGACGACGCTTTTTGAGCGATGTAACGCAGTGGGGCGGTTAAATTATCCTGCTGTCAGACAAATTCTTCAGTTTGATTCCTGTCCTTGGCTTGTTGCGATGGAATTCGCGCAATTTTTTGAACTCCATCTACCGAAAATGGCTAATACAGCAATAAGCACTTGACTGTTTTCTTATGCTGTGGGCAAGATGTGATACTACAAATATGGATATACGAGTCGCACATGAAGCGCGAAATATGCGGTCCACACCTCAGCATTGGATTGTACCCAGAATTACCACATTTAGAAGGAAAACGAGCACATATATCAATAAATCAGTGATGCCGTCACCGTATCATTGATAACATATATCCTGTCTTGCCCTTGGACATGACTTTCGTCTGTCAGTGTCACTCTTCCTCGTCCACCGCACCTGAGGGTCATCGACTTACTCGTCTCTGCCATGTCGAGCCGCCCTACGAAGCAATTCTCCCTTGACGACGCGTTACTCGGCTTCATTGGAGCTAATACCCCACCGTCAGAAACAATTGACCATGCTGTTCGCTTTCTTGGGACCTACTCAGGCACAGAGTGAGTCTTATACTTCCGTATGAACAGGCTGACCTAAACTCTTCAGTAAATTCCTCATGGTTGGCCATTTTACGCGCAGTTTCTTCGGTAGCTGAATCTCGCTTAGGCAACGCAATATATGGCCAAATTCATCGCGCCATTCATCCTCTATCGCGCCCAGCTCCAGTTCCGCGCCGGCAAGCGCCCCAAACCTGTTTCATTAACAGAGGAAGGTCTTTTCAAGTTTGCGGGCCAGATTAGCGCGGCGCGGCGAATAATGGGCTTCCCTAGTGTGTATTTCAATCCCTACGAGAAATATGGCTTATTCTATCAGACATCCTCTACTTCATTAAAGCTCTATCGGCTTTGGAACGCAATCCACCTGCGTCGCGACTGATACTCAACGTTGGCCGCATCCAATGCCTTTCCATGCTCGTCTTCTACCCCCTCGAATACGTGTCTTTCTTCTCTGCCCCCGCCTCTGGGCCCCTTCTCCGCATCTCTCCCAAGGACGCATTGTTTGCTCAGCTCTGGAGTGTGCGTGCTTGGCTGGTGTTTACCGCTTTCAAAATCGTTGAACAAGCACACGACCTGATTGCCCTCCTGCGTAAACACACCTACCACAAAGATGAGGCTGAGCGCGCAAAAATAGCGAAACGAAAGTTCCATCTTACCTACGCGCTTATCTCGAATGTCGTCCGTCTCCCGGTGATCTTGCATTGGTCCGTTATTGGTGGTATATATAAGAACGAGGTCGGTGGAGATGTTTGGTGATGAATTAGGTGCTAATTACTTTTAGATCTGGACGTCTGGTTTGTCGCTGGTATCTGCACTTGCTGCTTTGAAAGGTGGATGGGAAAGTACTCGGTTGTAAGAATGGATTATGTTGTACACTAAAGGATTACACTTGTGTTAATTGTCGTAGAAAACTAGAGCACGAAGCTCAATGGACTCGCGCAGTGGAGATCCTTCTGGCGTGTTTGGGTCGCTAAAGCCTGTGTGAGGCGTGAATAGCGCGACACTGCCGTCTTGCTTAGAGTCGAAACTGGATATCTGTGAGCACAAGCAGTATGCGAGAGGAAGAATTAAGCTTGCCATTTGATGAGAATGACTTCCTCTGGTGTTACTCCAGAGAAATACGTCCACCGCTGTTCGGGACTGAATTTGACACCAAAGGTTTCTCCTTCGCGGTCAGGGTAGACTAGTGCTACAGGCAGCACGTCGTTCTTTGGGTCCACGGAGCGGAAATCACACAGGGCAAGGGGCCAGTCGTGAGCTGGATGGCTGATTGGCCGCCAAAGGTTTATTATCTGGAAACGATGGCTGAGCAATTCGGGCACATCCGTGGCTGGAAGATGGCGGTGGACACGCGCCACAGCGGAGGCGTTAGTCTGGTCAACGTGTGTCTGCGACACAGGCTGGCGTTTGTTTGGGGAGTCGTCGATTTCCCCTGGACGACGCCGGCGAATAGCTAGAGTGTTTCATTAGCTTGCTTGGCTTCGGTGACAGCACAAGGCAGCGTACTGTGGTCGAACAGAACGACACGACTGGCCCCCGTCAGCCGTTTAATCAGCTCTATACTCTCCGGATAGTACTCCCGCTCAATATCGGCATCACTGGTGAAGGCAGTATGTTTGGCAGGGGAATGAAAAAGCTGAAAGCCAGCCGTGTCGAGAGTCGCCGTCGATTCTTGGCCGCGCAAATCGTGGATCGGGACATCATGCTCCTCCAAAGTGAAGTTCCTCGCTCGAACACCAGTTTCCGTTGTTGCATTGACGTTCTGGAAGGCGCGGGCTCCGTCAGCTGGGGGCACGTAGAAGGCAAGATTTCCTGTAGTGTTCGTCATGTTATTTGGGGTTTGCGGTTCTTTCAGAGGTGGAGCCCGTATTTAAGGTGGCCGGAAGTCGCGATCCGGCATCGAGTCTTGCGTGCTCAGCTGAGTAAGGTCCGTTTGAGAAATCGGGAGGTTGAGTCAGACGGCGCCGGAGATTGGGCAGAGCTATAACCGCCTGACAGAGACGAAGTCTCAGCAAGAAAAAGGCTAATCTTGGACCTGGAAGATGAGAAAGCAATGAGAAAGACTCAAGATCTCGCGCAGACACGTGATGGGGCAGGCAATCATGACTTGTAAGGGACAAACGCAGAGTTGATATTTGGAGTTGGGTGCAGGTTGACACATCGAGAGCACACATGGAGGGCTGGGCATTAGGCTACATACTGTAGCAGAGAAAAACATAGAAAACGCGGCGTGACTGGTCGTGACGTGTCTCCGTCACATGTGACATTTACTTTCTCGACTACCATGTCCAAGTCGGGCACTCCGGAACGAGACGAGCAAGACACACAAGCAACCACGGCGGAAGGCTCCTCGTCGTCAGAGGTACCAAAGACGAGTGAAGCGTCTCAATCCGAAGCCAAATCCGAGACCGAGACCGAGACTGGAGCGGAAACACAAGGGTCTCCTTCAGACGCTGCTGCAACCTCTTCGACCCCGTGGCAAGCCATATACTCTCCGCAGCATAACGCGTACTACTTCTACAATACCGAGACACAGGAGACGACCTGGACAAACCCGTTGCAACCAACACCGACAGCGGAGGCATCTACGAGCCAGGAGCAAGTTGCCGCTCAACAACTGGGTCTCACACCGAATATTGACCCGCGATATGCCACAATGCAGACTGCCGCCCTCGCCCAGGGTATCGACCCCGCTCTGGCCTATTTGGACCCATCACTAGCTGCCTCCGGTTCGGCTGGTCTGCCTGCGGGAAGCTTCCAAGCGCGTTTCAATGCACGGACTGGGCAGTTCACGGCGATGGATGGGCGGACGCCGGACCACATGTCTGAATACGAAAGGGCGAAACGGATGAGCACTGTCTTTTTTGATGTCGATGCTTGGGAGCGGAGTGTTGCGGCAGAGAAGGCGGCAGAGGACGAGGCGGGCGGGAAGAAGCGCAAACGTCCAAGCAAGAAGGATCTGGTGAGCAAATCATTCTGTTTTTCTGGCGTATAACTTAGAGGTGCAGGAACGATTCAAAGAGCAGAAGCGCCTGAAGAAGATCGCAAAGACGGCGTGGCTAAGGACGTAAACACTCTGTATCTCATAGCGATGGATTCTGAACCACAAAACTGTTTGCCCTCGAAAGATATACTCCATATCCCAGACTCTCCAATTGCAATTCAAGTTGCTGGTCACTGAGACGATGGCGGACTCCATCGTATACCAGAGATTCTACTCCGTCTGACCATGATACCGAAACAGTGGTGTTGTGTGGGTTTGGGTTTGCTGCCATGAGCAACGTTGCGCCAGCCACACTCCATTTGCCCACATCCACCCTGTCTCGGATTGACTGCTCGAAGCGCACTTGCGGGTTGAACAAGATTTCTTTAACCTCTGCAGAGTTGAATACCCTGGCGAGCGCCGAGGCAGCACTCTTGATATCTTCGGTTGTCGGGTCGATCCAGGGCATGATTCCTATAAGAAGTCAATGTCCATGAAGACGGAAGAAAACGAAAAGGCGTACCCCGCGCGCCATGGTTCACGCTCAGTATGACCTCTGCTGCGAACTCGCGGCCAGTGGGCGGGCGGGCCCAGAATCTGTGCAGGTCGTGGCTGACTAAAAAGAAAAACACACAAAACGCACTCTTGTCCTCAAAAGCTTGAGGGACAGCCCAAACCGCTTTGGCACGCGTCCAGCCGAGGACATCCAGTCTGAATGCATAGTCGTCGAGGCGCTGCGAGATGTCTTCCAGTTGGCCCACACAGTTGTCGCACCCGCAACACCCGAAATCGGCCGAACACGAAGTGTTGTATTTCATCGACCAGGTTGCGTTGTTGGCGACGGGGTAGGTGTCGGGCATGATCACGTCTGCGCCCCCAGAATAGGCCGCAAACTCGTAGTCGGCGCAGTTTAAGGTGACGGATACCGGATGGTATCCGCCATCGAGCGAGTAAATCTGGTCATAGGCGCGGCGGGTGCTTTCAGGAGGCTCGCTTGTCCCGTCTGGCTCGTCCGCGGTGTACCAGAGGAGCAAATTGGTCCGATTTTTTATCTGGGCAACTTCGGCTGCGAGCTTGGTGGGGTTGTTGTATGTGCTTGATGCCAAATTGTAAGTCATATACGTGTACTCATTCGGCGAACTTACTGTCGCATGTCGTAAACCAAAAGTAGTCCAAGCTCCTCCATCCTATTTAGGACTCGTTCCAGGGCCTCAAGATCACCAAAGGTCGGGACAGGGTGGACGATTGTGAAGCTTGAAATCAAGTTAGGATCGCGCAAAGGGTATACTATTGGTCACCCTTGTGCCTTGATATCATCGAGCAAAGAAAGATCGGCGTCCAGATATCCGTCGAAGGAAGTGTAAAAGCCGAACGGGAAAACAGGCTCATAACCTGTTTGGCCTTGGAGTAGAAGCGCCCCAGTTCTTCCGTCGCGTTTGGTGACCGACCCGCCCAGCGGTCGGGGTAAGTATGATATCATTGTAGTTGCATGGAAGGTTTGTGGTGACGCTCCGAGCGCGTCGCCGGATGGGCTGCTACTCCCGAGACAATCGATTGTTGCTGTTGGCGGTGCATGACTCAGGTTGAGAAGCGGGAAGTACACCTCGGCTGAAGAGTTGACTTCGATGCTCGTGCGCGCTAGAATAGTGTTGTTTGCGCTGATCGAGACTTGGAGGGTGGAGAAAGGGAACGACAAGGCCCGGGCATTGTGATACCGGAGTGAGTGTGTCGTGAAAGCTTCAACAAGGATCCCAGCTTCATAATCCTCCCCCACAATATATGGGGTCATAATTGGCGAGCATCTGAAGACCAGTAAAGGATCCCGTGAAGTCCCTTGGTCGTATTGGAATCGCCCGCCTGGCGGGACGATTGGTTGCCCAGGCAGATAATTCTTGTTGCACCTTCAAGGTTTTAAGCGGTATACAACCAAATGGAGCCTCTAACCAGGTCTGAGCTGTTGTCCCCAGAAGTTGGACAGAGACAAGTGCGAAGTAAAGTAGACGCATCCAAACAACCGCATGCCGTGACTGATCTGTGACAGGCGTGATCGCGAACCGGAAGTTCGACCTCAGACTGCTCAGAACCTACCCGCGCAATGCAAGACGCGGATGTTGACTCGGATGCCAGTGCGGATGTTCCACTGCTCCGACATGCTTATAATGCACGCTAGCTGCCGCTATGAAGGTTAGCGACTCAAGACATGGCCCCCGCTACCAACCCCACCGCGCCAACCACCAACAACTGGACCCACCCTTTCGGCGCACTCGATGCCCAGCCTGCGAATGTAGCTGGTGCCGCGGCGGCCTCCCCCTCACGGGTGGCCATTGTCAACTCCCTGCTGCCCACCATCATTCCGTCGACGGACAGCCCCTCCTCCACGGCGGTTAATATTCTGCTGATATTCGCCATCATACTCGCCATCGCCGGCAGCATCACCATTGTCTGGCTCTGGATCAGGCGTCGCACCCGCCGAGACCGGGTTCCTCAAAAGCAAGCATGGGACGACGGCAATGTAAGCCCACATTCCCCCTCCCCCAACGACCTTTGACCGACCCTTCCCCCAGCCGTTCGCCAAGTCCATGCTCTCGCGGCCCCAACTCATCATGCACATGGGCGCCACCGAGGAGAAGACGCAGGACGCATTACTACAAGAAGTCCCCAACGTTTTCCGGATCCTCGGACGACCAAACGTGGCCACCAAAGACGGCGATGTCGACGAGGCCATCCCCGAGTATCAGAAGGCCACACAGTAGCTCGTTACATCGGGATGTTTCATTATTTATTTGTTTGTTCATTGCGTATCACAACTTCTCACTTGCGTTCACTGCGGTTACTAGTATTGTGCAATCAAACGTTCTGCCCGTAGCTACAGAAAAACCGTCTTGTACAACCCAGCACCTACTTACGGACCAAAGTCGACCACGGATCCCACCCAAGCTGCTAAGTATTGTTGACATAAGCAAATACAATTCAGTGCAGACACTGAGACAGTCATACGTGTAATGATGGAGGCGAAAACAGGCGTGGCCACAGATGCGCTGCTAATAAGTCTATCTTGCTTGGCAACCTTCACCAACGACGTTACGACTACAACTCGGATGGATGGCGCGAGAACATCCAAGCCAAATTCGAGACAGCTTTCAAGCGCCCGGCCTACCGGACGTGTCAGAGGCTGTAGCACCGGGAGAGGACCCGGTATGTTATGTATTGCTAGCTGGGACGGGGATGGGAAAGATGGTGCCATTCGTGTTGCTGCTGCTTGGCAACAACCACATGGGTCTTTACCGTGACTAGTATTTCGCCACTGAAGCTTCTTCAAGTTGAGCAGGTGAGTGCTATTATTCGCGTTATGATCGAGCTCTAATATGTTTGCGAAGGCTGCAGGATTCAACGCGATCTGTAGCGGTAAATGGCGATACTTGGGATGCAGATCCGAGTCGTGAGATAGGCAAGGTGCGTTGCAAATCGTGTCTTTTCTAATATTACATTAATCTCTTTCAATAGAAACTCAAGTCTGGTGCATACCGGGCTATCTTTGCGGGGCACTTGGATTGTTACGACCGATGTGGGTTCTGCTGCAACCTGTGTTCTATAACAACACTGATGACTTTCAGTCTTGCCCAGCGATGTCGAGCACACGGCACTCCCTGTCTAGACTCTACCCGATCCCATCCTTCATTGCGTCAAGACCTCCAGACCCAATTCACGCACATTTCGACCTTGTCTTTGACGACTGTTTCAGAGACCAGATCCTAAAGAAGGACGCTGCCGAGTCAAGGATGTTGCCGACTACACAGATGTGCTCTCAAATGAGGTTTGGGGGATATATGCGGAACATGTGTGGAACTAAGCTTTCTCGGAGTATCATAATATAACAACTAATAGCATCTGGTCGGGAGCGAGAACAAGTTGCGATGACAAACTAGTGGGATCTGTGACAGTGCTACTGCGTTCTGCTTCTCATCCTGAGGACTACATCCTGTACGGGTACCCGATGCGTTCCCATCTAATGGCCTCTTCAGTGCGACCCCACTCCACATCTTCATCGCAAGTCCTGACACCTTCCTTGAGTCGCCATCGTGGAGCCTCCCATACGTACTGCCTTCCAGTCTCCTCGTCAATATGGATATGAGACGGTCCCTGTGCAATTTCTTCGAAGTAGGCATTGAGAATGTCGATTTTCCTGTCAGAACCAGGGCCGTTCAGAGGGGCATAACCAACGTAAGGGTGTGGAGTTTGAACGCCAAGACGGTAAGGGGACGGGATGTTCCATTTAATGTCATACAGGACGTTCCGAATGTCCTGCAGATTCATGGCCAGCCCTTCGGCCGTTGAAGCAAGGCCGAAATCGATGATTACGGGACGAAGCGGATCCAGATCGCGTAAAATGATATTCCTTGCTGCAAAGTCCGGATTGTTTACACCCAGGTTGCGGATAGCTCGAGCGACGTCGATGATGGCATGAGCAGCGCGCTTCGCATTAGGAGGAGTGATCTGCGGAGGTGACGAAGGGTTGGGGGATATTGTAGCCGCAAGCTGTATATGATCAAGACGTGCGCCAGGAATGTACTCGAGTGCAAGGAACGGAACACTTGACAAAAGTGGGTCGTCAAAGCCATAAATTGGGGGCTTATACGTCCCGCTACCAATCAAGCGAGGAATAGAACGCCCCTGGAGCGATTCGAGAGCGTGATAGACAGCCATTTCATTGGAGTGTGACTCGAAAGTTTGCTCCCAGTGGTCCATTTCTTGTGACCATAGACAGAACGTCCCTTCACGATCAGCCAACCAATCGTCGTAGAAGTCTTCATCTTTGTTCATTCGCTCTTCTCGCGTGACAGGCTGAGTGGCGCCCGTGCATTTCCAATGGTTCGGCCAACGCTTCGTGCGGAATTCGCGCAGATGAGTTGTAAAGAAATCGCGAAATCTTGGTGACCACGGGGATGTGCTGCGTTCTTGGTCCAGCTCGCGCATTAACGGGATTCTGTTAGGGATATGTCGCGGATCGCTGAATTTGATGACGAAGCGTGGAGGGAGTGGTAAAAAACCACTTTGAGGTTCGGCGACAACCACCTGGCTGAATGTAAAAGGGCGAAACGCCTGCAAAACCCGAACAGAGATCTTTTGAGGAGATGACGCTTTCGACAATGAGAGACTGAGTTGAAGCATCTGTCCCTCGGAATATTGATGGGGTACCGACTCTGCATGCCTCAAGAAATGTCAAGCAAACCAAAACGAGGTCAACGAGCCTTGAAAGGTACCTAGTATCCAAAGCCATTTGTGACCGAGTGGGCTGGTAAACTGATCTATCGCTCATTGGCCCCCCGACTAGGAATCTTTCGACAAGTGACGTACATGTGGCGGGCTCCTCTGCGATGAAAGAGCGAGACTCCAGATTCCTTTTGCGTTTGAGTAGTGGGCAGACGTATACGTGGAGCTCTTTGTTGCCAAAACATAGATGAAGGCTTGAGTTAAGTAGGCGAGCCGAAAGTCACAATGACAGTCATCGCCTGTCACGGCACAGGTCCACAAAGGCGCTCGCCCAGACCCGCGCCGCGCTGCGAGTGTCGACCGTGACCCGTTTACGAGTAGTTGCCACTGACCTGTGCGAAACCATGACCTATGCTGCTAGTAGTCGGAGCGGTATAGTCTACTGCTAGCGGCACGAAACTGCCAGTGTGACAATTTCAAGTTGAACATCAACCAATAAATTTCAAGTCCCTACCAGGCTACCAGCCGACCACAGAATCGAGATTGCTTCTTGTTGTATGATCTTCTTTGGCGTGGACAAAAGGAGCAACAATAGCATGAACAACCGATGACTCGGATGCGATACTCACACGAGCCCACAAACAAGTTGTTCAACTGTTGTTGGTGCGATCACACGTGCCAGTGCTGACTCGACTAATAAATTGCGATACTCACACCAGAGTTGGTAAAATATCCCTTGAAGTAGAAACTGTGCTAGATTCTGGTAGAATCTAGAACCAAATCAACCTATGGAGATTTGCCCAAAATATACATTTTTGAAACTGAGAATGATTTTAGTCAAATATATACTAGTTTTAGGCAGTCTGAGATGAAAACTATCTATGGGACTGAAACTATGCCTGAAATGGTTGATATCTGTGCACATATATTTGGTCATGATATCACGCATATCAAATGTGGCGAAACTGACAGTGAAACAAAGGATTTCACTGACAGTTTCAGCACAGATGATACAAAGGAAATCAGCAGTGGAGAAATGCACATAGATTCTCTTTGTTTCTATTTACATTTCTCCACTGCTGAAACTGTAGATTTACAGTACAATGAAATCATTGTTGAAATCTCAAATTTATTCATGCCAGAAATTGTGATTAAAACTGTCAGTATATACATTGGAGAAATTGTAAGAGATATTGTATGTATATCAGTGACTTGAGGGTCAACCCTCAAGTTAACCCTCAAGTCAACCCCAAGGGTCTGATCTCCGGGTAGACCCTACAAGTTCAGTCTTCAGCTACATATTTAAATACATAATTAGCATGAATGGGATAACAACTTTGTAATGACTTTACACAAACTTTCTAATGACTTTACATAAACTTTCTAATAAATGTTACCAGATTGTAGGGACCCTTAATACATGTTACTATTCAGTTTAGACCTATGCTTCGAGGTCAATGGTTGAGTCAGAAAATGCAAATTACTGACCCAACCCTGAGTTTTCAAAACAGTGGTAGGGTCATATCTTAATGAGTTCTTATCCGTTCCTAACATGTTATATATGAGCAGGAAGGTGTTCAATGGGCCTATAAACTGGTATTCAACATAAAGTTCATTGTATACAAAACCACAGACTTTATTACAAAATTCATTTTGACTATTAGATTGTTAACCCAATTACTTGATGGTTTCTAGGCTGTTCATCAAAAGTTGGATATGGTCAGAAAGGTATTTCCAAATTCTACAAACTTGATTTCAACCCTGATATGGTTGATTACAAAACCACAGACTTTCACTACAAGTCAAGGTTTATTGAATTGACTTCAAAATCCAAAGTCAACCAAATGACTCCATATTGCACATAGTAGTAGAGCTTCATTGATTGAGTAAGTGTTCAGTTCAAACCTATTCAAAATTTATAATAGTTGACTCACAAAAGGTGAAATACTCCCAAAATATTAGCTTTGTTAGTTTAGGGCTAGCCTGGCTCAAATAGTATTAACACTATATTGTTGTGAATTTCCCCCTCCTGTTCACTGCTTACCACTTGTATGATAGAGCACAGGTACAGGTCTGGGTCTGTTTAACTTGACTCAGACCCTGACCCTGACCCTGACCCTGACCCTGACCTTGACCCTGACTGTCAGGGTTCAGGTCGGGCTATGCCAGGCTTCTCTTGAGAAACATGTGCCCAGAACAGAACAGATGAATTGTCGGGCCATAAGTATGGCGGGCGGGTTCAAGTCGAACCAAAAGGGCCCATTAAAGTCAGTGTTGGGTCTGACACATCTTTCTTGGTCACGTGCTTTCTATGTGTGCATTCCCCCCTATTAGGGTGTCTGTTCCTATCATTACATACTGTGTGTTGCGGGCCTTCGGTGGCCTGATACCAGTGCTGGAGAGGACAGGCCTTACACTTTGAACTTGAATGCGCGTTCATAGGGTTGAGCACAGGTCCGGGTCTCAGAAGGCTGACCCTGACCCTGAGTTGTGAAGTTTTATCATTTCCGCTGTCACCCGGAAAAGGAATATCTCAGACAGTGATCGCCGGCGATCGGCCGGATGTCCGGGGGTCACAATTGGGTCACTCATGTACCGAATTCACAAGTCCTCGAAGTTGGGCAGGACAAGTCAGTTTCATATGCAGTAGGCAGACAATGTCAAGTACTATAATCCACAAGTGACATTGAATGTACATTAAGTACTCCCAGACTGACTGCCTGGTCACCCCACGTCGCCTTGCAGCACTTTGAGTGGCACCCGGGCCGGTACTAGCCCACGCTGCCCGAAAAGCTTGAGTCTGACTGTCACTAAACGACGGGTTGGCCTCCTGTCATAGTCACGGCTACAGTGAGTATGGAGAGCATGGTGCGCGGGGAGTGCCTGGATTTAAGATGAAAGAGAGATGACGGAGGAGGGAAAGGGAGAGAATACTTCACTCGGAGTCACGGCAGCTTACGTCAGGCTTGCGTCACAGCGGCTTGCGTCAGGCTTGCGTCACGGCGGCTTGCGTCACACTGCTCCAGCGAAGTCCAGCGATCGTCCGATCCCTTGCTCCACAATTCCCATTTCCGGGTGACAGTGGAAATGAGAAAAGTCAAGAGCGCTGACCCTGACCCTGACTAACCCTGACTCTTCTGGATACGAGTCCAACCGGGTCTGGGTTGACCCACGGGTTGCAGACAGGGAAGCAGAAGATGTATTTGGAACAATAATTTTAACATAATATACATTTTGCTATATGATATGGGCTCAGATATAGTATATGTAGCCTATTCCTCAAGAATTTAAGGATATTGAATACAATCTACTCATATGTCACATGTCACTTGAGTGACTTGAGTGACATCTGATTTTTTTTGTCTCTTAAAAAGTCATAAAATCATATTTAGATAGGAAATTATTAAATCACAAAAAACTTATTGGACCCTCCAGGTTGATTCAGAAAGGGTCTGGGTTTGGCCGGATTCAAGAATTGGTGTATCTTGACCCTGACAGACCCTATCTTGAAACCCTGCGAGTTGACCCTGACCTCTGCTCTACCCTACACGGTATTTGGTTCGGTCCAGTTCAGCTTCAAACTGGAAGGCCAAACCGGATGCCGTCATCGCTACATCCTGATCCTCTTCATTGTCCACATTTTACTCTTCCCTGGAAAGCACGAGTGGAGGGTTGAAGTGATAGAGGGTTTCATGTTAGAATGTACAAATGAACTGAGAGAGAGGTATATACCTCATTCATTATATGCATATCTATATGTGCAAGATGAGGGTAGAGTACAAGTCAGGTAGGGTTTGTCAGGTTCAGGGTCAGGGTACACCAACCCTGACCCTGACCCAGAGACCCAGACCTGGTTGGACCTATACACAGAAGGGGCAGGGTTTGTTAAGGTCAGGGTCTGCCTTTCTCTCAAGACCCAGACTCGGCAGCCCTAGTGCCAACAGTAATGTTATTAAAGCTATCATAATCAATATGAAACAGAGGGTAGGTGGTGGGAAAGCAAAGGATACATCAGGCTTTAGATCAATCAGGCCATGCAAGTTTTTTCTATGAAACATGGACCTGAAACAGAACAGATGCTGAGTCAAGTTGAGTTGTTAGAGCCTAGTGAGTCATTGATGCCTTCTTGTATAGAGAGAAATCAAGTCAACCTTCCCTAATGGAGTCAGGTTTAAGTAGGATCAGGGTCAGGGTCAGGGCAGTCTTGACTTTCCTTATTTCTGCTGTTACCCAAAAAAGGTAATGTGGAGCTGAGTGGAGCACCACTGGCAAATGACTCAATGAGCATATGCCTGTAACCCTTGTGTAACACCTCTCTACCAAACATCAATGATAGCCACTCTTGCCACCAGCTCAGCCCTAGGGTCCGTCTGGACCTGCGGGTCAAATCTGAGGTTGAACAGCCAGGTTCAGAAGTTGGTGGGGTAGAGCATGGGTCAGGGTCTCAGGGTCAGAGTCAGGGTTAGGGGTATACTAACCCTGACTCTGATTATAACAAACCCTACCTGACTTGTACTCTACCCTCATCTTGTACATATAGATATGCATATGATGAATGAGGTTAGTATATACCTCTCTCAGTTCCTTTGTGCATTCTAACATGAAACCCTGCCACTTCAACCCCCCACTCATGCTTTCTAGAAAAGAGTAAAATGTGGACAATGAAGAGGACCAAGATGGAACACAAGAAGGCTCATAAATACTAATTGTAGTATATAATAATAATTGTTTGAGCTTTTTGAATTGTATCAAATATGACATGAGGGTTAACCTAGATCAAGTCAACCTTACCCAGTAGGGTCAGGGTTAGGTAGGATTAGTGTCACAGATAAGACCTGGCCTGTCCTCTCTGGCACTGGTATCAGGCCACCAAGGGCCCATAACACACAGGATGTGATGACAGGAACAGACACCACAGTAGAGGGAAATGTATATGTGGGAAGCACATGACCAGGAAAGATGTGTTGGGCCTGCGCTGAGCCCAACTTGCAGCATGAAGGAACAGGAAGGAGTGCTAGGATGTTAGGAGTAGTGCCTGGCCTGCAAGGGATGTGCAATCATCTTCTCTGCAGCCAGAGACAGGGATATAGGAAGGAGCAGGAGAGGCCAAGGGTGTCTGATCACTCTTTAGTAGGGCATATATAAGGTATAATAGTATACACTGTACTTTATCGCTTAGATCACCTATTATACTACCTCACCCTATACAAGGAGACATCACTGAGTCAACACCGACTCATTGGGCCTTGTCGACCTGACCTGACCCTGACACTAACACCCACTTTAACGGGCCCTTTTAGTTCGATTTGAACCTGCCCGCCATACTTGTGGGCCTGTCACCTGACAATTCATCTATTCTGTTCCGGGCACTTGTTCCTCAAGAGGAGTCTTGCATAGCCCAACCTGAACCCTGACAGTCAGGGTCAAGGTCAGGGTCAGGGTCAGGGTCTGAGTCAAGTTAAACAGACCCAGACCTGTACCTGTGCTCTATCATACAAGTGGTAAGCAGTGAACAGGAAGGGGAAAGTCACAACAATATAGTGTTAATACTATTTGAGCCAGGCTAGCCCTAAACTAACAAAGCTAATATTTTGGGAGTATTTCACCTTTTGTGAGTCAACTATTATAAATTTTGAATAGGTTTGAACTGAACACTTACTCAATCAATGAAGCTCTACTACTATGTGCAATATGGAGTCATTTGGTTGACTTTGGATTTTGAAGTCAATTCAATAAACCTTGACTTGTAGTGAAAGTCTGTGGTTTTGTAATCAACCATATCAGGGTTGAAATCAAGTTTGTAGAATTTGGAAATACCTTTCTGACCATATCCAACTTTTGATGAACAGCCTAGAAACCATCAAGTAATTGGGTTAACAATCTAATAGTCAAAATGAATTTTGTAATAAAGTCTGTGGTTTTGTATACAATGAACTTTATGTTGAATACCAGTTTATAGGCCCATTGAACACCTTCCTGCTCATATATAACATGTTAGGAACGGATAAGAACTCATTAAGATATGACCCTACCACTGTTTTGAAAACTCAGGGTTGGGTCAGTAATTTGCATTTTCTGACTCAACCATTGACCTCGAAGCATAGGTCTAAACTGAATAGTAACATGTATTAAGGGTCCCTACAATCTGGTAACATTTATTAGAAAGTTTATGTAAAGTCATTAGAAAGTTTGTGTAAAGTCATTACAAAGTTGTTATCCCATTCATGCTAATTATGTATTTAAATATGTAGCTGAAGACTGAACTTGTAGGGTCTACCCGGAGATCAGACCCTTGGGGTTGACTTGAGGGTTAACTTGAGGGTTGACCCTCAAGTCACTGATATACATACAATATCTCTTACAATTTCTCCAATGTATATACTGACAGTTTTAATCACAATTTCTGGCATGAATAAATTTGAGATTTCAACAATGATTTCATTGTACTGTAAATCTACAGTTTCAGCAGTGGAGAAATGTAAATAGAAACAAAGAGAATCTATGTGCATTTCTCCACTGCTGATTTCCTTTGTATCATCTGTGCTGAAACTGTCAGTGAAATCCTTTGTTTCACTGTCAGTTTCGCCACATTTGATATGCGTGATATCATGACCAAATATATGTGCACAGATATCAACCATTTCAGGCATAGTTTCAGTCCCATAGATAGTTTTCATCTCAGACTGCCTAAAACTAGTATATATTTGACTAAAATCATTCTCAGTTTCAAAAATGTATATTTTGGGCAAATCTCCATAGGTTGATTTGGTTCTAGATTCTACCAGAATCTAGCACAGTTTCTACTTCAAGGGATATTTTACCAAATCCGGTGTGACTGGGATCCCACAAGCACACAATGACAAACTTATTGTTGTCCAATCCGGACAACAGGAACAATAATTAATCCAAGTATAGATTGCGATGATATTGTATTCCCACTGCAAGCCCACAAACTTGTTGTTGTCCGAAATCTACAGTATTGTACTGAGTCGTGCAGACAAAAGAAACAACAATAGCGATGGCGACGGTCATGATCATCCAGTGTTCAATTGCAACCAGCCACCCGACTCATTATTATTATGAACCGGCAAAACACAATCATCTCGACTTCAAGTTCCACTGGTGACACCGTGACACCGTGACAGATTTGGTATATAAGAGAGTGCCAGTGCTGCACTAGTAGGCTGTCCGCACTTGAACTCCAGCCTGAGTGGAAACCTGAAGCAGAACGCGAAAGAATATACTATAGTGAGTATTGAAACCTAACTCTTGACACCGAGTACACTACTAGTAGCTCCGACGGCGGACTACTTACTCACTGGCAGGCTGTGTCGCCACCGAGTGGTTCCGCATCATGATGACTGAGCTGTATTTCTAGATGTCCACTGGCAAGGCATTCCAATACGCAATTCGTCTGGTCCCAACTGGACGGAGCGCCCAGAAACAGATCGCACCCATAGTGCAAGGCTACGCGGACCATCTCGAACGTCGCAAAGATATGGTCATCAAGCATGTTCTCGGGAATTTCACGGAGGCATATGACTCGGCCCGCGGAGCAGCTATCCGGTTCCACAGTGATGCTAAATCCCAGACAACTTCAACTAATGGCATGGGATGCTGCATGTTTATCAAGTACTATACACCACCCAAGCAGGAGGATCCAGAACAGAAACAGCGCTACAAGATATTTTTCCTCAACAAGATCATCGAGAACGGGGCATTCAAACGGGAGGGGAAGGAAGTACAGGTGGAAATCGACTTGGAGCCAGACTTCACGCTGGATGTTGAGCCCCAAGAGATGTACAACACAATCCTTAGCGCCTTGAGCAAGGCATCTGAGGTACGACTCAAACTTTCTATTGTTTTTTAGCAAAAAAATTGATAATATGCTTCCAGGACTTGAAGAATGGTGTCAAGAGTGACTGAGACTAAGCAGTAGTATTAGTACTCAGAGCTCGTCGAGGCTAGAAACTTGGAATGATCATTATTTGTGACGGTTGCTGCCCAGACGACAAGGTGACGGCGTGAGTGGCGGGCAGTTGCCAGTTTTGAGGGACGATTAGCCTGTCGCGCACACCGCCGCGGTCAGCAGAGAGTTACCTGCAGTTCCCCAGTGACAGCTGCTGCGATTGCGACTGGTCTGCGTGTTGGTCTTTGACGACATGGGTGCCTACCACCCAGAGCCTACCACCCAGAGCCACGCTTCCAGGCCGAACTTGCGCGAGGCCGGCCGGCATGTCGCTAGCCTCGGAAAACACCGGCCGGGCGGCGCAGACCCAACCGCTGGACTGTTGTGCTGAGAATCTTCAGGAGGCGGAGGGGATCACTGATTCACTGCCACTCCTCTTTTATCATGTGCAGCAAGACCAATCAATTCCGGGAGACAAGCGTTGGAGCCAGACGTCGCTCGCTCGCGCACACAAAAAAAACAAGCCCAAAAATCATCACATTTCATTCCTCTTCAGTGGTTGTTAGTCTTGGTCTACATTCTTCATATCCCTACACTAAAAACTCTCTCTCTTCACAACACCCTCCCACGACGGACAAAGCGCTTCGCGACGAAGCCACACCCGGTCTTGCCCGCCTGGGTCTGTGCGCCGACGCCGGAGCAGATGCCCGAGGGCCCGGCACAGCACCCGGAGCCGCAGTCCGCCGCGGAGAGACACTGCCCGCCGATGAACTGTTTCCCCGCGCCGTTGCCGACGTTAGGTACACCCGCGGGGTCGAACGGGGGGCCGCCGACGTTCGGGCCCGCCGCCTTGGGCGCAGCAGGCGCCGCTGCTGGCGGTGGTGGTGGGGGCGCAGCAGCTGCGGGGGCGCCGCCCGAGACGAAGCCGCACCCGGTCTTGCCCGCCTGGGTCTGTGCGCCGACGCCGGAGCAGATGCCCGAGGGCCCCGCGCAGCACCCGGAGCCGCAGTCCGCGGCCGAGAGGCATTGGCCCCCGATGAACTGTCTGCCGGCGCCGTTCCCGACGTTGGGGACGCCCGCGGGGTCGAAGGGGGGCCCGCCGACGTTGGGCGGGGCGGCGGCCGCGGGTGGCGGTGGTGGCGGCGCAGCAGCAGCGGGGGCGCCGGGCGCAGCAGGGGCAGCGCCGCCGCCGAAGCCGCAGCCGGTCTTGCCTGCCTGTGTTTGGGCGCCGACGCCCGAGCAGATGCCCGAGGGCCCCGCGCAGCAGCCCGAGCCGCAGTCCGCCGCGGAGAGGCACTGCCCGCCGATGAACTGCTTGCCCTGCCCGTTGCCGACGTTGGGCACGCCGGCGGGGTCGAAGGGGGGCCCGCCGTTGGCCTGCGCGGAGACGTACGACGCGAGCGCGAGGAGGGAGACGACGGCGAAGGATTTCATTGTTGGTGAAGGAAAGAAGTAAAGGCGGTTGGTCGAAGGGAAGAAGAACGCAGGAGCACCGGGCTCGACGAAGGAAAAGGAAAAGGGGGGTGATGCGAAGGGGAGGGACGAAGGACACCTGGGGGCCCGTCACGCGCGCGGGCTGGCTTATATAGACCAGCCCAGCGCGGCAACCATCAGCGGTCGGAACACGGAGACGGGCCCTGGTCGCCACGCTCGCCTCCCGCACAACTCGCCACTCGCAACGCCGCATCTGTCCACTGTCCACCCGGCGCCGCCGCATTCATTCATTGTCCATCCACCGCCTATAATTATCCACCCACCCACCCGCGGCCCAATCTCCACATGTCCAGCGACCGCGACCGCGACCGCGACCGCGACCGCGACGGGCCCCGGCTTACGACCTCGCGCCGTCAAGGTAACCGATCGATCGACCTGGCGCCCTTGGCCTTTCCCTGCGCTTGCCTTCCGTGCCTCGCGACGTGCACGTGCAGCGGCCCGGTCTTCCCTCCGTGCGTCGCGCACCGCACTGGCGCCGTCCCGTCAACGTCTGGCATGCACCGCCACCGGCCGCGCCCCAAGCCCAGCAGCAGCCGAGCCGACGCGGCACACCAAGCACCTACAGGCTCCACCCGGCTATCACCGCCGTCAGACCTCCGCGCCGTGGCGGCCCGACCCCACAATCCGCCTACACTACCCTACCCATGCACACCAACGCCTATCCACATCGCATAGTACTAACCACACTATACCTTGTCTCCTTGCACCCAGGGCCCGGGCCTGGGACCGGGGCGGGGACCGAGCAGGGCAGCTGGACCCCGTGCAACCACCATCCGGGATACAGCCCACCGCCCAGGCGCGCCGCCCAGTGCCCAGTGCCCTCGCCCAACATACGCCATCGCACCCCAGCGCCAACACCTCCGGACCCCCCAGCCCGGCGCCCGGCGCTCGCATATGCATCTCCCGCCAACAGCTCGAAAGCGGTGCGTCGGCACGCGCAGAGGCTAAGGAGTATTTATTGAACGGTGGACTTATCTATCCAGCTTTCCGAGGATTGTTCATTTGTTGCGGCGTTAAAAATATCACTGTGGATTGTCAGGTCCCACCCACCGTGCCTGACAATTTATGGTGCTGCACAGACGGGGCCGCTAGGGTCCTGCCCAGATAGCGCTGTCCCTGCTTCGGCCTCCTTCGGACCGTCCGAGCGCATCCGACCAGCACCCCTCGGACACCCCGACCCGCCCCAACCCTCAGCCCCCTTTGCCCGCACAACCACCGATCCGTCAAGGCCCCCCCAACGACCACCGCGGGACAGAGGACAGAGCCCGTGACGCCGCCCCGGCCGTCTGCGCTCCACGTCGGCAGCTCTGCGCTCCACATCGGCAGCTACGCACGACCAGTGTACAGCTGGCGCCCTGCCCTCAGAGTTTCTTCTCTGTGGATCCGCCCGCCCCTGCTAGGCCGGTCCCTGCGTGTATTTCCCGCAGCTCTTATCCACGCTCTGGATCCTCCCCTACGAGGTGTTCGTCAGAGTCTCCAGGGCTGCCCTTACAGCAGGCCAGACGAGATGTGTGATCGTCTTCTCTGTGGGTGGCCAGAGTACTTTTTTACTCAATCCAAATGCCAAAAATGCTGTGACATTTGATATCAAAATTGGAAACCAAATTATTGCTTAATTAGGGAATTCAAGCACCAAGAAATGTTAAAAAATGCCTTTTCATGGTGCAGGGGGCTAGACACCACCTGTTTTAGACAAGCCGATGAGCGCAATCATCAATACCTTATCCCTCTAGTGAAAAGACTTCAATTAGATAGTACTACAATCTCATTTCTCCCAAACTCAAGGAATAAAATTTTTAATGGCCACAAGATGAGGGCTGCCACATGCTTATCACGTGTCACGTCACGTTTGATGCCATCCAGGTCTGCCAGGTTGTATAGTAGGTCCATCTCAGACTAAAAGAAGGGTCCAAGGTAGAAGAATATAATGCATTTAGAAGAGCTGTGGACTCATTTTGCTATCACAGTCCTGCAAAAAAAAAACCCCTATGAAAAATCATATAAATTTTACAGTTCTTCAGGATGAGCAGTGGCTGTGCAGCTAAGTCAGCTGTCCAAAACAGGTGGTGTCTAGCCCCCCCTGCACCATAGGACAGAAATTCAAGCAAAATAGTGTAATATGTAATTACAAAATAAAAATAAAAATAAATAAAAATAAATAAAAAATCAAATTTTATAGTGAGTGTGACACATAACATTCAAACTGAGTAAAATACTACAGTAAGTCAGATGAGAGAAGTAGTAGTTAAAACATATCTAGATCAGAATAAATGGGAGTCATACCTGGTTACCAGGTCCTGGTACAACAAGATAAGCAATAGGGCCTCTCTTGTTACCCAGATTCCAGATAACTGTCTGATCAGTAATTGGATTAGATTGTATGGGCCAGATTAGATGGGATGTGCATCAGTCTCTGGCAGGCATTAGTCCTTTTAGGTTCATGGTCCACAGCTGCACACCTGGTCAAAATAGCCTAACCAATTGGTTGGTGCGTGTCAATCCTATCTGACGCGTCTTGACGCTACGACTCGTCACAGTCTCGTGACTCGTCACAGTCTCCTTCACGCCATTCCTAGTTGCCACAGGCGAAAATAACGCTCGGGCTTCAAATCGCGCCGCCGAGTGGTCAACGTCCTACTTCAAGACACCGGGCGGCTTGGTGTTCTTCGTCGTTTCCGATGTCGTTCCGAGATGCCCAGTCCAATTGGACAGAGCTGATTCGCTGGACGCCATCCTATTAGCCTCAGTCAATGACGAAGCAGTGCGTGTTCACAAGACGCGCCCATGGTGATAGTCCGTCTATCGCGGGGCAGAACACAAGGCAGAAATCACCGTGGGTGCCAATGATGGATGATGGTACAGCGCGGGTCCGTTGTTGACTCGAAATTCCTCAGTGTTGATCGAGTTCCGCCCCGTTTGTGCAAAAGAACGGGAAATTTAGCGGGCGATGGAGACGTTTGAGACGGTGAGGAGGTCCATCGAACAGGGATGCAATCGGCTGCCACGAAAAACACAAGACAAGAGAAAGGACAAGGACAGTCAGCGCCTTCATCAGATTTGCGACGGCTCGGCTATACGGAGGCTGTGCTTGGCCTTATAAATCCACTCGAGTCAACGCAAGTAACTTACCCCCCTTCCCCCAACTCACACACAACTGAAGCAGCCTAGTCCTGCCTCAGTTGACCCAGCCCGACTGCATCGCGGCCCTTGTGAGTATTCTATGTTTGTGTCTGGCGCAGTCGCGATGGACATGGTTGCCGATCCCTCGAGCTCATCATGGTGGCGGGTGTCACCAATGCTGTCGTCGACTGCGCTCGACGACGACGATGAGTTTTTCACCGATCTGACCATGTCCTATTGCAGACGTAGCTCGGTGCCGTCCCCAGCCATCACCGCTGTAACCCCACCCCACTTCGCCATTTTCCCCTTGTCCAACAACACTTCCACCACATCTAGCGAAGATGTTCAGTCAGTAAACGCCTCCCCCGTGTTCAGACCACCGTCACCGGCCCCTCGATTCAATGGCTTCTCAACGGCTCAAAACCCTCTATCTAACAATGCCCCGATAAACACCACCACGTCTAACCCAACCCGGGTCTCTGTCCAATATGGCCTCCCCCGCAATCTGCCTCCAGCACCTCGACCAGTAGCAACTCGCTCTGTGAAATCTACACCCACATCAACACCTTCACCAGACTTTGAAGCGATCCGCAACAATTACTTGACCATGCTTGCAAACAAGTCAACCCCCGATACCCCGGCCTCCACGGTCGCACCCTCGGCGCTGATCAGCGCTGAGGATGCCCAGGCGAAGGCCTTCAAGGCCATCGCTGAGCTCACAGGTATTCCTCCCTCGCTTTCCCGACGGAGATCACCTTTTATTGACATGTGGTCACCAGCGTCGCCTGAATTCCAGAGCCTCGGCGACCACTTCCCTGACGACTTTGGCGGTGGTGACGAACCGCTGATCCCGTTCACTGCTACGTTTGATGAGTCGCCACTCTTTGGCGACGCCTCCCCTTTCCTCACCTCTCCCCACGACTCGATACTCGATGACTTTGGCACCAGCCCGATGGACACCCCCTTCAGCGAGTTCCTGTCCACCCCATTGATGGGCATGGAGGACAGCTTCATGGAGAGCCCGCTTATCCGATCCAACGACACACTGTTTGGGTTTGAGGAGGCGCCAGTTGTCGAGCCTCCCACCAACAAGCTGTCGACATTCAGCCCCAGCACTCCCATGCTCGACTCGATGGACTCTCCCCGTCCTACAGTCCGCCGTCGAAATGTCACGGGTACCCGCAAAAACCTGACACCCGACTCGCTCATCTCGATGGACGCGCCAACTCAAAAGCGCAGCTACACTGCTCCGAGTGTAACTTCTCGCAAGGCCCTCCCAGCCGGTTTCGTTCGCAAACGCGGGTTCAATGCAGCGTTTGGCGTTGACGAGACAGACGATGTGCTTCCCGAGCTGTCGCCCACGGCCACTGAGCAGGAGCAAATCGAGTGGAAGCGGCGCCAGAACACACTCGCTGCCCGCAAAAGCCGGAAGCGCAAGCTGGAGCACCAGCAGGGCCTCGAGCAGCAGATCGACGACCTGAAGAGTCAGGTGACCATGTGGCGCGAGCGCGCGCTGATGGCGCAGGAGATGCTTCGCGCCGCTGGGATCAAGTTCAATGTGGAGGCCATGGGGACGTAAATGGGCTGGCCACTTCCAAGTCTTCGGTGTCTCTTCGGTTGTACCACCATTGATTCCCTGATGAAGAGCACTGTCGTATTCCTTTTCCTTATCTTTTTTTCCAACTATCTCCATCGTTCCTCTAGTCTACGAGTATATCTACTTGCGCTCCATGTACCGTTTATGCAATGCACAACCCGATGTTATGCGTATTTGGATGGCCATTCAGCTTGGGATTGTTTGCACCGCCAAAGCTGTATTGACTCGAACCATACCACAGCTTTTAAGCGACCACAACTCAGCTCCCATCCCACTACTGGCTGGAGAACTACTTAACCGCGAGCTATGTGCGGCTTCCCCAATTTCCCCGACCTCTTTGCTCCATGCCGGCTCGGGCAAGTCCAAGAGATCCTTCAGGGACAGCAAGAACATTACCTCCCGCCGGGATCGCCGGAATCATCTTTGCGGGAACTCTTCTTCTGTTGACGATTACTGCTGTCGGGCTGCATTGGAGAAGGCGGAGACAGCGCATTCGAGCGAGACGAAGGTCGCGATTCTCTTTCGGTGCGATTCCGCGTAGCCCATCTTAAGTTGAGCTCACGTGGATGTAGTCGAGCCGCGTCTGTCGAATATGGACACAACGCTGACGCCTTATCCAATGCAAGTCGTACCAGCCCCAACTACGAATTTTCGGCCGCAAAAATCACCCATGGCCATATATGCGCCTCCTCCGGTCCATATAGCGGGATCGCGGAACCAGGGGATGTCTCCGCCTACAAAAGTTGCATTCACTGAAGGATAGAGGACTCGTATCTCTCGCAGACGCGCCGTGATGAGATTGATCTGCCGTTTGCAAACTCCCACTGTGCGCCGAACGATATGACCATGGTCTCAACTTGTTCATTTGTGATATTATTTCTGCCTTCGACCTCCTACCTTCGACTTACTACATCCGCCTCCGCTACAACCTTAACGCTACCTCACCGCTCCTGCTCGATTCTGTCAACGCCTCGATTCTCTCAAAAATGGTAAATACCTTTTCCAAGTCGTAGCTCAAGACATATGACAATACTTCGCCAGTTCCACAAAATTATCCACATCGCCGATTGTCTAGTAAGATAGGTTAAAATGAATGATGTTGTCAGGACATGATAGCTTACTGCAAGTACGAGTAATTTGAAGATGAGCTCTAAGTTGCGATTCACATTGAGATTGAAGGTTCGGGAGTAGGTAAACGGTTTCTCCTCTGAAGTCGTCTCCGAGTGTGAATGCGAGCGCCGTAGCTTCTTTGCTGGTGGCGGAGTCGTATTATGAGCCTTTGCTGACTGTAATGGGTCGGTTCTTCGTATCAAATAAAAGCACCAGTCAATCCCGTTGGTGAGAGCGTTGACGACGGCATTGCGGTTACTGCAGTCGGTCGTAAGTATGCATGTCACTGCTTATCGACCGGGCTCACGTGTGGATACAAACGGCCGCCCCTTCACTGAGGACTTGATCTTTTGTAGCCTTGCTATTGATCATCTCGAAAGCTTTGGCCTTGGTGATGTTTGCCAGATTTTTGGGCACGTAGTTGAGTGAAATATGCTCCCCGGCTTCGATGCATGCCAACGCTGATAACCTGTGAGTATGCGCTCCCCATAGACGACGTCGAAACGCACCATCATCTGCGTTGACAACAGTCAGGACATGGTCGAGAGTGCCATGAAAATTGATGCCTGCGGCAACACGCTGGGGTGGGATTACAACGTCTTGGTCGGATATGACCCAAGCGGATATCTCGGATGTTTTGTGGTCGGACGGGGAGTATGCAGTCATGCGTCTCGTGATCGCGCACCGCTGCGTCAAGTCTTGATCTATGACTGGGTTTTGAGCAATTATCTGCTGGCAGATAGCCGCTGCGGTGGACAAGACCGGGTCGATTAACGATCTACAAGAGGCTTCTAGCTGCGCTAGCATAAGAAGGAGAGCAGAGCATTCAAGCGGAGACTCACTTCTATACGTGCATGCCTTCTGAGCTTGCCCCAAAGACCACACTCCCCGCAATTCTGGAAGGCTGCCGCATGCTCCTTGAAGATGGTGCTTCCGAGTAGTATAGCTGCAAGGGCTTGCGAAGGGGGAGACAGGGCCGTTGAAGGGGTTATCATGGTCGTGGGCGTTCTCGTCTGAATATCAATGAATTGTGATGTTCCGCCTTCCTGGAAGACGTCCTTCAAGAAACAGGACGCCTCGGTGAACAGGTGGGAGTCCTGAAGCATAGATAAATAGCTGAATAGTCACCGCAACAAACTACTCACACTGCTCAATCGTTCTCTGGCAACCTCAACAGCCCGGTTTTGTATAGTGGATAGTTCGGCGATTACATTGGTAGGAATGCCATGTGTGACGAGCCATTGTCGATATACTTCAGTGATAACTGCTGCCACTGCCTCAAATCAACATGCCTGAAACTAAAGTTGTCACTTCCCCAGTTATCTCGATATCGACCGGTTTTGTTGTGATTCCAGAGCCCTCAACTGAGGAGGAAGGAAGAGACATGTCTTGGATGATTTCACCTCCTGATTGATCAAAGTGCAACATCGGTTGATTTCCAGAACCAGCTTTGTAGATACTTGGAAAATGCTTAACCAACTTGCACATGCTAAGCCTTAGACCAAATCCCTGACGGTCTTGTCCTCTTCAAATGTCTTACGCACCTAAGCCAATGGATTCAAGATTGTGTATGGAGGGTGAGTAGACGCACAACATACCTCTGCGTAAAACTCGTCGTCGATAACAACGCGAACACCCGTCGCAGCAAGTGCCTTGGAGACATCAAGGCACGCATGGTGGGCGGCAACGGTGGCCGCAGCCTTTTCAAACCCAGGTGTGTGGTTTCCACCGTCAACAATGCTTGGTATAGCTTCAAGTAAATGAGCAACTATGTATCAAACAACAATTACTAACCGAAGCCAGGATGTAGAGACGGCAGCGCTAGATGCGAGTATATAGAATACCTTCCAGAATAAAAAACAATTCAGCATACCATATGTTACATTTCCCTAGAACCTCGATATTGAAAGCAACCTCAGTAGGGATGAATTGCTCACAAAGTCAGTCGAAGCGCTCTTGATTCCCCATTCGTAATCGACCTGTCCATACTTGCTGCAAGCAATATGGGCAACCTCATTTCCTACGACATGACTTTGATTGAGTAAAGAACTGTAACAAATGATTTACCAAGGGCCTTATTCTGGCGAAGGTCATAAGTGGCACCAAGGGAAGTGACCTTGTGCGTGCATCCTGTTGCAAGAGCGGCAGCCCTGTAACTAGTGGGAAGGCGCGCAATAGGGAAGCGATGTCAGACTAACTCGAAACAAGGCAACACCCGTTTCATCGTTTGTTGTTGCTCCGCCCTTGTGGGTGCTCGAACAAAACATCTAGACGGACTATTAAACACATTCTCATGGTGGGCACCGTCTGCGCACATGAATTTGGCGTAGTCAGGAATAACTATCGAGAGTTCAGCTGGAGCCAACGTGAAGCTAGTTATCTCACTGTTTGGGGCCCAATCTTTGCCTTCGAAGATTCCATGAACACGATGGGTAGGGCGAAGTTGCTGACGAAGAGCGGATATATTATTGTAGCCAAGAACCGCCGCGTCCAAAGCATTTTTGCCTTCCCAGGGCGATAGGGCTGCGTGGGCCCTATGCAAAAGTTAAAAGCTCAATCATGGAAGAATCTCTGACGGAGCTCACGTATGACCGAAATACTCGACCTGGATTCGCTCCAGCGCGAGGCAACTTGATAGACTGACCGACCCAATTGGCCCAGGTGCTGGATGGCACCTAAATTGGATCGGCGTTGTTCATTCGACGGAAGTTGAATCGTACATTAAGCAAGCATCTATATTTTTGTCTAGAGAAAATTGAGCGATGTTGAATGGTTGAAGGGGATGACTGACATGCCCCAGCGTCCAAGAGCTTGACTTTGCCGCTTCCACTCTCTTCCGCTGTTGGTGTCGTTTTACAAAATAGACGAATAGCAAAAGGAAAGCTCACCAGGAGTGCCCAGGAGTTCGACTTTGCCGTTAATATCGAACTTTTCGAAGGCTGCCTTGATCGCGCAAGCAACGGCAACTCCAGCAATGGCGATGAGATTATGGCCACAAGCATGGCCAACTCCCTAGCGACAGGAACGAGTGTTATAGGCGTGGAGTACGATCAAGTACCTCCAGAGCATCCATCTGTACAACTTGAGTTAGAAGGATATTTCTCACTTAGGACGGGCCACCTCTGAATTAATTCCAATCGTCCTGCCGCCGTTACCGTGAGTGAAACTCGCAAGCCACGCTGTCTCTAAGTGGTAGTGCCGTGTCACGTTAAATCTAGAGACATATTTTAGTTTAAAACTAACCGCCAACGGGGGGACAGACCCATGGCTCTCCATAAAGGCCGTCAGGGCGTCATGCGCATGCCGCTCCTCGTAACGGAGCTCGGGATGGTCTGGCTGGTGAGGAGTACTGGGTGAGAGCGTCACGATGTGGATCTACCGTGAATGTCCATGCTCAAAGCTCGTAGCTCGTCATCGAGGTTTTTGATTGTCTGTTCGATAGTCTCCAGAATATCTTCACGGTATACGCTACCTGGAGCGACAGGCGTAGGAGCGGCTTTGTCGTCGGGACGCCAAACGTCGGTGCGACTCATGGCCGTTAGAAGCACAAATACAGTAATTCGATTGGGAAACGACGAGAAGAGGGTTGACGCGCATGTCACGATGTGACGTCACTTTCAAGAAACCAAGACGAAAGCTGATGTTCAAAAAACCTCTGAGCACACTGAAAACAAGTGCTCCGCTTCGGAACTCGGATCGAAAAAAGTTGAGACAGCGAATCGTCTCTGACTTTTCCCTTTCGGTGGAAAGTGCCGATGAACTGGTTCCGGAGGGCATCCTGTCGATAAAATGCACCACACATCTTGACGAGCCGGGAGTGAGCCTTTTACCAGCTCTCTGAATTTGCTCTTACTGATACAGGTAGTGTACCTATCTCCAGACAATAGCGATCCGCTATGGTTCACGATCGGGAAAGGGTCTGAGGCATTGATTCCAAGCATCTACACTCTTTGGAGGCGACAAGATTTGATTCCTTTCCTTTCAACCCCCGCTGCAGTTATCCCTATACTTGTTGGAGGAGCAGATCTCATGATTCCAGGTGGTTAGTCGAACTTCCACCTCCATAAGCAGACTCACTATCAGTATCTGTGCAGTCGTCCATATTTCACCTTCGTTGAAGGAGGGCCAGATAGTGTCGATACGCCAATATACTCGAGACGGAAAGATTTTGTCCCCTCCATTGGCTGTCGGCCGCATGGCTCTCTCAGGCGATCAGATCGAGAATGGTCGACAAGAAAAGGGCAAAGCGGTTTACACTCTCCATACCTGGAAAGACTACCTCTGGGACACAGGCTCTAAAACCGAACCTCCCGAACCGTCTTCCTTGTCTCAAGAGCAAACACCACAAATCGAAACCGAGCAAGCCGCCGTCGCCGCTGACGCGCCAATTGTTGCCGAAGAAATCCCATCGTCGTCCTCGACAGCCTCAATATCACCAACCGACGTCTCCCATCTTCTCCACCAAGCTCTCATCCAAGCCCTCTCAACCGTGCTAGCAGAACTACCAGCTTCAACTTTCCCGCTCTCAGCATCAGTGTTTTACTCAACCTATATCCTACCCTATCGTCCTGCATACCCCGAACTTGTGCTGGGAAAAAACCTCGGAAGCACGGAGCCTGGGGCTGTGGATATATCCATCAAAACCTCCGGACACAAATCTCTGACGGCGTTTCTCAAAGCAATGGAAAAGGCGTCGCTGATTACGCTTAAGGCCCCTCCCAAGCATGGCTCGCAGTCGGAAGTCACAGTCACCGCAGTCAATGCTGTTCATTCCTCCGTACAAGGCCACAAACCGTTCGCGTCATTGAAAGACATTGAAACGACTGCAGCAAAGAAGGCAGCCCGCGAAGAAAAGAAGAAGGAGGCGGAGGCGGAGAGCGGGCACTGGGTCGAGGTGAAAGAACTCTGGAAGCCCCATGTGAAATCGCTCCAACTCTTCGAAGCCATGGGTAAAAGGTCATTCGCCTTGGGTTGCCCGTCTCCTTGTTCTGATCCGCATTGCAGTGCAAAGACATTATACGAACTTCCCGAGGTTCGCCGCTTGATCAACGACTATATCACTTCCAAGTCGCTTGTCAACCCTCGAGAACAGGCGTATATCAACCTCGATGCGCTATTATCCGACACGATCGCTTCCAAGAACAAGAAAGGCAAAGGCCCAGAAGCGATACCAACTGAATACATGAAACGAGAGGAACTCACGAAGCACATTCTCGAGCAAATGCAGGCGTGGCATGAAATTCGTGCACCAGGGAAAGAGCCCGTCGTCAAGTTCGCGTACTCGATCTCGTTATACTCGGGAGGCTCATAGTCCATCCAGGAAAGGCAGCTTGAAGCCCGTTCAAGTTGTAATCAAAATGCGACAAGGACGGCGGGCGTCGACACTCATCACAGGTTTTGAACCGTTCCTGGTCATATCTGCAGAGGACATGGCGGAAGATCTGCGTAAAATATGCGCCGGAGCCACGTCTGGCGAGTCTACTTGATTCTTTCTCAAACTCTCCCACTTATAATCATTGGAAACCAGTTTCCCCTTGTCCTGGAAATACACCAGGCCACGAGGTACTTGTTCAGGGCAAACAGTCTCAACTCGTGTACGACTATCTGACGGAAAAGGGAATTCCCAAGAAGTGGATCGAGATGAGCGACCTCACGGGAAAGAAGTAAGTTAGTTAGCCAAGTCCCTATACTTGGCACCAGGGCCACGAAGCTCTACTTTCCCACTGCGCAAACTACAATAAAACCGCAGCTTTGTCGCAAACACAAGGAATTGCCATCACGATGTCCTACCAGTAAAAATACATGCTGTGTACAATGCCCAAGTCCGATTGTCAAATTACAATAGCGAAAATCTCTACAATGCGCAGTCCACACTCTGTCATTTCCCGCTCGCGTCCAAACGATGCGTTTTACCGAGGAAGTACATACTACCAGATCCGGCATTTTACTCGTGACCAGGAAGCAGATGTGCCTGCTGCGCCAAATTGCCCCAGAACTCGGGATCCATCGACATGCTGTCCATGAAGAGGCTGAAATCGATGTCTGGCAGAGGACTCATTTGGTTCAGCGGCTCTGTAAAGGCAGATAGCTCTAGGAATTCAGAGTTGGGGGTCTTTTGGACCATGCTGCCGTCAGAATTGGGGGTCGGGTACGATGAAGGTGATGGAAGAGGGAGACTAGAGGACGGGAATGGCTGGCTGGAAGGGGAGCGATTCGGTGTGGGTCGCTGTGGAGGAGGGCGATGTCTTGCCTCCCATTTGGCAATCATGCCTCGCACCAATAGTGCTGTGCGCTGGGCTGCATGTCCCGGGCCGCAAACTGCGCTGCCCAATTGCGACACGACTTTACTCAGAAGCAGATCGCTGGAGCCCAGCAAATCCGTTCCCCCGCGAAACATGAGAAACTTGACGCCGATGAGGTACCCCGACGTAAGCGCGACCATCGTGAAGATGTTGTCGGGGGCTGTACTCAGAAGGCGCGAGTCCGCAGCGAGAACATAGGTCAGCAGCGCTTCGGTGCTGATCGCCATCTCCCGGCCCCACTCTCCGACAGCCTCCATGCCATGGGGTTTGAAGAATTGGTGCCAGCTTTCGCCGGGAGGGACACTTCCTACAGACCCCCGCGCATCCCACATTGCGTGGTAAAGAATCAGAAGGCGACACATCGCTTCGTAGATATTCAGCATGTGGAAGTAGAATTGTTCTCTTTCGAGGACGACTGTGAGCGAAAGTTAGCGCAAAATAGGGAAATCAAGAATGGGCTTACAGGGTAAGGGGCCCATTAGTCGTTTTACCCGCTTCATCTTCTCTAGTATGCTGAAAAAAACACATCAGTAGGCAAAAAGAGCGTGGTCAATTTTACTGACACGGTAATTTGGTCATACCACTCATCGACATCCATACCAGCTTGCAGGCGGTTATTTGCTCCGTCTTCCAAAAGGTCGAACGCCGAAGCGACGAGTCCAAGGCGCAAATCATTATAATTTGTGTCGTGGTGGAAGGCTTTAGGAAATTGTACTTCATGTAGATCTTCAGGAGACCTCCGGGACAATGGTATGCGACCGGTCCCAAGGCAAAGCCTGTTCTAATTGATAACAAGCTATACGATAAGAAAAAAGCGCACATGGATTCGGTGTTGGTGAGAGCAATCCACAAGCGTGCATTGTCCACAGCCTCGACAAGTTTTCGTTGCTCGTCGGGGTTCAAGATTCGCTTCCGCAGCGAGCTCGCCTTCAAAGATGCCTGATTTAACCTCAGGTTCATTGCCATACTGACGGCGGAGGCGACCAACAACCGACCGTCTCGGCCCTCATTGTCGACCGGTCCACCTAGCGGCGCCCATAGCGACAGGATAAGCAAAGCCTGGATAGACTCCACCGATTCATGCGGCCGTGGATTCATGATGATTTTCGCAATCGAGTCGTCGGTGAGCTTTTGCAGCAGCATTTTGGCTTGGATGCTAGCCGGGCTGTTGTCGAGATGGCGGGCAGCAACGGCACAACAGACCATGTCGAGAACAGCACTGTTAGTGTTCCGCGCAGGCTTGAAGTTAAGCCATGGAGTATATCGCTCGTCAAAGCTGCCGAAGTTAGCGGCAGACTCGAACGGAGACACGAGTTGACATACAGGTTTAAGAGCGAAAATATTTGTTCGTCAGGTAAGATTTTGGACAGAGTAAGCTCTCCAGGCGGGAAAACTAGTGGTGGTGGCGGAGGTATAGCGAGAGACGCGAATGGTAGCTTGCTGAGTTGTTGAATAGCAAGCATTGGGGCATACCAATCAATACCAGTCGCGTCGTCCACAAAGGACCACAAGCGGTCTGTGGGCGGTAAGTAGGAGGGGTATGCCACTGTTGCATTAAGAATGCTACTTCGCCCATCCGACATGGTCGTATTTATAGACGGAGGGGGTGGAGGAACGGGATTCATGGTTTCTTCATACGAGCATTGTAGAGCAAGCACTTGGCATCGATGACAGCGTACAGGCGTCTTTGTAGCGTCTGCTGCAGTTCAAGAAAAAGGCCAGACATTCAAGATAACACGCACCAAGTATTTCGCATCTTGTTTTGTGTTTTCGACACGAAACACAAGCTTGGATTGACTTTGGCTTCTTGGGGGCCGCACGAGAAGAGGAGGAGGGCTCGTCGGCAACTTCTCGGACGCGTTTCATGGTGCCCCAGAACCAAAAAAGTCGCGGTGGTCTATAAAGAGTGACGATAGATGATCGCCAGGTTTGCCGAGTTTGACAGATTAGACACTGCCACAGACCGTAGCCAACTCGCTGCGCGAGGATACAGCCTTCGATGTGTCCGCAGCGGCCTTCAGTACGACGAGAACCAACTAATTTTACAGCTTTTTGGACGGTGTAGTAGTCGGAGGATTGATGTGGTATGCATCACGTGATTATAATATTAGAATAAACACGCATAACAAGCCTGTAGTTATAACTTATCGCCCTCTTCCACGAGCTTTAGCTGACGGGGTCCCTTCTAAGAACCCCCCCAGCTCTAATGCATTTCTAGCAGCCTGGTTGATATGCTTAAACCTGTCTGGCCCTGGAAACACTACCGTAAGGAGGGAGCAGTCTCTGATAACAAACAGTCAAACCTAAATGGATGCCCCCGAAGTATCGGGTCACAACGACAAGCACATTTTCAACCTCCAAGATCTGAAGCAGGTGGGCGATACGCCCGCCAGCAGCAGTTTCGCCGTCATCGTCGTTGTCTGTACCAAGTGAATCAATAAACACACAGTTCGAGAACTGAGGCAGACCTTGATGAACGAGATTGCCCACTGTACAACGCCAGGCATTGATAACTGGGTGAGCTGCTCGCGCTATTCGACGATCTGACACCAAGTGGGAGAGTATGATGGGCACCTAGAATAATTATGTTGTCAACAACAACAATTCCAAGAAACTAAGGTACTTGAGCTGGACTGGATATGGCGCAGGCACGTCCCACGAAAGAGCTTTTCCGATCCGCTATCGGTTCAGCGACAAACATCTTTATGTCTTCTGGTAATGGCGCAACAACATCCACATTTGGTGGAGGTTGTGACTGGCGTTCGGGAGCCTGGGTATGTTGATGTGCAGCAGCATGATCGTCCGCTCTTTGCAGCTCTCCGATAGCATCTGCGCTCAGTCGTTCGTTATACCACACTGAGCATCGTTCCAGCACATTTTGTAAGCCGTCGAAGACACAGACTTCGCCTGCCCACTCTACCCCGCTTGTCGCCGAGATGAACGTGCGCAGTATCGCTCCAAACAAGGCGGAATCGGCCCCAAAGGCACCAATGTAGCGCGAGAGCAGCTGCAGCTGTGGGGCAGCCGATGCGGGATAGTTGTCGGGAAGCTATACGATGGCGTTAGAGCGGTTTAAGCTGGTCAGAAAACGCACGGATACAAGCACCCGGATAGAAACTTCTTCATGGGGGGCAGGGAGGCTGCGTCGTTGGTTACCCCGCCCTGAAGGAATAGGCGAGCGAAATTCACCTCAGGACGGCTTCGTATCGTGTCGAATGGTGAGGAGGAGGTGACGGGCTCGATGATTTCCACATCTGGATAGCGTTTTCCCCGTAGATAGACTGGAGCACTGAAAGTTTCAGGTTGGTGTTGGGAAATTCTGGATAATTCAGCGTACCCTCGATTTCTGACGCGACATCTTCGTTCTGTGGACGGAGAGATTGAATGAAGTCAATCACATCTGTTGAATCCATAGCCTGTTCTCGAATACTTCAAGTTACAAGGAACTTGGAAGAAGTGTGAAAATAGGTGAAAATACCGTTGGTCACACTGAGTGACACTCAGTTAAACTCCTTCAAGTTGGGTCTGAAGAAACGAAGAGTCTAGAGCCTAAGAGTCAGCACCTTGCGCGTTCAAGTTTGCCTTCATCTTATAAGCCTGCATATAGCTTGTTCTCATCTGAAGGAACGTGCCCCCTTGCCTGCGTTCAAGTTGCGCCATTTTCTTCATTGCTTCAAGTTAGACTCTGATCTCAGCAAAATGAGTATGACTCATCTGAAAGAACTTCTCTCTCGACTTTCATGTCGCCCACGCACTTGTCTTATGCCATCTACGACGCCTTTACCTCTCGACGCTTTGGTGGTAATCCCGCCTCAATCGTCGTCCTTGAGCGTGATCATGGCCTGACGGACGACACGTTACAACTCATTGGACGGTCTGTGACCCTTGTCTGGCTCTTCTTACTCTTGCCGAACCGCACAACAAGGGAGTTTCAGCTTTCAGAGACGGCATTTCTAGTGCCCCTTGAAGACCACACTAACGATGCTCCCCACTTCTCAATTCGTTGGTTTACTCCACGTCTGTTTTTGCTTTGATTCATCTTTGTTTTGGTGACAATATTGATACCACCATTATATCCTAGAACTCGAAGCACCCCTTTGCGGGCACGCGACTCTGGCTTCTGCAATTCATCTTCATGCAGCATTCCCCCACCTTCGGCCTCCCTATCGCTTCGAGTCACGCCTTTCGGGCCAGTTTACTGTGAGACTATTACCCTCCCATTGACCTGTACGAACTCGATTTCCCTGCGGAAATCCCGACCGAACTTCTGGATACGGAGTTGACAAATACACTCGAGAAAGCGCAGAGCTGGTTTCCTGATGTCTCACCTGATGCCCTCAAAAGCGTCTCAAAAACGGGCCGCGGATTTCTCGTCGAGGTCGCCGAGTCTGTTGACGTTGCAAACGTGCAGCCAGATCTATCCGCTATTGTGCCGATCGCTCAATTTTGTCTACCCTATCTAAATCTAATCTAGGCGCGAGACATCACTGGCCAATGTGTTATCACCGCACCACACACTCCAACGGACACCGACCCGTCTCGCGTTCATTCGCGTATGTTTGCTCCTGGGAGTGGAATCAATGAAGATCCAGTGACTGGCTCGGCGCATACCCGAATAGTTCCCTACTGGTTGTCAAAGTGGGGTGGCGCCAGTATATTGTGCCGTCAAGTCAGTGCACGCGTTGGGGAACTAGATGCTGTCTGGCTCAGAGATGCCGGACGCGTGCTACTCCGGGGCAAAGGTGTTAAAGTGGCCGAGGGGACATTGTTCATTTAGTAGCACACAGTGACAAAGTGTCTCTTGCGGGATCTCCAAGCCATCCTCCTCTTGCGCCTGTACCTTTTGAAGATGATTACCCATCCTATGGTCTTAATGTCGGCAGTACAGGCAAACGAATTATGTGGGTCTCCGCAGCTCAAGCTCCTCTAGATCTGTTTGCAGAAATCGCTGCTTGCAACCTTTGCAATGAGCGCTCAGATGCTAGTACAGATTTCCAACTTGAATTGAATAACTTGAATTGGGGTGTTGCCGCTTTGGAACGATCCTCTTCCTCGTCCCTAGTTACATAGCAACTGTTTTGGCGAACTAGGGATTTTGCTCCGGATCGACATGCGCGTTTGTCGATTGGACAGACCGCCAACACCTTCCTCCTAGCCGTGAGTCCTTATCTTGAAATTATATTCCGATCCAGGTTCCCATTCCACTCAACAAACTTCTCGCACCACATCTTTTCGTTGGGGACAAGAAACAATATCCCTCCATGGGCACCAGCTGCGAGAGTGGCAAGGCAGGACACTTTACACATCGTTTTCATCTAATCAGTGCAACAGATGGTGGTTGCCAGAGGAGGGGAATTTGAGTGTTTTGTGGTTGATGTGAATCATCTCGCAAGGCTGGTCAGGACTCAGACTCCGACTCATTACTGCAAAATGGAGTTTAGCAGTACTGATCACATACTCACATTTTTTTCGTTCCAACATTTCAAGTTCTTCATAGATCATACACAAGTTCCCCGCTCTCTAGAAGTCTAGTACCTCCGGTTTTGAATGGGTCACCTTGCATTGTTTGCGCTTTTTGTTTATTGTCCTCTGAGACGTTGGTGGATACCACGAGCAAAAGTCAGAGATGGTCACCGAGTGAGATAATCCGAGTCGGTTTGCACCAGTGCCGGTGGTGACTATAATTTGGTGAGCTAGCAGCGGGTGGAAGGTCGTCACTCGTCGATGACTGCTCGCCGTTGCTAGTCTTTGCCCAGCGCCCAACAGGTCTCTGAATCCGTCCATGACGCAACATGTATTCGATATAAGCCACTTCTCCGCAACGCTGTTCAAATATAGTTTTTCGGTCATGCTTCTGTCCCTGCTCCATCGCTTGCCTGTACCTATTTTCGAAGGATCAGGAAATAGTGTCGACCAACAGAAGCTACGCACCTCTCCTGATAGCGGGCCCGATATTGTCGCGCCAGCTTCGCCGCCTGTTGCTGCACTTCAAGAGGCTTCTTCTTCAGGTCGGCGCGTTTCCTGGGAGGAATGTGAGTATTACCGGCGCAGGCGACTGTGGCTGACTCACTGGGCCATGTGAATACGCGCCTTCTCGTTGCGAATCTTGCGACGCTGTTTGCTTCGAGGAAAGTGAGCGGAAAGGGAGGAGTGGTCGGGATGGTACGGCTACATGAGATCATAGTCTAAAGGCCGTAGTGCGCGCGGGCGAATAGGAGGCGAAATTGGTGTTGAGGAAGACATTTTTTTGCCAGTGGTGGTCAAGGAAGAGGAAAAGGGCCATCTGGCTTTATGTAATCGCCAGAATTGTTGGTTAGTCTCGTCTCTTGTCGCAGATGTTGCAGCCGGTGATCGGTACTTAGCGATCCCTGCTGTCGACGACAGAGATTCGAAGGAGGAGCATTTTCTTGTCGATGAGAGTGGCGGTAGAGACGGCCTAGAGGCAGAGTTGATTGCGAGAGGAGGAAGGCCGCCTGGGATTGTCATGTACTACTTAACTGATATCACAAGTCTGCGAGCAACACTTGCAAGTTTCCAACTCTAGTCTCTGGATTTATGCAAGAACGGGTGTGGTTGTAACACAGTTTCGAGTCCACGTGACCTTTATTTCCCCTTCTCCCTCCTCCCACATCCTCCAGATCCAGAAATGCAACTTGAAGATTTAGGGCTCGACGTCCTACATTACATATGTAGCCAGCTGAGCCCACAATGTCTGATATCCTTGCGCCAGGTATCTCATCGCCGTTTTTTTTCCAAAACCTTCTCATCTTGTTGACAGTCAAACCTTTGTATCAGGTCTCCCGACTATTCGGTACCATTACCCGCAGCCGCTCCCTTTGGATGAATCTACTTTGGGACGTCATTAAAGAAGGCGCTATCCTCCCCAAATACTTGCGCGAGCCCCGCCAACTATCGACACCTCTCATTGAGCAACTAGTCCGTCGTTTGACGACATTGATTCCTAAATGGCACACCACTTGGGAGCTCAGCTATCCAACGACAATGGCCAGACTCGACATTCCACTCTCTATCACCTGGCTTCGTCTTGTCGCGGGAAATTGGCTTTTTGTCGCAGCATCGAACGATTTCGAGAGTCAAATCATCTGTTATAATCTTTCCGGTGGTGGTGACACAAGTCGAGCCTACCTACCGGAACGCGTTAGAACAGGGAAAGCAGAAATGAAGGATGGTCAAGTCTTCATAGCACTTGGATTGGGTCCGGAGTGTGTTTCTCGTTTTGTTGATCATGAAGTTGAACCTGACCTGTCCCCAGACTACCAGCCGTTCGAATCCTTACTTTGAACAAGAAAAATCGTTTCGTCGAGCTAGCATGTCTAGAAGGTTCCACCCATGTCTTGTTTTTTGACGGTGATATCGTCGGGTGCGCAGTTCAGGACGGACTCAACATACCGCATCTTTATGATTGGAAACAGCACATGGTCATCGAAGTCTCTCCACCTCCGGGTGGCTTGGATATTCCTTCTCGTAGAGTGAATTCCCTTTTTGGTTTCCTTCCGCGATTTCCTGACCATTCTCGCTCAGAGTGTGCCGCATTTTATGACCATATGGAACAATGAAATGGTTATTATTCGCGTGGATTGTATAGAACTCTACAGTATGCCCTTGCCGTCAACCAAATCCGAAGTCATCACTTTCGTTGAGATAATCGAAACTTCACCAATTTGGGAGGTCGACATCTGCTCGCCAGCGCAAGCAGAACCTGCGGCATTGCATCTCGTTGTGATATCTCCTGATGGCATCGAGCTGATCGTTCTTCGTCAATTGGAATCCAGGACACAACTCGAACGTTCGCTTCTCGTTGTGACCCCACCTTTACCCGAGCCGTTTGATCAAGAGGAATACCTTGGGCCTGAGGAGGATTATCCATTTCTCTTCGGCCTCCATGTCGGTGCTTCTGGTCGACGAATGATTTGGGTTTCTGCCGTCGAGGCGTCTGTCCGCTCTCGTCGGCATCCTCTGCGCTTACTCCAAGCCCCTATAACGTTCACTGAACTAGACTACACCCAACAAATGTCTACTTTCTTCGACGACTCTGATCCTGCATTGTGGGGTGCTGCTTGCATGGATTTTGATGATGCTCTTGGACTGGTGGTTATCGGCAACACATTCGGAGAATTGTCCGTGTTCGACTACGGAGCAGACCGTCCTACAAAGTATGACCGATTGTCAATTGACCTTGTCGATGTTCTGGATCCAGATCCTTTGCTTCTCCCTTTAGTAAGAACATTCCGTTTTATTCAGTCATAATATACCGAACCTTGCCAGGAGAAAATCCCCGTTGGCCTTCACCCGCCTCAAGTAAATCCCATTGAAAAGCTATCCGACCGTTGTGCATTGTTCGAATGGGGGAAATTTGACATCGGTCTGAGCCACATGTGGACGTTGGCCGACTATGCTCATGGCAAGCACCATTTCTCGGGCCAAGATCTTCTTCTTGGCACTCCCTGCGACGATGCCTGGCTCCTAGAACATGCATATGGCTTCCCTGGTCCGGTTATCGTCCAAGCCTATAGTTTGAACGAAGAGGCCCCTCGCGAGGACATTATGTTTCGCATTGGGAGCAGATACTTCTGCCGTCTTGGACTTGTTTCGAAGGATTTCTTCTCCTGGCCGCTGGACGAAACAGAGTACTGGACATCTTATGACTTCCAAGGCACTTCTGACCCACATCCTCCCACCTGTCCCACTGCATTGACTGTTCGGTTTTTCTTTGTGCAGTTTTATATCAGGGAGACCGAGAGACGTGATCGTTGGGAAGACTTACTTGAACGCGGTGGTCAACCTCCCGTGGGGGGATGCCCAAGATTTCGTTACATTCTGTAGCATCGATATCTGCTAACGCGCCTTTTTTACGATTCCCACATATGGTGTACATATATAAGCCTCAAGTGTATGAAAGCCAGCACGAACGGTGGACTCGCCCAATTAAGACTTTTTGAAGTACTCTACATGGAACCACCTGCCGTCTGAGGAGCGTTTGCCCCGCTTCGACCTAACGACAGAGGCATCATCAGTCGTGGCCTTGGTTTGGGGCTTTCTAGCAGCAGATCGGCCGTCGCTGCTAGTTGCCCATGGGTCCACCGTCATATCAATCCGAAAAAGCCAGGCATTCAAACTGCAAGCATGTTGGTTGTGGTGAGCCTTCGGACCATTCACCTACCTGAGTGACTGAATGTCCTGTTCAAACCGCAGTGAGAATGGCAGTTTATCGTTGTGAAGTGTTTGTACATCCATTGGCGTAACTGCCATTGAAGAAGAACAAGGAGTCTGCTATGCATAAGGGAACACCAATGTGGAGTTCTTCATACCACTCACATCCAATTCTCCTTTGACGAGGTCGGAGACGGTGTAGTAGGATATCACCCTATATTCAGTCTCGGCGACATGCATTGTGATTGCCTAGGAGTTTCAATTGTTTCAATTAATGCCATGAGATAAAAGAGACAGACCTTTTTAATCAAGCCATTGGGCTTGAAGTCCTTACTTGCTTTTGGAGGGATATCTCGACTCGGATCACGATCTAGTTCGTGATAAAACTGATACTTGTTAGGTGGTCGAGTTTATCCAAAGCTTGCGGTACATACCAGAAAGTTTCCGATAGCGCGTGAAGTCGACCATGTCAGTCCATCTATAGGAATCATAAAAACGCAGGCCTGGTCAAATGAGAGGGAGAGAAAGCTGACCCATCCACCGCTTGATGTTACTTTCCTCCGGGCTGAAGATAAATATTGCACCACTCTTGACAAATGCCTTGCACTGCACTTTGTTGAGTTGTTGGGAAATATATGGAACCCTTCCTCCTCGAGCAGCATGAATCAGGGTCAAGGCATCAAGGGTTGTCCTAACGCTTCCAAAACAAGGACCAGATGGGTTGGACATGATCTTTTGGACCTTGCAAGCCAGTAAGTGGTGGTCTTAAGCAAGTCCTAACTTGAAGCTTATAAGACATGTGCGCAAGGTCATGGGCGACGGCAGAATGAACATCAATGGGTAACCCGAGCCGGCGTGACGTGTCGCGTCTACAAGTGCCTTAACCTCTCTTCGAGCTTTCAAGTTGTCATGGCCATCGCGACCAATGCTAAACCACGACATCCTTTTCCTTGTTTTCCTCGAGCTGCCGATTGGAGACATTGGGCGCATCCGCCAGGTCCGTCCAATTCGCTGCGAAGCCTATGACTTAGTTGTAAGGTTTGCCGCATCTTCAACTCTGTAACGCGCACGCGCTCTTTGTGGATAACCCTCCTCAATCGGCTCCTGGATTCAGGCGCTGTTATCCCCCAGTACCTTGGCAAACTCGAAACTCTCCCAGTATCAACTGTGGAACATCTTGTCCGCCGTTTAACCCATGACGCCGAAACTAATCCAGAAGACACATATCCCGCCACCCTTTTGCAACTCCGTCTAACGCTCTCCGTGACATGGCTTCGGCTTGTTGCAGGCAACTGGCTGTTTGTCGCAGCGTCAAACGAATTCGAGAGCAACCTATACTGTTATGACCTCTCAGTGGGTGGCAAAACATCTGCGTGCCTACCTGGACGAGTCAAAACTGGAAAAGCTGAGATACAGAATGGAGAAATCGTCTTAGCTCTGGGTCTCGGGCCTGAGTACGTTTACCTCTGTGACTTATTGCCCGACTAAAGTTGTCCAGAGTTCAAATGGTGCTTGTCGTGACTCTCCGGAAACATGAGGGAAGCGATGTTCTTTGCGAGCTTGCTCGGCTTGAGAGCTCCTCGCATGTCCTGATGCTTTCTGGCGACATCATTGGTTGCGCTGTGCGAGATGGGGTCAACACACCTCATCTCTATTGTTGGAGAGAGGACAAAATCATCGACGTTCCTCCCCCTCCTGGTGGTCTCGACGTTCCAGCTCGAAGAGTCAGCTCTTTCTAAAACTCCAGAAAAATCTTCTTACACAACCAACAGAGCGTGCCCCACTCAATTCTAACGTGGAAAGACAACTTGGTCATCGTTCGTTCTCATTGTCTCGAGTTGTACGATATGCATCTCGAATCAGTATCGTTCTCCAAGATTGTCGAGACGTCACCTATTTTCGAGGTCCAAGTGTATTCCTCAAGCCCAGAGTCTCTCAAACTATTCGTGGTTTCGGGAAAGGGAATTGACATGCTCTCTCTTATTTGTCATCCTGATGAAACCATCCATGTCGAACGATATACGCTTATTCACCCACCAACACCCCCACCCCAACCGGAAAACGAGTTTGGATATGAATTTGAGCCCATAAGTCACCCCCTACTCTATGGACTCTGTGTCGGGGCGTCATCTCAGCGAATACTTTGGATCTCGGCAGCCGACGCATCCGTTAGAAGCTATCGTTACCCCCTTCACATATCATCAAGGCTTATAACACATCCACCCGGGGATGACACAGAACAATTATTGTTCGTTGATTTTGAGGACCCAGACGCTCCCGCTTTGTATGGCGTCCCTGCCATCGATTTCGACGATGTGCTGGGGCTCGTGGCTATTGGGAACTGTTTTGGCGAATTGTCTGTGTTGGATTTTTCAACAACCAAAAATGCAGTTCAGCATCCTCGCTTGACAGCCGATTTCGCTGTCCAACCCAGTGTCCCAAAACTTCTTCCTTCAGTAAGTCTATACCGTATCGCGACGAGCCCACGCTGAATTCCATGTAGGCCTCCGTTTACTCGAACCCCGGAACTGAAACAACAGGCTGCCGGCCCAATTGGGGTAACGATGGTCTCACTTTCGATGCTGCTTGGAAAGCACCGAGCGCTTGCTCGTGGTTCGGCGCACATCATGCATGGGACGGTACTCCCTCTTGCCTCGCTTGGGTGATAGAATATGCTTATGGCTTTCCCGGCGAGGCCCTTCCTCAAGGATATAAAGACGACGATGACGGCGACAGTGGTCATCATACTGTCATTTTCCGAATTGGGCAGCGATACTTTTATTTCCGCAACTACGAAGACCCGATACTCTTCTCTTGGCCGCTTGGTAGAAGAACCAACCTAGACTTGTCGTCGCCCAATAAAGACGACACTATTGACGCGCAATTTCCAACGAGTGAAACGGCCCAGGTATCACGTGATATGTACGAATGGTTTCTCTTGCGTGAAAAACATGGCGATGGGTTTGCTCGACGTAACCGCTGGCAGGAACTTGAGGCTCGGGGTGGTCGGCCGCTGCGTAGATATTTGGATGAGTAATCGCAGTACCGTGTCATCTACGTAGGGGAACTTTTTTGCTAGGAAAAACCACCACGTGGATGATTATGTCAGACCACGCTTGGTTTACGCCAATAAGTAGACAACGAGCAAAGGCCATGTCATGCTCAACGACGATGTCCTCGCGCTTGTATGCCTGAATCTCACTCCCAAAGAAATCTCCTGTGTTCGTCAGGTGTGCTATCTATGTATTTCTTTTTCCCGAATCGGACTAAAACTATACTTTGGGAGGTTTGTCGTGCCTTTAACTATGTTACACGGGCTCGGTCACTCTGGTTAACACTTCTACGCGACCTATTCGCTGAAGGCGCCATTATTCCGCATTTTCTACCGAAACTGGAACAGCTCGACGCATCAACACTCGAGCGTCTTGTTTTTCGGTTGAGCCCTGAACTCGAAGAACCGGAAAGAGGATACCCCGCCACCCTTGCGATATTTCATCTAACACTTTCGGTGACTTGGGTTCGACTCATTGCGGGAAACTGGCTGTTTGTCGCGGCTTCGAACGAATTCGAAAGCAAGTTGTCTTGTTACGACCTTTCCGACCGTTCTGCAAGTGGCACAGCCAATGCTTACCTACCTGGACGGGTGAAGACAGGCAACGTCGAGATTCAAAATGGCGAGATAGTTTTAGCTCTGGGACTTGGATCTCAGTATGTGGCCATGCACAATGTGGAGTGTATAGCTGATCATCCAGAGTTGAAGCAGTTTTCGTGGTTACCCTTCGCAAACACAAACGGAAGAATGTTCTTTGCGAGCTTGCTCGTTTAGAGGGCTCCTCGCATGTGTTGATGCTTTCTGGCGACCTGATTGGCTGTGCTATGCGAGATGGCGTCAGCATCCCTCATCTATACCGTTGGAAAGACAACACAATTATCGACATCGCTCTGCCTCCTGGTGGTCTTGATGTTCCTGCTCGCAGGGTGAGCTCCGTTTCCTGATTCATGCTTTGGTTTGACTTGAATTCACAGAGCGTGCCTCACTTCATTACGATCTGGGAAAAAACTCTGGTCATTGTTCGCTCCCGATGCATCGAGCTTTATGATGTCGGACTTGGACTGCGAACCATATCGTTTCGGAAAATCATCGAAACCTCCTCTATTTCCGAAGTCGAGCTGTACTCGCCAGAGTCAAGTCGATCGGCGTCTCTGCAATTAATCGCACTCTCCGCATCAGGAATCGACATGATCTCGCTGGACTGCCTCGAAGATGACGATGTCCACATTGAACGCTATAACCTTGTCGATCTCCCTCCCGTTCCACCTGAACCTGAACCGGAAGATGACTTTGGGTTCATACTAGTCTCTTCAATAAACTACCCACTGCTCTATGGGTTGCGCGTTGGGGCTTCGTCCATGCGAATGCTCTGGTTTTCAGCAGCCGAAGCAAGCTTGGGGCTGCTGCAAATCTTTAGTAAACAGATATCACCCATTCAGGGCGACAGTAACGTTCTGTTGCTCACAGACCTCGACGACCCGAAGGCGCCTGCGTTATATGGTCTTTCTGTCACCGACTTTGATGATGTGTTGGGGCTTGTTGTTGTTGGAAATTGCTTCGGAGAAGTCGCTGTATTCGACTTGACTGCGAACACGGATTCAGTCAGGTATCCTCGTTTGACCCCTGACCTTGCTGTACGGCCCGGTCCTCTTCCGCAATTACTAGCGTCGGTATGTCTCCTTAGTTAGAAGCAGATCGTAATGCTCAATTTCTTAGGATATCATAAACCTAACCACCGACGAGTGCGACCCTTCATTGAGCCACCACGCATTGAATTGGTGTCAAGATCGCCTTGACCTAAGCCCTCACTGGGATACAACAAATCTTGCTGATGTTCCCTTCAATGTTTGGATGTGGCATAATGTCCCTTGCGATCATGCCTGGTTGGTTGAACATCTCCATGGCTTTCCTGGTGATGTGCTTTTGCAAGCGAGACACGAGGATTTAGGTGACGAGACTGAATGCCTGATCTTTAGAGTTGGGAGGCGATATCTGCTCTACTACAATGAGGAAGAGCCGCGATTCTTCTCCTGGCCACTTGGTACGACGAAGCTCGAAGGGCCACTGCCCCCCGACTATGATGCCCCTTCGGCACAGATTCCTACTTGCGATACGGCACGAACAGCTTCAATAATGTGGCGACGGTTTCAGTGTGACGAGGAAGGTAGCACTTATTTCCCGCGACGCAACCGCTGGCAGGAGCTGCGGGAGCGGGGAGGTCGACCTCCATGTGGTGTTTGATAAAATTTTTGCGAGTCAATGGTATCATTCATTGGAATGTTAGCGTTGCAAGGCCTGCGTTATCCAGGAAATTGAATATATGAAGTACCTTTAAAGATGCAAATGCAAGTATCTTGGGGAGGAAAGAAGAATAAGCAGGCAAATGTCTGCATTAGGATCAAATCTAGCCTAGTACAAAGGTAGAGCTCGTCTCGTCTCAGAGACAACTAAATATAGTACAATGGTTCGTGACTGATATTACTAGTGCGGGCCTGAATACTCTCTCCCCATCTCAAAGACACAAGTCGAACAAGGTATCGAATGGCGATCATTCGTGCAGTCCGTGTCTACATCTGGGTTGGTTTCCGACTGTTCGCTGGCACCAAGGTCGGCCTGGAGTGGTTTAATAATCCAATGACATCTTCATAACAAGGTAAGAGACAATGGGCCAGAGCTTACAGAAGCACTCACTCGGTTGTTGAACAAGGACTGACAACCAGGTAGTCAACTTCGTCGCAGGTTCCGAAAGTCGCCTTGCTCCGGGTTCCTGCGGCAGCTGGGCGACCATTAAAATATGTCTCGCGGACAATCCGAGCCCAGTTGGCAAAAGCAGCGAGCCGGTTTGTGTGTATCTGATGCTCAGTCTGCCAATCGAAATCACCTGAAGGAGGCAAAATCGGCTCTGCGAGCGAGATGATGTATCCTACGAGGATTTAGTCCGGTATTCGTCATTCGAGGAAGAGACCGAAGGGCACAAACCGAGTCCAGCCAAAAAATCGTCGATAGTGATCTTCAATCCAAAAGTATTGACGGTGTCGACGAAGGGCACTTCTTCGGAATTTGAAGTGGGATCCGAGGAATGTGCTAGCAAGCCTTGAGCACTGGCGAGACATTAGTTTTCACGATACAATAACTTGAAAGGCACCGACGCACATGCGTTGGTCCATGAAACGACGAAGGAGTTGTCGTTCTGTGGGGAAATTTGCGTTGTGATCCAGATGGTGGTGGATGTAGTCTACAATCTGCAACACAAATTAGAATTTCATAACTGCTATTGGCGAGAAATCTGTTGACCTCAGGAGCGGAGGGCCCACGATTCTGGTCGATGGATATGATGTTCGGCGTAGTCATCGGCAGGAGCTGGTGCTAAGAATTCAGCGAGAGGATACGAGTCGGTCGAATGGCGATAACCAAACGGCCAACTGATGTTTTAACATCGTAACCATAACCCGGGCCTCCGAGTCAGAGTCAGAGGAGGGGAAATGAACCTGCGAACGGCAAGTCCAGAAAGAAGACAAGGCTTTCTGCTGTTGAACTTCCTCGCCGGCAGGACAATGCGAGTTATTGTCTGCCAGTGTCGTACTTCCGCGATTGGTATGCGCCGTGCCGTATTTTCAGTACAACGCGACTAGCGCAAGGCAAGGAGCAGAAGCGCGGCGGGTTCTCTGATGGATCAGCGAAGACATTGTACTTGGACATCGAAGCAGTGCTGGGCCGTGGCAGTCAATGTTCGTGTGAATAGATGAAGATTGAGTCAGTGTCTCTTCTTTAGGGGTCGATAAGTAGGCAAATTGCGAGCTTTGGTGACTAGCTGGAGTTTCTGTCTTGATTGCCCTGCTGGTCCATTAGGTTACAGCCGAAGAAACCGGGAAGGATAGAAAAGTTGTCTGACTCCGCTCCTCATCGCTTCCCACACCTAAACGGGCCCAGTTATTTTGATCATATACGCACACACGACAACATTGTCCCAGTCAGTGCCGCCGTCCGTATGCCGACGAGAACAAGGGTTGAATTAAAAGCCTCCGTTCGAACATTGCCAATGAAGACATAGACCATCAATCTCTGGACCCACAGTGCTGTCAAACTATATTCTCGACGAAAACAAAGCGTGTTGGCAGTTCAGTTGATTGCGATGGAAGCTTTACAAGGGCGTGTTCTTTGTCGCCCGCCATAGACAGCAGAAACATCGGGGAGTTTCAGAGCCTCGTGCATCGTTCAGAAAATAGGGTCTCAACAGCATCCAAGACCATCTGTCGATAGAACAATGAGACGTGTCGTTCATTTGATACAGCCTACACATTATCACAAAAGTTTTTTACGGCCTAGTGCAAGAAGGGAATAACGATTCTGCGTTCTTTGGGGTAGCTATCTCGAAACTTGTTGAGATACCACAGGTGACCCCGATAGGCGCGCGGGTACATGAGGATGATTTCCGCAAAGAAGAATATCCACGGCGGAGAGAGGAGCGGGAAGAAAGCGGCAGCGGGGCCCGTCAGTGCTGTTTTCCACGTCGCTGGCTGGAGAATGGCACGTGACCCCGAAACGGCAGCATTGAGCAGACGGGGGTCTGCAGCGATCGCAAAGCCCAGCCACTCGATCCATTCGCAGAAGTAGTTGGGGTAGGAGATCCATTGATAGAGAAGACCATAGGGAATCGCGTAGTGCTCCCCGACACTCTTGCTCTCACCATTCGTCTTGCCGTTGGCATGACCATTTGTCCTCTTCCCATTACCATTAGCATGACCATTTGTATGGCCGTTCGATTGTCCATTAGTCGCGGTTCCGTTTACAGTTCCATTGCTCTCCTTGGCCTTTCCCTTGTTATTCGACTTGCGTCGGAGATTAAGCAGTAACTTGTCGTGGACAACATTTCCAACGAAGCCCCAAGCCCACAACACGAGACCAACCCAAAAGCTCGTGCGAGAAAAGGCCGAATATTGCGGGGCATCTGGTGATGAGAAAAACGCGAGGGAGCCGCTGCATGTGTTGAAGACCACCGCAATAGCAGGCGTGATTAGATGGCTTTGGAACGCGATGGGGTGCGAAGTGGTTGAGGTAGTGGATAAGATAGGCACCGACAAGAAGGCTGATGGGGCTGCCCAGCGTTACGGAGGGTATCACGCCACCAGAAAGCGGCGCATTGAAGAATGTATACAAGAAGAAGGTCGGAGAGACGAGCTCCATAAGTAACAATCTACGCCTTGATGCCTTTTCGCGGTCAGACAAGTGACACACAGGGTGAAGAAAGCGCGAACCATCCACCAAAAACATGCCGTGGAAGAAACTGCCCACAGCGGGAGTGAAGCAGCCAAACGGGCCACGGCGCATCAATGAAAAAAGTTACTGGCCCAACGAGAAAATTGCCCAGATTCCGCGCGTCTAACAATTATGTAATTGAGCGGAAATTTTTCCTTGCGGACTACGCACTGTTGTAGAGCCCTACGAGCTGCTCTGTGGAGAGGCCATACATGGTGGTAGTACTAGTACGATTTCCATAAAATCAGTCAGTATGTCACGGTGGTGACATACCCATGACATACCCATTCATGACGTCGACGACCAAAATGCACCTGGCACAAATATAACCGCCTCTTCGCGAGGCCCAAATATCGATCCCCTGCCAGTGATAACGGCACCCATGAGAACCTGTTGACTTGAGGTACTTTTCACCTCCTTCTTATTATATGTCATACGGCTCATCTAGGAGATGTCAGTAGTGTTTGCCAGGTTCGTCTCACAAATTTGAGCACCACACATGGTCATCTGTACCATCCCCCCATATCTTGGAAGGCCTGAACAGCTTGGCATATCAACTCTGGAGCCCCTCATTGTGTGAACCAGAAACAACTGAATGCACCTACCCAGCCGCTCTCTCAAGATTGCACTTTACGCTTTCTATAACTTGGCTTTGGCTTATTGTGGGAAACTGGCTGCTTCTCGCTTCGTCCAATGACGACGGCAAGCTGTGCTCGGACCTCAATCTTCGACCCTTCACAGCGTACTAGTAGCATTCCTGGACGAATTCAAACGAGAAAGCATGCAAACAGAACCTCTGAGAGATCATTTGTCACCGTGGTGGGTTTTGGGTATGAGTTCATTCATCTCTACCATTGCGTGACTCAAGAAATGCCAAGTGTAGAAATGGTGCTCGTTATTACTACTTGCAGGAATGAAGGGAACAACGCTCTTTACGCAGGGTTCTTCCAAGATGCCCCCGCATTAAATATACTACACGGTATCCCTGTCATGGACTTCGACGATGCACTAGGGCTAATCGGCATTGACAACTGTTTTAGTGAAGTCATCGGCTTGGATTATCCATCAACCAAACCGTTAACTCGTCTTCGTTTCACTCTCGAGTCTCGATCTAGCTATCCGGATTCCGGCCTTGAACCCTTCCCCTTGTACGGTTGCACCATTTCCAACAAAAATACCTCATACTTGATCTTGCACACCCAGTGGCTAGCCGCTACTGGGATCAACACGAAACCTGGATCCGTTGTGGCCTAAAGACGCTGCCAGCGCACAGTTTCCTACCTGTCAAACGGCTTACACAATCAAGTCAGTGTACGAGCGGTTTGGACTTTTCGAAACAGGAGGGAATGTTTTTGCTCAACGTGATAGTTGACAGGAACTGAAGGCTCGGGGATGTTGACCGGGTTGAATTCCATGCGATATACAATGTACATGCCGAGAGAGATAATACCCTGTTCGTGTCACTTGGCGAACTAGTAAGCGCCTCAGCCTGAGTGTGCTTGCATCACCCCGCCATACCGCTCATAACTTCGTAAACAACCACAGCCCCTTCGCGACTTGGACTCTCAACCTACAACCGCTCAACCCACCAAGGCACTTTACCTCTGTCCCCGCAGCGAGATGAACGTATTGATAGCTCAACGAGAAAAAGAGAAGTATATGTTTTATATAATAGACCAAACAGTCGTAGATTCACTCGTATGGAAGTACATGATTTTTGAATTCTTTAGAGGTTTTGTTCATTCAAAGAAGGCCCCAGGCGGCTTTCAGCTTCTGCTGAAACTCCAAGGTGTCGCTCGGGACAAGATTGCGGACATCTTTGCACCATTGGTAATGACTGGGCCCGTCCTCTTTCGCATGGTCGCGGCAACAATACTTGGCTTGCAGTCGATTAGGGACAGTCTCGCATTTCTTGCATTTCACGACACCCCCGCCGAGTCGTTGCGTACAGCGAGGCAGCCAACAGACGTTATAATAGCCGCACATGCGTGCGTGTTGAGCGCGATGAGCCGATTTGCATGGAGCGCAGCAGTATGCGACATATTGGCAGACACAGGCGAAGGTTTCGACGTTCGGCCGGACTTGGCAATTGATACAGCGCTGGCTGGCCGTAGTTGGATGACGGGCATTCAGGTCCGGCCAGGAGCCAGTTGGTTGTTGCGTCGCGCGGTCGTAATAGGTGAACGCCTGGGCCATTCCTCCCCGATAGCTCGGGTCTGTTCGCATCGCGTTGTTTATGATACGGAACATTGCCTTGCAGTTGTCACAAGGTCCTCTCAGACAATCTTCGAAAGCCACCGCGTTATACTCGGAGGTGAGTTTCGTCTTGGTGCTTGCCTTGCGGATGTCAACAGCGAGACCATATACTGTGACGGGATCCACCGCGCTGGTAGGAAGAACACTGCATGGAGCTGAGAATGTGGGAAATTCATTTCTGGTGGACGTACTAGCAAAGCATCGAAATTTCACAGCAGTGGCCATTGTCCGAGTTTTTGTTTTCGAAATACAGAGGACCGTGTTCAGGGTGGACACCAAAAAGGGAGTTCTGATTCTCTTTTGCCGGAACTTGATATGCAGCTGAGAGAGCACGGTTATATTCGGATGGGCGAGTTGGAAACAGGGCCGAGATAATAAGGCTGGAGCCGGAATTTGATGGAGAGTTTCCGCGATAGCCAATGATAGCGGTTGCTGGGGCTGCATCGTCAGAATACATGGGCTTCAACACTGCAATCCATCGAATATAGTAAGCGAGGATTTTCTTGTAAGCATCGCGTGTCTCAATGGAGTCGATAGAAGAACCAGATTTGAAGTCTCTGAGCTCGCATTCCGAGATTATGAATCCTAAATGTTTATTGGCATGGAGAATATGCGGCTGAGGACAACCTGAACTGACCGAGAGCAGCGTAAAAATCGAATATTTTGAAGCGGCGTCCGTCTGGGCTTTCCACCTCGACGCACTCTAGTTCCTTTTCAGTCTTCCCATAAGCCGGCAAATACCGCCGTATAGTTCGTGCACTCCTGGTGTTCGTTAGCACCCGGAGATTGGATTCAAGTTGAAGGAAGGACGCACATGCAATACTGGATGAAGTAACGGAGGTGCACTTTGTTTTTCGGCAAGTGCGATAGGAACGGAGTCTGGCCAAGGTGATAATTGATGTAATAGTGAATCTGTTCGAAATTGAGAACAATCCACCAGCAGTGAAAATTCTTCACCTCATTGATGGACGGCGCGTAGTTATGGTGAATGGAGATCGGCTCTAGCGGTTTGAATTGGGGGGGTGGCTCTAGCAGGGGTGGTGGAGTAGGGTCAGAGAAACCAGGTCCACGGTTAGCGTAAGCCTGAAAGCCTGAGTATTGTGACATGAACAGGGAGTTGGGATGTCCGAGTTAGTGACGAGTTAGCGAAGTCATTGGCAAGGAGGAGGCAATTTTATAGTATTCGCAGGCTTACATAGGCTGTAATGGATTATTCCGAGGGCAGGGACTCGATCGGCAAGAGTCAGTCGAGGAAAGAGTCCATCTCCAGATCTTCTGAAGGCGGATAGATGGGAGCAAAGATCTGAGATTTGCAGACAACTACGAACAAGCGCTTTGGGAAGTGCATATCGCTGGCGCTGGTGATGCTGGGAACTTGAATGTCATGCCATGTGCACAGACTTTGACTCTCAGCGATGAAATAGCAGGAAGTTGCGACCACGGCAGCCACGACGGAAAATGACTCGGATTGGATTGGACACTCTTGGACAGCACAGTCTGACTGGTGAACGCCGGAGTTTCAGATGACTCTCATCCAAACGAGTTGCGGAAGGTTATTGACAAGTTGGATCGTCTGGGTCAGAGACAGAGCAAGAGTAACTTGAATGCACAGTGGTGCATAGCCAATTCAAGTTGAGGAAGACTACTTATGACTGTCAGCAACGTTATGTAAATCGTGACCGGCGGCCGAAGTTATCATTAACGCAGTGGAACAGAGTGGACGGGTTACGCTTTACGGGCTGACACCCACCGCACAAGCAGCCCTTGCCCACAGAATATGAATGTGATTCCATCGGAAGAAAAGAAAAACAAAAAAGGGAAGTATATAAATGCAGATACACAAAAAAAGAAGCACGTGACGACATCTATCAGTATGCTGAACCACGATGTGCTCTTCTTGGTATTCCTAGAGCTCTCCATACGCGACACTCGCTGCGTGCGACAGGTGTGTTGCGCCATTACACTTGACGCGCGTTCTAACAGACATACGAGGTTTGTCGAAGTTTTAACCTTGTTACCCATACGCGGTCGCTCTGGTTGACGCGTCTGCGTCGTTTAATTGCGAACAAAGTGCCTGTTCCATGTTATGTGGAGAACTACGAACAACTAGATACCTCTACCCTCGAATATCTTGTTCACCGAATGACCTTCGAGCCAACGAATGGTGAGGGAACCTATCCAGCGACACTCGCAAAGTTCAACCTCGCGCTTTCGGTAACCTGGCTCCGACTGGTTGCGGGTAACTGGCTGTTTGTTGCAGCCTCCAACAACTGCGAGAGCAAATTGTCGTGTTACGACCTCTCTGATCCTTCAACAAGTGGCACGGCGCATGTCTACCTTCCGAGTCGTGTTACAACTGGGAAAGCCGAGATACAAAACGGAGAAATCATTGTAGCGCTGGGCCTCGAGTGCGTCTACTCCTCCAACTTCTAATTGCGTGGCTAAAAAGTCGTTAGAGCCCAGATCGTCCTTATCGTCACTCTCAGCAAGCACAATGACAACAATGTCATACGCGAGCTTGCTCGGTTGGAACGGTCTTCGCATGTGTTGATGCTTTCTGGAGCTTTTGTGGGCTGTGGAGCACGAGATGGGGTCAATGTGCCACATTTATATCGTTGGAGGGACGACACGATTCTTGCCATCGAACCACCCCCCGGTGGACTTGATGTTCCTTCTCGCAGGGTACGTGTTATTGGTTTCCTCCTCACCGGTTGACCGACTTTATAGAGCGTACCACACTCCATGGTAACTTGGGGAACTAAATTGATCATTGTCCGCTCGCATTGCATCGAGCTGTATGACATGGTTCAGCAGACCATCTCCTTCTCAAGCATCATTGAAACCTCTTCCATCTCTGAAGTTGCTGCCTGCCCTTCGTCATCAAACTTGTCGCATCCACTCCAACTCGTCGCGCTTTCCGCTCAGGGAATCGATGTGATCTCACTCACTTCTGGCCACAAGGGTGAGGTCAGTCTTACTCGCGAAACCCTCGTCCAGCCTCCCGTCCCGCCACGCATACCGGAATCAGAATTTTTTTCGGGGCAACCAGAGATCGAGCATCCGTTAATGTATGGCTTATGCGTTGGCGCCTCCTGTCAGCGAATGCTTTGGATCTCAGCGGGAAATGCTGCAGTTCGGTTTTTCCGGCACCCACTCCAAATATTTCAAAGGTCTATAGAGCCACATCCCGATGAACCCTCGAGCGGTATTGCCATATTTGGGGATCTCGAAGACCCGGATACTCCCGCCTTGTATGGCCTCGGCATCCTTGACTTCGACGAGGTACTGGGACTGATGGTCATTGGAGACTGCTTTGGAGATGTTACTGTCTTCGACTTCTCTACTCCAAAAAATTACGTCGCGTACCCCCGATTGACCGCAGATATGGCAAAACCATATGGATCATTTGTGTCCGCTCTCCCCAGCGTATGTTCATTCTTTTGACATCGCGCAGTGTTTTAACCAATGTATAGAACCCGGTTCCAACAGCAAGCAAAACGAAATGGGGTCAAGACCATCTCGATCTCGACTCGTCGTGGAAGGTGGCGCATCCCGACATAATTCTGGGCTCTGTCTGGCATTGGCATGGAGTGCCTGGCGACTTTGCTTGGCTCGTGCAGAATATGCTGGGCTTTCCTGGAGAGGTGATTCTGCAGGCATATCGCTTCGACACAGAATCCGAGTCAGAAGAGCTTGGGACGGATGTTATTCTACGAGTGGGGCAGCGATATTTGGGGTACTCTAGCCACCAAGAGCCCCACTGGTACAGCTGGCCTCTTGGTACGACCGACTTCGACATTCTGCCTGGGCATGGTGCGTCGGCACAAGCCCCTACCTGCGAAACTGCCAGCGCAATCAAGGCCATGTTCCATTGGTTCATTTTCATCGAACTATCTGGTGACGCATGGCCCCCATTTAATCGCTGGAAAAAACTTAGAGGACGGGGCGGTAAAATACCAGGTATACCCGACCATGAACCAATTTAGATATTTGATGATTCATGTTGACGTCCACCATTACTTTTTATTTCCGATGTGTATTCAAGTTTTATGTGTTTTTGCAGCCATGGAAGGAAAAACTGCTGCGTCACGCGTTACCGTCACATCATCTTACTTGATCGAAGCTTGATCATCAACCTCTCTTGTGCTTACTTCCTCTGAGCTGTGGGCGAGGAAAGTGAAACCCTGGACAGCTTATTTTCGCGAGGGGCGCTCCAGATGAGGTGTTCAGCGAAAGCATTCAACCACACGAACCATACACAAATGCGGACGCAACCAAATTTCTTCGACGTTTCGACCCAGCCGCCCTCCAACATGTGGTTGGAAACACTACACTGAACCTAGCTTTTGTCAACACTGTCTTGCGCACCACCGGACCCGTCATCAGTCAAGATAACGGTAGCATTTGGCAATTCGTAACACCACCTGGTGCCTTTGGCCGTGGACGAACCGCGAAGCACGAATCCAGTTATCATGACTGGTTCAACTGGATCTTGTCTTATCCTGCTACCCACGCTGTAAACGCCGTACGCGACCGACTTTACCAAGACGGCGGAGTGCTTGTGCCACTCAATTACAGGGAGCGGAAAGAGTCAATGAAACGCATGTAGGGTCCGCTGATATTCTCCATCAATGGTATGAAACAGGCAGCAGTACGCCATGTACACCACACGAATTCAAGCGCGATAAAGCTATGCGTGTTGACGGCCATTCTGTCCTTGATTTCCTCTATGAACAAGCCGGCACTAGCTCTGGATATGCTTTCCGATCCTGTGCATCACTGGCTACTCTCGGAGGCAAAGGGGAAAATGTCTTGTGCGAGGTGCGTTGGCTTTTCGTGTCAAGCTTCCTGGCTTATGCATTTCCAGCTTATCACTGAGATGATTACCGCCGACACTGGCCATGGTATTATCTGTACCTAGGAGCAGTATGCAATGATCCGTGTCACCGACTCATTGCAGCTGGAAATAAGTCCCGTTTATGCTCTCCGCGGCTCCCCTACTCAAGCAGACGACATGGCGCTGTTGGTCCTTTTCTACGCTCATGCTGCTCTTCGCGCAGGAAAGACCTACCAGGACGCAGTGACCACCGCAATGCGAATCACGCTGCCCCTGTTTCCCACATCAGTGTTCCAACCGTATGAGGGTGTCTTCAGAGGCGGAGTGATCAGCCGTACAAAACTGGTCCCGAAATTCGCTGGTTCTTGGTTCCCTCTGTCGTTGACTTAGTTTGACGGGACTGTCAAATCGCGCCTACGGACAACTCGTTTCCTCCTATTTGCCAGCAATGGCTTAATCACAAAAACCTCGCATGACACCCCTGCGAGCGAGCGCCTTGTTCACGAGTATAATGTTTACTCTACCTTGCAGGACCTCCAGGGCGCGGCTATTCCACAGGTTGTCGGGATCTTCGAGACGAAAGACACGAAGCATACGGTACTCATGATAAGCTGGATGGGTCCAGGTTTGAAGACATTCAACGAGTTGAACCTCCATGAAAAGTGCAATTCAGCCTTAAGAATGCGTTGAGGCTGAAGGACCGCACTCTTCCACCGCCTGATTCAACTGCATGTGGTTGGTGTGCAGCACAACGACCTAGAACCCCGAAATGTGACCATGCCGTCTTCCGGACCAGTTATCATTGACTTCGACCGCGCATCGCTGAACCACAACTGCCCGGAGCGTTATGCAAGGAGCTTCTAGAGGTCGCGCAGGCTCTCAGCCTTGATCCTAGTGTGTCAAATCTGCTTTGCATTTCTATCGCTGAAAGTCGAACAGTAGTCGAGCTGAGGGCCTCGACGCGAAGGCGGTCGCGACAATAAAAACATACTTACCCTTCGCGCTTATCATAGCCTCGGCGGTAGGATTCCTGACGATTTACTTTGCAACAAGTGCTAGACGGTATTGCTCTCTGATGTGCGATATTCGATTACTGAAGGATTCCAAGAGCTGTATAGCTACGGAGATGCATTGGTAATAGTGCGAAACAACAACTTGTCTTGCCAGGCGATGCGCTTTTACAAGCGCGGCAAGACTGAATGCCTGGTCTTAACAGTTGGCAGATGATATTTGCTCTACTAAAACGAGGAAGAATTGCGATTTTTCGCCTGACAACTTGTTACGGCAGGGTGTGGAGGACCACTGCCCCCCCGCCAGCACAGTTTCCTACCTGCGATACGGCTCGAATGGTTCCAGCAATGTGGCGACGGTTTCGGTGTCATGAAGAATGTGGCACTTTTTACAACCGCTGGTGGGAGCTGCGGGAGCAGGGAGGTCGACCTCCATGTGGTGTTTGATAAAATTTTTGCGAGTCAATGGTATCATTCATTGGAATGTTAGCGTTGCAAGGCCTGCGTTATCCAGGAAATTGAATATATGAAGTACCTTTAAAGATGCAAATGCAAGTATCTTGGGGAGGAAAGAAGAATAAGCAGGCAAATGTCTGCATTAGGATCAAATCTAGCCTAGTACAAAGGTAGAGCTCGTCTCGTCTCAGAGACAACTAAATATAGTACAATGGTTCGTGACTGATATTACTAGTGCGGGCCTGAATACTCTCTCCCCATCTCAAAGACACAAGTCGAACAAGGTATCGAATGGCGATCATTCGTGCAGTCCGTGTCTACATCTGGGTTGGTTTCCGACTGTTCGCTGGCACCAAGGTCGGCCTGGAGTGGTTTAATAATCCAATGACATCTTCATAACAAGGTAAGAGACAATGGGCCAGAGCTTACAGAAGCACTCACTCGGTTGTTGAACAAGGACTGACAACCAGGTAGTCAACTTCGTCGCAGGTTCCGAAAGTCGCCTTGCTCCGGGTTCCTGCGGCAGCTGGGCGACCATTAAAATATGTCTCGCGGACAATCCGAGCCCAGTTGGCAAAAGCAGCGAGCCGGTTTGTGTGTATCTGATGCTCAGTCTGCCAATCGAAATCACCTGAAGGAGGCAAAATCGGCTCTGCGAGCGAGATGATGTATCCTACGAGGATTTAGTCCGGTATTCGTCATTCGAGGAAGAGACCGAAGGGCACAAACCGAGTCCAGCCAAAAAATCGTCGATAGTGATCTTCAATCCAAAAGTATTGACGGTGTCGACGAAGGGCACTTCTTCGGAATTTGAAGTGGGATCCGAGGAATGTGCTAGCAAGCCTTGAGCACTGGCGAGACATTAGTTTTCACGATACAATAACTTGAAAGGCACCGACGCACATGCGTTGGTCCATGAAACGACGAAGGAGTTGTCGTTCTGTGGGGAAATTTGCGTTGTGATCCAGATGGTGGTGGATGTAGTCTACAATCTGCAACACAAATTAGAATTTCATAACTGCTATTGGCGAGAAATCTGTTGACCTCAGGAGCGGAGGGCCCACGATTCTGGTCGATGGATATGATGTTCGGCGTAGTCATCGGCAGGAGCTGGTGCTAAGAATTCAGCGAGAGGATACGAGTCGGTCGAATGGCGATAACCAAACCGCCAACTAATGTTTTAACATCGTAACCATCACCCGGGCCTCCGAGTCAGAGGAGGGGAAATGAACCTGCGAATGGCAAGTCCAGAAAGAAGACAAGGCTTTCTGCTGTTGAACTTCCTCGCCGGCAGGACAATGCGAGTTATTGTCTGCCAGTGTCGTACTTCCGCGATTGGTATGCGCCGTGCCGTATTTTCAGTACAACGCGACTAGCGCAAGGCAAGGAGCAGAAGCGCGGCGGGTTCTCTGATGGATCAGCGAAGACATTGTACTTGGACATCGAAGCAGTGCTGGGCCGTGGCAGTCAATGTTCGTGTGAATAGATGAAGATTGAGTCAGTGTCTCTTCTTTAGGGGTCGATAAGTAGGCAAATTGCGAGCTTTGGTGACTAGCTGGAGTTTCTGTCTTGATTGCCCTGCTGGTCCATTAGGTTACAGCCGAAGAAACCGGGAAGGATAGAAAAGTTGTCTGACTCCGCTCCTCATCGCTTCCCACACCTAAACGGGCCCAGTTATTTTGATCATATACGCACACACGACAACATTGTCCCAGCTAAGGCCGCCGTCCTCATGTCAACGAAAACAAGGGCTGAATTAAAAGCCTCCGTTCGAACATTGCCAATGAAGACATAGACCATCAATCTCTGGACCCACAGTGCCGTCAAACTGTATTCGCGACGAAAACAAAGCGTGTTGGCAGTTCAGTTGATTGCGATGGAAGCTTTACAAGGGCGTGTTCTTTGTCGGCAAAGTGGCGCCCGCCATAGACAACAGAAAGATCGGGGAGTTTCAGAGCCTCGTGCATCGTTCAGAAAATAGGGTCTCAACAGCATCCAAGACCATCTGTCGATAGAACAATGAGACGTGTCGTTCATTTGATACAGCCTACACATTATCACAAAGTTTTTTACGGCCTAGTGCAAGAAGGGAATAACGATTCTGCGTTCTTTGGGGTAGCTATCTCGAAACTTGTTGAGATACCACAGGTGACCCCGATAGGCGCGCGGGTACATGAGGATGATTTCCGCAAAGAAGAATATCCACGGCGGAGAGAGGAGCGGGAAGAAAGCGGCAGCGGGGCCCGTCAGTGCTGTTTTCCACGTCGCTGGCTGGAGAATGGCACGTGACCCCGAAACGGCAGCATTGAGCAGACGGGGGTCTGCAGCGATCGCAAAGCCCAGCCACTCGATCCATTCGCAGAAGTAGTTGGGGTAGGAGATCCATTGATAGAGAAGACCATAGGGAATCGCGTAGTGCTCCCCGACACTCTTGCTCTCACCATTCGTCTTGCCGTTGGCATGACCATTTGTCCTCTTCCCATTGGCATTCCCATTGGCATTTCCATTTGCCTTCCCATTGGCAGTTCCGTTTGCGCTCCCACCACTGGCCGTCCCATTAGTATATCCGTTTACTTTTCCATTAGCATGACCATTCGTATGGCCGTTCAATTGTCCATTAGTCGCGGTTCCCTTTACAGTCTCATTGCTCTCCTTGGCCTTTCCCTTGCTATTAGACTTGCGTCGGAGATTAAGCAGTATCTCGTCGTGGACAACATTTCCAACGAAGCCCCAAGCCCACAACGCGAGACCAACCCAAAAGCTCGTGCGAGAAAAGGCCGAATATTGCGGGGCATCTGGCGACGAGAAAAACGCGCCAAGGAGGGAGCCATTGAATGTGTTGAAGACCACGGCAATAGCAGGCGTGATTAGATGGGCTTTGGAGCGCGATGGGGTGCGAAGCGGCGAGAGGATAGCACGGTTGAGGTAGTGGATAAAATAGGCACCGACAAGAAGGCTAAGGGGGCTGCCCAGCGTTACGGAGGGTACCACGCCGCCAGAAAGCGGCGCATTGAAGAATGTATACAAGAAGAAGGTCGGAGAGACGAGCTCCATAACAATCCACGCCTTGATGCCTTTTCGCGGTCAGACAAATGACACACAGGGTGAAGAAAGCGCGAACCATCCACCAAAAACATGCCGTGGAAGAAACTGCCCTCAGCGGGAGTGAAGCGGCCAAACGGCGCATCAATGAAAAAAGTTACTGGCCCAACGAGAAAATTGCCCAGAGTGAACCATTTCCGCGCGTCTAGCAATTAATTGAGCTAAAATTTTTTCCCTGCGGACTACGCACTGTTGTAGAGCCCTACGAGCTGCTCTGTGGAGAGGCCGTACATGGTGGTGGGACGAAGTGGTACGATTTCCAGGTTTTGACGCACATGGGGTAAGATCAGTGAGTTTGTCACGGTGGTGACATGCCTGATTTGCACATTCATGACGTCGACGACCAAAACGCGCAGCTGCCGCGAATAAAACCGCCTCCTCGCAAGGCCAAAATATCGGTCCCCTTTTCATACGCGGCCAGCGATGACGGCACCGATGAGAACTTGTTGATCTTGCTCCATGGCTTGGGCAAGTTGCCGTCTATCGTGAACCTTACAATCAACCAACAAAACTCCAAGGCGACACGCAAATCCCGTTTTTCAAGCTCGGCAAACAATTGAAGCTCCCGCAAACGGCTGTCCTTGTCCTTCAAGCTCCAGAGAGGTAGGAAATTATTCTACCTCGAACATGTGCTAAACGAATCAACAGGATCCCATTCCTCTATGAGGAAGCATACGCATGGTACCCCTCATTCGACCCACTAGGGGAACTTATTCCCCGACCCAATCCCACCTCTGCCCTCGAGCTGCTTGACAAGATCATCAACCATCTCCGCGAGGATTGCACTTGGCCTCTCGATCGCGTCCATCTCTTTGGTTTCGCCCAAGGCGGAAGCGTCGCGGCCGAATTCGGTGTCAAACTGCACCGTGAGACGCTTGGCTCAATAGTCACCGTGTCCGGCCCACTGTTGTCTTATCCTACCCTCTCAACATTGAGTCTAACCCCCATTCTCGTGGCCTACCGCTCGCCTTCTCTACCTGCATCAGAGCTGCCGGCGTTCAAGAAGGGTTTTTCGCGAGTGCGGGAGAGTAAAATGGTGCCAGAGGGGGGCATGCCAGCGTCCAGGACAGAATGGGAACCCATCATGCGGTTCTGGAGCGACAATCTATGTCGCAGACAGGTTGAGGGTGTTTACGAAGTCTTGAGCGGCACGTCTGGTTGATGTACAGTTCAGAACTTATGTATTGCTTAGTTCAAAGTTAGTATCCTGGTTATGAACGATGCCGCTTCAACCTGGCAGCGAGTGGTGCAGGATTCCCGCAGGAGGAAGACTTCTATAGATTCTGAAATCACTGAGTTTTTAAAAATTTACATAGTTGAGCTTGGGTGACCTTGCATAAGTATGTCCAAACTGGCAAAAAGCAGGATTGGCTCATCAGATTAGTGGTTGGATTGATATTTTGACCGAGGTGCCTATTAGTATTACTAATAATCATATGCACGCGCATGACAGTAGATTTAAGAATCACTACTCTACTAGTCTCTAGTCTCAAACAGTGGTCATTTTCAGTCAGACACTGGGTAGAAAAACGGTACCAGGAGGCTTCCCACCTCGTGCAACAAGCTCTACCCATCTATCACGCGCAGGTCGTCCTCTGCCGTTGCGTTCGTCAGAAAGAAATCGGGCGTAAAGTGTCTGCACGGCACGCGCTGTCTCGCAAGTCGGAAGTTGTGGGACACAGGACTGCGGGTGGTTTGGTTGATAAGTAAATCTGCCGGGATCGAGGGACCAGGAAAGATAATGCTCTTCCTTCTCCGTGGTCACCAGTAAATACCGGTCTCCGATGCGGAATATGATCTCTTCGCCCTCAGCATCCCACTGGTAGATGATGGATTGCAGTAAGACCTCGCCTGGAAAGCCATAAACGTGGTCCAATACCCATCCGAAGTCGCAAGGAACACCCTCCCAAAAATGCTGGGAGGAGAAACCATGGCGGATGGTACACATTGGCTTTTTCCAATTCCCAAACGCATTGATGTTGTCCTGACCCCAACGCGAGGCACGAGAGGAGGCAAGCTCGATATCTGACATCCGGTAGTGGGGTGCTGGCAGCTTGTTAAGTGGCAAATGTTCCTACAACTAGTCAATATAAGGTTTAACCCATGGTTCTGCTTACAAGGGGGAGTACTGTTGGTAGAGGCTCCGCTCGCTCCGTCATATCAACAAATAAAGGCGGATGATGAATGGGACGCTCAGATGCAAAATCATAGACTGTAAGTTCGCCGAAACAGTTTCCGATGACTACTATGCCCAGAGCATCGTCGAAGTCGATTGAAGCAACGCCCCATATGGCGGGGTCTTCCATGTCAGCGAAGGTAGTCGAAAGTTGTTGCATTGCTGTGTCACCCGAGAATGTGGGCGGAAGCGCTCCCTGACAGAGGCGTAAGTGTGGGTTCTCAGAGAAGATCGTAGCTTCGGCCGCAGAGATCCATAGAACCCTTTGACCACTACCGCCAATATGCAAGCCAAAAAACATCGGAAAATCGTCCCACGACGCAGATTCGTCAGGCTCGAGAATGCGGGGACCCGCCTCTAAAAGAGGATCTTGATGATATTCGACTTGGCCAGAGTAAGCTGTAAGCATGATGAGCTCCAAACCGCGCGACGAGAGAGCAAGGATATGCAGGGCGTCTGATGATCGTCCGGGAGGAAAGCATCGCTCGGCCTCCCAGATAGAAGGAGTGCTAATGGTGGTGTCGAATGAGACGGTGGTCGTGTCTGTACCGACCGTGACATCGTACAACTCGATCTCGCTAGACCGAATGATGACGAGTTTTGTTTGCCAGAGGAGCATTTTGTGAGGTACAGTCTGCAGGGAAGATTTTATGTGCATCATTGATCAGATAGATTAGAACGTACTCGACGAGAAGGTATATCGAGGCCATCTGGAGGAGCGGCAATCTCATAAGTCACGTGAGACGTCCAATCGCATAAATGCGGGACATTGCTCCCATTTCGTATAGCACAACCGACAAGAGAGCCAGAAAGCATCAATACGTGAGTGGAGCCTTGAAAACGCGCGAGTTCACAGAAAACACGCCGCCCCGACACCTTGCAAAGGGTCAGAATATGGACGGCGGCACACCTGAAATCGCATCAGTAATAGATTGACGGCACAACACGCATGCATACTCCGACTCCAACCCGAGAGCTAACACAATGCTGCCAGTTTTAATCTCGACCTGACCAGTTCTTACGCGTCCCGGAAGGTATGCATGTGCAGCCTCGTTTAGCGTGGCCACCGACAGGTCGTAGCACGAAATTTTGCTCTTCTCCTCATCGGACGACGCAACAAACAGCCAGTTACCCGCCACCAGCTTGAGCCAGGTCACCGACAGGGAGGTATTGTACTTGATTAAGGTGGCAGGAGATATTGGTGTGGGATCGCTTCCCCATTTATCGGCGAAGTTTCCTAGCCTTTGCACCAAACGCTCAAGAACTGGGGTGTCGAGGTCTTCGTGATGACCCAGGTAGCTGGGGGTAAGGCCATTTTTGTTCAATATTCGGCGCAGGAAAGTTAGCCAGAGAGAGCGGACCCGAGTTATTGCGTCGAAAACGCGAGAAACCTAGGATGAATGTCATTATGAGTGAGGGTATAGGTGAAGGATTGTTACTTGACGCAAGCTGTGGACAGAGTCCAGCGGAAGTTCGAGGCATATGAGCAGAAGCACGTCGTTGTTGAGTTGCACCAGCGACATGCAAAAGCGAGAACAACAAGAGCTCGAAGTCAACAAGCAGTCACGTCGAGTCACAGGGCATGACAAGTCACGCTTATTCCTTTCGTGAGATGCGATCTCGTCCTTCAAGCTTGGATTAGATCTCGCCTCCATTTTGGTCTATTGCGTCCGCGCAGGCGCTTAAGTGCAACAGCAATTTCCGTGTACGTGCTGGCTTCCCCATATGATATGCCTTCTACTGCGATTCTGACAAAACGTTGACACGTTTTCAGAAAATGGAGCAATTTGGTTCTCTTGTCACTCTGGTAAAGAGGAGATCGATACGCGTTAAATGGCGGCTTTCACTTCTATTACCTTGCTTTTTAGCAAGGTCCTGACCGGTTAATATTCCATCATCTGCCAAAAACAAACAAGTGTAAACAGATACATAAGCAGTAGTATGTCATGATGATGGCCATCAGGATTCTCTTGGGCACGAGATTAGGTGCTCTTTGACTGCGACTTAGTTCAGTTTTGCTGATGATAACAATGAGTTTTGCTTTTACTTGTATACTGAGTTAGATCTTCCCGCTGTAGCCTGTTGCACAGTGACTGGAAAGAAAGACTTTGTTTATCTACTATTATAATCTCTGTGGTATGCTGCTGCATGCATTATATTGACCAAAATACTTGCATTAAAACCATCTTTAATAAAATTAAAATACAATAAAATTGGACCACATTCACCAACTGATTTAAGTTTGTGCTCATACACACCAAATCTTGCACTGATTGTCACGATCTCCGCATCAACCCATGCCGTGTCACATTTTCCCATGTCAACGGGTACTGACCCTCTTGATGTAAAAAAAATATCCTGTATGTAAATAAGTTATGTTGCAGATTTGGAGATATAATATCTTATCTATGATAAAAATTCAAGGTTTTATTTACACTGGATTGACCACCAAGTATTTCTAATATTCAACACAGGTATTTCTCAATCTAATCAGCTTATGCTACACCGCTTGTTGGCCTACCTTGAATAAAATTAGGCCACATGCATGGACACATTTACAGTGAGTCAGTGACACTTGAACACTTGATTCAAATAGTAGAGTAAATATCATAAGAGATGGTTGACAAGTGAGCCTTATCAAAAGGTGGAACAAGCATAGGTTAGAGGTGGATCTATACATGCCTTAATCTTTTGCTGACTACATACTGGCAATATATCCAACTTTTTAAAAATGAATAAAAGACTTCAAGTTGATGCTAAGTGCCAAACTGAGGAATCATACACTGGTGTTTATACCAGAAAAAGCAAGGTCCCTGCCTATGGCCGCAAGCGCCAAAGGCCCCTAGTATAAGAGGCAACCCTAGAAACCATTCTTCAGCCCAACTCGAAAATGAGTCGCCCTCCTCCCTATCACCAAAATCCCAACTATCCGCCCGGCGTTCGCGGAGGGGCTCCTCGTGGTGCTCATCATCATAGTCCTGTTCCTCAACAAGGTCATTCCAACCAGGTCGCTGTCCCGTACCAGGGCTATCCCCATCAGGCTGCCATGCCCGCAAACCACAGCTACCTGCCCAGCGCTCAAGCTCATGGCGCTCCGTCTGCTCAACATGGCCATCATAACCAGCCTACCCGCCCACACCAGGGTCGTCCCAATCGGCCTACTGTCCCGGCGACTGGCGGGCCCCCGCCCATTTCAATACATACAGACTTTGCTCCATCTCCTGCCAAGGTTTGGGCCCTTCGAAGTCGTCTCCCTTGGCGCTCAACTATTTCAATAGATCATGGAATACATTGTCTACTATACGAATCACCATCAATTCCTTCCGGCGCACCCTCACATCAAGGGACAGCTTTCGGCTTTCATCCAAAGATGCCAGTAAGAGTCTTCCGAAATGTTTTCATTCAACTGGTACTGAGGCGGCCATTCCGCAGTAAACTTAAACAACCTCGTTTCAAGCGGACCAACCCGAGTCCACAACCTGGTGAAAACATCCTTCATTCAGTGCAGGTAATCGGCAGAACTGGTCGATTCTTTGACATTTATGATTTTTACTCTGCGTTGGGTGCGTTTTCAGTTGTCGCCTTTGTCGGTGGGCGTTGATCAGACTTGTTCAGGTTATATCATCTCCAATGCCGAATTGAATGGCATTATTAGCGAAAACAATCGGGAGAAGACGCGAACCTTCCACCGAAAAATTCTGGCCTACTTCACCAAATGGGTAGCCACCAGCGCCCAAACAATTTTTATAGGTACCCTTCCACCCCGCATGACCGGTATCGCCTACCGCAACTTCGTTGAAGGCGCCACAACGTTCCAGCTTGGTGCAGTTTATTCATGCCAGCCGGAGAGGACTGGGACAGCCGAAGAGCGCGCAGCTGCTACCAAGCTTGGACTTGAGGAAGGAAGAAACCTCTATCCTGGTGTTCGTTATCCAGACGTGAGCCGGCGGGAGTATACAGGGGCTAATGTGAAGAACGGCCAGTGTCTCGAGGTGCACATGCTCAGCGAGTAGGTTCAATGCTTTATAGCGCCATTCTTTTGTCTGATCCACTGCATGCAGTCTCCTTGCGATGGACGGTAAAGATGGCAAAATCGAGATACATGGCATGGCTGTCCAAACCCGAGTCGTCTTCCCCATGAATTCTTACGATGACTCGGAGACCAACAGAAAGGAGTTTCGCAAGGCTCTTGAATCGCCCTGTTGGAACTGTCTTTCACTCTTTCGCTCCATCAACCAAGCCATGCTGGCTGATCCTCAGCGAGATGATACTAGGACGAACCAAGCCTTCCAGTTCTACGACCAGTCTGGTCGCGAGCTCGCTGACATGGGACGTCCGAATTGGCATGAACAACAATGTTCTCGCTCCAGCTGCCGTAATCGCAACTCAGCACTGTGGCACTGTTTGTGCCAAAAGGTATTCTATTGCAGTGATACTTGCTCGAAGATGGACAGGGCCACGCATAACCTGGAGTGCCCAGTACTTGCGCAGTGCTCTTTTCCGAGTTGCACGAAGCTTGCCTACCAAGGGGAAGGTATCCGGAATGTGATTTGCCAGTCATGTGTCGAAATGCGGACTCGGCGAGGTGTTGCTGGAAGGGTGTACGCATGTTATTGCTCAGCAGAGCATTTACAAGCGGACGAAGCAATGCACCGCGCTTGGTGCTCGAATCCATTAAACCTGGGACCCACACCGCATGCCTTAGCGACAGCGCTAGCAAAGTATCCCGATTTGTATCAGCTGTTGTATGGCTAGATCGAAGTGGGTTGTGGTGTCTTTTAGTTAAAAGATGTATGACCAGGCGGATTTCCGCCTCATAGATAAATGTGAACAACGACATGATCATAGTAAACGTACTAAGAGATGAATACATACATAGTGGACGTCAACTGGTCAATCCTCAGATATCGGCGAAATGCTATTGTATTCTCCATGCTCCAAGTTTTTTTTTCCAATCCCGTCGACGAACAAATGGAACATGGTCTTGATTGCACTTGTGGTTTTGCGGATAAGCACGAAAGGTAAGTATGTTCTTATTGTCGCGACCGCCTTCGCGTCGAGGGCCGTCAGCTCGACCACTGTTGGACTTTGAGCGACAGAAATGTAAAACAGATTCGACACACCAGGATCAAGGCCGAGAGCCTGTGCAACCTGGAGAAGCTCCTTGCATAACGCTCCAGGGCAGTTGTGGTTCAGCGATGCGCGGTCGAAGTCAATGATAACTGGTCCAGAAGACGACATGGTCACATTTCGGGGTTCCAGGTCGTTGTGCTGCACACCAGCCCTGTGGAGTCGAATGAGACGGTGGAAGAGTACGGTCCTGGGTTTGATCAGCTCCAAGCCTCCAACACATTCTCAAGGCTGAATTGCACTTTTCATGGAGGTTTAACTCGTTGAATGTCTTCAAAGCTCGGCCCATCCAGCTCATCATAAGTACTGTATGCCTTGACTCGGAGTCTTTCGTCTCGAAGATCCCGACAACCTTTGGAATAGCCGCGCCCTGGAGGTCCTGCAAGGTAGAGTAAACATTATACTCGTGAACAAGGCGCTCTGTCGCAGAGGTATCATGTGAGGTTTTTGTGATTAAGCCAGGACTGGGGAAAAGGAGGAAAACGAGTTGTCCATAGGCGACAGTGATACCGTTACTGTCAAATCGGACGGTCCCGTCAAACCAAGCCAACGACAGAGGGAACCAAGAACCAGCGAATTTCGGGACCAGTTTTGTACGGCCGATCACTCCACCTCTGAAGACACCCTCATATGGCTGGAACACTGATGTGGGAAACAGGGGCAGCGTGATTCGCATTGCCGTAGTCACTGCGTCCTGGTAGGTCTTTCCTGCGCGAAGTGCGGCATGAGCGTAGAAAAGGACCAACAGCGCCATGTCGTCTGCTTGAGTAGGGGAGTCGCGGAGAGCATAAACAGGACTTATTTCCAGCTGCAATGAGTCGGTAACACGAATCATTGCGTACTGCTCCTGGGTACAGATAATACCATGGCCAGTGTCGGCGGTAATCATCTCATTGATAAGCTGGGAATGCATAAGCCAGGAAGCTTGACACGAAAAGCCAACACACCTCGCACAAAACATTTTTCCCTTTGCCTCCGAGAGTGGACAGTGATGCACAAGATCGGAAAGCATATCCAGAGCTAGTGCCGGCTTGTTCATAGAGGAAGTCAAGAACAGAATGGCCGTCAACACGCATAGCTTTATCGCGCTTGAATTCGTGTGGTGTACATGGCGTACTGCTGCCCGTTTCATACCATTGATGGAGAATATCAGCGGACCCTACATGCGTTTCATTGACTCTTTCCGCTTCGCTGTAATTGAGTGGCACAGGCACTCCGCCGTCTTGGTAAAGTCGGTCGCGTACGGCGTTTACAGCGTGGGCAGCAGGATAAGACAAGATCCAGTTGAACCAGTCATAATAACTGGATTCGTGCTTCGCGGTTCGTCCACGGCCAAAGGCACCTGGTGGTGTTACGAATTGCCAAAGGCCACCGTTATCTTGACTGATGACGGGTCCGGTGGTGCGCAAGACAGTGTTGACAAAAGCTAGGTTCAGTGTAGTGTTTCCAACTACATGTTGTAGGGCGGCTGGGTCGAAACGTCGAAGAAATTTGGTCGCGTCCGCGTTCGTGTAGGGTTCGTGTGGGGGGATGCTTTCGCTGACCACCTCATCTGGAGGGGGAGGTGCTCGCTCTTCGCGAAAATAAGCTGTCCAGGGTTTCACTCCCCTCGCCCACAGATCAGAGGAAGTATCCGCAGTAAGCATAAAGAGAGAGGGTTCATGATCGAGTTCAAGCTGTGACGGGGTAACGCGTGACGCAGCTACCCGAGTTTTTCTCTGTTTTTCTTCGCGTGTTCCTTCCATGGGTGAAAAAACACATAAAAATACACATCGGGAATAAAATACTAAAAGTGGACGTTAACACGAATCCTCAGATATCGAATTTGGTTCATGGTCTGGTATTCCTGGTATTTTACCACCCCGTCCTCTAAGTTTTTTCCAGCGGTCGCAGCGGGGCCATGCATAACCGGATAGGTCCCTGTCAATGAACAAATGGAACATGGTCCTGATTGCGCTTGCGGTTTCGCAGATCGGGGCCTGCGCTGACGAACCATGCCCAGGCAGAATGTCCAAGTCGGTCGTACCAAGAGGCCAGCTGTACCAGTGAGGCTCTTGGTGGCTAGAATACCCCAAATATCGCTGCCCCACTCGTAGAATGACATCCGTCCCAAGCTCTTCTGCTTCTGTGTCAAAGCGGTATGCCTGCAGAATCACCTCTCCAGGAAAGCCCAGCATATTTTGCACGAGCCAGGCGAAGTCGCCAGGTACTCCATGCCAATGCCAGACAGAGCCAAGAATTATGTCTGGATGCGCCACCATCCACGACGAGTCTAGATCGAGATGGTCTTGACCCCACTTCGTTTTGCTTGATGTTGGAACCGGGTTCTATATATATTGGTCAGAACACTGCGCGGTGTCAAAAGAATGAACATACGCTGGGGAGAGCAGACAGAAATGATTCATATGGCTTTGCCATATCTGCGGTTAGGCGGGGGTACACGACGTAATTTTTTGTGGTAGAGAAGTCGAAGACAGTAACATCTCCAAAGCAGTCTCCAATGACCATCAGTCCCAGTACCTCGTCGAAGTCAAGGATGCCGAGGCCATATAATGCAGGAATTTCAGAGTCTTGAAGGTCCTCAAAGATTGCGCTACCGCTCGAGGGTTCATCGGGATGTGGCTCTATGGACCTCTGAAATATTTGCAGTGGGTGCCGGAAGATCCGAGCTACAGCATTGCCCGCTGAGATCCAAAGCATTCGCTGACAGGAGGCGCCGACGCATAAGCCATACATTAACGGATGTTCGATCTCCGGTTGCCCCGGAAAAAATTCTGATTCCGGTATGGGTGGCGGGACGGGAGGCTGGACGAGGGTTTCGCGACTAAGACTGACCTCACCCTTGTGGCCAGAAGCGAGTGAGATCATATCGATTCCCTGGGCTGAAAGCGCGACGAGTTGGAGTGGATGCGAAAAGTTTGATGACGGAGGGCAGGCAGCAACTTCAGAGATGGAAGAGGTTTCAATGATGCTTGAGAAGGAGATAGTCTGCTGAACCATGTCATACAGCTCGATGCAATGCGAGCGGACAATGACCAATTTGGTTCCCCAAGTTACCATGGAGTGTGGTACGCTCTATAAAGTCGGTCAACAGCTGAGGAGGAAACCAATAACACGTACCCTGCGAGAAGGAACATCAAGTCCACCTGGGGGTGGTTCGATGTCAAGCATCGTGTCGTCCCTCCAACGATATAAATGCGGCACATTGACCCCATCTCGTATTCCACAGCCTACTAAAGCTCCAGAAAGCATCAACACATGCGAAGACCGTTCCAACCGAGCAAGCTCGCGTATGACATTGTTGCCCTTGCGCTTGCAGAGAGTGACAATAAAAACGATCTGGGCTCTAACGACTTTTTAGCCACGCAATTAGAAGTTGGAAGAGTGGACGCACTCGAGACCCAGCGCTACAATGATTTCTCCGTTTTGTATCTCGGCTTTCCCAGTTGTAACACGACTCGGAAGGTAGACGTGCGCCGTGCCACTTGTTGAAGGGTCAGAGAGGTCGTAACACGACAGTTTGCTCTCGCAGTTGTCGGAGGCTGCAACGAACAGCCAGTTGCCCGCAACCAGTCGCAGCCAGGTTACCGAAAGCGCGAGATTGAACTTTGCAAGTGTCGCTGGATAGGTTCCTCCGCTATCCGTTGGCTCGAAGGTCATTCGGTGCACAAGATATTCGAGAGTTGGGGCATCTAGTTGGTCGTAGTTCTCCACATAACATGGAACAGGCACTTTGTTGACAATTAAACGACGCAGACGCGTTGACCACAGAGACCGAGCGCGTGTTAGCGCGTTAAATCTACGACAAACCTAATGGTGGTCAGCTGCAGTTCATCCTATTAGGAAGCGTTGCACGCACCTGACGAAGATTTCGGGTGGAGCGTAAGTTGAGCTCTAGGTCAATTAGCAAGAGGACATCGTCGTTCAGGTCAGTAAGCCGCATATCAGGGCCAACAGACGCGCACTCTGACTTGCCTAAGTGAGAGGGAGCAGATATATAGTTGACAACCGGCAAAGATGAAGTCAAGAGGCAAGTCAAGAGCAAGTTGTTGGCTTTGCTGTTCCACAATTTACTTGCTCGTAGTCTCAGATGATACTGAGATCTACTGAGTTCTGGTCTACGATCGAAGTGCGAGATGGTTCACAGAACGACTTACACGAGCAGTTCACGCGTTCACAAATCATGGTAATATGGACAAGTTATTTTCATTTTCATTGTTTCAAGATGGTGGATTTAATCGACCCTACGAACGTCCAACGGGGTTGAAGATGGAACATCGTGTCACCCGCCGCTAGAGCCGAGCAGCGTTGGTGGGTAGTGGTGGAGCGACCGACAAGACGACATCTCCGCGATGACTGCGGGGTTGTTGGCTGGACATCGACCAGCTGGCGCGGACCATCACTTCAGGTCGCTTACTCTGCGGCAAGGAGTTAGATGGGAGATGGAGCAAATGTGGGGAATAACGGACTGGAACGAGCCCTCATCTTTCTGCGTTTGCGGCGGAGTCTCCTCGACCTCTTTTTCTTCCACTTCTCTCTCATTTTCTGGGAAAAGACGAGATCAGCGACGAGACGGATGAAGAAAACGCGAACGCACCTGGTGGTCAAGAGAAAGATGATGTTGTTTGGCCTTGTGATGACCGAAGCTGCTATACACCAGCACGTGACGAAGAACTGTCTTCAGTTTCGGCAATTTGCCATCAACATAAGCATCAACATGCCGGCCAAACGGAAGGTCAGAGTTCCTCCCTCACTACATGAAGAGCTTCAAGAATATACCTCGCTGCTCCGTGCTCTCGGCGCAACAGATACGCTCTCTGTGGCAAGAAACATTGCCCATGCCCCACCAAACCCGAAGCGCCGAAAGATTGTGGCCAACATTGAAGAAGACGACCGTGGCGAGGGAAGCTCTGCATTTGTTCCAGTCGCTGTAGAGAAGCCTACACGCACTGCAAGTAGTTCGACTCGCTGGCCGCGACTCCTCGGGGATGTCAACCTACCAACGTTTGGATTTGCCGACGAGATTGGTTCAATCGCACGTCGGTGTTTGCCCGCAGACGACAACACCGACCTCAATGAAGAGCTTGAAGACATTCTGCCACCGATAGTTGCTTCTGCCGAGGCATTTCTCTCCTCGACACTTGCTCTTCTTGCCCACTATACTCCCCCTCGACCACAAAGCATGCAGAATCGTCTGAACCCGCTGCGTTGGCAGGATGTGCTAGAAATCATGGCTGCATGTGGCGACGTCGATGCGACGTGAGTTATCTCTTTCAGACCGAATAATGCTCACAAACTGTAGAATGATTTCGAATGTGAAAGTACGACTGGAGTCTATCTATGGACCATACGAAACCAATGCGATTGAGCGCCTGCGTCTGCGAACTATGGAGCCTCCGCGCGCTCAAGCTGCGCTACAGTCAGCGGATGACGCCTTGTTCAAGCCCTGGGGGGAAAGTATGTTCTCCAAATATCACTATTCACTTTCGCTTACCCAGCTGTAGGTCCGCATCCACTTGTTGCAGCAGATGCAGAAGACTACTGGGATATAGAAGAACCGGATGTCATTCCCGAGCAAATCCTCGACGGCGACGAGTTGAAATCCGTTACGAGTCGTTCCCACTCCCCACCGCCACGCTCCTCTTCGCCATTTGACCGTCCAATTACTCCCTCTGAGTCATTCGCCGGCGAAGAAGATGACAAAGATGATGACGACGAAGAAAACAGTGATTCTGATTCCGCCAGAGACGAAAACTCTTCTCCCAGTGAACATTCTTCTGCATCGTCCACAAGAAAGCAAAGCAAAGCCCCTTCACCGAATGATCAATCTTCGGAAGGAGACCAAGACGAAGAAGAAGAAGCAGAAATGGCAGTCTCGGAAACAGAGCCAATTGTGATTTCAGACGAAGAGGGGTTTACATATGACCCCAAAGCCTCGATGTACACTCAAGACGACGAGGACTCGTCTTTTGACGAAGGGAAGCCGCGTCGAAAATCCATAGGGCGGTTTGGAGGATATTACTAGTGGCGGTGTCGACTGGGCAAATAAGCGTTTACCTTTTCATTGCATTGCACGTCGGCTACATATTGACAAGTCCTTGTGCGTGTTCAAACATGGTTCAAATCGCTGGTTGTTCAATCCTGTTAGGTACAATGTGTCTCTGCCGTTCTAGATCTTGTTCTATTACTCGAATAACGCCGTATACTGGCTGGTTTGGAGCCCGAAACCCATATGGTGCACGGGTTTCTTGTGAACAGGAAATTTAACAACCTGCTCAAGGGAGTCATTCGGTCTCCTTTCCGATGGTACAATCCAAAAGAGAGGTCCTGTAGGCACGAGCAGTACACGCCGAGCCCAGTGCAGGTAGAATCCATCCACAGTTGGGACAGCTGGGTTGATGAGCTTACCCGCAGGAATATTGAGAGTACCATGGGGAACGCTGGACAACGGGATGGATGGAACGGCCCCAAGCAGTAGCCCGTTCCGCCATGGCGCTGGGACGAGGACTCCAGGAATATCAAGCCCTAGGTTCTTGACTGTCATTGGTGGCGCGACGGTATTATTGACCATCCAGTTGCCATGGCCTTGTGCCGCATCCCACACCTCCCAGTACACGAAATCGACTCTGTTCATGACATTTACTATCACCAATCTGGCATAGTGGGCCCCCGGCGGCGCCATAGGCGGAGCAGGAATATCATTTCCATTAGCTATCGGCCCTGCTGCCGGACCATCGGCCAGAAGGTCGTTGAGATGGAAGCTTGTGACCTGTTTCCCGAGCTTCGAATGAGAGACTGACCCATAGAAGGACAATCTGCCCAGAGCCATTCTGTCTGTTGTATGGGTGAAGGGCACTGGAGGCTGATGTTTCGCTTATAGTTGGACTCGGTGACTGCCCTCCCCTTTTATACCCACCTCTCCGAATTTATGTGGCCAATGGCTCGGACTCATATCTTGACTACCAATAGCGACAACGGCGTATACGCCACGCGTGAAACTGGTTACTTGTCACCCGCTAATAGAATTACGCCACAAGGACGAGGCAACTTAAATATGGGGAGGAGTTTCTGGTTTACGAATCCAACTTCAACCGCAATCCTGAATTCGCCAATGCCAGTTGTAGCTCTACCCAAGAGATATGCCAGTCTATCGTCCAACTTCAAGTCAGGGGAGCCTCCCTATTCAACGGCCGAGGAGAACACCGTTTCGCAGACCATAGAGAGTGATGCGATGTTTGGAGTGGGTTTTTCTATCATCTGTACCAAAAATTTAAAGCTCATGAATATCGCTACAGGCCCAATTTCTTTCAAAGGAAAATGAGAAATATGTGGCTTATGAGACCAACGTAGCCGCAGGGGACGATCATCCGCCACTTTACATCTTGATTTGGCGGAATAAGCTTGCCGAAGGCAATGGTGTATGGAATTTTCAACTCTCGAATCTCAGTAGAATTGGACACGCAACCGCAGTGGGCGACAGCATTGTGAAGGACTCTCTTCATTCTCTTCAAGAACTGAATGTTCTTGGATTCTCCGAGTCAGAGTATGTTCTCATTGAATCCGTGTGGCTCATATAATGGTTTTGAAAGGAATTCCGACACCCCAGATATGGAGATGTGGGTATACTCTAGCACCTACTCCAGCCCTTCGGGACAATTTAGCGACCAGTTCGCTTCCTATGCCGCGGCCGGCAGCACCATTCAAGGTAAATATCCTGGAGGACAAGACACCTGGAATTTCAAGTTCCCCCCATGGCTTATTCCCGTTGATCTCCCAGTGATGCATTTGGAGGAAAATGCGCCCGGATATGACCATGCCGCCACAGAATCCCAATCAGTTCTGCAGACTCCTGAGCGCCCTGGCCGAGCTCGTACATGAGTTACCTAGATATGTTTTTTGCTTACCAAGAATAGCACTCAAGGAATAAGACTTGAATGAACCACCGTTGACGTTGATGTCTGATACCATCTGATGATCTTCAGTGCTGTGACTCAGAGATGTATGACATTGACAGCCAAACCTTACAACAACTAGTATGCCGCCAGTGCGTTCCATCCATGACGAGGTGGGTCAGCCTTGTATATGTTCAATCTTGGAGTAATTGTCTGCAGTTATACCTCACCCACACCGGCAAAGACGCGGAATACTGGAAAACTCACGACCCAATTGACCTCCCGAAAGAATACTGGGCCGCCTATAACAAGCTGATTGGGTTGCCAGAGGACTATGTCCCCAAAATAATCCCCCATACTGAGGAAGCGAGGGGGAACCACATGCTCGGGGTGTGTACTGGCTGTTCCCTACTCGCGCGGTCCTTACTGTCCACCAGGCTCGATGGACAGAAGGGAAGCCTATGACTCTCACTCGCATTGGCAAAAGCCAGTATCATCTCTTACACTGGACGAATTGGGTTGGCGCTGACGGAGGTGTGGTCAACTTTCAAATTGTGCGAAAGGGCGATGAGGCGAATCCCATCGACCCCAAGGCTAAGCGGATCAAGGTCACACAGATGTCTCCGAAGGGACACCCTTTCAAGTTCTATGAGTGTGCGGCGTTTGCACCCGACGCGTCGAAAATCTGTATCAAGCTGCCCGGAGCGCCACTTTGGGAGTACATGTTTCCGTTCAGATGGCCTGACGAGCTGGAGGCGCTGAAGCGTACTATTCCCCACACCTGTTGCCCTCCTGACTCCGACTAAGGCTCTCCTGTGTACTCATCCGTTGCCTCGCGCTATCATCACCGTGTTTTCGATCGTTTTTCACAAACTATATGCCTGTCAATCGTTCCGACACGCCCAAACAGGCTCAAACGGCATTTGCAACGGCATCTCGAGTCATTCGTGGGGGCACGTGATCGTGTCGCTTGTTGCATGACATGCCCGCTCGGCCAACAGCTGTACCTCAAACACACTGGGAAATTGCTGGGAAACCTGCGAAGTATTGGTATCACCGCACCGATTCCGAATGGAAGTCTCAAGTTTCTGAAGAGTTCTGGAAAGAGCATGCTGCAGTGATGAAAGCCATGGCTCCCAAGCCAATTCCAGACACTGAAGAAGCAACAACTAATCATTTGCTCGGGGTATGAATTCCAACTCAAGTTCAAGCTCACAATACTCAATGTCTGGTACCAGGCGCCGTGGGCACCGGGGAAGCCTATGACCCTTATACGCATTGGGAAAAGTCAATACCACCTTCTTGTGTGGCACCTATAGTGCCCGCTTATCCCCTCTAGTTAGAGGGGCAAGGGGGGGGGGGGTTCTCCCTCTAACTAGAGGGGTTTAACGCGATTGCCTATGCTTTCTTAAACTTCCTTGTGAGTGTTAGTGGACATCCTGCTCAGCGGAGGCCCAAGTCCTCAGAGGTTAGTGGACTCATCATGAGTGTTGGTGACACTACACTCGCGGCTATCTTCCTCAGCCATCAAACCTCTTTCCAGCTGTGATCCCGACACTACCCGACCCCCCGCCCACTGTCCCGATCTGATGGCGCATCAAAAGATCAAAGTTGTGCGCTTCATTTAGATAAGCCTAGATATATCAATAAAAATTGAATATCTAAAATATTAAGGAAGATATAAGACTTTTGATCTAATGATCTGCGATCATAAAATCAAAATTGTAAAGAAGGTAATTCTAGCCAGTAATGTAAAGAAATCAAGTTGAAATTCATTCTCTCTAATAAAATATAGGCTTATGATGTATGTAATATGTTCACTGAAGTTAGTGGACAACATATGTATATAGATAGGTATATAGGAAGTTTCTGGACATATATCCATACTATAGGTTATTATGACTATTCATATACCATATTGAAGCCCTTTCATAATGATTTCATTGAGCAGTTATCTACTAACTTTTCTAGACACGGGCTACAAGTTGGTAGACAGATGTCATATATAGTAGTAGGTAGGGTAGGTTCATATATGCTACTAAATGATCCGGATATTAGATACTAAATTTAACGAGGTATAATGAGATTATAGATTCTATAATGCCTTTCCCTCTCTAAAATACCATAGAAATAGCTACTGCCACTACTATGAGTATGCTTTCTTGAGTCTATAACTAACTCTATCACGCAGGCACTATATGTAGTAGCAGTTCATGAGATGTAGCATATCATAATATCTTCACTGAAGGTGTCCACTAACTTCCTAGATACAGAAGTTAGTGGACACCCAGTCTATATTAATCAGTAGGTATAGGTTATGTACTCTACTAGATATCTTGGATATCATGTACAAGATGATATATGATGATGTACTATCCCCACTGTATCATAGTGGCCCAACTTGGCTAGTGTGTCCACTAACTTCCAGGGTACAGAAGTTAGTGGACACTCAACTCAGTATATTAATCAGTATGTATAGAGATACCCTAGCAGATACCTTGAATATCATGTACATGATGATATATGATGGTGTACTATCCCCATGTATCATAGTAGCCCAACTTGGCTACTGTGTCCACTAACTTCCAGGGTACAGAAGTTAGTGGACACTCAGTATATTAATTGGTCTATACTGGGGTATGTACCTGGCCAGATACTTGGTGTATAGGATAGTATATGGTTGTGTACTACGCTACTGTATCATAGTATCCCAACTGGAGGTGTCTACTAACTTCCTAGGTATGGTGTCCACTAACTTCTATACCTAGGAAGTTAGTGGACACCTCAGTATATTAATTGGTGTGTGGAGGGGTGTGTACTTTACCACATACCTTAGTATACAATTGGTGTACAGGATGGTATATGGCTGTATACTACCCCACTGTATTATAGTATCCCAACTGGAGGTGTCCACTAACTTTAGTACCTAGTGTCCACTAACTTCCATACCCTAGAAGTTAGTGGACACCCAGTCTATATCAATTAGTATGTATAGGGTGTGTACTCTACCAAATATCTGGAATATGATGTACGGGATGATATATGGCGGTATACTCTCCCCACTGTATCATATGGCCCAACTCAGCTAGTGTGTCCACTAACTTCTATACCCCGGAAGTTAGTGGACACCGGCTGTATGCTTCAGGCTATATACATCTATTAAATCCTGTGAGTTTCTCCTGAGGATAAATATAGTATTGCTCACAATAACTTTTGAAAGTCAGTAGAACCAATTAGCAGTGCATAAATAATTCTGTAAAGCTCAAGATGTACTCTCAGGTTGGAAGTCCTAAGTGTATCATATATATCTAAGTCAATTGTGATTTTGTTGAGAAACCGGGCGCATGATTTTATTTGGAATTAGATTTGACCCAGTATTGCTCCTGTTATTGACCCATTGATGTGCAACGACATTTTTGTTAGTGGACGCCAAACTATTATTGGTGCATAAATAATGGTCTTAGAGCTCATCTAAACTCTCAAAACAGATGTACTAGGTATACTAAACACATCTATTTTGATTCTGACTTTGTCAAGAAAATAGATACATGATTTTACCTTGGTTCAGAACTTGAATTGCAAAGGCATATTACGTTCACACTAATTTTCACGTATCTCTCGGAATCGCTTACATATTGATACACATCATCGGGCATGTATTCGAATCAATATGCTGCAAACCCCATACGATTTGACCTAGTATTGCTTCTGTTATTAACCAATTGATGTGCAACGACATTTTTGTTAGTGGACGCCAAACTATTATTGGTGCATAAATAATGGTCTTAGAGCTCATCTAAACTCTCAAAACAGATGTACTAGGTATACTACACACATCTATTTTGATTCTGACTTTGTCAAGAAAATAGATACATGATTTTACCTTGGTTCAGAACTTGAATTGCAAAGGCATATTACGTTCACACTAATTTTCACGTATCTCTCGGAATCGCTTACATATTGATACACATCATCGGGCATGTATTCGAATCAATATGCTGCAAACCCCATACGATTTGACCTAGTATTGCTTCTGTTATTAACCAATTGATGTGCAACGACATTTTTGTTAGTGGACGCCAAACTATTATTGGTGCATAAATAATAGTCTTAGAGCTCATCTAAACTCTCAAAACAGATGTACTAGGTATACTACATACATCTATTTCGATTCTGACTTTGTCAAGAAAATAGATACATGATTTTACCTTGGTTCAGAACTTGAATTGTAAAGGCATATTGCATTCACACTAATTTTCACATATCTCTCGGAATCGCTTACAAATTGATACACATCATCGGGCATGTATTCGAATCAATATGCTGCAAACCCCATATGATTTGACCCAGTATTGCTTTTGTTATTAACCAATTGATGTGCAACGACATTTTTGTTAGTGGACGCCAACCTATTGGCACATGAATAATGTCTCAGAGTCCATCTGAACTTCCAGAATAAGTATCTGGGGTATAGTACACATACACCCATGGATATACCACCAGGCCTATGTATTTTAAGGTATTATTGCTTCTGTTATTACACAATTAATATGCAATAACTTTTAGAGAGTTGGTAGACATTATCCAGGCTTAGAGGGTTTAACCGATTCTCTAGCCATATTGAAATAGGCAAGCACAATAACATAGTATGGTATATATTCCCTGGAAGAAACTCACAGGATTCCATAGATGCTCATAGCCTGTAGGATAGAGCTGTAGGTCAGAGTCAACTCATAGAATTTCAGGGTAGGTTCTGTCTGGGTCAGGGTCAGAATACATCAATGTCTAAACCTAGCCAAACCTGAACCCTTATATGGTCAACTAACTGGGTGTAATGTCTATTAACTCTGAGGAGAGATCCACTAACTTTGGTACCCAGAAGGTTAGTGGACATATTTCCAGTTGGGCCACCATGATACAGTGGCATAGTGTACCACTATATACTATCCCATACATGGTATCCAAGGTATTTGGTAGGATACACCCCCCTCCTATACACACTGATTGATAGACTGGTGTCCACTAACTTCCGTACCCTGGAAGTTAGTGGACACAAGATACTGAAGTTAGTGGACATACTACTCAAGTTTTATGATACAGTAGGGTAGTGTACTATGATATACTATCCCGTACATGATATTCAAGATATCTTGTAGGGTATACACCCTGTACATACTAATTAATATACTAGGTGTCCACTAACTTCTGGGGTATGTAAGTTAGTGGACACACTACTCAAGTTAGGCCATAGTGAGGTAGGACACTATCATAGGCTATCCTGTACATGATATCTAAGATATCTGGTAGGGTACATACCCTCTGTACACACTAATTAATATAGACTGGTGTCCACTAACTTCCGTACCCTGGAAGTTAGTGGACACAAGATACTGAAGTTAGTGGACATACTACTCAAGTTTTATGATACAGTAGGGTAGTGTACTATGATATACTATCCCGTAACATGATATTCAAGATATCTTGTAGGGTATACACCCTGTACATACTAATTAATATACTAGGTGTCCACTAACTTCTGGGGTATGGAAGTTAGTGGACACACTACTCAAGTTAGGTCATAGTAAGGTAGGACACCATCATAGGCTATCCTGTACATGATATCTAAGATATCTGGTAGGGTACATACCCTCTGTACACACTAATTAATATAGGCTGGTGTCCACTAACTTTTGTACCCTGGAAGTTAGTGGACACTAGATACCAAGTTAGTGGACACACTAGTCAAGTTAGACCACCATGATACGGTGGGGTAGTGTACCACTATATACTATTCCGTACATGATATCCAAGATATCTAGTAGGGTACACACCCTCATACACACTGATTGGTATAGACCGAATACAGAAGTTAGTGGACAGGGGCTTAGTAGACACCTCTGGTTGGGATAACATAATATACCACATATTGTGCACTACTACCACGTATTGTGCATATATGATAGAGTAAGTAGTTATGGACTCAGGAAAGTATACTTGTAGTTGTGGTGGTAGCTAGTTCTATAATGCCCTTTTATCCCCTCTCATTAGAGTGGAAGGGCATTATAGGATCTGTAACATCATTACCTCTTTAAAGTTGGCATCTGGATCATGTGGTAGGGTATATAGACCTACCTACTACTATGGTATCTGTACATACTGACAAATATAGGTAAGATGTCCTCTCGCTCTGCGCCTAGGACAGTTAGTAGATAACTGCTCAATGAAATCATTATGAAAGGGCTTCAATATGGTATATGAATAGTCATAATAACCTATAGTATGGATATATGTCCAGAAACTTCCTATATACCTATCTATATACATATGTTGTCCACTAACTTCAGTGAACATATTACATACATCATAAGCCTATATTTTATTAGAGAGAATGAATTTCAACTTGATTTCTTTACATTACTGGCTAGAATTACCTTCTTTACAATTTTGATTTTATGATCGCAGATCATTAGATCAAAAGTCTTATATCTTCCTTAATATTTTAGATATTCAATTTTTATTGATACATCTAGGCTTATCTAAATGAAGCGCACAACTTTGATCTTTTGATGCGCCATCAGATCGGGACAGTGGGCGGGGGGTCGGGTAGTGTCGGGATCACAGCTGGAAAGAGGTTTGATGGCTGAGGAAGATAGCCGCGAGTGTGGTGTTACCAACACTCATGATGAGTCCACTAACCTCTGAGGACTTGGGCCTCCGCTGAGCAGGATGTCCACTAACACTCACAAGGAAGTTTAAGAAAGCATAGGCAATCGCGTTAAACCCCTCTAGTTAGAGGGAGAACCCCCCCCCCCCTTGCCCCTCTAACTAGAGGGGATAAGCGGGCACTATAGGTGTTGTGTGGACAAACCTCGCGGGTCTCACCGCCGGCGCGTACAACTATCAGATCGTGCGAAAAGGCGACGAAGCGAATCCTATAGACCCCAAGGCGAAGCGGATCAAGCTCATCGATGCCGTATATAACAAACCCATTACGCTCTACAACGGCGCGACGTTTGCGACGGACGGCCTGAAAATCCGCATCCACCTTCCCGGAGCGCCTGCTTGGGAGTATCGCTTTCCCTTTAGATGGCCTGACGAGTTGGAGGCTTTGGGGCTGACTATGGAGCACACCTGCTGCGGGGAGTGACATACAGATAGCTGAGCGTGTCGTACTGTACTGAGATCAATTCGGCGATCATGTGTCCGCGACAGATTTGTCAGCGAGCGAAGTCTTTCCCGAACCGTGACATCCACACTGTTTTCTCTTGGAGTTGTATGATGAAATGCAACCACTGCTTCTTTCGCTCGGTCCATAGCGCATCTGCCGGCGGGCAACGGGCCATAACTTTACAGACGAAGAACGGACAAACCACGACGGCCCTCAGGCAGCAGGCTCACGCTTGAAGATTCACTCGATATTGACCTTCGGCTCATTCAAGTCGCAAGTGTTGTGCGGCTCCTGCATGCTCAGTGCAAATGGAGCTACTCGCTGAGCCTCGCATTGGCGAGCCCAATGACACTTATCATTGCTTTGTCGGTCAAGGCGCAAACGGTAAACGTCGATCAACGGTGCTTTGAACAACTCAAGACCATGATTGCGACTATAAGAGCTGCTCAGTATGGGCCTCCTTACACTCAACCACATCCTCTCCCGCACATCGTCGTGCAAAATCTCTTGTCAAAACACTACGAATACTTAACTCAATTCAACTTGAACAGGTACGCATTGTCCTAGCTGGTGGCACATTAGTAACGGCCTCAACAGAAAAATGTCGTACTACGAAGAATACGATGAAAACGCCCAGTACATCACTCAGTACGAGCGAGACCTCTACCCTCCCCCCGCTTTCGCACAATCCCTACGGAAACTTGCCGGTCAAACCGCAGCCGTTTACTCGTCGTCTCCCTCAACCCACTCCAGCGGACAAGCTCGAGCCTCCGCCTTTGCTACAGGAGGCGAAGTCCCGCAGTCGCAGCAAGTCTCGCCATCGTGACGAGCCTTCAGCTACGGAAGGTCGATCCAAGTCACGCTCGCGAGACGGACGACATGACCAGTCTGGTGGTCATCGCTCCAGGTCGCGGTCCAAGGCAGACCCAAGCCGCAACCGTGATCCCAGTGCCTTTGAGGCGCCTCCTCCGATGCCTAGCCTCCCTCCGATTTACAAACCTCAACCATCACAATCCTATGCGTCATCTAATGTTTCAAACGCGACGTACTATGGAAACGAAGGAGGCTACAAAACCGTTGCGTCAAGCAATGCGTATTACTCCCCAGCAGGCTATCCGGATGTAAAGAATGGACCGCATGATCCAGAGGCCACCGACACCCCCATTGTGGGCGGTCTCAAGCACTACCGAGAGCTTTTGGAGCGGGAAGAGCGGGAGCGTTGGGAATCCGAAAAACAACGGAAGCGATCTAAACGCCGTTCGCGGTCTGTTGGCGATTTCGCCAACTATCGGACGGGCGACGAGCTTTGCGCTGAACCCGTCATCATGACGCAGTCTCCATACCAAGAGCCACAAACTCGGACATCAAGCAAAACCAAAACCCACAAAAGACACGTCGAGGCAGCCCCAGAATCTCGAACCAGTCAACGTAGCCGTCGTGACCTGGCGGCCCCTCAGCCTCTCCAGCTTGAGAAGAGCAATGGGAAGACTGAGATCAAGAACACGTTCTCCAAAACTCTCGACGAAAACACTCTTGGCCTTTCCGCCCACAACCAGGACCAGCATTTTCACCAGCGTGAGGCCAAAGTCTCTGCTGCCAACGCCCAGCCGTTGCCTTACGGCCAATATTACGTTTCCGCCACGGACCCCCACTCCAACCTATATGCTCAGCAAAACCCCTATGCAAACCCGATATATAACCCAATGATGGCCGCCAGCTCGGCATCATTGTACTATGCCCAGCCGCGCTATTATGGCGAAAATGCGCCGCCTATGCCGCAGGTTCCAGTCGAGTATCGTCAGAAGCGGCGGGGCTTCTTCAAGCGTCTTGTTGACAAAGCCTTCTGAATCTTTTCATCTGCCAGTATTGTTTCCCGCGCTGCGTTAAATAAACTACACACTCATTTTGGATTATTTGGGGATTGCCGGTGGGCAATGGACGCACACTCTTTTGTACATCTTGGAAAAATTCGATCTATTTTGCCTAAACATGCGATTCCCGGACTACACATCGAACAGCTCAAAGGTTGCAATAACTTGTCGTATGTGAGGGGACAACGAAATTTTTCGAAGAAGTCAATGGATGGTTGTATTCATCTGGGCTGCAAGGTCGGGATCGAAGGGAAGTCGCATTATATGAATTCATGGTCCAGATACCACTTCGGAGGTCCTTCAAAATGGAGCTGCTGTGCGATCCGCTGGATTTGTTCCTCGTCATAACGATCTTCGGGCATCGTTTGGTTCGAGTCGATCCAGAACAGCCGGTCTAATGCATACGTGGTGTCATCCTTTGGGTTGAGAATATAGACGACGGTCATGCCGCCTGTGATGCCTAGATGGCGGGCAAAAGACGGACTGACACAACTGACGGTGAAGCCTGGAACAGTTTTGCCATCAGGTCCTACAACTTGGCGGTTGTTCAGCTCGGCCCATGCGACGATCAGGTCCATCTGCCGCTGCTCGATGCGCCAGCCGAGACGAATGTCCGCCAAAGGCTCGACGTCGCGATCAAATCTTTCAGGGAGTTGGTATGGCGAATCGTGCAGCTCTTTCACGGCTTCATAGATCTACAATCGGTGGGAGAGTCGGCGGGCGGCGCATGAAAAGAGTTTAAGAGAGTACCGAACCTCTTCTATGTTACGAGGGAAGGATACTGTGCCCCGTGTGCTCCTATCGCAAGCTGGTGGCCATGGCATCTGGTTGGTTTGATTTTGACTTGTGATTCATTCAGGTTTTTCGTTGCAGAGTGCTATCTGAGATCATATTTCAGGCTAAATATGTATTAAATTAGTACAAAATCAGAAATTTGACATGAAAGTTTTGGCGTTCGACTTGCGTTCAAACTTCAAAGGTTTACAACTTGCCCTTCAACTTGTCGCATAGCCAGTCTGAGTTCTTTCTTAAGCACCACAACAACATTGTTCGAAGTGGGGTAGCCATTTAAATTGACAGTAAGTCTCCGACTAGCTCCGACTAATGGTCTGTTTCAATTTCGACCAGCAGGCGTGTCGGTGCGCTAAATGCCCATGTGTTTATTATAGGGTGCTGTGAATTTTGAATTACTCACACCTGTTTCGAAACAGTTTCGAAACAGGTGGCCCGGGTTAGGTAATTGTCTCGGCCCGCACGCCGCCGCCGGCCGCCAGTGATCAAGAACTGAGGAATGTTCTTGGGTGGGTGTCAAAGCCGGATCCGAGGGGCTGGGCCATGTGATGTGTGGTCTCTGGGCCGGCCAAGCCGGGCTCCGGGGCGCCGCAGCCGTGACAGTCACGCGCCGGGCCTGTTTCAAAACCGCTGTCGACCCCAGCGGAATTCAAAACTCACGCCTGTTTCGAAACCGTTTCGAAACGGGTTTCGAAACGGCTTCAACTCACAGCACCCTAGTTTATTATTTGATAGCTTATGGATTGACCCTGCGGAAGGTAAAGCGCAGCGTATCTGGACCACTGGTATAACATCTCTGAAGCCATTCACCATGTTCGAACTGTACCAGAAAGAGATCCCTGCCCTGTGGGTACAATATACCGTCAATATGTCCGCGACTTGACCTTTATGTAAAAGTCCTACAGAAGAGACGGAATCCCTTCTGCCACCACCTCCGCCACACTCTGATGCTGGGTACTTCTACGGGTACAAAATCATGGAGGACTTTGACCGAAAGAACACAACTCACCTTAAGCGGGTCTACCAGATCGAGTGTGCGCCTGGCATATGTAATCTTGCGCGTCTCATCTTTTTTTTTTTTTTTTTTGTGGCACGTTAGGTAGTAGTAGACAATCGCTTTCGCTCCCCAGTAGCCTGCCGTAGTCCTCTCGCGAGATTCCGTCAAGCGTCCCAGGCCGACATCTGTCGGTCATCCACCACCCGTGAGTTGTGAGGCGGGGACTTGAAACCCCACCAGCCGGATCAAACCACTCGAGGAAATGCGCTTTCGCACTGGGCCCTGAGGCATCTAGTGTGGGGCTGCAGCTTCAACGGACTCAAGGCGTGCAGAAGGGAGTTGGCCCTTCCGATCACCACTCATCATCGCCAGTCTCAACCGACACCCACTAAAACCCCGACCTCCCTTGACGTTGGCCAGTCACTCGGGAGTGCTTTCTCGTTTTTCAAACAAGTTTTGCGGACTAATGCCTTTGGGATGGCCTTCTTCCCATACTTGTTTTCGTTGGTCATTTCTCTGTCCATCTGCAGCCTATTATTGATTGACCAGCACCACTTTCTAGTTATCTCTGTCTCCGATGCGGGGTCTTTCTCGTTTATAACTCTTTCGTTTCGGAGTTTCCAGATAAGGTGTGCCGACTCCGATATCAGAATCCGGAACAGCCTTGTGGCGCCGTCGTCGGCCTTGTCAATCCATTCCGCATGCCATGATTTGGCCGGACGTGGGTGTTGGCAACTCACTCCCTGTTTTCATCTCCCACAGCTTGCTGGCAAGCTCCCAGACTTCTTTCTGGCCCGGTGCTTCACACTGCGTCAGGATGTGTCTCATTGATTCATCCGCGTCTCCACACCGGGGTTCCTTACATGTTCCTTTCCATTCGTGGCCAGGTATGTTGTCCCAGTGCTTCCCCACTTTATAGCCGTCGTGAACTAACATCCATAGGAAGAATCGGATATTCCTCGAGATATCCTTGTGTCTTATCGACTTCCACACCTTTTTATCGGATACCTCTTCTGCTCTTTCATCCGTGGCCGCGCCGCGGGCCAGCGGTAGATTCCTCAGGGTCCCGGCATGCGCTAGCTTCTCCTGGTACTTCGGTGTGTCCATCTTCAGCATTCTTATCATTCTCATCGCTGACGACTGGGTCAGCATGTTTAGTTTTGCTCCGCTCAGCCTCAGGTCTTCGACTTCATAGTTTCTTATCTCATCTGGATCGCTTTTCATGGCGCCCTCGCTCGCCAGAAGATCCGCCGCCTCGTTTCCTTCTATCCCGCTGTGTCCTTTCACCCAGCGGAAGGAGGTTTGCGCTCGGCGTTGTCTCAATCTCATCAAGGTCAACTTCGCCAACTCGCCGTTAGCCACTGTGAGGAAGCCGCTGTCTTCCCACCTCCGCGCATTCTTCGTCATTCCATCTATGGCATACTTGGAATCACTTAGTATTTCTAGCGGTTGGTCTAATGGGCACATTTCGGCTGCTTCTTTAATCGCTGCTAGCTCACCAACTTGGTTAGATGGTTTCCATTCAGTCGGTATCCTCAAGGCTCGGTTCCTCGGGTCGTCGGGGCCAAAGAAAATCCCTGCGCCCGCTCTTGCAACCGCTGTACCATTCCCAACGGCGGATCCGTCTGTGTACACCTTTTGGGGGTCTTCGGCCTCGTTGTCGCGTGTCGGCTGCCTATTCGGAGCCCTCGTGGACACGTTTCTGGCCCCGTATTCGAATATACGGAATACATCCGATATCGTTCCCCGCGTCGTCACGTTTGCATCAAACCTCGCTACATCTTCGTCATCTTCCGCGGGTTCACGTTCTTCGTCCATTTCTTCCCAGGTTTGGGGCTGGGCCACTCTTGGGTCCCACTTGTCCTCGAGTTCATTCAGCATATCTCTTGCTTTGGTGTAGCACTTATGTGGGTGAGGGCATTTGGCTATTGCTTTAGTTATTTGACATGATGCACACCTACAGTCTCTTCTCGCGGTATGCCGGGCGGTTTGTCACACGGGAAATTCAAAAATTTCTTTTCCCTCTTAAACATGTATTGAATGTACATATTTAGATATATGTTTCCTCAACCAAGAAATATGATATATTAATTATTTCATAAATGACTCTTCTTTATCAAGCTTTCTGTAAGAACAAAAAGAATGTCTTTCACAGGGATGGAAAAGTTATTGAAAAGCTAACCTTTCCATATGGCTTTGGATACCCCTTTCTGTGTACTATAAAGTATATATTTTCACTCATTTCAAAAATATGTGGTTTATATTCCTCTTTATTTGTGGTATAAAAGACGATATTTCTGCCATTTTTAGAAAGGTCTTCTTTATATGCACCTTTGTTAGCAGATAGAAAGAACATCTTTCAAGACAAAGAGAAAGGTGTGCTTTTTGATCGCATGAAAGGGGTAAGGAAACATCATCTTTCTGACTTTTTCAGAAAGATGCTCTTTGTTCTTGTATGAAAGGGGAAACAAATGATGTCCTTTCTGCAAAAGATATAAAGATGTTATTTTCATTGACATGAAAACATGAATATAAATAGCTTCTTTGTGAAAAAAATTAAAAATATTTCCTTTCTGCGACAAAGAAATAGGTATACAAATCTGTATTGAAAAGATGAACTTTCAATTGACATTTCAGTTTTTCCTGAAACAGGTCCTTTCCATACAAGGGAAATATCTTTGAAAAGCAACTATTTATGCTAATTCAGATATATGATCTTTCTTCCCTATAAAAAGAAGAATTAAAATGTTTACATTAAATTCATCTTTTAATGGGAAAAGAAAGTTTTGAATTTTCCCTGTGTGTAGTTTCTTTGCGAGCTCTTCTGCGTCGCCCACCGTTCGGATCCTGTGGCGACTTTTCAAGCATTCGACTACTGGTTTCGGCTTATTATACACCGCCGCGTCTCCCCGCACAAATTTATGGTACCATATCGGCATCGACCTTTGGATGTCGCGTGACACAGCGATGGCCTCCAATCTCACCCCATACTTCTTTCCGATATGTACCATCCGGTGCAGGTCTGTTCCAATTTTCTTCTCGGATGATTTCGGCCTCCAATCCTGTAGGTATGGGTTCCTCAGCGCGTCCCTTTTATGTATTTGCTTCTCATTGTTTGCAGCGAAAATCTCGTCTGCCAGGTAGCACCACGTCGGTCTATCCGCATCTAGGTTCAGGTAGTGCTTTAGCCACATAACGGAGATTGCTTCATTTCTGGCGTAGATATCAAGCAGCTTCCTACCGCCCATCTCAATTGGTGCGTACACAGTTTCCTGATTGATCGTGACTCTCTCTTTCTCGGCCCAAATGAAGTTTCTAATTCTTTTCTCCAGCCTTTTCTCGATATTCCCTGGCATTCCTTGCACTGTGGTGAGATATTGCGACACCTACCAATTCCACTTATCCTTTCATATTAGAATGAACGGCCCGCTGGGCTGCACATTCTAATATGAAGGGATGACCCCAAATGCCCTATGCTGCAATAAATACTCCAATAATTCTGCAACATCTCTAAGTTATCAAGTCCCTCAGCGCTAAGTCCCTTCTATGCTGCTAATGCTGCAATAATCCACTGCTATCTAAGTTAGTTTCCTAAATTGGCAAATATGACATAAATAGTGATGATTAGTCACATATAAGGTAAAGTTTCAAAGTATACTATATGAGAAGGTTAGATGGTACCTTAGAGACAATGTCACATAGTATGACAAGTGTGACAAACTCCAAAAAAGGAAATCTTGTCAGTTGATAGTGACATTTATTTGGTTTTGACTCTCTATATTATTCAATACATATTGGTGATCAAAGGCTGGTTTCAGCTATATATATGCTGTTATATAATGGTATAAAATGTCAGAGGTGTGACATATCTCCTAAAAAAGGATTTTTTTTTGCAGCTGAACAGCAGAATCATCAGAGAATGTCACATATTGTGACAAAATCAAAGTTGTGTATTTTGACTATATAAAAAACTTCCATGAAATAACCTACTGTGGCAGCTCAATAAATGTGTTAGCACTGACACATCACTAGGTCATATATAACTGA